AAATAATTTTCGATTTAATCTCCCTACAACCCTCAACTAGTTTGTACAATGCCTCAGGGAAAAAATTTCAAGCCTCCCCTTCAATCTAAATCACTCCTCAACAATTAACTTTCATGCTATAACAATTGTTAAAAATTATTTTCAAGTCTTTAAATGAGATTGTGAATAAAATCCCACCGTTTTTAAACATAATAATAGTTTTTTTTTTTTTATGTTCTTTAATCGAAAAAAAAATTATGCATTATAAAAATTATGCTGCAAGCGTAATAACTGGATCACTGTTTTTTCTAGTCCACTAAATAAATTTTTGTGCTTATTCATTTTTCCATTTACTATTAATAAAAAGAATATTTAAATATTCAATAAAATAGAATACCACACATAACCTTTGTCTAAAAATAAAATTAAATATAAATTCAAATTCCACATCTATTATTAATTCAAGATTAATATTATAATTGCAAGACAAAAAAAGGAAATAATAATAAAATACAAGCGATATTTCTAAAAAATGATGTAATAATTACGAAGATAAATAAGTGTAGAAATGTGATAACTCATTTAATAGTTTACATGTATAATGCATTAGTGGCATTAAATTTGCTACCACAGTTACTATATGATACAGATTAAGTTTACATGAATCTTGCTAATGTAACAATGCTTTTGTTTTGCATTTTCGGCATATACATTTTGATATTAACTAACTACACCGATATTTAATCACACACACACTCTATTTACAAGTAAATGCTATTAGAATTTAGAAGAAATTATGACTTTATGTTTACGAAATAATTTTAGTTCAGAAATTTCAAAACTTGCTTTGTACTCAACTACAATCATCATATTCTCTTTACCCATGATTTTATTTATTTCCACCTGGGATTTCAATATAATAAATTCGTATAAAGCATTCTTTTTGAAGTGAAAACTTCTTTAGGTGTGTTGAGCGATTTTTAGTTGAGGATAAACTTGTAAGTTTACATCACCAACATGCTAACATTAATGATATACCTATAGCTTTGAGATTGAAGTGTTTTAAATGAAACATTAGGTTTACCTATCTCCAATGATCGATTAAAATTTACCCCATATTTAAATAAATTCCAATCAAAAATTTTCGGTTCTTACTTAATTATATAACAATGAATATAATTAAAAAATGGATAAAAAAAATTTAAACAAACCATTGTTATTTTATATTTTCATGTTTTCACTTTTATCAAGAGTCTCTATAACTGCTTGAATTTTTTTTTTTTGTTTTACATGAATGATTTGATAGATCTAACGAGGTAACTACCGTATTTGGCAATAAAATTTGTAATTTTGAAATGTAAATCATGATTTCACAAGTAACTGTGTAGTAAAGAAGTACTTTCTCTTTACTTGGGTTAGGAAATGTTACACACATATATATATAAATATATTACCCGCATGCTCATTGAGGTATCATCATATCTTTGTTGGCAACAATCAAAATGTGACCAAAGAATAAATGTGAGTATAATAAATACAGGTAATGACGTGATTGAAGACAATGAAATCAATAATTAGAGCAGGATGAACAAGCATGTTAATCGCATACGCGATTTGAATTGATCTAGGTCAAATTACTATTACAACAAGAGTCTGTGAAAACAATCAAGTATATGTGCCTTGAATAACTAATAATTTAATGAGTAATCAAAGTTAAAAGTATAGGAAAAATAACTAGTGTTATGTAATAAATTCATTATTATTTCAATTTAAAGATAGATATGGTTACTAGTTGAAGTTAAGAATTATAATTAAATTTAAGGTATTTTGAATAAAAACAATTTTTTTTTGTTCTTCTGCCTATTGAGTTATCGATGTAGCCACGAAGCACAACCGCATGACTTTTGAAACGGGAAATTACGTCGACACTGTGGTCCTTGTAAACATGAAGAATGACATACACTTTCGAGTATCTTAACGCCATAAACAATCTTTATAACATTGAAATTAATTCAAGAGTATTTATTACGACTAATATGATAATTAAATTAAAATGATATTAATACTAATCACAATCATTTTTAACTCTAAAATGCATTATCTTTTATTTTAGTCTGAAAAAAAATGTATGTTATTCTACTTAAGGTCTGGACACCTGTAAAATAATTTAAAATATCAAAATCCAATAAATGAAAAGATATTTTTTTTTTTAGAGCTGTTTTTAATAATATTGGTTATATCATATATACCACTGGATTCAATTTAGGGTGAATATTTGTTTCAATAAGTAATTAAATTATTTCTAAATCATATAATACAGTCTGATATTTTTGCCCAATATTTTTATCCATGTCTTGTATGGGTTTTAAGGTAAACCAACCAAATAGAACTAATTTCTACATTATAGGAAGTTTCCCGTTATATCAAAAGACGTTACAGAGTTTACACTATAATTATCTTATACTAATCTACTTCACTGATATATTCAGAAAAGTGTAAATAAAATTATAATGACTTTTAGATGTTAAATTTTGTTTATGACTGTGTAAATGAACTTGATGATAATTAATAAGACTGTTATTTTTATTTTTATTACCTTGTTTATAACTATATATCGTGAGATCTTTAGTTACATATTATTGTGAAATAAATAATCTAATTCAGTTGATGTCGATTAAATTGAGAGCAATGTTTCAGTTCTTTGGAGTGATTTTATTCCTATTCAAGACATTTGTCCTTGCTTTATTTCTTACTGAGACGAGAACTCATTCTTGTACATTGACAGATTGTTTATATTTATATCATATGAATAAAAGAAATATTTTCTGTGAGAAAATTTACTTTTAAATTATTAATAATTGTTTGACAATTCTATTTAATAGAATACCATTATCAGCAGCCTGACAATATGATAAAGTCACTTTTTATGTGAATATCAATTCGAAGAAATAAATATTAAACTTTTATGTCTTTGTATATTTAATTTTTTAAATAACTCATCAGATATGAAATTGGAAGATTAATTTATTAATATAAAAAATTATTTTTAATAATTAATTTTTATTTTTTTCTTAAATGTTATTTTATTTTAAATAAATTAAAAAATTATTTTTTTGTCATTAATGTAATTCAAGATAAAAAAATCGTCATCGTATGACAAATATTTTAACCTTAGGTGTCATATATAGAAATAAAAAAATATTCAAATGGAGTAGCTCTATTTTATTTCATCAACGAAAATTCTCATGACCTAAGAATAACAATAATATTATTTTTAAAGGAACAGTAGCAATCACTTCTGTGTTAGTAATAACGGAAAAATATATGATAAAATAAAAAAAGAGAAATGATGTACTAAATATAGAATCCCCTGTATGTTCATTTGTACATGCAGAGTCACGGATAACGGTAGGTACAGCAGGATGGGCATTATGGGAGATGAAAAAAAATGCAGACAAGACAGAATAACATAATATTGTGGTATATATTTGGTTGAAAATTTTTAAATGTTTCATATTTGTCAAATAAAATATAAAAGGTCAAAAAAAAAAAAAAGTAAAAATAGCCACTTTAGATGAGCCACTCGAATGATATATTGTAAAAAAAAATATTCAGTAAATATATGTTTCACTTGTGTGTCAAAATAAATTGCGTACTGGAATATTCAATTAAAAAAATAAAAACCTAAATAAGCAAATAGTCATACTGAAGATAAATATTTTTAATTAATTTCATATCAAAAACATACTTTCATTATTAATATACTTGAAAGAAATGTTATAATCTAAAACAGGTGGTGTATAAATTTTCTAAAAATAGTTTCATGATATTAATTTCTAAATTTTTTATTCCATCTGAATTTAATTTATTGTTTTTCTTTTTACATAGATAAACTCTTATGTGAAGTATCACTCAGTTACATTACTTAATGTGAAAAGATAAAAGAGTTTTGATCAAATTCTTTTTATGTTCACGCCCCATTAAACCTTTTATTATATCTTTTGTTATTCCTTTTATTTTTTTTTCTATCATTTGACTTTTGCAACTTAGCTGGATTTAATGTATATATATATATTCAGTATATATATGTACATATATATAAACGCTAGTCACAGAAATCGATAAATGCAATTGCAGATAAATACGTGGCCCATGCAGTTAATTTTCATCTTCTTTATAAGTATCATTCAAAAATTTACATTATCTATTTATATATTATGTAAGGAATTATATAAAATATATTAGTTTGTCAGCAAATGCATCGAGACAAGTATAAAGAGTCACTGCAAACTTCAATGTAGTTATCAAAAATAAATACTCGTGTTATAAATTGAGTCTTGATGACTCAAAAATGGAAATAGCGTGTATGAATCACAATAAAAATGAGAGTTCATACAATGAAAATGTTACTTTTAAATTAAATTATTTTTATTTATGATTTTTATTAAATGACAGATAAATAAAAATGTAACAAAAGAAAAAGATATCTTATCGGGTGTCGAGAAATTGAAATAAATAAATGATATTTTCTGAATGGAATAAAGGTAGTATAATCAATGACAGTTCATGGAAGAGACTTGTTAAGAAATAATTACAAGTCAATAAAATTGAAATTCAATTTTTTCCACGAACATTTAAAAAAAAAAAAAAATAGAAAATAAAAATAATTTACATGCTAAAATGGACTTGATTAAATATGACACCTAGTGAGATGAGTGAAATTTTCTAGGGAAATTTTAAAACAAGAAATTAGGTCAGAAAATTCACGGAATACCAATATACATTCAAGTTTGTATAGATACAAAGGCATACATATAAACAGATATGATAATAATATAAACGACATTGAGTAAAAGTTTGGTTTTCACAAATAAAAAAAGTAAATAAACATGATGAACCAACATAATATTGTGAGAGAAACGTGGAAGGTTTATGGGATACGGTAGACATGTTGTGAGTCTATGAAGTCAAGATTATTGGCAATAAATAAATGTATGAGAAATGGAAGTAACAGTACTTACTTTATCTGACGGGATGTTTCTCGAATTCATGGTAAACCACTGTTAAAATCCTCTGGGATCAAAAGGCCTCAATAATTGCCAAATGACAACAAGCCTTTGTCTTAATGGCACAATAAAGATTAGCAGATGTTGATAATAATAAAGGGATTTTATTGTGTATGTGAAGCTCAGGATGAGCAGAGGCAGGCAAATCACTCACTTTCTTGAAAACTCATAAAAACACACTCTTTTTTTTTCAATATATATCTATATAGACATATAATAATATATTCACGCACAAATCACCACACCATTACGGCTCGTATTGCCGTTCAATCTCACGGCAAAGCCCGCCTCCTCTGGCCCGACGTTACTTGTACATGTCGGGCATGTAATACTTGAGCAACATTTTTGCGAGATAACACACAAGCCAATGCAAAAGATTAATCACTACAGCACTCACTGCTGTCCCAGTGTCAGAGCCAAACACATAAAATGGCGTTCCCAGAACGCAGTAATCTGGGAAAGCCTCAGCCACAGACTGCAAACCAGCTGAGAATCACGTCAATGGAGAAGGTCAACGCCTTGGACTTAACGTATACTGACCTCTATCGGATATTTTTCTGATTCGGTATTGGTTGATTTGAAAGAAAATCAGCTGCTCATTGCACCAATCACATTCATTATTTATGACATAGAAATTTAATTTTTTTGGAGTCTAGTCGCTCATTGAAAATGACGATTTTAGATTTAACTGATGACCTAACCTTATATTTGCGTACTCCATTCAGGAAGTACATAAAAATATGTGTCAGATAAATGTCAAAAAAATATATTCAGTTATTTAACTTAAAAAAGTTCATGGATTTTAAAGCGTGGTCAAGTATTTTTTTGCTGAATTATATTCGGTGATTTTTGTTGTCATTTAATTATCATGTCGACAACTATAGACGACAAAGTAGTAGCAGGTGCAAAAAGTACCAATGAAGTCAAGGAAGATCCTATTGTAGTATTGACAGTGTGTATGAATTTAAATTAATAAAAGTACCAGACAATTATTGTAGTTGTCATCATTGTCATTGCTTTTTTTACAAGTCTTTTGAACATAATTCTTTAACTCATTAGCTATTTGTATATTTTAATTATTTACTTTTTCCAGAAAAGAGTTGACTCACTGTACCACTTTCGTGATCATTATTTTGAAAGTCATTCAATAGAAAATGCAATTAATAAAAAAGTGGATATAGAAAAAGAAATGAAGGATACGATAGCGAAATTCGATGAATATAAGGGATATGAAATAGATGGATCCAGAGCTATGTACTACTATTTAAAAGGAAAAGCTTTTAATGTTGTTGATCGTTTTATTCCTCAGGCTGAAGAATTATTGAGTAAGGCTGTTAAATTAGAACCAAAATTAGTTGATGCCTGGAATGAGTTAGGAGAATGCTACTGGAAAAAAGATGATGTTAAGCAAGCGAAAAACTGCTTTATTGGAGCTTTACCTCATGTAATTTTCATCCTTTTTAATCGATTTTACTTAAAGTAAACGCAATTTAAAATTAGCTAGTTTAATTTTTCTATAACAGGGTAGAAATAAAACTTCATTGAGAAATTTATCAATGGTTTTGAGACAAGAACCTGCAGAAAGTCATCGGCAAAAGATTGAAAATATAAGACAGGGGGTAGAATATGCAAAAGAAGCTGTTGCTTTAGATACTATTGATGGACAATCTTGGACTATTTTAGGAAATGCATATTTATCATCATTTTTTACTATATCACAAAATCCTGTAACTTTAAGACTTTGTATGTCTGCTTATACTCAAGCAGTAAGTTATTTTTTAATGTAATGAAAGTTTACTAATAATAATTTATTGAATATATATTTTTTTCAGGAAAAGGACGTTGTAGCTAATAGTAAACCGTATTTATTCTTCAACAAAGCAACCGTATTTAATTATATATTACATTTCAAGTACTGTGCAACTGTTTGTTACATAAAAAATTTAATTACTCCTTATTTTAGGCATTAAAATATCAAGAAGAATATAAATTAGCATTAGAAGCATTTGAACGTGCAAGATCTCTAGATCCAACCTGGGATGTACCTCGACAAAAATGGGAAGAATTACTTAAGTACCTTAAAGATGTACAAAATTTAATAGCAAGTAAAGGACGTTTGAAAACAAAAAGACTGTATCAAATGATCCAGGTCATATTTGATTATCTATGGTTTATTTTTTTTCTTATTTTATTGCTATCTAATTTTTTAAAATTAATTAATAGAGCTTGGATAAAAAATATATGGGCCCTTACAAAAATGGATCATATACATCCGGCAACAAGTCAATTAAATTAGAATTAGTTCCACTAAAAGATTTAAAAGAAGGGTTAAATATTGAACAAGTTATATTTGGAAAAGTCGTATGCTGGATTCAAACGACAGATGCGGTACCATTGTAAGTTCTTTGTATTCAACATTTGTCATTTCTTTTGTTGAATCAAACTATGAGTAACTTGTTTGTTATAGCACGTTCTGTATGGTTGATAAAGATAGTACTTGTTTAGCCGTAACTGTTTATAATTTAGCAGAAGGCCGTGGTGTCACCGTTGGTGATTCAGTTGCCATTCCAGAACCTTTTTTAACACGTCAAAAGTTCACATATTCAGGCAATGTAATTATCTTTTTCATATTTATGAATATTTTGTATGTAAAAAAAATTCTATTCTATTAAATTCAATAGGAGTTTGACTTCAAATCTATTCGTGTTGAGACCCCAATTGTGTTAGTATTAAATGGTAAAAAACTGGGTCGAGATCAACAAGCAAGTGCAAAATTATCAAGTTATAAACGGACTGATTAACCTGTAAGAATTGTAGAATAAATATTCAATAATTTGTCCAATAATTATATTTAATTGTTATGTTACAGTTTATGATGTGTAAAACTTTTTTCGATGATTTAGGTATGTCATATTGTTGCAGCTTGACTGGAAAATCCATTTTAACAATAAGTATTTGCTTGTATTTGAGGAGCATCTTAACAATATGTCAATTCATTAATTATTTCTATAGTTTAAATCATAATTAATGGTGCCAATAAGTTTTTTTTTCATCACTCAAATATTAGCTGTATAAAGTTTTATGTAAATTATTTTATTTTATGAATATTTATACAAGCGTAATAAAAATGGTTTTTTTAAAATAAATTTTGGAACTTGATCAAAATATCAAAACAATTTTTTACAATGAAATTGATGGAAGCATACATGTGATAATATTTGGAAAATATTTATAAAATATAATTTTTTCCACGAAAACTTATATAAGATTTTTTATTCAATAAGTTAATTACTATAAATGACTAATCTAGCAATTACCTCTGAAAAATAAGATTAATGCTTTTGGTTGATATTAATTGTATTGTAATTAATTTTTATTGTGATGTTAGTTAACATAATTCTTAGAATATCAAAAGCCTGATTGATTAAATAGTATTTATTTGTATCCGGGAAATCTTGAAGAATAATACAAGGCTATTAACATAAACAAATTTTCTATCATGTAGATATGACTAGTTGATGATGTTTTATTAACATTATAAAAGCTTATACTTATTTTATGTGACATAATTTACTTTCTTTATAGTTTAAAACGGAAATTTTATCACTTTATTCGTTTTGTAATCAATCATTGCTAAATATACTGCCAATCTTTGTAAGATATCATTAAAACATCATTTATGTTTATATATTTTATTTTATTTTTTTATAATTAAATAATTCATATCGAAAATTTTATTAAGATATAATCTATACCTTTAAGAAGTTTTAATATAAAAAGTAGTGATTTCAATGTATATTAAAAATATCCTTATAAAATTATTGCGACTAATAATTACATAATAAATACTTATTCGTAATAATAACAATGATTACAGTAGAGCCATCATGAAAAACCCGTAGGTTCGAGTGAATGTATGTAGGATTAAGGACTATAAGATTATAAAATGTCCGTACATATCTTGTACATCTAGTTATTTACCTGTTCACGTCAATCAATATTCTTGAATAATTTTTCTCTAAAAATTTTTTTATGATAAAAACAAAGTAGAATATTATAATCAAGAAAATGTTTCATCGTATAGACTCAAAAAATCAGTCAACATTATCACAGATTTATATTACAAATTAACTTCCCATAATTTAATATAATTATCAATGACTTCTAAAAACCAATCTCGTCTTGATGGATCCATAAAAAGAGGTGCAAGTGTGCGAAGTTGAAGTTGAAGTATTGCTTCATTTTCAAGTAAGCTATTAAGCTTATATAATAATTCAGTATCGCCATGAAGTTTGAGCAAAGAAGGATAAGTAAAAAAATAATATTGAACACGTAAATTGTTTGTAGCCCAGCTCTCAGCTGTACTGTTACCACTAGCAGATTTAATGAAACCTACATGATCAGAGTACCAGGGTGAGAAATAATTACTTAGTTCAAGACCTGATAAATCAGCAACTCCACGACTTTTAAGACGATTTTTGATACGTTGATATACCGCAGGTGTGTAAACGAACACCTAAAATATTTTTAAAAATAGCAATAAAGTAAAATGATTTTTTATCTAATAAAAATTGTGCTGAGAAAAAAAAAATTGTTTTAAGATTTTTTTTCTCAGTATTATATTTCTTAGTTTTCAATACCTGGTATAGTGAGTTTCCAGTGATAAAGGAAGCTACGTAATGTGATCCAAATCGTTTGATGAATTGCACCACACTAGCTTCATCACCAATTGTCACATTATCCGCTTCATTGATAATAAGATTATCAAAAATGGAAGTGTCTGATGTTTCAGGCATTTTTTGATTTTCTCGAAATCGAGAGACCCTAATAAGGACATAACAATATTGCCCAGTTACAAAAGACTTATTGATACCAAGGTGCCTGGCAATTGTTCCACTTGACCAGCCTCCTGTAAAAGCTCTCCAAGGTCTGTCAAATCTTTCAAATGCAAAATCACGAAAGTAAGCTTGTAGCAATTGTCTCAAATTATCACAAAATTCCATATGAAAATCACCATCGAATACTGCTGATTTATTTTCTTCAAGTGGTGATTCTGGTTTTATATCATGAACAATATCTATAGATGGTTCACGAAAAATCCATGGAGCTGAATCATTTCTTGGTACAACTCTCATACTTGTACTTAAATAACCGTAGCGTTCGAAAATATTAATAGCAATACCAAGTTTAAGCTGTGTTTGTGCAATCTGAATGTTGATGATTAAAGCTGCTACCAAAAGCAGGGAATCGCACGCGTTTCCACATTTCTTGCAGCATACGGCTGCTTCCAATATCAATCCTACTGACTTTTGTTCCTGAAATAAATTCATCAATGAATTATTATTACTATTTTAACACAAAAAGGACTTAAAATACATCATATTCCTTGATTAATTTCTATTTTCCCTATTTTTAGAAATTATATTAAATAAAATTAACATTAATTAATTCAAATAATAATTTTAGAAGGTCAAAGTATTGGTCAATATTAAAAGTAAAAGGTTTTCAATTGAAAAAAGAAATATAAAAATACAATAATGATATTAGTTAATTTTTTGTGTTGTATTTATTAAATAAAATTTTCTATCATAAAATATAAAAATCAATGTGCTTATAAGTGAAGGTTATTTTTCTCAGTGATAATTTTTTTATAATGAATATATTAAAGGACAAAGTATAAATTATTCCAGTTCCGTGTTGTTATTACGTATAAGGCAAATAAATGATTATGTTGATATCTAACATTAGAAGTGGTAAATGACTTTAGAAGATTCCTAGTAGATGAAAGATTGATATAAAGTAGTGTGAGATGATCGCTAATGAAAAAAAAACCTCAGAATCATTAGATGCGGTAGATTGTCGTGACGATGTGGTTGCAGAGATAAATGAGTGCTATAATAATAATATAGTAATGTACATAAAGAAGAATGAGATTACATACACACACAAAACCGGATGCAATTATAATTTTAAACCTGAAGGATGAAAGAATATTTGTGCTACGAGTAATTGTTTAGTAAGTATTCAATTGTATGTGCGTTATGATAAAAATCTATATAAAATATACAGTACTCAATATCAAATACACCTATTGTGCTATATCAACTAAAATAAAGAGAAAAAATATGAAATAATTGGCACCTGACTAAATTCATATAATATTCATTCATGTACACGTTATTTTTTGATTGATATTTAATATTATATAATTTTTTAGTGTTTATGTTACATGATTAGCTGACATTTGTGTACCGTTTGTCTTCAATGTCCTACTAACATTTAGTAATTTGTGCAAGCAACAAGTTGCCTATTATACAGTATACTTGAGATATCAACTTGTATTTGTAATTCTAATAATTAATTTTATTTACATAGAAAGGTTAAGTTTAATTAAAGAATTCCTACATCTGGTTTTTGCATTTCTCTCCTTTTCCAGGGAAACATTGGAGACATTTGAAAAAAAAACCACTAGGTAGGTCTAGCTTTCTTTATTCACTTTCTTAGTCACTGGTGGAATATTTGATTAAATGTACCAAGATGTTAGATTAATTTTTCAGGAATAAGTACTTTGAACTTTCTTTTAACATTATCAAGCTTAACCTGTAAGTATAAATTTTCCAAGTATTGGAGAGAAGTAAAAGAGAGAAGAAAAGACAACTTAAAACAAGATAGTGTGTATTTAATTCATGTGGATTCACTAGAGAGACCTTGACATGAATTCATAACTCTTAAGGACAAATATTACATTTAATTACATTTATATGATTACATACTATATTTATTATTGAAATTTTTTGTGGATATTAGGATGAGATAATATGAACTAACTAAATGATTTATGATACATTTATTTTTTTTATCAACTTTTATGATGATGAGTAAATATGTAGTTTACACAAGTATGACGTTATTTCAATTTTTATGTCAATTTGTTTTTTTTTTAAATACAATGGAATTTGATATTCAAGTTGCTATTTCATAATATTCTTTTGTAGCAATATTTGAAGATTATTGGATTATCTTTAATTTTGTTTTGTCCTTAATGATGGTAATAAAAAATAACTCATATTCTAGATAATAATAATATTAATATTACCTGTCAGAAACTTTGAGTAAAAATCTGTGTAATAGTAAAAATAGTAGTAGTGTGCAATATAATGGCTACATTATCTAACTTTGTAGACTGTTTTTGTTTATTTGCTTTTACGTAAAATTCTTTTGTTAATGTAAAACCAACATTACATGAATAGTTTTATAATCCTAGAATTTTTTTTTCAATGTTCGTTAAATGAATATTATTTTAATTATCCAGCCAATTATCAAGAATATGGTAAATCGAGATGTAAATTTAAATAAACAACGAATTAAATATTAACCATTATTTTTTTTTGTAGCGCTTAAAATATTTCGAATATTATAAAATCCATTTATCAGTGTTTATTGTGTGCAATACATCAAATATTTGTTTATAAAACATATCATCAATATCAATTTAACTTCATTTATCAAAATATGTAAAATTTATTAAACAAAATATTCACCAGTATGACAATCGAGTATCGCGTGTCATAAAATATTTTAAAAAATGAATGACTGAGATCAAGTCTTACCGGATCATGTAAATTTATTTAATTTCCGTTGATTACTTTAGTCCCTACGTATGAGAGCGTGTAAATAAAATCGTCAACTCTTTCTCAGCATATAGTGATAAAAGTCAATTATTATAGGTCACTGACTCATCCAAGCAAACAGATTCAAACCGTTTACCTATTATTAAATCACTAATAACATTTAATATATTTTTTTTTTTATATTAAATACAGTAGAGACTTGATTAACTGAACAAAGTATTGTCCTCATAAGAATCATTTACATTGAGATTCATTTCTACGAAAATAATTTTAGAATTAAAAGATTAATATGTAGCAAAGTCATGAATTATGTTTTCTTTTTTTTACGTATCGATAAGAAACCAAATTGAAAAAAATTTGAGATATCTACATAATGGATATCTTGCATTTTTTTCATACATTACTAGACTACAGCTGTTGGATTATTGAACATTCAGGAAGATAAATGTTAACGTTATTACAGTTAAGAGAAGTGTCTGACATCTCGATTTATTCAATAAAAGCAGTGAAATATTTTTAAAAATTATGAATATGAAACGAGAGAATAACAGAATTTGATGAAATTTTCAAAGTAGAATCATGATATCTTGTTAAACTCCATGACCCGTATCATTTGTCATGTTCTATCATATTTCAAATGATGATATATTGAAAAAAAAATTATTATACAAAATGTTTACAAAAAAGGAAAATAATTATTTATGTTGGCCTAATTATTGTAGATGAAAAAATATAACATGTATGGTATTTGCTGACGTTGCTTCAAAGTCAACGAAAGCTGATAAAGCAAGAGAGCTTAAACACATTTCGCCAAGTTAGTTTCCTGGTATAAAACCACAGTTATTAAATCACTTCTGATTATCATTTTATACTATTTTAGATATTTAATCTTTAGAATGGCATTGAGTTACTTTATGATTAACATAGTACATTTCGTTGTAATAATTACAATAAATAAATACATTTGTTAAAATATTTTTTCATTTAAATACACAAATAGAAAATTTTCATATTGCTATTCACCCGGATAATGAAATTCCACAACAGTAGTTCAAGTTTGTGTGTCGTCATATGAGTATAATTAATTGAACTAATGGTACAGCTAGATGTTGAATTTGTAAATTCAAAACACAACAATGCGAATACCATAAAAGCTATTTCATTTGAGTTTGTCTCAGTTGTCACAACAACTGGTAAAGTTAGTAAATACTTAGAATGTCGAATATTCCAAGGTTCAACATATTTCAATGGGAATAAAGCGATTCGTGGTTATTCAACTAAATGCTGGGTAACGGAGTTAAGGTCGGCACAAGCAATTACGTGAGACGATTTTCCATCGTCCCATTACACCAAACAACAAGACCTACGTGTTTATTGAAACGTGCAACGTTGCTTTTGATTACTTGATGAAATTACAACGTAAATTAATTTACGTTTATTATTGTACAATAATTATGAAAAAAAAAGAAGTTCGATCGAATTATTTTTATCTCGAGATTTTATTACATTTCATCTTGCAAAACCAATTACTTTTAAAACGGAAAATTATCATACTAAAATTCATTATTTGAACGCCAAATATTAGTATTTTTTTTTTTTTTAGAATCTTATTAGAAGTTGCAACAAGTTTGAGAACTATTATTACACTACAACAATCTGCAACTTTTAAATGTCTTTACTTAACACTTTTCATATTTCTACTTTTCATCAGTAATTTATAATTGTATTTAATTTTTTTTTCCTATCTATTTATTTATTTAAGTATAATAATTATTGTTCAATATTAAAATATAAATATTAATAATTAATTTTGTCAGTATTATTAAATTTTCAATTAAATTAAAGAGGTATTTTTGCAGCAATCATCCTACCTCAATATCTCAAATTAATATTAATTTCATGAATAATTATCTCACGATGCAAGAGATGACGAGAGATCTTACAAAATTCACAATACATTTATAATGATGTTTTGAAGAAATTATTGTTTAAAAAAACATACAGAAGTTATTTGAAATTTAATTAATTATTGATATTTCATTATGAAGTTTTCAATATTGTTGTACATGAAAATCAAACAATAAAACTAATTATAAAAATATTTTTATGAAAATTTTAATGACATATTATTGAAAATAAAAATTACAACCATAGTAATCATATTTGAAATGAATTTTTTTATCTTATTAAATAAATATTACAAGTGATTGAGTAAAATTTAATCCGATAAAATCGAAATGTATTTGGACAATTATTCAAAATGAAAATCATGTTAAAATTGAATTGATTAATAATATTAATTAATTAAATATTAAATAAATATTCGAAGACAAGTGTTTGCATAATATTTCGATAAGATTATAATTTAAAAAAAAAATACATACAAAATAGTAGTGTAACTTTCTTGCGTAATGAATCTGCGTACAGCTGTACTCTCACTACGTGAATACAACACCAACGAATGTCCAACAACAGTATCAACGAAATATTAAATTGAAAGTATTTGACCATTTTTTTTTTCTATCCATTCAATTGATGAAAAATAAAATTAACAAGATCAAATTAGCTGTTAATATTTTATAAAATAAACACACAAAATTATGTCATTTCATATATCATAAAAATATTTTACATAAACAGATTTATTTGAAAGTAAAGAATTCATTTGTACTACTTTTTTTTAATGAACAAAAAAATTCTAACACATAATTAATACTGACCTTTGAATCAATTACATGTCCACAAAGAAACAATGGTATATCTTATAATCATTATTACTGATAATATTGATGAAATAATTTAGCAAAATATTATATTAATAAGTCATTTTATGCTATTAATAGTCGTCCACTTCATTTTTAGTGACAAAAAACATCCTTGATTTAATCACTGGTTTGATATGATATTAGTCGATCTTATTGATCCATCGACTCACTGATCAACACTTGTACAGTCAACTGATTTTCTTGACGTTTTTTGTCCGGTCTCTCCTCTCGAGAGTGCGCGGCTTACCAAGTGGACCGCCAGTGACTGCAGCAAATCGAAATCGGTTGGACGCGTGAGTCGCCTGGCGGGGCAAACTCGCTTACCCTCCACTACTATACTACTCCTATCAGCAACCTCTTCTGAGAGATGTTCGAGTCGTGGTGTGTATGTAAACGTCATCATGACCATGTGATATGGGACAGCAATACAATAAGAAGTGCAAAAGGGCCAACACAATTGACGCTTGTACATCAACTGCTGTCGTTGCTCTAGTAGAGAATAATGTACGTACTGCTTTAGCTGTAACAGCAATTTCCGTGGTAAGGTGCAGGTGTGTACTTCCCGAGCGGCAGACCAAGTCCAATTAAATGAGATCCCTTGCGGTATAACAACGTATGTGTGCGAAGAGTAAATGAGAATCAACGAAAATGAGTCTGCCATGGAGTTAGAATGATAAGCTTCTTTCTCTTTCCTCTTTCTCCGCTACTGTCATACTATCACACTGTATACTATATATACAACAAGAACCTTATCACTTTGGATCTCATGTTCATTCATGCTTCATCATCATACCAGAGCAAAGATTTGAAACAAATATATTCTTCAAGAGGACAAATTTTTAAATTTAAATTCAGCAAAAAGATCTTTTCAAGGTAAACTCTTCTTTTTTTATTTCTGCTTTAATTCACCTTTTTTTTTCAGTTAAATACATCTTTTTTTATTTCTTTCAGTTCTCATTTGAATAAAAACTCTTCATTATTATTATGGATGTTTTTTTTTCTATTTTTTGATAAACTCTACGTTGGTCTCCATTTACGTGGGTCACGATAATTTTTGTACATTGACACGATACTCAATCTTGTTCGTTTTATTCCCACTTACTGAGAATAGAACTCACTCCGTTATGGAAACAACTGGTTTGAAGTTTTTTCGGGTGAAAAATGTGCATCTAAAATTATAAAATAAAAAACTTGAAAACATTTAGATAGGCAGCATAGTTCATATAAATATATCGATGATTGTTGGATAGAAAAAAGAAAGTTAAGTAAAAGATGAAATAATATGTGATAAATAGAAACAGAATTAAGTGAGAATGAACATATAATACAAGTAACATTACAATCTATTTAATTTATTGACATGACCTCGAGACGTTTGTCGTCCTCTCACTTGTACGAAATCAGATGAATGAATATCACTTATGTTTTCATTTCGTAGAAATTTTTAAAAATTTTGTCCTACTTCAATGTTAATAAAAATGGTTAATTACACTGTTGAAACAAATTAGTCTCAAAGTATTTAACATCAAGGTAGACTTTTTGTTTTGTTCAATCCAAATCACTTCAGTCTAGGTCAAGGTGAAGTCATTATATCTGATGAAAAAGGAAAAATATTATAATGACATGAAATGACCAAAAAATATTACAGAAAATGTAACATAAAATCGATGAAACTCATTTAAATAATCAGAAGATTTAACTACAAATTTTTACCATTTGGAGATATGTGCAATTTCAAGTTAACTTAATTGAGGATATTGAATAGTATTGGATTCACTTGTTTTACATAATTAAGTATACAAACGTCCTTGAACATGATCACAATCAAATATAAAACTCATTACATTGACAATTAAAATTTATGGTTTCCATATATTATTCTTAACGTCCTTTATTGAATATCCATGTATGTGTGTGTACATGTGAATTATTTTTCTGCTATAATTGACGTGATGTTGTAAGTGTACTTGTAACTTTGCAAAATAATATAACACAACAACACTACTTAGTAGTATTTCGAAACAATATCGAAAGTGTATTTGATCATTGACCAGCGATCCGTTACTCTAGTCTATCCACCACGTTATTAAATATCATTTGTGAGAATTATTAATTATTTATGTTTTTTCACCTTGAATATTGAAGAATTGAGTCAATAAATTGGCTATAAATGATATAGGATATCACTTGGCAATTTATAGTTATAATTCCAAATATATAATTATTTAGAAAGGTAAAATACATAAAAAATATTTACAACACACCATTACAGTCAGGTGATGACAAAACAATTATGTCATTTAGAATAATCCTCTTTTCAATTCGAAATCTTGTGACTGATTGCTATAAAATCAATTAATAATGCTTTCACACGAATTTAACTGACATAATAATCGTTAGTAAAGACATCATTCAAATCTCTAAAATGTCATCACATCAATAAGACAGATATGGTGTCAAACTATAGCTGATAAGGATTATAATGACGGTATAGTAGAAATACTTATTAGCCGTTAAAAGTAAAACAATCTCATTTATCAGTCAGAGGTGATTATCCCTTGCCATTATCGATCAAACAGTATTGTTTATTTATGATTTATGTTTCTAATGTTTTATTGAAGAGTATTTTCTGATCATAACCTTTGATATAATAATAAATAGAATATGTGAATGCATTAGAAGTACTTTGTTTTAAAAAACCAAATTTATTTTTATTTAAAAGGCATCAATTAATAAAAAAATGCGGAAAAAGAGCACTGTGCGGCAATCAATGAGCCATTTGATTGTAGAAAGGAAAAAAAATAAATCGGTGACTTGAATTTTTATTTATAATTACTTAAGTATTTAAAAATATAATTAAATAATTTATGAATAATTATTATGATTGTTGCATCAAAAATCATTTGATGTTAGTCCTTGAATATTGAAAATAATTAGGTATGTATTGCTTCACAGGTTGATAGATTAAAAGGTCGATTGTTATTCAAAGCATCAGTGAGATTAGTTTTGGAATACATTGATTGGCTTAAACAAGAGAAAATTATTGTTAAAGATGAAGAGATAACTGATGAGGTTCCTTTCATTCAAGCTAAAAAATATAACGAACGGGATTTGAGTATTCAGGTTTTATATTTTGAACCTTCATGATTGTTGTGAAAATTTGTAGTATTTATTTATTGTATTAACTAGGATCGTTCAATTTTACTGATAAATCCTCAATTAAGAACTAAGAAAGATAGAGAATATATTTCGGATTTGATGAAAAAAATTCAAGCTTTTAAAAAATATCCTAATGAAAGAGAGTCTATTGCTGAAGTTTGTGAGTACCGATACTTTGGGTTAGATCGAATTATTGTTCGTCAGAATCATCCGGCTAATTATTTGTATTACATAATAAATGGAAATGTTGAGCTGATCAAAGTTGAATCAAATAATATAACAGGTCATATTATTATTTATATATAATGTATCTGAAGTATTAGAACATTATTTAAATATTAAAAAAAATTTTCAGAGGAAATCAAAGAAATGAATGTTGGCACTTTAGGACCTGGTGATATGTTTGGAGAAGTAGCACTTCTTCATTCTGTTCCGAGAACTACAACTGTAGTGGCAAAAAGTATTTTAAAATTTTTATCTTTAAAATCGATAATATAATTAATTCAAAATTTTTCTGCCAATAATAATTTCAGCACCTGTAGATCTTCTTTGTCTTCATAAATCAGATTTCGATCGATTACTGAAAGTTCTTTTGTTAGAAAATTGGAATGTTTTACAAGATGCTCTGGTGACTTTCGATTACTTTAAATCTTGGGATAAGACTACCATAAGAGAATGTTGTGTTCTGAGTAAAGTTAAAGATTTTAAACCAGATGAAGTAATAATTAATTAATCAAGACTCAAATGATTAATAGTATATATTCATCAGTAAATCTATCATTGATTCAATTAATAGATTATTTTGGGTGATGGGAAGGGTATGGTGAACTACGTCTACTTCTTACTATCAGGAACATGTCGACTAATTGAACATATGCTAATTAGTGAAGAAAAGAGTGGTGGTCAAATTCAGTATAAATTATACGATCCAAAAATTCATTCCACTAATAAACCTAGGAAATGTTCTGATCAAAAAGTTGATGTAAATCAACCAAAGTCAAATATCTTGGTATTTTCTTTAAAACATTTTTACAAATGTTATATTACATATTTTTTATGTTTCATCTAAAATTAATAAAGAAAAATAAATTACAGGAAACTGATAATACTAAAACAGAATCTATAGGAGAAAGTGTTTCTAAAAATATTCAAAACTTAACAAGCACAGAACGTATGAGTATTACTACTACTACTTTTCAGAATATAGTGAGTGAAATTTTGTTGAAATAATTGTTGAATAAAATAATTAAATCTGTGTTTACCAAATATTGTAGATAAATCAATGGCATGAAATAACAGATTTAACAACGATACTGAGACAAGAACCTTCTGCATACTCACAGCAAATTTATCCTAACAATGTTAAAACTATTTTCGTTCAAGTTTGTGAATTTCATAGAAGTGCATGTTTCGGATTAGGTAAATTGAGATAATTCTAATACAAGAAATATTGTATCAAATTAATTGAACTGTGTAATTAATTTAAGGCGAACAAATGCAAAATCGTCGAATAGTTTCTGTAACACATTCTCGTTGTTTGTTAATTCCACGATACTGGTTATCGGAGCATAATCATGCGAATATATGGGAACGTGTTAAAGTTTTCATGAATTCAAAGTATCCATCACGTGAAAAACTTTTTAATGAATTCGTCACGGACAGAAAGTAAGAAAAATTATGATTAAGAATTTATGTCAGAAATTGATTAAAATTTTCCTTAAGTAATTTTATTTATATATAAAATTTAAACAGTTTAATCACATTATGTACATTATTTTATAAGGTGGATAAAATATAAAAAAAGTACGGCCAGTAAAATTATAAAAAATGGAAAAAATATTTATAAAAATACTACGATTCATGATGTTCCATATTCTATCAGAATCAGTCAAATAATTGACTTGTAATCATTTTGATTTATGTGCAATTAAAACTCTATTTTTTAAAGAGAGCAATGTAATAAGAAAAAATTTTATTCATTAGTGAATTTGAAATTTTTTCTTTAAAAAATTTACGAGTACTTGTGTATAAAGTACTATTGATAAATATTTTTTTTTGTACTTCATCTTTTATTTTGTATAAAATATTAATAATTTTAAAATTGTAAAATAATCTATAAAATAATTTTCTAATAAATTATTCAACGTATTAATAAATTCGAGTATTGGAATATAAATTCATTAATTTTTTACCACGGGTATAAAAATGATTATTTTGTAATGGCACTTGATGGCTATAAAAATAATCAGATTTTAGCCTGATTATTTTCGTTAGTTACGAATATATAACTAGGATTGGTAAAACATTCAGGAATGTCCTTATTTAATTCATTTTTGTTTCTAGGCATATTAACATAATTATCTTGTGTTCTAATAATACCTGGTGTATAATTGTTTGAAATATTTTTATTTGGTTTTTTATCATCTATTTCATTACCATCAACTTCTTCTCTCAAGTCTTCATTATGAAGATCTATAAATCGTAAATTTTGTGGAGTATTACAGTATCCAGAATCTCTTTCCATTATTTTATCTTTTGCTGCTTGTTTCATAGCAGCCCGCTGTCTAACGAATTCAGCACGCCGTTCGTGGACATTTATCGGTGTTAAATAATTGTCATCTTCACTTTTAAGCATTGGAGATAACTCAACAGCTTCTGAATCAGAATCCGAATGGATACCTCTGTTGTCTGATGGTGGAAAATTGAAATGTGTACTCTCGGACATACTTAGTGGACTAAATATACCAGATTCATCTCTCTGTTTAACTGATGGACTCATACAGATGTAAGAAGTGTCAGTCGCAGGACTCAATGGTATACTTGGAGAATTAACATATTCTCTAGTTGGTGATGACAAAGTGTCATGATCTGGAGCTGACATCATCGTCAAATAATCATTCTTTCGACTTTCAAAGAATGCCGTGTTCATATCCATATATGGTGCATTTAAGTCGACGTAATGCTAAAAAAAGTAATATTAGTAAGACAATGAGTATTTATGATACTTTACAAAAAAGTTAAGAAAAAAAATACCATTTTAACACTTTCATCTAACAAACTTCCAATGTTGTCTACTAGCTCTGTAAATGATGGACGGGCAGTAGGTTTCGCTTTCCAACATTGAAGCATTATATCATATACTTCTTCAGTTGCATACTCTGGCTTTTCCATCCTATATCCTTCAATTAGTTTTTGATACTGTTTCTCAGCTTCCATTCCTGGATACGGTGTTTTTGCAAGTGTGAAAAATTCCCATAAAACAATACCGAAAGACCAAATATCAGATTGTGTTGAAAATATTCGATCTCGTATTGATTCAATTGCCATCCATTTGATAGGCAATAAAGCATCTCCTTTTTTCTTGTAATTATCATCTTTGTACATCGTTTTAGCTAAGCCAAAGTCACAAATTTTTACAACATTGTCTTCAGCCAATAAAATATTTCTTGCAGCTAAATCTCCATGAAGAACCTTAAATAATTTAATATTATGTTAATAGATTTTTTAAAAAGATAAAAATTATTTTTACTCCAAAAATATTTTTGTACCTTTCTCTGACTTAAATATTCCATTCCTCGAGCAACTTGGAAAGCCCATGATAATAAATCTTGAGTACAAATAGGTTTCAAATTATAATCTTTATAATCTCCACGGTAATTTGATCTCCATCCAGGTTGAATGGAATTATTACTGAGAACAGGGGCATCACCGGACATAGTGGTTTGATCTTGAGAATCAGTTCCAGGAGTATAACTGACAATTGCCGGACCGTTGCTGGAATTTATGCTTATGCTACGAGAAAATGATAAAGCTGCGTATTTTATCCTGTTAAATAAATGGAAAACAAAAAATTTGTTAGACCACAACCGCATGCGTCATAACCCTTTGGAGTTATCAAACAACCTTATAGTCACCAGATTAAATTTAAAAAAAAAATTCCAGTGATTAATTGCAATGATGAAATAGTATAAAAAATATTATAATGTAAGTAATTACAAAAGCATCAAATTATAGTGATATTCATTGATTAAATTGAGTTTATATTAAATACCTTTCCCCATATTATTTCACCTATTTCCGCAATCATGATTATATATAATAAATACCTGTTATTGCTTCCCATACTGATAGATCGTACTAATAACTCTCGGCCAATTGTAGGGTCAATTTTTTCTGTTGCAGGATCAATTTGATTGATGAAATCATTTCTGTGTCTTAACAAGTAGTTGTGTAAATTACCAAAACGACAGTACTCTACAATCACCAAAAGTTCTCCTACAAATAATATTTTTGTTCAATTGATATTCTTCATGATAAATTATTTTGAATTATTATATAACATACTTTTAGCAATATTTTTTGTACAAGCACCCAAAAGGTTTACAACGTTTAAATGTTTTCCAAGATGAACCATAATTTTTAATTCACTAGCAAGTGATCGGATATATGTTGGTTCTGTGGAACGTCGTACCATCTTGACAGCTACCGTTGTTGTTGGCTCATTTTCACTAATTCCTTGAGCTTCTGCTTTCATAACTACTCCAAAAGCACCGCATCCTAATTGTTTACCTATGAGTAAATTGAAGAGAAATTAATAATATATAAAAATAATTAATATATTTTGTTTTAAATTTTATACATACTTTTATATAAAATTAAATCAATTATTAATACTTAAAAATTTCTTACCAAGTTTTAATCTCTCTCTAGGAAATTCCCATTTCTTATCATAAGGAAGTAATTCAGCTTGATCGTCTATTGTTAATTCACTGTTCAAACATTCAATAGCTCCTTCCTCAAAGTGTGTTAAACCTGCTTCCATTAATTGCTTCCTTATCACCTGACGAGTTTACAAAAAAGTTTTTTATAGAGTTTTCTATTAAAAATGTTAATTAAATAATTAAAACCTAAATATAAATTTATATATACCTTTTCACGATGTACTTTAATGGAGAAATAAATTATAAGAGCCACACAAAAAATAACCAAAATTATTATTGAGATTATTAAAACTTTAGAAATTTCTTCTCCTTTAATTCTAATAGTTTGATATGTTTCTACATAACCCAAACGATTTTCACCTCTACAAAGGTACTTTCCACTATTTTTTTCACGAGGATGTTCAATATGAAGCTCTTGATTATGATTTAAAAATGTATATAGTTCTTCAGTTTCATTAATTAACACTCCGTCCTGAAATTACGTCCGAAAAAATTTAATACAAGTAGAAATAAAAAAAGAATTCTTTTCATGAAAAAATAATTAATTTTCCTACTTTCCACCAAGAGATGACTGGTTCAGGCATTCCTTCAATATAACATTTAAGTACGATATTTAAATCATTCGCCGTTTCCAGATCATATACCACTTCTGTTTCATTCATATTTTCAGTAGAGACAAAGAACGGATATTTTGGATCTAAAAAAATAATTATTTATTTAGTTATGATTGCAACCTTTTGCATTAGTTGATAGAATAAAATAATACGCACCATGTATGACGAGCTCATAAGCATATCGTTCTATTGAACTATCTCCACTCATTGTGTCAAAACTTATTGCACTACAAACGTACAATTTAGCATCAGACTTTTCAACATTGTTTATTCTTAAGGTTGATCGATAAGTGTATGGGGTTGTAGATTTAACAATGGATAAACGATCTGAAGATAAACAAAAGAACAAGATTAATTATAGTAATAATTAATTTCTCATATAATTATTAATGTTAATTTTGTTTTAGACATTTACCAGTTCGATTCAGAGGCTGATCATCTTCATTTAACCACTCGATGTCATTTGTATAATTATAAATCGAGGCACCACAAACTAATTCTACATCATCACCAGTAGCAAAATCGCGATCGGGTTCAATAATTCTAAATCCTTCAGGTATGTCTAGAATTTTATATAGAAACGTATTACTAAACAATTAGGAACTTATAGATAAGAGAATTATATTTAAAAAATGATTAATGCTTACCAGATACAAAAATAGTTTGTTCAATTGAATCACAACCAAGAACATTGCAAGCTTGGGCCCTGAGAGTTCCAGTTGTTTCAATCCATATGGTGACTAAAGATGTGGTTTTTGTTACATCCGTTTCAGTTGATATATTCTAGTAAAAATTTAATTTATATTACTAATCTTTTATCAACACCATATATTAGAAAATAGCTCAAAAAAATTTAATATTCGTACTTACTGTGATAGGTTTAAAAGCTGATTTTTTTACAGATGATAAATCGTTATTAAGATGTTGTGCAAAACTCCAAGTAATATTTGGTGGAGGAAAAGCTGCAGCATGGCATTCAATTTTCGCTAGAGTATGAGGCATGTAGTAAGGCTGGACTCGCTTTAGGTCATCTATCAACGGTTTAGCTGTAAATAGAAGACTTTTAGTTATTGAAATTTCCGCATTAATATATTGAATAAAAAGACAAAAAAGAAAATTAATAACTTACACAATACTTCTAAGGTGAAATTTAATGTTACAAGCTTGTCAGTTACAGATGCAACAAGTGTATATAAACCCATATCATCAACAGTTAAACTATTTATTCTTAGCATAGTTGAAGTTGCAGTTGTATTTACTCCACGTTTTGGATCATTCCAAGGGCTTGTTATCACTCGTTCTTTTGGATCTAACCTGATATAATTATTAAATATAATACATTATCAACGCTTAATTCGATAATAAATGTATATCAATTTTTTCTAAGACAATAAAGATAAAATGTTTACCATTTCAATTTAGGAGGTGGATATGCATCTACGTCTACTACCCACGTAATTTTTTCACCATAGTTCTTCTGATAATGTTTCTCAGGATTTTGGGGTACAAGATTGATGTATTTATTAGCTGGATCATGTACTGTAATATTTGTTTTAGTTGTTCTAGTTGCTGAAAATGTTTTTACAGTACACGCATATTCTCCTTCATCCTCATAAGCAACATCCTTAATTACTAATTCATTGGTGGCAATCATTGTATTAGTTCCGAATGCTTTTCTTGAGAAAATTGTTGATATTCTACTTGACTATGGACATTGAACAGAAGAAGATTGATTGATTTGTTTTATTATGGAATTAAAAAATTACTATAGCTTCATAATTGATACCTCCTGAGGAGTAGTCCAATTCATTGTCATCAGTATATCACGATCAATATCAATCGTGCAATTGACTCGAAGTTCTTGACCCCGAACAACATGACGCAATGTATTTTCTATTATTTTTGGTTGATTAAGCAGACGTTGTCTTCCTGATTTTTAATTCAATTATTTAATAGATCAATATTTTGTGAGTTTTCATGCATAAGAAAATTGATTCAAGAGTTACCGAGTTAAAATACTTACTAATAACAGAAAGATGAAAATTAACTTCTTGCTCATCATCATCATCATTTCGAATAACACATCTGAAGTATCCACTATCTTTTAGAGTGATATTTTTTAAAGTAAATCCTAACTTTGGATCATAAGATACTTTGGAGTTTTCATAAACTTCCTGAAAAAATGAAAATTTAAGGAAAACTTAAATAAATAATCACAGCTAGTTGAATATAAGGAAAAAAATTTTGTCACTAACGCTGTCATAATTATCATAAAGCTGTACTGTATAAGATGGGGAAGTTGGGCGACATCCTAATATAACTGAATTTCCCGATTCCTCTTGTATTGATTCAAAATCTTCACTATTTACAAACCAACTTGTATTTGCTGAAAATATTTAAAAAAGTTTTAAGAAAAATATCGTTACTATTTATAAAACACGTATATGTTGCTTACATTTAACATAAACATAGGTCCATTTGACGTCAGGATCATCGTAAGAGTTAGGTGTGATCTTTACGTCAACGTCAGCACATCCATACCATCCAGTATCTCCATGAACAGTAGAATCTCTTTTTAATGTAGCACTCAGTATTCCTGCGGCATCATCTTCGTGTATAACAACTGGAGATGTGTAATACTACAACGATGATATGTTTTTTAAAGTTACTTAAGAAATAATTAATTATTTTATTATAATATTAATACAAACCTGAATAGATATATTAGATGGATAATAAAATTGCATTTTTTTGAAACTCAAACATTTTATCTCCAACGGATCACCTTCGTTTAAATAAATTTCCGAAACATCCGGCAGCATATCTGGAGGGAAGGCTAAATAAACTGCAAAAATAGATATTATCTTTAGAATGAATAAACAAGAAAATTAAATGTAGCGTAAACATATAAAATCATCACTGAAATATTTTCTACAATTTTTCCCTCTCATTTTTTACGTTAAGTAATTAGTTATGAAGTTCATACGATTTCTCATCGTGTTTATATTTTATGTTTTCGGTCTGATAAGCTTCGACACAAAACACGTGCTACGTTTTAAGTTCCATGAACGTGCTACTAGTGCATTAGTTTTTAGAGGAAGCTTTCTTTCCTTTTTCGATAAAGTGTTTATCAAATCCGTTTCCATCCTATCATCTTAATGATTGGTAGCTACTCATATTAGAAATTCTCATAATATTTTAAATCGCACACAAAATAATATAAATACTTGATATTAACATATTTGCTATAATAATTTAAAAATAAAATAATACAAATAACTTTATTAATTAGAATTTTCTAAACAATGTTCATTTTAAAAAAAAAACCCTCCAAAAATTGGTAATCTAATCAACAGATGCTGAATATCAGAACGGATGCCTCTCTTTAGATGTTGACAGTAAATAATCAAGCATACATGGACTCCCTATGTCCAAGAGACTGATGTGAGATAATAAATATTTGAAAAATAAATGGCCCGTTTATTATCACTCCACCCTTCAATGTATCTTTTTAATCTATTGACTAACAGCAACATTTCATATCACATAAATATTGTAATATAAATGATAAATGATTTTAATTACAATAATCATATTGAAGTAGCATCAATCATTTACTATTTAAAAATGATGTTAATAGTCAAATAAAATTTCCAAATGGATTTACATCAAACAAAAATTAATGTAATGATATTTTTTATAGTATTAATAAAATAAATGTATCTTATCAACATCATTTCCAATCGATGCAATCATTCGTTCATCGATGATTCATAGCATAAAAAAATGAAAAAAAAGTTAGTCTAAAGTTATGAATGAATAATGACATTCAACCAGCAACTATTGAGGTCAAAATTAAAGTGAATTCAATGCATGTATGTTTTAAAGTATTATCATCAGAAAAAGTTCAACTACAAAATATGTAAAGAATTTCTACAGTCGGTTTTTCCCAAATTCGAAGGTCGTAACTGACTGATTCAGTGAGTAAAACGTGTGGTATAGTCAATGATTTTACAGGTGAATGCGCGTTTATTTGTGATAGTGATTCAACCGATGTAGGTATCGTACCATGTGACCAATCCCAATACACTACTGTTTAGTATTTCATTATCGTGTCAACACGTATTTAGCCTATTGAAACTGATTCAATTGGCATTAGAAATGTGGATACATTAGAAATATTCAGAGACTCACCCAAACATTGCGTCAAAAATACCACTGTAAAAGTATAATATTTTAATAAAATCATTTTTTAATTTTTTAACTAATTAATTAAATGCAAACACAAAAACATAGTCTAATGATCACCAAGAAATCATAATGGAAACATGACACAATTAAAACCTAATAGATCGGTAAATGAATGATAAAGTAAGAATGAGAAAGACTGGTTTCAAACCTTGGTGCAGTCTTCTCATTACTGATGCGTAAAGTATTTTCGAAGTGTGTGAAAGAAACTTGGAACCCCACCCTGGAGTCTTGATGTAACTTATCGGAGGAGGAGATTGTACGTCATCTAATCTATTGCTGCATAAACTTGTTATAATATTTTTTAATGAATTTAGTTATGACTAAGATTAGGATTCTATTAATTTTTTTTTTACTATTAATCTGTAAAAACTTGTGCAGATAAAACTTACGTAGATTTGAATTACTATGTGGCATCAAAATTAGAGGTGTTATAATGTACCAAAGAGAAACAGAATGATTATTATTGAATTGTTATTTTTTAATTAATTCTTATATCGTCTTATTAATGATTGAAATCAGCTTCTCACGACTTATAAATTAAAAAAAATTACTTTTGACATTAAAAGTAATTATGTTGTCATGATAAAAATTGATAAACATATTCTTCAGCATCAGGAATCAGATTTCAGCTCCAGAGTGCCTTTACACCTGGCATAGTACTATGGCGGAGAATTTACAGCTTCATAAAAAAATTTATAACGATTATGTAACGAATCCCATGAGCTGGAAATTTATACTCACGTTTTTCAGATGCTCCAAGATTGTATACATCAAGTTTCAGCTTTCTATCTGCTTTAGTTTACCATTAATTTACGAAAAATCATTTATATCTGTAAGTGGATGGGACCAACAGGATTTTTGCAGTGCATCCGGGAAAATTATTATTTTTGCACGCGTTCTTCGTTATCTACTGAGTTCTAATTGATATCAAGCTTCTGCCTTCTGCCACACAACGCCACGGTGAAAAATCAAATTTTCTGACTCGAATCTAACCTGCATTTTATTATTTATAGGTGTCGTGATTATCACTGATGGCGAAAAATTCAATGCAAATTGAGCCATTTTTATGGTTGTATAATTACGATTTTAAAAACAACTAGATTTTTCTTTGTACATATTGCATTTTATCAGTTTTATTCAAGAATTCTTTCTTACACTCGTAGAATCTGGCTGGCTAATAAATATTAACCTATCCTGTTTACAATATACGACTCTAAAACGTATCTTTCGAATTCTTCGTCTTACTGCGTATAATTTTTTGCCAATTATTAATTATTAACATACAGATTAGACAGGAAATTTAATCATTCATTTGTGCATTTATCAAACGATTGATAGTTATCCCTAATAACTAACCAACTTTTTCACGTAAGTATATTATAACTTACAAATACATAAAGCCGGTAAAAGATATTATTCATGCTACGAAAAAAAATAATTCGACAGTTTACTATTTGTGTAGCTTGCTTGTTTTAGTAATGAAAATTTTAAAAAATAGAATTCATTATGAAAGAAAATAAAACATATTCTTATTTATGTTTAAATTTGACAGAATGTCGACATCTTATGAAGAGGAAAAACTCTCTGTTTTGCGGGAGTTTTTCGAGAAAAGCATGAAAAATCCAGAAATGTTAAACTCACCTCAGCTAAGCTTTGTAAAAGAATTTATTGAACATTTTGGTGGTCACATACCTGAAAAACGACCTAAAACTACCCCTAAAGCAGAAACAAAGCCTGATCCTGAAGTGGAATCTGAAAAATCAGTGGAATCAGAACCAGAGAGTGAAGAAAGTGAACTTGAATTGGATAATACTGGAGTAATTGGTAACATCATTGAATTTATCCACTATTCATAAATATATTCTCAATATTATCACGAAATATAAATTTGATTTATATTTATTTATTATTTAGAGCCTGACAATGATCCTCCTCAGGAAATGGGAGATTTAACTCTCGAACCATCTGAAGAAGCTATTGCTGAAGCTCAAGGTAAAAGGTCGGAAGCAGTTTCTGCATTTGTTGAAAAAGATTATGCCAAGGCCATTCAACTTTACACCGAAGCAATTAAACTTAATCCACAAGCTGCTCTTCTTTATGCCAAACGTGGACAAATCTTTTTATTACAAAATAAACCTAATGCATGTATTCGTGATTGCAACAGAGCAATTGAATTAAATCCTGACAGTGCAGCAGCTCATAAATTCCGTGGACGGGCAAATCAACTTTTAGGCAAATGGGAAGAAGCTGCTCAAGACTTAAGGCTGGCCTGTAAAATTGATTTCGATGAGCAAGCAGATGAATGGCTTCGCGAAGTAACGCCAAACGTAAGTAACAATGGTTTTTTAAATTATTTTTATGCTTCAATATTAAATAGAATAATAATATGTTATTATAACACATAAAAAAATTTATTTTTCTAATATGCTAGAAATTGAACTTAAAATCTAAACAGATTATTATCTCATAATGATGAAATAAATACGATTTTTATGGTAATAATATTATATTATTAAAAACAAAAATCATGATTGAAAAGTGACAATAAGTGGATTTTATATTTTACAATGTATGCATGAAAACAAGTGTACGAGATAATACGCAAACTATTAAACTATAGTAGCCATTATTTTTGGCTTTTAGTGTATAGCAATAATATATGCTACAAAAATGCATATACATAATAGCAAAAACAAACATTTTGATAAAATTAATTAATCATCTATGATAATTCATAGAATGTTCAAAATTCCTCGTATCATCATACAAACACATAAGTACTTTATCTATAAGATATTAAATTGATTGAAAAAGTCAAACGAGCTCTTGAGCGATATTAATTATGGAAGTAATCACAGATGGTTGGTGGAGTAACTTCCAAATCACTATCAACTACCAAAATTAATAACAATACATAATGAGCAGATTGAACAGTAGAGTTTTTCTCTTCTTTTAACTTTTAAATGGAATATGAGAAAACATGAACATACTGATCGTATTTTTTTACTATTGAAGATCTCCACACTTAGCTGCCTGCAGCAAAACGTGGAAATGATTAACTTTAAGAAAAACATCAAGAATATCAACAAGTTCCATACCGCAAAAAGTTGACACGTCGAGAAATGATTTTACGTTTTTTAGGCTGGAATAATTTGGATGTTGATAAACTCGACGATTTATATAAGAGCTTTGCTCTTGTGTGTCATTTCTCGTACATTCATGATTATACTTCAACTTACAGACTGGTTTTCTTCTTGCTGTATTGCTGCTTCTACAGATTTTTTATATTTACCAACTAATTCAGGGAGATCATAAGCAATGGCCACATCGAGTCTGTTTATTGGGCAACCACGGAAATATGTGCAAGTTGAACTAAGTAATGGAAATTCGTAGAGATTGTTGAGACGGAAAAAGTCGCGGTAGACATCAGGATCTGGCAAGTCATAGCGAGAAATGTTGGTTAAAGTACTTAATCCTTCATAAATATGATACTCTTGTGGATTTTCAATAATTCTATCACTAATTTCCTTTTTGCTACCGAAGAACGATTTATGGTTGTAATAGGTTGTTAAGTAGCAATCCACCATCTTTGCATGATTACGAACTCTCACCTGAAATTCATTTATTTTCAAGTTAAATGCATAGTATGAATTATCTTCAAAATAATATTCAACTTACAGCAAATCTTCTTGCACTAGCAATTTTATGTTCTACTCTTTTGTCGATTGCCGACCGTAAGTCCCTAAGAAAAGCACGCTCTTGAGCATACAAAAGACGAGTAGGTGCTCCAGCTTCATATGGCATTGACCAAAGTGAAGTTGAATACATAATTGGTGGTTCAGCACTTGACATTAATGGTGAAATATTCCATATTAAAGCTCCTTGGACTCTCATTAACTCTTCTGGTTTTACTTGATCAGCTTTATTTAAAATTATTCTCGTCTAAAACAAAAATATGAATATAAAATAATAATTTCAAACAAAGTTTATTGCTAGGTAATAAAGTTCATACCTGATATTCTCTTCCCTTGAGCTGATCTAAAATAGCTTCAGTTTCTGGACCGACATCTAATTTAGAGGGATCATAAACTAAGAAAATAATGTCTGCTCTATCAATAAACCATTGACAGGCATCATTGAAAGGAAATAATCGTTGAACCTGTTTTCTTATTTCTAAAATTCCTGGAATTTCTACAATGTTTATCTGTAAAAATCATAAATATTAATTCGTTGTCGTAATATATCTTAAAATATTTTTTCATCAAACGAATTGATACCTTTTCAAGTAATTTGTTATTAAGTTTTAATCCTCTCAAACGGTCAAGTAGTCCTTGCCCAAATTTTTGAAGACCTGAAAAAGTCCAATCTGCTGCTAATTGAGTACCATCTAATACCTCTTCTTCTTCTCCATGCATGAGAATATTAAAGTAGGCTGGTGATGGTTCAGCACCTGCATCAGTTATCATTAATTAATTTTTATTCCATTTTTCTCAATGATATTTATTTACCTGTTCTTAATGCTGTTTGTTTGTATTCAATATCAAGAAGATAATTAATGATAGAGGATTTTCCACCACTCCAAGGACCCATAAATAGTACTAACGGCTTTGAAAATATTTCAGGATCTCCAAAGTGTCTATTACTCAAATCTCTATATTTGTAAAGAGTTTCTAAAGGTTTGATAGCGGTATCGTACAATCTTTTTAATTCTTTCAAAACGATATCCGCAACTTTAGCTATAGCTGCTTCTTTTTCTGCATTATCCTGATCTAATCTAAGTATTTGATTCACATGATCTCGAGGCCTCAGATTTTCTGGAATTTCAATTTCTTGAATTAAATCTTCTTCTGGAGTTGGTTCTGTTACTTCTTTAGAATCTTTTTCTTCTTCTCCTTCAAAAATAAAAAGTTTCAAAAATGGATATCAATATTATTTTAATAATTATATCTATTTTTTTACCTTCTCCTGATTTTTCTGCAGATTCTGCTTCTGTAGTCTCTTCTTTTTCAGCTTCTTTACTTGTTTCAGTAGCTTCATCTTGTTCTTGAGTAGCATCTTCCATGCTTTTAGCAGCTTTCTCATCACTCACATGAGCTTCCTCAGATTCTATTGGTTTCTCACTAGATACCGTGTCCGATTCTTTAGATTCAACAGGTTCATCAGCTTGCTCTGTACTTTGTTTATCTTCCTCTGTATTAACTTGTTCTTCTTCACTGTGAGCCTTATCTACATTTTCTTCACCACTTACTTCAGCAGTGTTTTGGGTTTCTGTTGATTCAGTAGCCTGTTCTGTAGACTTTTCTTCCACTTCAAGATTCTCAGTCTTTTCTACACTACCATCATCTTCTTTCGTTGTAGCTTCACTCTCCGAATCAACTTGATCAACAGCTGCTTCTTCAGCTTCATTACTCACTTCTTTTTCTCCCTCTTCTTCAACTGATTGTGCAGCTACTTCAACAGTATTTTCACCTGAATCTGCCTCTTCTGCTATAACTGCTTCAGTTGCTTCTTGTTCAGCTTCTTCAGTTTCCTCCTTGTCGTCGTCTTTTTTTTCATCTTCTTCGTCTTCTTGTCTACTCATTTCTTTTTCAGTTTCGGTCGATTGAGTTTCGTCATCTTCCTGAATTTCTTTAGTTGTTTCGGATTGTGCTTCAGTTGATGCATCAACATTCTCGTGGGTTTCGTCGATTGTTTCGGCTGTGTCTATAATATTTAAAAGATGAAAACTTATTCTTGTATTTAAATAAAAATCAATATAATTATTATCTCTTTAGTTACCTATTTCAGTAGCCTCAGTAGTTTGATCTTCCTTAGAATCAGTTGCTTCTGCACTTTTTACATTTTCTGCTGATTGATCTTCTAATTTGGTTTCACTTTGTTCTTCAGATTGTTGCGCTTGGTCATCAACTTCCTCTAGAGTCTCTGTCGTTACGTCTTGTTTATTTTCGGCAGATTCTTCTGAGGCATTTTCTTGACTTTCGTCTTCATGCTATTATCAAATTAATATCTTTATATTGATGATTATTTTTAACCAATTTAGAAATGAAAGAAAAATTTACCTGTTCGTCATCCTGTTCCTTCGATTCTCCTTCCTCTTCTTGACTCACAGTAACATCTTCAGCAACTTTTTCAGGCCCATTTTCATCTTCTTTACTGCCTCCATCAATAATCCCTTAGCAGAAAAATTTGTAAATTCAATTGATCTTCTCAGCGATGCCATTTATCATAATATTTATTACCTGTATCACGATCTTTTAAAGCTTTTTCAATGTAAGGTCTACATTTGATCTCTGAAGGCAGTTCTTCCTCTTCATTTTCACCTTGTACACCTAATATAAATTAATCTTTTTAATATTCATTATAAATAAAAAGAGAATTTTTATTGAAAAAATGTAAAAAGGTATGTAAAACTATAGACATAAATAGAAAAGTCTAAAATCTGTGATTGACCAAAATATCTGACCTACTATTACTACCACCACCAAGTGACGTAAATCTCATATGTTAGTAAAATAAGCTCAATTTACTTGTTACTAGTTACCACTTTTATCTATCTCTTACTGGTGAAATTTTTGTTAAATAATATATACTATAGCTTCTTGCTGACAGGTGTTTGTTCACCAATTGCTTAACAAATAACAGTTGTAGACCAATTTACAATTGACCTATGTGTAACCCTGATGTTAGCGACGCATACCACTCTCAGCCAAGAATTCTGTAAGACTCAGACTCATAAGCTTTGGTCAAAATACCAACTTGTTGGATCTCAATGAACTTTAACAGTGATCTTAATCACGGACATGACACAAATTTCAATTTCTGCTGACATGATTATCTATCAAACATCAAGAGAGAAAAAAATAGAATAGAATATCAATATTATGATACATCTAATAGCTTAGATCAATGAAAGATAATAACAAAAGTGATAGAAAAGTTTCGAATAAATTACAAATTAACTGGCAAGCTTGTGCTTCAACATCTAAGTTTAGATAGCCGAGTAGGCGGTTTCACGGGCCGAGAGCATACGCATAAGAAATATTTGTATACATGTATAACTAGTAACACGAAGAAGCCATCTTCTTCTTGAGGTTTACCTCAATTATGTATATTTTTATATTGCACATTTTTGTTATTTCAATTCAATTAACTCACAGATATTTATTTATATCCTCATTGACTTGGGTATTTTTCTAACAAACACATCCAAAAATAATTTCAATAAAATGTGTGAATGCTCATCTTAATGAAGATTATTTTATGTATCAGATAGACAAATAAATATTTAAACAATTTAAATTATATCATCATCTATAGCAGAATGATTTAAAAAAAAAAAAAAAATTGGCTTCAAAAAAATGAAATAAAGATTTGTAAATAGTGATTTATTAGCCACGAAATTAGATGATCAGAAAGCAAACCTTACATAACATTGACCTTCGTCAGTAAATCGTCATCTTTACGTCAATTTGACGACATCTCATCCAATGTTGACATTGCAAATGTTCAAAAAATTTATTCCATCTCAAATGAATAATTTTTAATTAAACTCAAGGCGAACTCCATGTAATCACTTAGCTATTTAATCAGATATGATGATTTGGAAAATAGTGATAGTTTTTTGTGATGATAAATCGGTGAAATAATTATTTTTATTAAATATATTTATGGTGTTGAATTGGAATGATAATGATACCAACTCACCTTGAAAAGAATTAGCAGCTATAAGGGCAAGTATAAGGCCCACAATGACAACGGGCCTTAGACGTGCTGAGCCCGTCATCCCGTCGTCGTTTCACTACTACTAAACACACTACACGCAATGGTCTGACTGTCGAGGACAGGGCGCACTTTACACTAGAGATAGTCGTGTTCAACCTCGCACTCACAATAATCTACTGTCGACTTGAACTGCAACGTCTGCAGAACCCTCTCGCACTTTTGAGATATTTACCAACTCTGTTTCTCTTCTCCTTGTCTTCTTACTAAATCTGCCTAATGCAATCGTTTGTTCTTCTACTTCTCTTTACTTACTATTCACGATTTAAAATTTTTTTTTCATTTTTCAAATTGTATTCTAAATTTATTCTTGTTTATTTATTTAATCTCTAGATTTTTAAATTATTTATAAATCAAATAAATGTTCGAAAAATTTTAATTCATACACTTAGATTTGTTATTTTAAAAAAAATATCTATTGTTATGGATAATGGATACCAATTACATAAACTTATAAAAGTGCAACTGTTTATAAATTTAAAAATAACATGGCCTAATTTTTCTAACAGCATCTTTCTGACAGCCGGTATCTGTCAACAATTTTATCTGTGAGACAGTTTTTTTTTAACATAAAACCAAAATAGCTTGACTATAGTAATAATAGAAGTTGAAAACAATTAAAATGTCGTCATATAAAATTTTTTATATCAGAAAGGTCTGAGTTGGTTTATGTTTTTGGCTGCTTACAAATTTCTTATGATACATATTACGTAGGCCAATAGAGTTAGTCTATTATTTAATTATTTACGTCACAGAAGATTGTAAAAATGATCTATTAATAATTTTAGTTGGATTCTATATGAAAACTTACAAGGCAATACGATTTGTCATCAACATCATCAGCAGAAAGAAAAGTCAAAGAACTCTAGGAAATATAATGTAACATAGAAAAGAATGTTGCAAAGAGTACTGGTACGAGTGACTATAAAATATAGATGAAATGTCTCTGGGGACAAGGTTTTCCGTACAGTAATATGTTTTACACTTTTACAGTGGAGCCGATCTCGACGCTGAGCGCCTTTATATTTAGATGTGTCCGGGCCGTCACCGTATATGGTGGCCCCTCATGCACAAATTCACCCCTCTCTCGTCGACCCCCTTCGATATTTCTACTTTTGACTATTTTGCATCGACCCCTGACCGAGTGAATTGCCTTGATGAACGCGCCGAATCATTTTCAGCGTCTGATGACTAAATTCCTCACTTTTAAATACAACCCGAAAATATTCTTACAACACTTACCAACATGACAATAAAAGAAATAAAAATACTTATTTATATTGTAGTACCTTTGGATGTTATCGTTTGAAATTTTTGGCAATAACATTCACTAAAAGTAACATTTGAGGATAACTAATGACATCATAGTTGTGTATTTCAGTCGTTGACCGTCAATCTTTGTGAAAAATTATTCGTCTTATTAATAAAATATTTTGTCAATTCCAGTGTGTTCAATAATTCATTTATAATTTTTCTTATTTCAGGCTCGTAAAATAGAAGAACACAAAAGAAAGATGCAGCGTAAGATGGTAGAAAAAGCTGCAAAACAACGTGAAGAAGCATTGAAAAAGGCTCAAAAAGAAGCTAGCAAAGCTCATGAACAATCCAGCTCTCAAAGTACTCCATTCACCGAAGGTGCCAGTGGTAATAAACCTTTTATCAGTGATTTCTACCAATATCTAAAGGATCCAGAAGTTGCAGAGGCTTTCCAGGTAAATTATTCATACGCTTGACAATAGCGAAATGATATGGAAATTTAACTTTCTTTTTTAATTATAAAAGGATCCTGAAGTATCGGCAGCTTTTATGGACATTTCATCAAATTCAGCTAATATTTTCAAATATCAGAAGAATCCCAAGATAATGAATTTGGTAAATAAAGTTTTATCGAAATTCGTTGGTGGTGGTGGTGGTATGGCAGGTGGTATGCCTGGATTTTTCCCTGGTGCCACAAATACTTCAACTCCACCAACAAGTGGTGGTGATGATGTTGGTCTTGATTGAATATTATAATTTCATACATAAATACTTCGTCCACACTGCCATGCCACTAACATAGTTGTAGCAGTAATGATACAGTGTTGACAAATATTTTAATGTATCTAGAGGTATGGAGAAATTAACTATATGGTTTCTAATTTTAATTATACTTCTGTATAACATTTTTACTCATTTTGCATTTAAAAAACATATATTTACGTTACAATATTTAAAATTCAAGTAGCTTGTTACGCTATAAAATACATTCAGGCATTTACAGAGTTTTAAAAACTACTGTAGCAAAAGTTCTTTATATTTCAAAATGTATAAAAAAAGGTTGAATAATAAACCAATCATATAACAACAGCGATTTTTATTTTTTATTTATAAATCAACGTTTTTGATTGCTTAATTATTTAGTCAAATACTTTTTTATTTTTAATAATATTAACAAAAAATAAAATATAATATATACAAAATAGTTACATAAAAACGGAAAATATTATTTACCCGTTGTATCTTGTGACCCATAAATAGTTGTTTTAACACATTTTCTAGAGTTATAAAATTTGAGTATTACATTATTTATCTGTACATTTAAGTAGTATTAAGTAAAGCTTAAATTGTACGTTTAAAAAAATATTGCTCTATATTAATTATTGAATATTACAACAATTACATTTGTCTGGTATTAAGCATGTGTAAATTTGGGTGCCATGGCACTTTTCTGAAAGTTGGTGTTTTACACCTCATCTCATTCCCACAAGTATTGCCGTTATCTTGGTCATAATTATTTGCAATCATTATTCTGATATACGAATCAATATTGTCCTCATTAGTACAACTAATATTGTGTGAAAATTCACCAAAATTATTCGCAGTTTGATACCGATAATTATTAAAGCAATGGTGGTGATGATGATGATGATGATAATTGTCAAAATTGGAAACACTTCTCAGAGGATTAATCCCACTAACTGTTGAATTATTTTGCAAATATAACCAACTTTCACTGTCTATATACGGGTGAACTGAGGGATAAAAATCATTAGTGATTAAAGCGTTGGGATTGCAGACAATATCATTTGACATTATTTGTCGGTGGGCAGTAGTAGCAGTAGTGTGATCTTCATTACATAGATTCAATACTACGGTCTTTTTTTCTTTCTTACGATGATGTTTAAACTTTGGAGATTTTGAATATACTCTGAAATCATAAAAAAATTGCATTTATTTTATTATAATAATATTTTTTATAGATTTATTTAATTTATGATTCAATACTCACAAATTTTGATTTCGCAAGTCCCGTTGTCAGTTAAGTGGTAAATCAATCCTCAAATTTTTGTAACATTTAGTCCAAATCTCAAGCAGTAATACACAACTGTGAAATCTGTAGAATACTAATAATGGTACACAGATTCTAGAAACAATTCCCCAAGCTAATACACCAAAGAATCTTAATTGAAGTTCTTGAGATATCCAATTTTGTGTAACTACAGTATCAAAAGCCCATAGAACTGCATTACTAAAAAGAAGGAATGTAACAACTTGTCGTGCTGGCTTTGTCATTATTTGACATCTCGTAATGCACGATCGTTTTGAAGCCTCAGCTATTAAAGTACTTTGAGCAAAACATTGTATAAGTTGAAGTAGGGAAGCTGTTAAAAGCATTACATGCCGACCTCGAGTATCAAGTTCATTACTGGTATCAACCGTCGCTAAAAAACAAGCACAAACAACTGCAGTAAAAATGGAATGGAGTTGAACACCAAACAGGGCAACATTAGATAAAATATTGTCCAATGATGATAGCGATCGGGAAACCACAGACATTTGTTTCACTTGAATTAATCCACTGATTGTCATAATTGTACTTAATGCTAATATTCCAATTAATGTACCACACGTCAACCATGATAATGTAGCTGGTGGAAAATTTTCATCTTCACGGACAACAAGAAAAATAAGAATCACTACAATTCCTGCGGTCATGCTGAGAATTCCAAGAAATAAGCCTTTACTAGCACCATCGCAACCTACTTTTGGATGTCCGGCAGCAAAGTCTTTCACGCTGTGAAATTTTTGTTTATGTGAAAAACGATTTCTACCAACATTTTGACCCATTACAAATGTTACAGCTGCTGCTATCAGACTAAAAAAAAAGATGATTGTAATGTTGTTAATAAAAAACCTTGATAGAGTTGAAATAATTACCTGAACTGAACGATAAATGGGTAGAGAAATGATATGCTAGATGTCCATAATTGTCCGAGAGTATTAGTGTTAAAGCATTCTTGGAGAGTTATTATTTGAGCTATTTTTTCATCTGAAATAGGCTGGTATTTTCTCAAATATTCTGTTGAACTTTCTGTAATATCGAAATAATTGTTAATAAATTAACTAGGTGTTTATTAAATTTATTATTTTCATACCTATAGTATCTCGAGTTACTCGTATGACAGTAGTAGATTCAGGATTTGATTCTTGTTGATGTAATGAAGATGATAATAGCTCATTTTCTTTCTGATTGCTTAAATGAATGAAATATGTCCACTCTTGAGCGGAATCCCAAATGATAAGACGAGCCCAAACTGCAATATTAGTAGCAGCTAAATGAATAAAACCAAATCTTGCTGCTAATCCAAAACGCTCTACTAATACCTAAAATTTATTTTAAGGAAAAATTAATTTTCATAAATTAGAAAATTAATATCCGACTTATTAATTAAGAAACATATAATTTACTTACTTGTGAATTTACAAAAAGAAAATGCATTTGCAGAAATGTGAACATCCCATGAAGTACAGGATGAACAAAAACTATATCATTAAGACATTCAGATCCTTGCATCATAGAATGCATTGCCATTTCTAGACCATTAAAAACGAGAGTTGCAAGGCCGAACACTGAAATTTATTTTTTAGAAATCATATAAGTGAAATAAAATTATTGTTAATTCATTATTATGTGAATAATAATAAAAAACTTACACAGTGCTCCAATTCGAATATAAAAACTAGTCGGAGCAGTTTTAGTTCTAGAAATGTGTGCTCTTTTAAGTGAACCAAATCTAGTTAATGATGATGAGACACCACCAATTTCAATATCATCTCGACTTGATAGACTTGAACAGCTATCAACAAGGACCCAAAGATAAATACTTATGATGACAACAATACTGCCGACGTAAAGATACATTAAGAAAACGCTCTGAAAGAAATTGATTATTTAGTAAATAATAGTTTCTCTGTAAAATTGATTATTTATTTATAAATAACCCATGTTATTTCAATTTAAAGTGAAAAAAAATTCAATAATGACTGGTAAATTTCAACGGAATTTCCGGTTTAAATTTGTGATTAGTGGCACCAACTTTGTTAAATTACTTTTGAACAGATCGTGATTTCACTTTTCTATAAGAGCATAAGCGAATTAGAAATCGTATGATGCGATCGAGTGAGTAGATAGACGGCATCAACCGTAGGCTATTTCTTCGAACCCTTTTCAACGATTGCTGTATCAAAATCAACTACTCGAATAGAATAATATGAGTAATTTACAATTGTAAAGTAATTTTCTACAGTTTAAGAAAATACTGAAGCATTATTTTTTATTTTGAAAATTATTTTTACCTGAAGACTTAAAAGTGGTACTGGAGTATCTATTACTTCTGCTAGACATAGTGCCAGCATAAGAATTATAATAAGTTCTCCATAAACGTTTGACAAAACAATCCATAATTGCGAGCTAAAAAATAGTGTTCATTATTAATATTAACATTGATTGCCATATTTATTCAGTGAAACTTTACTTACTAAGGTTCTGAATGATCTAGAAGATCATCGGGAGATTTAGTTCTAGCAAGAATCCTTGAGACAAGTGATCTAGGTGGTACAGAAGTAGAAATGGGTTTTTCACTTGTAGCTGTTACTTCCGGTTCACTGCTTCCGTTTCTTACTCTTTCATTTCTATTAGAACTTTCAGGCTGGTTTCCCTCTGCTGTAACACCTCCTGCTGTGCTTCCGGTTTCATTTAAACTATCTTTATCATGAGGCTCGTTGTTTGCTGTAAAATAAATCATGTTAATTAATATTTTAGTGTATTAAAAAAAAAATTACTTAAAAATAAAACGTTAAAACCTTCTTGTTTTACAACAAAAACCAGAAGAAACCGATTTTTTAAAGCCAATTTTTCATGACTTTAATTGAAAAAATATAACGATAAATAATCATTTTTACTTTTACTTATTTCTGCTAATTGTTAGAAATATTTCAAGTTCTAATTTATTAATCTTATAAAAAAATATAACCAATCATTTACTATCAAGTTTTTAGAGCAAGAAAACTAATGCAAAGATCAAGATATAAAGTAATTTTTTATTTTTCTTTCTCTCTCAATCTCTTATTCTCAATAACTTACATTCTTTTCTAGCTTTCGTAACATTCGCATGATCTACTCAAGACGTACTATTATATACATTGGAATAAAATATGATGCCCACGAATCCGTGAAATTGATGCAGCAAGTGCGAGAGTGTATCGGTTGAGTGCTTTTATGCGGTAGCGATTTTTCTCTTTTAAAAATGCATAAAATAAGCAAAAGTTAAAATTTTAAAGGTGTAAATATAAAATAAAATTTATTAAGAGGAACTGAATTAATATTCATTGGATGTCTCATTTAATTAAAAAAAAGAAAAATGTTGAATCCAGTAAATAATTTTGTGGAATATTAAATACTAATTTAATATGATAATTGTGTGATAATGAGCATGTAATATTTATAAGTAATATGCAAGAAAAAAGCAAGAAAATGATACATTGTAATATATTACACAAACTCTTTCAGATATTATTGATGTGACTGATGGAATAATTTAAACATAAATACTTTTATAATAAAAGTAAAAATACCTTTCAATCAAATTGCTTCACACTTTTTTTCATAATTAAATTCTTCAATAATTAAAATAAGCATCAAAATATTTAGGGATTCTGTTTTCAAGATTATATGTAAATAATAATTTTAAATAATGTTTTCATCTAGTTCGAATATTTTTAAGTATACCTATAAACATATAAATGCTCTTCTTTAAAATAAATTATTTTCCAACTGTAAATTTAAAGAATGTCAAGAACAAGATGAGGAGGAGGAAAGTAATGTAACAACAAGACAGCGCTCCAAATGGACATCATCATTGGACCATCATCATTCGTGGTGGCTAACGACACAAAATCTACTTTACTATGTAACGGCAGAGATGATATAACGGAATACAATATAATGTAAGAAAAATGTAAGTGACTAGAATTTAAAATAACGTTTCACATTAGCACTTGATTTAAATCAAACAGTTATAATCTAATTAAAATTTAATATCACATTTATTTTATTTACTTTTAAAATTCCATTCAATGATATTGGATTTTACTCCAACATAGAAAATATTATTTTGTAAATTAACATTCATTCAATTTAGAGAAGCAAAAGCGTCACAATTTATATTAAAAACTGATGTAAAGCATTAATCTAGGTCAGGTGATTGTCTTCTATCGAATGCCATGATGAGTTGTAAATAGAACGTGACTTTCCCTAAAATTTAAGTTTCAAATAAAAATATTTAGCCTTAATCATCAAATTAAATTATATGTGAAGTAATAATAACATCATTTAGCGATTGTTAGTGACAAATTGATACTATTTTATGAATAGTCAGTATGTTTAATGATTAAGACATTTTATCTGATCATATATTTATGATTAGATGTAATGTTTTCAATAAATAATATATTATAAATGAAAATGACTATTCGTGATATGATAAATCTACTTTGTATGCACAACCAATCATCAGTATAACTATCTACCAGTCTAGCAATATTTCATCAGTATGTCAAAGTGTCTTGTATGCATAACGCATACTTTTCTACCGGTTCTTGTACCTTTTTTATTGCTCTTGGAGTAGTGATGGTTCTTACTTGTATCATAGTACCGTAAGAGTGGACCGTATAAATGAAGAAAAATTTTTTTTTCAAGTAAAACAGATGTTTTTTAAACTAATAAAATGCACATATGACTATAAAATGACTCATTTATATGATGTGGCTTGAACTATCAGAAAAATAAGCTATTCTAATCTTACCCTTTTCTTCATAGCAATTATTCTCATCTTTGATTGAATAGCCTGGTAATTTATTCTCTTCACAATGACTTGGATTATCTTCCCTTTCATCAAATTCTTCTAATTTTTTCTCATTATCATCTAAAAGATGAATTGTCCATTTCGGTCGTTGATGGATCTCCTGTTTTATAACTTCATCAACGTCTTTATTTCTTTGGAAAGTACCAACTTGACTGATTGAATCAACTACTGTAGACATCATATCATCTCCAGTGTAATCATCCATGTCATTCACGTACTCACATTCTTTTGCTGAATTTTTATAAATTTTACTGTAAGGTCCAACTACTCCAACAATACCTCGAGGTACAGAAACAGGATCATTCCAAGAGTTTTCTACTTTTTCAGGCTGCATATTTCTATCCATAGTTGATGTCTCTTCTACAATTTTTGGATAAACTGCCAACCACTTGGACACTTTAGTTTGTTCCCAATTAAAACTGGATTTACTTTGGTCTTGTAGCTTTTTATTTTTTTCAGTAAACTTTGGTTTTTCAACCACACTGTACAAAGGTTCGTCTAATGGTTCTACTTCTGCCACTCTAACTGCATTTATTGCAATTGAACCTTTTTTTAGTTTATCTCCATCTGTTGGTGTCTCATACTTTTCATCAAAAACTGTATAATTCGACTCCTTGATTGCAGAATTAATCCACCCAGGTCGGTCTCTTATATTTGATTCAGGTAATAACGATAACGCATTACAAGATAAACTGGACGACTTGTTCTGATTGTCACTGTCAATAACAACTGCACCAAGAAGAAATGCCGCTAGTTTGGCAACCATTTTCAATTAGACTTAACAATGTCACGGGAAGTCACGTATTGTCAAAGTTAACTGGAATTTGTTACGTGAGTTTTCATTCACACTTTAGGTATTCAAAATATTAAGTTTAAAATGAAATATCTTGATTATTATTAGAGTTATAAAAAACTTGATGTTCACGCCAATTGAGTCTCGATTAGATTGGCAGAAGACTGTTTCCTGGTGTAGTTTCACGGAAATAATGCAGAAAATGAAGTAGTAGTGAACAATAATGTTGATAAAATGGATTTAGTTCGCGTTCGTGATCTGAATGTCCAAAGTCTTTTGGAAAGACTTGAATATTTTATCACTTCCTTTTACAAAAGTCTATTTTTATTTATTTTCAAATTATGACTGAAATTTATTAGGCTAGCATGCTATTAAGGTCATCATTTTAAAATAATTAATGATGAATAAGTTATCCATAAATTCAATAAAGAAAATTTTAAATTAATCTTCTTTTCACTTGTCCAAGATGCCATTATCTTAGGATGTTGATTAAAAGATTTGATTGGAAATAAAATTTTAAACAGCTGTGCTATGAGAAACATATGCTTGATTAATAGTCAAGTGCTTTGATAATAACACTTAAAGACAGCACAAAAATTAAATTAATTAATTGCAAATGAACACTCGAGTATAATGATCATTATTTACGCTACTTAGATTCACATGAAATATATATATTTATGCTATTTCTCTGATGAATATCGTTTTGATACCATTTATCATTTTGTAAATTTCTTAAAAGCAATGTTATCTAAGTAAAAGACCAAATCCTAGTGTCTAGGACTTCAATGATGAAGTTAGCTATGACAAATTGATCCGTTATAAACGTTAATTTATAAATGTCCAAGTATTTTATAGAAAATTATTTCATTTGTATTCTGAACGAAGAAATATTTCAATATAATAAGATAACATTACTATTGTAATGTGTGTAAGTAAAATATACCTTTCAAGCAGAGTTAAGAGCATAAGGTAGTTATAACTCATTTTAAAGAGATACATACGCTATTGCTCTTCTCTCATGATGAGTACCATCTGGCATTCGAACTTGTGTGTGATTGACGAATCAGAAAAAAAATTTCTGCATGTTCATTTTATAATAATATAGTAGTGTTATATCCGACTACTGTGACCATAATGATGATTAACATTTCAAGTACAATTCATTATACTTGTGCTAAATTGATGATGGTGATATTGGATAATTGATACAAATAAACTAATATGAAATTGATGAAATATTCAATTGGAAGAAATTGAAAGGAGATGTCAAATCAACTTTTTTTTCTTCATATCAGACTACTTTAGATGCTTAACGGTAAAATCTACTTTCCCATCATGTATATAAGTAGTTTTTTTTTAATTCTAAATTTAAAATATTTATTCAAATGAAGATAAAAATTCCTGCTATAAACTCAAAAAAATACTGTATAAAATAAAACTATAGAACTATTTGTTTTTCAAGTAGTTATAGTTGAATGAAGCGGTAAGATTTGCACGAGTAATCATGGATAAAAAAAAGTTTACATCAATTTCTCGATAATTAATTTGCTTACGTAAAAACAAAGGAGAAAGTGATATATTTACATACATTATAAATAACTGTAAATACTTGAAACCGGAGGTAATTAAACCAAATTTCATAATTAAGAAAGATTGCATGCAAAATTATTATAGATCTTGCTATTACTCTGCTTACTTTCTACGTCAAGAGATAAACTAACAAACTGAATGTTAAATAAATTTAAATCTATTTACTTACTTGACTTAGCAGAGTTTGATTCCTCAATTGGTTGAAGTGATCTTGAACTTCGTGGCATTCTTATACTTTTTCCGCACAGAGACACTTGTGTTTATATGTGTGTCTTAAGGGTGTAATAACAGAAAACTGGTATTTCAACCTTTTTACCCGTTCTCAGCTTTTACTACTACTATTTACACATGTCACCTGAGCGTTGCTTATAATCAATAGAACAAATACACATTGTTTAACCATCATACCTTTTGAAAATGATTCATGATATTTTAAAAACATATTCAATTTTTACTTTCCCACTGCTACCACAAACTGTCTGGGTAAAAAGATAAATTTTTTATATTAAACAATCTGGTTTTAATTTATTCAATTTTAAAAAATAAATCGACTAGATATAATTAATTAAATGGTCAACAGTAATATTTCTTTCGTCAATTTGCATCACTTTCACTTGTTCATTCATTTTATAATTATCTAGTTGAAAACGATTTTTTTCTATTAAAACTTGAATTACTCATGAAATAAATCAACTTTGTTTATTTAGACATCTTTTTTATCCTCAGTTATTTCATACACGTTTGATGTTCACAGGTATATAGACAGTAATGAAATATCTCTTGGATCTTAGCTTCTTAAGATAACTCATGGCTGCTGCTGAGAAAAGCTATGATGCTTCAATGGAGGGGATTTATAGTTATAAGTCCGCATGAAGGATGGGGATTCTGTGTTGCTATTCCACTATTATATTGCCCCTCTCTCTATCCAATGCGAAACTTTTATTTCACTAAATTTTCATCTATAAATTTAAGTGCAATAAAATAAGTAATAAAATGTCAACAGCATTGGAAAGTTAAATAAACTATTCATTTTTGGTTCCATGCATTTTAATTGACTTGTAATAAGAATATTCATAGTTTTTAAACGAGAATGAAGATGATAAACAAGAGAAATTTGTATGAGTAGATTAACATAACAATAGTTTATTTTTATTTATTTTTTTTGCGATAGAGGGCAACTATGATACTTTCTGAAAACCCTATTTTGATATACTTTAACCTTTTTTTGTTTTTCCATATATTATTGAACATTGAAAATTTATCTAAAATGCTCAACAATTCTCGAAAGAGAAAAGCTTTTTCACCATTAAGTCTTACCTATCAATCTAAGTTAGCAAAAATAACAACAATTGATCCCAACTCAAATGATGGATCGTTATTATCTGAAAAATCTTGCAAGAATGATTTAACTCAGCATAAAATAAAAACTTTTTCAGAATGTTCGCCGGCAACACAGAATTATGTGAAAAATACTTGGGGTTCAGGTGATTTTTCAATACGTGTATAGTGTTGGAAAGTATTTAAAAAATATTATTTTACAGGTAACGTCAAAGAAAATAGTGGTGTATATAGTTCACCAAATATATCCAATGCATCTAAGAATCCTAATAATACAGTACTCGAAAAGAAAATAAAATATATACCTGATTGTTCACCGATGACGCAAAATATGATAGCAAACCATAGAGTAGAATATTTGGAACCACAAGAAGAATTGGATTTGTTAACTTGTTCCACAAATTTAAGTTCTACACCTCCAAAATTAAAAATAACAAACAATGTACAACTCTTTAGTTTCTCTGATGATTATAATGAGGAATTACAACATTGGGAACAAGAAAAGAATAAAGAAAATATCAATTTTTATTTTGACAGCAATATTGTAAAAGATTCTACATCACCGTTTAAGTTTTATTCTGTTCCTAGTAGCTTATCTAATAATAATTCCGACAGAGAAACCTTATTACTAAGTGGAGTTACATTCTTAAGTATTTCACAAACATCTAATTTTGAAAATGATCAATTGAATTTTGAAAAATTTTTATCGCAAGAAAGAAACAAATTGGAATTGAAAAATACTTCATATTTCTTATCAAATTTATCATCTGAATATGAGGAGTACGAAAAAAAAATATGGTGTGCCCCAAAAATAAAAATTCAAACTTATAATAATAACTTAGAAATAATGAATAGGGATAAAATACAACAATTAATTCTTAAAAACATTGAATTTTTAGAAATAGATTTATTTAATAACAGTAATTGATACAAAATTTTAATTATAAATTATTTAAATTGTCAAATTCATAGATTTGGTACTTTCATTAATTTAAAATTAGTAAACTATTGTTGTAAAGTAATAAATATTATTTTCTTACAGTGAATAAATAATTATCTCTTCTTAGAACCAAATCCAGAAAAGCCCATTATTGCTGCCATTTCATCAGACGGGCTACTTCCAGTTTCTTCATCAGCTAGTTCTTCCATTTTTCGCTTACGTTCTTTCCTTTTTTCTTTTCTGTATTCTTTGATTTTTTCTTCCTCTTCTTTCAATTCTTTGACACGTTGCTCCAAATCATAATCTTTTCTTTTTTCTTCTAATTTTTTTTTGTTCAAAGCAAATCGAGCTTTCACTTGGTCTAATGTTGATCTTTCTATTTTCATTGACATACCCAAATTACGTTGATCTACATATTAAAAAAAAACCAATATAACATTAGTTACTGAATAAATGTATAAATATATAATATAATTAATGAATATTATACTCACGTTTCGTTCCATTGATATGGTCCAAGAAATTGATTGAATCTTTGACAACGCAGTCACAAACATTGCAATAATATCCTCCAGTTTGTGAAGAAGGCGTATTTTTATTTATAACAACACTTTTACCAAGTTTGGATTCCAAATCAACTTTGTAATCTCTTTGCTTTAACAATTCTCTTTTCACAGCTGGCTGTTTAGGAATGCCTAATTCTTCCTCTGCTATTTCTTCTTGCAATCTTTGGAGTGCTAATCGTTCGTATTCCTCTCGATTCCATTTTCTTCTATGATCATCAGGTCTTTGCTATAAATAAACATATAAAAATATTAACATTAAATACACAAACGCTTTTTATGATTACAATTAGAAATAATCTTTCCAGCATTTACCGTCATTGTGATAGAAGTTGGATTTGTCAAAGTCTGAAGTTGATTTAACACTTGATATTTTTTTTATTGTTGTGTAAATATATACACTTCAGAGTCTAACCACAAACAAAATGAAACCAAGTTATTTGTTTTTTTTAACTAAGAACAAAGGATTCATCTATTAATCATGAAAGATCAATAAAATTGCTTTCGATTAAGATCAATTCACTATCGATACACTACGAATATTAGAAAATATTCAAAATTACAACACAATAAAATGAATAATTAAACAACTACTTTTTGCGCACCACGGACAATGATGTTATGAGAGAGCAGTATTGGACACTCATACGTGGCCACTGGCGTCGTCAAGATGCAGCGCCACAAGCGGTCAAGCCGGGAACCCGAAAACTAGATAATTTTCATTCAACAGTTGGCAAATACGTTGGCTCTCTCATAACATCATTGTCCGTGGTGCGCAAAAAGTAGTTGTTTAATTATTCATTTTATTGTGTTGTAATTTTGAATATTTTCTAATATTCGTAGTGTATTGATAGTGAATTGATCTTAATCGAAAGCAATTTTATTGATCTTTCATGATTAATAGATGAATCCTTTGTTCTTAGTTAAAAAAAACAAATAACTTGGTTTCATTTTGTTTGTGGTTAGACTCTGAAGTGTATATATTTACACAACAATAAAAAAAATATCAAGTGTTAAATCAACTTCAGACTTTGACAAATCCAACTTCTATCACAATGACGGTAAATACTGGAAAGATTATTTCTAATTGTAATCATAAAAAGCGTTTGTGTATTTAATGTTAATATTTTTATATGTTTATTTATAGCAAAGACCTGATGATCATAGAAGAAAATGGAATCGAGAGGAATACGAACGATTAGCACTCCAAAGATTGCAAGAAGAAATAGCAGAGGAAGAATTAGGCATTCCTAAACAGCCAGCTGTGAAAAGAGAATTGTTAAAGCAAAGAGATTACAAAGTTGATTTGGAATCCAAACTTGGTAAAAGTGTTGTTATAAATAAAAATACGCCTTCTTCACAAACTGGAGGATATTATTGCAATGTTTGTGACTGCGTTGTCAAAGATTCAATTAATTTCTTGGACCATATCAATGGAACGAAACGTGAGTATAATATTCATTAATTATATTATATATTTATACATTTATTCAGTAACTGATGTTATATTGGTTTTTTTTTAATATGTAGATCAACGTAATTTGGGTATGTCAATGAAAATAGAAAGATCAACATTAGACCAAGTGAAAGCTCGATTTGCTTTGAACAAAAAAAAATTAGAAGAAAAGAGAAAAGATTATGATTTGGAGCAACGTGTCAAAGAATTGAAAGAAGAGGAAGAAAAAATCAAAGAATACAGAAAAGAAAAAAGGAAAGAACGTAAGCGAAAAATGGAAGAACTAGCTGATGAAGAAACTGGAAGTAGCCCGTCTGATGAAATGGCAGCAATAATGGGTTTTTCTGGATTTGGTTCTAAGAAGAGATAATTATTTATTCACTGTAGGAAAATAATATTTATTACTTTACAACAATAGTTTACTAATTTTAAATTAATGAAAGTACTAAATCTATGAATTTTACAATTTAAATAATTTATAATTAAAATTTTGTATCAATTACTGTTATTAAATAAATCTATTTCTAAAAATTCAATGTTTTTAAGAATTAATTGTTGTATTTTATCCCTATTCATTGTTTCTAAGTTATTATTATAATTTTGAATTTTTATTTTTGGAGCACACAATATTTTTTTTTCGTACTCCTCATATTCAGATGATAAATTTGATAAGAAATATGAAGTATTTTTTAATTTGTATCTTGTGATCCGTTATCAACGGTCGAAATGATTTTTATTCTTATTAAGTATCCAATCTCACATTTTTGAAGTTCTACCTTTACACCTTCCTAAAAATGAAATAATCATTGTACATCCTAAACCATCATATTTGAAAAATAATTGCAAATTCTATAATTTTTACAGTTCACCTTAAACTTCAAAATTCGAGATTGGGAACTCAATATGAATAAAAATCATTTCCGCCGTCGATAATTGCTCATAAGATACAAACCAAGCATTAATGCTCCCGAGTGTACCTCATTGACTACAAATGTTTTCAATGTATTCTTACCATCGTCGTTTCTCACCATTGATACGTTGATTTTTCCCAAGATTTGTCACAGAGAGAAACATGTACACAATTCATCTGAATTCTATTGCTACGAAATAACAAATATTAGATTAATAATAACTTTACCGTAATTCTAAACTTGTTATACATCATTGAAGTAAAATAAATCAATAATTTTATAAATACAATTTTATACTATGGTAATGGTGAAAAGAGAAAGAGTTTAATAATGGTGTATGACATGTGAGCAAATAGCGTTAAATACTTTAGAAATTAATATACCATGAAGTGGACATTTAATTTGATATTTATTGTTCAGTATTTCGTCCGAGCTATTAAATGGTAAAATGGTAAGTTTTAATTATTGTTAGTAACGTTTGCGGCTTTTTTTTAATAATTAACCTCTCTTAGGGTGCAAATATATCTCAATTAGAAAGAAATATCGGAGCCGATCAGTTTCCTCCTAATGAACATTATTTTGGTTTAGTTAATGTGAGTATATGCTATTTGATTTACATTAAAAAGATGATTGTCTAATAATGATGAATTTGCAGTTTGGTAATACTTGTTATAGTAATTCTGTTCTTCAAGCTTTATACTTCTGCAGACCATTTAGAGAAAAAGTGTTAGAATATAAAGCTAGAAATAAAAGAACCAAAGAAACATTATTAACATGTCTAGCAGATCTGTTTTACAGCATTGCAACTCAAAAGAAAAAAGTTGGCTCTATAGCTCCTAAAAAATTTATTGCTAGACTAAGGAAAGAGAAAGGTATTATTAATGATTAAATTATTAGGAAAATAAAAACTAGCGAAACTCCGTTCAATAATATAATTGTTTTTCAGAGGAATTCGATAATTATATGCAACAAGATGCTCATGAGTTTTTAAATTTTCTTATCAATCATATTAATGAAATTATTTTAGGTACGGTACTTTTTGTTTTTATATTAATAAGATATAATATATAACAATGATAATATTATTTTATAGCGGAGAGAAATCAAAGTAAGGCTGCTGCTACAGGAGGAAAAAGTGGAACAGCAGATGCTGGAACACCACCACCAGAACCAACATGGGTACACGAGATATTTCAGGGTATTTTAACCTCAGAGACTCGTTGCCTTAATTGTGAGACTGTATCTAGTAAAGATGAGGACTTTTTTGATTTACAAGTAGATGTTGATCAGAACACATCAATTACTTACTGCCTCAAATGTTTTTCCAATACTGAAACCCTTTGTAGTGATAATAAATTTAAATGTGATCACTGTAGCAGCTACCAAGAGGCACAGGTAAGTATCAATATATTTCTGGAGATATTTATATTTTAATTATCTCAACTATATTGCATTATTTTTATTGTATTACAGAAACGCATGCGGCTTAAAAAATTACCCATGATTCTTGCCCTTCATTTAAAAAGATTTAAATATGTAGAACAGTATAATCGACACATTAAAGTATCTCATAGAGTTGTTTTCCCATTGGAATTGAGGCTATTCAATACTGTAAGTAGAATTTGAAATAATTCTTATCTATTTTTATATAAATTTTAAGTTGATCTTGCAGAGTGACGATGCAGTTAATCCTGATCGCTTATATGACCTGGTAGCAGTAGTTATACATTGTGGAAGTGGACCGAATCGAGGACATTATATTTCAATTGTAAAAAGTCACGGGTTTTGGTTGCTTTTTGATGACGATGCAGTTGATGTAAGTAAATACTTATCTCATCTACAAAAGTAAATATTTACAAGATTCTTTTTTTAGAAAATTGATGCGTCAAATATAGCTGATTTTTATGGGCTTACATCAGACATTCATAAAACTTCTGAAACTGGATATATATTATTTTATCAATCTAGGGACTGTAATTAATAATGTAAAAACTTTACGTACGCAAAAATTATTAAATTTATGTTGCTATACTAGTCTAAAGAATTCATTGTGAAACGGATAAATAAAATACACTATTGTTATATATATCTTGTTTGTATTTTTTTTATTATCAAATTTTTAAGCAATAAATTCGTAAGGTATTGGTGCTAAAAGGATAGGTTCTTCACGGCCAGATACAATATGAGCCTTGGAAGGTTGAGCTGGTTGTCTTTTTAGAAGAACATGAACTTTCTTCTCTTTAGCTTCTTTCCTCAACCTTTCGTTTTCCTTGACGCGTTTCAGAAAGTCTTCACGACATTTAGAGTGATTGACATGTTCAATCCGAACATTTATACGTTTAGCAATGATGCGACCACGTACTCTTTTGTTTACAATGACACCCAAGGCATGTGGAGTAACATTGAAGACTCTTCCAGTTTTGCCATGATAGACTTTGTAGGGCATACCCTTTTGAACGGCACCATTTCCCTTAATGTCGACAATGTCACCAACTTTATACACTTTCATGTATGTTGACAGTGGGATGGTTCCATGTTTTCGAAATTTGCGAGAGAACAAATCTCTCGTTCCACGGCGATAACCCTTGGAGTTAGTCATTGTGATGACAACTAGCCTGTCTAAACAAAAGTGAGGTTATGATCGGTAAGTATGAGAATAATTTTTAATTTGACAAATATTTAACTTTTAGAGAAAAATTTATCGGTGATGGGATTTACTTTTTGAAATTTATAAGAGAAATTGTTAAATAACGACTAGAAACAATAAAACTACGAAATACACGTGGTTAATTTCTTTACAGTATATTTATCTTTTTAATAAGGAAATAGAGGTTGATACTTAGGAAAATATTCATTAGTATATTTATTGAAATTAAAAGACTTCAAACCATCATAAGCTTTTAAGTAGTTGAGTAACAATAAAGTAAAATTTTATAATAAATATTATATTACCTTACGCTAAAATTCGCTGTAAGAAAAAGAGAGAAGCAGGCTGGAAAAGATTATAATATAGATTATACAGACTATACATATGTGTACAGTATAATAGTGTATTCGATGAGCAATTACCAACTGTGGAAATAATTTTTTTTTATATCAATCGAGTCACTTAAAAAAAGTAATTAATTACGCCATAAGATGGCGATAGAAATTGCGCGTCTTGTTCGATATCCAAAAGTTCAATTTTATAAACTCGGTTTGATTTTTCATTTCCTAAAAAATATTTCCGACGATTTAGTTAGAAAAAATATATATTATTAAGTGTAATCATGGCTGATGACGCAAGTCTATCTGATGAAATTAATGAGTTAATAAAAACGGTTAAAAACTTTAACTAATTTATTCACGTTTTTTTCTGATCTGTTGATTTTTTTGATTAACTGTTTCTGCATTAATTCTAAAGGATGGAGAATTAGAAGACGAATTAGCCAGTCAATTACAAATTCTTGAAAAATGGAAGAAAATACATTTATCCCTCAATTGCCGGAATTTGAATAAAACCAACATTTTAGGAGATATAACCAAGGAAAATGAATGTTTGAGAGAAAAAATAAAAAAATTAACGTCAGATTATGAAGATTATAGTAACAAAGTAAAATTAGTAAAGTCAAATCAGTCAAAACAGGCTGAAGCTACATGGTAAAGATAAAATTATTTTTTTTTTGTTAATCGTTGTATTATTCAATTTAATAATTTCATTCTTCTTTCTCTACATTAGGCAACGTTTTATGGAAGACTCTCAGCAATATCAACATTTTATAAAATCAGCTCAAATAGAATACGTAAGAGTTTTATTTTATAAAATAATGTGAGTATGAAAAGATTATTTCATCTAATAAATATCGATTGTTGTAGAAATCAGAAAACTTGAATGCAGATATTCATCGTTATGAAGTAATTCATCAGGAATTAAGTAACCAAAGTCTTAATGTTATTCGTAATATGGAGGAACTGACAGAAAAATATGGACTCGATGAATTGGGAACGAACGTCAAAGCTAAACAATTAAAAGAAATTCAGTCATTCAATAATTTATTAAAACAAGAACAACTACCTATCTCGATTAAAATAAAAAATGATGAAAACAAAAAAAATAGTTTGATACAGAAAATAAAGCGAAAAGAGAGTGACACAAATAACTTGATAAATCAAAGAAAATTATAATTAAATTAGCAGCTGTGTAAATGTTTAATTATATCTTACGATTATTACTTGATAATAATATATTTACTTTTAAAATTAATCTCAATGACTTACGTGCAACAATTAATTCAATTCTCACGATCGATTGTTTTATATTTTAATTGTCTAATCAATCGTAAAAACAATTGGTTACATATTTCAAAATCAGTTTGACATAACAGTATAATATTTATAGTAATAAATTTTAATAATGTACCATTATATTTTTGGATATAAATAGGGGATTTTTAAAATTAAAAAGTACATTCAGGATTAGAATCATCACTGGACAATTTATCATAAAGCAATGGCTGTAAAATTTTTTGTCCAAGTTACTCTCTTATTTTTTACCGTTCTATCAGGTAATTTTTTAATTATTACTTTTAATAAAATAATTTTAAAATCTTCTTTTATGTATTGTTAATAAAATATTTGAAAACATTTTCAGTCGGGCAAGCAAAAACTCCTCAAAGAATTTCTGGAGGAACTCCTTGTCGTGCAGGGGAATTTCCTTTTATTGTTTCGTTGAATGTTAATGGAGCCCATTTGTGTGGAGGTAGTCTCATCAGTAACCGACATGTTGTAACAGCAGCTCATTGTGTGGTTGATTTCAGTGCTCAGGGAATGAATTCCCTTCGAGTTGTAACTGGTACTATTTATTACAATAGTGGTGATGTACACTCTGTCAAGAAAGTTTGGTATCACAGAAATTACATTCGTGGTGATAGCACTTCTCCCAACGACATTGCTATTATTGAAGTATGTAGACCTATATTGTATTATCTATTATAAAATGAAAATTTTTCTCTATGTAATAATGTAATACTTTTTTAGTTGCAAACACCAGTACAATTTAATGCACAACAAAGCAGCATTCGCATTGCATCCAGACCAACTCCAACAGGAGTGGTAGCAACTGCAATAGGATGGGGATTCCCTAGTGCTCAATATCCAGTCAATAGTTATATTTTGAAGAAAGTTCCTTTAACAACAATTCAACCTAGTCAATGCCAGCCGTACTTGCCATACACACTTTGGACTCATCAAATATGTGGCAGTGGAATGCAAGGGCAAGGAGTTTGCATGGGTGATAGTGGTGGTCCTTTAGTTTATAATAATGAACTTATCGGTATTGTTTCGTATGGAATTCCATGTGCTGTTGGTAATCCAGATGTATTCACAAGTGTTTATCAATACCAAGATTGGATCTTAGATGTTCTCCGATTGTAAATAGAATTAATAATTCAATTGATATATAATACTATTCAAATTTATACGTAATTTTTTATATAAAGTTGAAGACAAAATTATTCAATTAATTTATGTTGTAATTTATTTTCGACTATTTTAATCTTCCATGATTCAAAAATTTCCCGCATTTCCATTTGTAAACATCGAACAGCTGTTGGCTGATGACGTCTGATATTCGTATGACAGTGTGTGGTTGGCATGGCTCGAGTAACATTTTTACATCCAGATCTTGGAATTGGAGGAGCTGAAAGATTAGTTGTTGATGCTGCTTTAGCATTAAAAAAGCAAAATTATCATGTGAATATAGTGACGACTTTTCATGATCCAAATCGTTGTTTCACTGAAACTAAAGATGGAACATTGCCGGTGACAGTAGTTGGAAATTGGTTACCACGTCATATTTTCGGCAAATTTTATGCATTATGTGCTTATATACGAATGGTACTATTTACATAATTAAAATTATAATACATATATTATTTATATTTCTTCCACACCCATGGTTTCTTAATTTTTATAACTCTAACCTCAAAATAAAATGAATCTTTTTTCAGATGTATGCGGCAATAGCTATTTATTTTATGGATATTAAACCAGATATTGTGATATGCGATTTAGTATCAGCATGCATTCCAATACTTCGTTTATTTGTCAAAAAAATAGTATTCTATTGCCATCATCCTGATCAACTTCTCACTCAACCTGGAGGTAAATTTAAAACTATCTACCGATCATTACTTGATTATTTCGAAGAAATTACTACTGGGCGAGCAGATAAAATTTTTGTCAATAGCATTTACACTCGAAAAGTATTTAAAAATACTTTTAAAAGCTTAAACATTAATCCTGAAATTTTATATCCATCAATTCATACTGAATTTTTTGATCAAACACGAGTCCAACCACTAGAAGATTTCATAAAATTTAAATTTAATCCAAATAATTTCATTATACTTTCAATAAATCGATACGAACGAAAGAAAAACTTGTCAATAGCTATTGATGCTTTTCATAAAATGAAAGATTTACTAACTAACGAAGAATATGAAAAAATTTATTTAATTATGGCCGGTGGTTATGATGAACGTATAGTAGAAAATGTTGAACATTATCAAGAACTCGTGAATCACGCTAAAAAATTAAATATAAATGATAAGATAATTTTCTTCCGATCTCCTACTGATGAAGAAAAAGTCTCACTACTAAGTCATTGCAAAGCTTTGATTTATACTCCAGAGAATGAACATTTTGGTATTGTTCCATTGGAAGCAATGTATTTTAAGAAACCAGTCGTTGCTCACAATTCTGGTGGACCCACAGAGACAATCGTTGATGGAGAGACTGGCTTTCTAGTTAAAGAATCTACTCCCGAAGCTTTTGCGGAAAAAATTGTTACTTTATTTAGAGATGAAAATATGAGAACAGCTTTTGGGAATGCTGGAAAAGAAAGGGTTGTAAATTCATTCAGCTTTGATGCATTTAGTCGACAACTACATCGAACAATTGAAGAATTAATTTCGGAAAAAGAAGCAATACAATAAAAAATTCCATGTGTTCATTTTAAAATACACATCTTTATTTCTTTGTGATACAAATATTTTGAAATGAATTAACTTGTTGATTTAGCTAATATAAATTAATTCTCACAAATAAAAATTATAAATAAATAAATATATATTTTTTTGAGATATTACATATCGATTTTATTGCTTGTATAAATAATTTTACACCAATAATGTATGTAAATAAAGTCTGACAATAAAAATATTTCTGAAAAATTTTTAACTTATTATATATATATATATTATATATATATATTCAACAGGTATATAATAGTAGTAACGCTAGCTATCATAACAGTAGTAATAAACATATAAATAAAGTAATAATAGTAGTAGCAATCGTATAAGTTGTAAGAATGATATGAAAATAAATGTATAAAATACATATATGCATAAAATTATTTAATTGACATATTAAAAGTTAAAAAATAATTTCTCTGCTTAGAAAAGAAAATTTCATTAAAACTCAATTGGAAACACGAGATTATTTAAATAGATATTAATAGACATATAGTAAAAAACGTATCTTTCATAAATATTAATGAAATATCAATAATTACGTTGATTTACTATACTTCATTTCCTTATCCGGAAATGCTTCTCTCGCTGGAACAAGACTTAACATCATTATATGTCGTGCACATGCAGTTGAATTACGGAATTGTGTATCAGTTCCATGCAAACGATCTAAAACACCTAAGACACCGTAGCATTGATTGAATCTGTAATTAATAAAAAAATTATTTCATTTTAATTCATTGCGTTATTCAATGTGCTGCATTGAAAAATTTACTTTAAATGATGGAAATCGTGAGCTTCCGGAGACGGGAAAAACGGCAGATGATAGCCTGAATGAGCATTCAAGGTTGATAGAATAGCTAGAGAGAACCAAAGCCAAGCTGTTGCAACATGAGAACCGACGATAAAGACTCCTAGAAACGGAGGAATCAGGTTTGAACCAATATGTTCCAAAGGATGACAATAAAGTGCTGTCACAGCCACTGGGGCAGTCCACTGATGATGTCGTTTATGGATATATTTATACAGAAATCGACTATGAAGTAATCTACAAAAAAAAAATCAATTAATATTTGATTATGTCATAAAAAAATTTTTTTATTGCTTACCTGTGCGAATAATAAAAGCCAATTTCTTCAAATAAAATATGGACTGCTATTTCAGCAAGAGCCCAATGGAAAGTAGGTAATTTTCGCACTGAAGGATATCCCCTCCATTCCATAAGAAAGTAACTTAAATAAATGACTGGTAGTCCAACGATGATTTGATTGAATAATACTTGAACAATAACTTTTAATAAGTCTTTGGTATTCACGGGTTCATTTGTTCCGGGCTGTATTTTGTAGCGACGTAGAGCTACAGGTCGATTGGTTACATCTAAAAACGTATAGATTCCACCAAAAATCCAATAAACTAAAAATGTAAGCACTAAAGAGCCATAAACCCAAAGAGTTATAGGATCATCGCCGATTGTATCTAGAATTTCGTCCCATCGTGCTTGCCAAAAATCTCCAGAAGCTCCCCACAATCTTTGTAAATACCTTGTAAATATACAAAGAAATCAATTATTATTGATCGAACAACTTTTATACATAGTTAAAGCTTTTTTAAAAATAATTTTTTAATATATTCTTATCATAATTAATGACCTACCATGTTAAAGAGTTGCAAAATGCTGCAAAACCGATAACTACGGTTCCAATAACAAACAAAACACTTCGTAAACTTGATAATAGTGTTGGTGGCGTGCTTTTAGATTGATTCGGCCTATCTGTAAGAAAAATTAAATTACCGTTTTAAAAATACATTCTCACTACTGTTATGATTTGACATTTATTTTTTGAAGAATAGAAAAAGAACTGAAACTCAATAATTATGGCAATTGATGACAATAGACATCAAACTAATTATACATGCGGATGTTATTGTTTGAATACATAACACCTGATGTGTTTGTTAGCAGAGTATTTTTTTGTTTTCTTTGTTTGCGATCATGACTATTAAGTACTGTTATGTTATATTATTTTGATCGTAACTGTTCATAATTATTTGATAAAATATTGTTTTTACCTGTACATTTTATTTCTGATTCCATCATGATTGTATTAATTTTTAAACAAAAAAATTACACTTTTGTAAACGTCAATAATAAACGTTGAACGACATTGGCAAATGCGCCGTAGCAAAATTGCGTTGTGAGTCAATGAGTATATATGTGAAGCACTTGCTACTTATATTATTCACTCTCTTTTAGCGCAGGTTTAGTTAGGTATCCGTACTATATACCGTTAACTTGTAAATACATATATCAAGCTACATATAAACTTTATTTATTAATTTATCACAAACGTCAATGGACATTTTTTATCATGTAATGAGATTAAAATTTTAACTCACACAGTTCAGGAAGTGTTAATTGATCATTGTTTATTATTAGCTCAGTTGAAAAACTGAATCCATTAGCAGTAATTAATATTCATATTTAATTTGGAATTATATCAAACTTTGGTTAATTGAAAGTATTTCTTTGACTTTATAATTTACAAAAAAATTAAAGAAACTAATAATAATTGATCCGTATGATAGAATTCAGTAGTGAAGCAGATGAAAGTAAATTTAAATGTATTACAATTTGACACAACCAATGAGAAATGATAACATAGTTCGTTGTCATACCACAAGATGTGATTTGAGTAAAAATAAAAATATAACTTTCACTGAAGTATCAAATAATCAAAATCCTTCTAATTTTTTTTTGACTCCAAATCTCTTTGTTTTGAAGAAATAATCATTCATTGATGAATTTATGTAACATGTAACTATTTTAAATGGTTTATTCCATCAATTAGCGTTCATTTATTGTATAAGATGTCCAAACCATCGAGTAGGTCTCAGCAGGGGGTTCCGTTATACTTCAATTTTTTTTTATAATCCTTGACGTTATGTTGTTATTTTTTGCGCACAATATTAAACTTGTATGTAAACAGATGATTAGTTTTTATACGTATTTTGAATTAAAATTCTATCAACACTTTCTTATATTAATAAAAACATAAATAGAGATCAACAAGAAGACTTTTCTGATTTAGGTTTATAAATTTTTAACACAAAAACATAGATACCATTGATTTAGCAAACTAAATGAACTATTTTTAATATTAAATCATACGTAAGAATACAGAAATAAACTTGGTGCAATAAATTGCAATTATTAACGTATTTGAAACGAATTACTGGTAGTGATCAATCCAAAAGAAACACATCAAATCATACTTGCGCTTGGAAGAGTCGATAGTCCCGACATCTACCTAAAAGGGTTCTATCACAAGAATTCGGTAATTAAACTTTGTTAAATTCTAATTTGTTTTTAATATTTTATAATGTTTTTTGTGTGTTTTGTCTTTTATATACGTTAATATTTTACTTATAAAGGTGGTTTTAAGTTACTTAATTTTTAAGATCAATTATATTTTATCTGTATGTAGAGTTGGAGGTTAATGTCATTTTTAAGTTCCATCATAATTTTTTTTATTATATAACAACAATTTAAAAACACTAACAACACCCCAAAATTAAATTTTAACAAATTTTGTTTTTAGAAAATGTTACGATTACCTCTAGTGAGGGCGACCAGTTTGTCGTCTGGAAGATTAGGCAAAGCAGGAATTCAAACATCAGCTGTAAAGTCTCAAGATTTAGTTGAACTGTTTATTAATGATCAACCTGTTCAAGTACCACCTGGAACAACAGTTCTCCAAGCAGCAGCAAAATTAGGCATCGAGATTCCTCGATTTTGTTACCATGAACGTTTGGCAGTAGCTGGAAATTGCAGGATGTGTTTGGTGGAGATTGAAAAACAACTAAAGCCAGTAGCAGCTTGTGCTATGCCTGTAATGAAGGGATGGCGAGTAAAAACAGAATCAGAACTAACTAAAAAAGCACGTGAAGGAGTGATGGAATTTTTACTGGTGAATCATCCACTTGATTGTCCCATTTGTGATCAAGGAGGTGAATGCGATCTTCAAGACCAAAGTATGGCTTTCGGAAGTGATCGTAGTAGATTCACAGATATTGAATTTAGCGGTAAAAGAGCTGTAGAAGATAAAGATATTGGGCCCTTAGTAAAAACAGTGATGACTAGATGCATCCATTGTACTCGGTGTATTCGTTTTGCTTCTGAAGTTGCTGGAATTGATGATTTAGGTACCACAGGACGAGGAAATGATATGCAAGTTGGTACTTATGTTGAAAAAATGTTTTTATCTGAATTATCAGGAAATATTATCGATCTCTGTCCTGTTGGAGCATTAACCAGTAAGCCATATGCATTTGTAGCCCGTCCTTGGGAGACTCGAAGAACTGATAGTATTGATATATCAGATGCTGTTGGTAGTAACATTGTGGTATCATCGAGAACCGGAGAAGTTTTACGAATTCTTCCCCGTGTTAATGAAGAAGTTAACGAAGAATGGATTTCAGATAAAGCTAGGTTTGCTTGTGATGGTTTAAAACGTCAGAGATTAATAACTCCAATGATGAAAGTCAACGGAAAATTAGAAAATGTTGATTGGGAAAGTGCATTGTTTACTACCGCACGAAATATGCAAAACCTCCCATTAGGAAAAAGTGCTGTTATTGCTGGAAAATTGGCTGATGCTGAAGCTCTTATGGCTTTAAAAGATTTGGTTAATAAGTTAGGTGGAGAAACTCTGGCAACAGAACAACCCTTCCCTCAAGAAGGATCAGGTATTGATCTTAGAAGCAGTTATTTGCTTAATAACAAAATTCAGAATGTTGAAGAAGCTGATGTGGTTGTTTTGATTGGTACAAATCCAAGGTATGAAGCTACATTAATAAATACTAGACTGAGAAAAGGATATCTTCATGGAGAGCAAACTATTGCTCTTATTGGACCCAAAGTTGATCTTACTTATGATTATCAACATTTAGGACAAAATCCTGATATTATCGATCAGTTAGCGAGTGGTCAACATCCATTCTGTGAAACTTTAAAAAATGCTAAAAAGCCTATGATCATTCTTGGAGCAGAACAATTAACTAGAAAGGATGGAGCTCATATTTTAGCTGCAACACAAAAGTTTGCAAAAGCCTTGGGGGACAAAACTAAGGTAAATAAAAAAATATTTCCAAATTAAATTTTACTTGAAATGTTAATAATTATTTTTTAATTTTTTACAGACCTCTGAAGACTGGAAAGTACTGAATATTCTTCATACGAATGCGTCCCAGGTTGCAGCTCTGGATTTGGGTTATGGATCAACAATTGAAGATGTTAAACAATTAAAACCTAAAATTCTATTTTTACTTGGAGCAGATGATTCGCAGATCACTCGAGAAGATTTTCCAGATGCATTTATTGTTTACATCGGAAGTCATGGAGATCATGGTGCTAAGATTGCAGATGTTATTTTAGCAGGAGCAGCATATACAGAAAAAAATGGTAGTTATGTGAATACAGAAGGACGAGCACAACAAACTGGTGCTGCATTAACACCTCCTGGAATGGCACGTCCTGATTGGAAAATCATTAGAGCTCTTGCTGAATTTTCTGGAGTTCATTTACCTTATGATACTATTCATGAACTACGTGGTAGAATAGAAGAAGTTGCTCCACATTTAGTTAGATACGGAGACATTGAACCTGCTAACTATTTCTCTCAGGCTCTCCAACTAGCAAAAGTAAGTTAGGTTAAATTTATACAATTATTTATACATCATTATTTATTATTTGTACATCAAAAAGTAAATGGAAATCTTAAATTACAATTTTTGTAGCAAACTGGAGGTTCTTTCCTCCCAGATCCATTGGATGTTAAACAAAAGTCACTAGACCAATTCTTCATGACTGACGTTATATCTCGAGCTTCACCTACGATGGTAAAATGCGTTCAGGCTGTCTTAAAGCAGCGTCAACAAGTTCAGTCTCAAGTTTAGAACTATTTATTTATTAAGCTGTACATAGAACGAGAAAGTCTGTTGTATCTAGTGATACTTCTCGGTAATTATTATCTATATTATAGTTTGAATAATTATTAAATTTTTAAACTATACACTATCAATAAGATATAAAAATTCATATGAAACTTAAAGTAAACCAAAATTGTATTTAAATTTATGTCAAAAAAAATTAAATGAATGATGAATGATTTTTTATAATTATTTGTTATTTAGTATGACAAGTAGATTATAAATAAAAGAAAAAAGCTAACCGTACTATTATGGTCCAGACAATTATGTCATCTTCGGCATATACCATATACGGTATCATACCATGGACAGTAGTCTGATTAGCCATTGTTATAATAAAATAATAATACTCAACAATTTTCCATTTATTTAAAGAGAAATATTTTTTTTTTATTTAATAATTTTTACATCAGTATCCAATTGCGCTATGGACAAGCCAAGAAATAATTAAAACTAGTTCAATTACTTGATTCTGGTTGATCATCTGTATCTATTTCTCCAGAACTTTCATCAGATTCAACTTTTTCTCCTAAAGCAATCAGCTTTTCTTTGTAGAGAACAAGTTTCGATTCTTGGTCAGCTAAAAGCATTAATAAATCTTCTTGGTCTTTTTTTAATTGATCCAATTCTTCTGATTTTTCTTTTAACATATTCTCTAATTGTGCTCGATGACTTTCTCGACTTTCATATTCTTGAAGTTTTATTTGATATTCATTCAGTCGAGATTCTAATTGTTTTATTATATTCTGATGCTCTATTATCGATTCATCAGTTGATGAATCCTTATGATTAGTTAGTAAAAATTCTTTATTATCATTTAAATTTGTTTGAGCTGCTCTGAGAACTAAATTTTGATCTTTCAGATTACTTATCTCTGATTGTAATTCTAGAAATTGACGCTAAAAACAAAAATATTATATTTATACCACAAATCATATTTTTACCATAGTCATACTTTAATATTATATTATAAACTATCAAATTAATAATATTACCTCAAGTAAGAGTTTGTCATTCATAAGTGATTCCTTTGTTTGAGTTAATTGTTGTATTTTTTCATCTTGTTCTCTTATGAGATCTTTATATTGTGATAACAGAGCAGAATCTGAGCTTGATAAAGTTGTGGTCGCATCTTTATTAGAGGGCACACCACTTCCTTTAAATACTGATTCCATTATGGTTCCTAAAAATAAATCAAAAAAATATAATACTCTCTTTATACTCATGTATTGATTTAAAAGATTATAACAACACCTTCTAATGCTTTGGAGAGTCGACAAAATTCATGATCAAGTAAAAGGTCTCCAGAATTTTTTGCTGAAGGTTGAGGATGTTTCAATGTTCGAGAATAAACTTCATGCCTCGCTAATCCACCAATTGCATCAAGAAACCGTTCTATACCGACTCTTTTTTCAATTAAATTACATAATTGTTCCTTTAGTAAAAAAAAGTTTAAATTAATAAAAGTATAATTCGAATTATTTAATGATTATAAATTTAATCGTAAAAACTTACTTTAGTATAATCGGAGACGTCATTATCATTGAAATGTACACATATTCCGAGTAAAAGAGCGCACATACTTTGAATAAGATTTTCCATTAAATCTTCATTATTTTCATGAGCAGATAGTAGGGCCGTCAAGTATGATATTGATGAATCAATTGATAAAAATGCTTTAACCGCAATAGGACAGTAAGCAGTCCATCTACATAATAACATTAACAGTCCTAATTTACATTGAGGTTTATTGCCTTGTTGAAGAAGCATCACACACTGTTGCATTAATGTTACTGGTGGCTTTCCTATTTTAGTAGCCAATAACACTCTTAACAACTGTTCCTGTTGGGTAGGATTATCAATTAACGCATATGATAAAGCAACAGCAGAGAACCAATTAGATAATGGGTCTGGGGAAAACAGGCCGCCACATAAAAGTTGTCCCATAGTTAATGAAAGAGTTTCGTTGCTCTGTGGAAGAAGTGTTTGAACTAATTGCATCTGTCCTACTTCATTTTTATACAGAAAACATTGGAAACAATATAGGACAGCACATTTCAGTTGAAGTGATTGTTTTTCGTTGACCATACACATCAGGAGAACTACAATAGCTGGCTTCGGAGGTGTACTAGGAGCAGTGACATTTGCTAAAAATTCTTGATTACTTGTCTTGCCTCTTATAACTTCAGCTACAGCATTGATAGTTTCAATTAATACATCTACAGGTACTCCGCTGGCCATCAAGATGTCACAGAGTGCTTGAAGAAGACCACAATCGTGCATAATACGTTGACATAAACCAACAAACTGTGCTGAACAACTTGGAGCAACTAAGGCACGAATTACTTGCAACATACAGTGAACGTTGGCTACTTTTTGTGGTTTCCACTCAACCGAAGTACTATCATCATCAGGAGGTAATTGGAATAGTGGAGTTAATCTTTGGATATAAGAGCCTTCTTTGAAAAAAGTTTGATTACTGACATTACCTTTTAATAGGTTTAACATCAAAAGTAAACAATCTTCTACAATTATTCCACCATCAGCACCTCCCTCTTGAGTAATTACATCAAAAATTCTATCGAAAGCATTCTCAAATGCTACAATTTTTTGAATATTTGCATTGCCTTTCGTCAATTGAATTAATAGTAACAAAGCATCATTTCTGATAACTTCCCTGCTGTCACTCAACAAATCCATGAGCTTAGAAATACCCATAGGCATCACCAAAATTATTTCTTGAACATCTTTAGGCCGATTTATCACAAGATTTGATAGTAATTTTAAAGCTGGCCATCTGACACGAAAATCGAAGTCTTCTAAAGATGATATAACAAATCCTACTGTATCTTGTTGCTTAATAAATATCTCTGTGAATTGTTCCCCTATTTTATTTCCCCCATACTTTTCAACTTCTTCATCATAGGTTTCTGGACTGGTTATATTACAAAGAGTATCTAAAGCTAAACCTACAATTTCACAATCTGTTCGATCCATCTCTAAAACTTGTCTAAGGGCGTTCATTCCCTGAGCACCCACTTCCAATCTGTATGTTTTTGATAGAGCTTTAAGAGCTCGACATGCATCTCTTCGATCATCTAATAAACTTGAAGAGTCAAGTCGGTCAACCAATCTTTCAACCTAAAAGAAATCAAATAATATTTTCAACAGTTGGTCCAATAAATTCAATTATTTTATAATTTAAGAGAATGAATAAAAATTTATTGACATAGTCTTTAACTTCTGGGTGGGAAAAATTATTGTAATACTTACAGTGTCAGCTCCGGTTGGTTGATTTCCTGGTTCTGGAGCTCCTAACACAGATTTTAAACTGTTTTTAAAATACTCCATAATATCAACAACTGTATCACGTTTTTTGTTTTAAAGTCTACTATTTACACGTCACAAGGTAGCAACATGACAGTAGTCTCTGTATTTTTTTTTTTTTATACTTTCTGGTATACTGAGACAGGTTATCAATTGTTATCAGTGACTTTTACAAGTGCTGCTCTCTTTATTTCTTGACAATAAATTCAATATGGCTAATCAACAGTTGGTAACTATTCAGTGTGGCCAACAGCATGATGGAGTTACGTTGTATTTTTATAATATCTTTTTTTTTTTTGCTCTGATTTTTGAATAAATTTTTAAACAATTTAAAAAAATAAATAATAAGATTAATATTGAAATTATATTAATCTCTACTAGCCTTGTTCTTGCTAATATTTTATGTAAACAAAGTGTATCTTCCACATATTATAATCGATTTTTAATGGAATTAATTAATTTATAAGCAGATAATCAAAAAAGATTCATACACAAAAATAATTTATTCAGTTGAATGTAAATTAACATCAGTTTTAATATTAATTTTATGCTAACTTTCTGTTTTAGCAAAGTTTTGTAAAAATATTCAAGACATTACGAACTTTCACTCTTTATTATATTTCATATTCTACACTGAAAGTTCGCTGTATTTATTTCAATAAAGAAGAAACTAAAAAGATGCTGCGCTCTACTTGATTAACAGAGACTGATAAAGTGAAAGCATCTGAACACAGATCATCCGATTAGTCACACAATGTTTGATACTCGCTCTCCAACGATCTGTTGATCAGTCAAGTAATGAATGTAATATAAGATAGAGTGATGTACGTAGGTCAAAGTGTTTTGTAGTTGATAGAATTTAAAAAATGTCGATATTGACCTTGATTTTTCTCTATTCAACATGTGTTGTATTTCCTATTTTGATTAGTGCTGATACCAGTGATAAATGTAAGTTTAATTATTTAAAACTTTATTAATGAAAATAAATTTTTCTACTCAATTGATTATTCATTTCAGTGCGATATTGCGTAGCCAAGAACGTACACAAGCAGCAAAGTCATCAATTTAATTTTTTAAATTTGAACAATAATAATGATTCTATAGAATACATCGTGGTGAATGAAAGGTAGTCGTTTTGAATAAAAATAAATTCAAACTACTAAAGAATAAATAAATTTTTAACTCAAGTTTTTTCAAAATTATATAAAAGATAATTTCAAACGATAGGTCCAATTGCTTGAGACAACTGATTACAGGCAATGCCGATTTTGCTGTCTTTGAACCCGAAGATCTTGTAATTAACTATTTAAATTCTAATTATGAATCTCCAATTTTAATTACTCATGAATTGAGGTCTTCAAAGCTAGGTAAATAAGTTTTTAAATATGATATAATTCGATTTTAAAACTTCTAATGATTTTAATTAAACAATTTTTAACAGATAAGACACGTTTTGAAATGATTCTTTTGGTTACTAAAAATATTAAAAACTTTAACGATCTTGAAGAGAAAAGATTGTGTCATCCGGGATATGATTCAGATATTGCCGATTGGACAAGAACATTCGCGGATGTAAAAAACTTTTGTATAAATCATTTTCTTTTGAAATAATTACTCCGTCTTATAAACCTAATTAAGAATTAATTTAAGCGTCACATCAAGACTAACAATAGTAATTGCGTTAATACTACTTTACAGTACTTTCATTCCTGGATCTTTGCAAGGCAATGTAACAGTGATAAAACTTTACTTGGAAATGATATATCATCGTTATCAAAATATTTTCAAGCTGCATGCATTGCTGGGCCGTGGACATTTGATGCCAAACAAGATAGTCAATTGAGTTTGTATTAAAAAATTTATTTCACAGTCATAAGAAATTATTTCATTATTTTAATGCTTCATATGGTTTTTTATTAAACAGAAACAAAGTATCGGAATTTGTGCGCATTATGTGAGAATCCAATTGGCTGTTACTCTAGTGATAAATATCATGGGCGTGAAGGGGCACTATTGTGTCTTACTGATAATGTTGGAGATGCAGCATGGGTTCGATTACAAGATGCAATAACACATTTTCAAGCAGAAAAAATAAATAAAAACCTATATAATTATTTATGCCCGGATGGTTCATCAAGACCAATGATTGAGGGTGTACCATGTGTTTGGATCACTAAACCTTGGCCCGTGATTGCAGCACGACGGTAAAAACAATATAATTATTAATATAGTCAACGAAGGTTTAGATTACGTGTAAAATATTTTTTGCAGCGGAATTGTTGAGAAAGTTGCTAAGAAAATTAAATTATTACGCACAAGTCAAGGATCATGGAAAAACAATTTTTTGGATCAGTTAGAAAATTATCATGTAATTCCTGTAAATACTGATATTATAAAAACACCTGGAGATTATTTAACTCAGTGTGAGTTGTGAAATAATTACTGAAATAATCAACTGGCTTAATTTAATATTATGAAAAATAATATTAATCGTTTTGGTTTAGACAACGGCTTCGCTAGTGCATATTCAAGAAGTGAATGTAGTCCTTCTCGAACAATAAAGTGGTGTGTAGCATCAAATTTAGAAGATCGAAAATGTCAACAGATTCGTGATTTAGCTTTTTCCTATGGAATAGTACCAAAAATATCTTGTTATCAGCGTCACGGACGTGATGCCTGCATTGAAGCAGTTCATAATGGAGACTATGACTTTTTCATAATTAAACCTGAAGAAATGATGAAAGCTGAAGAGTATGTAAAATTTTATTATTTAATTAAACAATGAAATTGATATAAATATAACTGAAATCTTTTTATTTATAGAAAAAATTTAGTTAAACTTTTGGAGTTAATCTCCAAAAAATCACAAGATTTAAATACTTATGGAATATTAGTCAAAAATGATTCTAAATACCATACTCTTGAAGATCTTGAGGGAGCTCACGCTTGTTTTACTAAAAAACAAAGTATTGGTAAGGAATTGATTAATATGAAAATGATATAACTAATTATGATAAGCCAAATAAGGCTAACATATTATAAATATAATAATTTACTTAAAAGTTATTTTTTTTTAATTTTAGAATGGAATGCATTTATTGTTGTCATGAGAAATCGAACTAAAAATCCTATCTGGTATTGCTCAAATGACAATGCAGTTACTCATTTTTTTCAAAGAATTATTTTAAATAATCAGAATAATAACAATGACAATAATGATAATGACGACAATGACATTCATAATAACGGTTTAAATGAAGAATCAATTTCTATTGAAAATACATATGAGTGTTTGACTTCTGGAAAAGGTGATGTAGCATTCGTCAATTTAAATACAAAAAATGATTCATATCGATCACACCATAACTTAAGAAGTATCTGCATTGACAAAAAGTCCAATGACTGTATTTTAACATGGACTACATTAGGAACGGTAATACATACCTGAACCATTTTTTTTCTCTAAAATTACCTCATTTTCTACTCAAAAAATTACTCCAATTTATTTTAGATTGTAGTCAATGCAAATATGACTGAAATAAGACGAGATGAGATTCGTAGTATGCTTATGGAATTAAATGTATGGTTTGGATCAAAGTTTGCTGGCCAGGCTTCTGCTCTCTCTTTATATGGTCCATTTGATTCACATCGAAATGTTATTTTTTCGGTAATAATTATTTACGTTTAATTAAAACATTGAAAAAATTTTTTTATTATACATATTTTATGTGTCTAGGAAAAAACTCAAAGTCTACAAGATGATTTAAACTATGTAAGGCTGCCACGAAGTTATGAAAACGTACTGAAACAAATCAGGGATCTTAGGACTCAAAAAACTCTTTGTAATAAAGCTAATTCAAGTGCCATATCGAGAATCATATTTTTTATAAGTTACTTAATCATTTTCATTAATTTTTTGTAAAACTGTGATACATCTTTTAATGCCAAAAGGTATTTTAATACGTGATATGTAATATATGTTACATCATAAGATAAAAATAATCACATTAATGATATTTTATTATTCAACTTTGAAGTAAACAATTTATTTTTCTATTTTTATTACAGTCTATAGTGCTTAATAATTAATTAATAAAAGAAAATTTAAAATATTTCAAGAATGCATATAATTTTATAAAAATTTGCAGTCTATTATATAAAAAGATAACAATAATATTCAATCATTTACGTGTGCTTTGTCGAAATATTTGAATTCCAAAATAAATACTGTTTTGTGATTAATAAATATTAATAGTGATTACAGTCAAATATAAATAATATATTAACAAATCGATAAATATTTTAACAGCACTTCTAAATCAGATGCGATTTGGTCTCTATTAGGATATTGAAATTGTTGATTAAGTTTATGAATTTCAATATTACCGTTATTATACCCTAGAGTTATGTATTGATTTATTAAATCGTGATTGCTTCTACATGGTGACAGTTGCATACTATCGACATGCCCATTCTCTAAAGTAATATTAAAAGTTGGAAAAATATCACTTTTACGTAAATCCCAAATATAAATCCTGCAACGTAAAATTAATATATTAATAATTGTTCAAAAATTTTATACACAATTTTTAAATGTCATTATACTTACTTTGATTCAACATTAAGAACATAAATAATTAAAGGTTTAGATTTGGACCATTGAATAATTTTTATTGCGGCAGTGCTATTTGGATTTTTTAATTGCACAAGAGGTTTTTCTAATTTCGAAGAAAATAGACAAATACTACCATCCTCACAGCCAACAAGAAAATACGGTTGATTGAATGGACATTTTTCAATACAAGTTATACCACCAACAATATCTAAAAAAATATTTATAAATACATTAATATTTTATTCATTCATATAACTACAATAACGATAATTATTTATCGATTAGTATGTTATCTACCATTTGCAGCATACAACTGTGGTTTACATTTCTTTCCTATGCGTGTTGCATGAATAATTTTATTTGTATTACCACTGATGTATAAACTATTCGTATCGATGCAATCCAAACACATATCTTTGAATTCTTGCATAAAATTATCATGAATTCCATTATTTATGTTTAATAAAATTTCATGACTTTTAAAGAGTCTCAATTTTCCCCACCAAGACTGTCCCAAATCATCAGTTACACTTCCTTCAAAACTTTTCACAACACTCCAAATCATACAACATCCTTTTTCATTTAAACTACAAACTTCAACAGGCATAAATTTTCCGATAATTCCACTTGGATCATTATTAATTCTTGATAAAACTGTAACTGCGACAATTTTTGAAGATTCAGTCATATTGTCTTCAAAATTACCTCCAGAAGTGAATGTAGGACTTCTAATAACCCAATTTGATTTATTTTCTCTATCCTCTATGCGTCGATGATAAAATTCATTTTCTCCAAGATCCCAAAGGCTCATAGAACCATCTTCAAGTCCAGCGAAGACGATATTATAATTCGTAGGATGAAAACAACATGCACAAATATTGCTAGAGGAATAAAATATTTTTACAGGCTTTGAAGGGTCAAAAATATTCCATAAACATCCAATGTAACAATCAGTGATGTAAGAATGTTCATCCATCGGAGTTTCAACGTCTTCATCAGCATGATCATGAATGGTTAATAATATTTTATGCGAGACTTCACTGTATCTGATTAAAGTCACTGGTCTGCTAGCTAAAAACGTAACAGAAGCAACAGATAATTTGATAGAGCCTTCACTAAATGGTAAGCTACGACTGTGATCTTCTCTTCTATGAAAATTCATCTTTGCAGATGATTTTCCTTCTAACAAAGCTAACATTAACTTTCCTGCATTCAATAAAAAATCATTTAACTGTAAAACATCATAATAAATTTGATTCTGATGAGGATTCAAGTCATCAACGTCAGTATCATCACTACCAACTCCTACTAACTCTTTAGTGAAAATTTTAATGTCTTCATTGGTCTTCAATACACTTTTACAAACTATTGGAAACTGTGTCCACATGTTTCTACATTCTATTTCTTCAGTCTGAATATCAACACTTAAGTTATCTTCATTAGTCTGTGTCGATATTTGTCTAGTATTCATTTTCCCATGAATGCGAATGAAATCATCGTAAGGAATTGGAGTAGATTCATATAGTGACCAAGACACCCGATCTAATTTAATCATTTGAAGTAATTGTCTACCTCTAATTAAATATTTAGACTCTTTATTTATTTCTACTTCTGTTAGCTTGGGTTTTTCATTAATATTTGGAGCATCAACATCTTCAACCATTGACATTAAGCCTGAAACGGGCGGAGATTTAACAAAATCGTCGGATCTTCCGTCTTCGAATCCTTCATCAGCACTAGAAGGTAATGATCGTACTTCTGATCGGACTTCTTTTTCAGATGGATCTTCATTATGTACAAACGCTGGTCGTTGAAGGCTTTGTGTTGGAATTCGATGAGCTCTACTAGCAGACATTAAATCAATTCGTGCTGCTCTTCTTCGAGCTTCTTGAAGATCATAATGTCCTGAATCCAGCATTTTTTCTTCTTCAGAATATTTTTTAAGAAAAACAGTAGATTTTTCTTCATTATTTTGAATTTTATTCACTAATTCAATAGGTTCTTCACTGGAACTCGAATTTTCTTCGGATTCACTAATTGGCGAAGCATCACTATCAGTACATTCTTGGAAATCAGACTCATAATCCTCGAAATCATCTTCATATTCGTATTCAGATGAAGAACTATGCTTTCCTGACTTTTTTTTCGATGATGATACACCTCCATGATTATTTAAATTTCTATTCAACATTTTAACTTCACTAGGACTAAGTGTTCTCGATTTTCTTCTCTCTCTTGAAGGTAAACGGTGTTTACTACTACTCGCTTCTTGACTAGAACCTTTAGCTTTTGTTTCAGATTTTTCTCTACTTCTATGCTTTTCGTGATTTTTTTCTCTACCTTTGTCCAGATCTTTACTTGTTTTGACAGCAGCTGGACTTGATTGTTTTAAAGTACTAGTACTTCTTTTCGGCATATAAATCGTACTCACTCCTCTTTTTTCTTCATTACTTTGTGTTTTTAATTTTGTTTTTATTTCGTTCATACTTGACCTTGGTGATGCCAATATTTTATGAGAAGTCGTATTTTTAACTCTCGAGATTGAATTTACTGATGATGATTGTGTATTTTTATTAACAGTCTTATCCTTTTTAACACGATTTAAACTTTCTACAGAATCTTGTTTGACTGAATTCCTATCACTATTGCTTCCACTTCGTCGACTTGATTTTGAAGTAACACTTTTTTCTTCTTCTTTCTTTGAAGTGGAAGTTTTCTTCCGGGGTTCATCATGACGTGAAGAACTTTCTTTTGAAGAAGTAATTTTTTTGCGTGACACATTTGTTTGACTAGAACTCATACTACGATTTGAAATTAGTTTGTATTAAATGTGGTTAATTGTTGGAATGAAAAGTAGGTTGTATTATTGTCATCGCAACAAAAGTTATAATCGATTTAATTCAATTTCTACAATACTCAGCTTATAAATAATGGACAATTCTAATGTTACGTGGACTTGACTCTTGGTAAATAAGCTTCTGCGCGTGCATTGATATGATCTTGGTTGCTAGACAACGTGATGAGATTCTACAGCAATGCTTTTTTTTATATAGAAATATTTTTTATGTAAAGAAATTAAATTGATTGTATTTTAACATGTAATACAAATATATTTACGTTATTTATTCGTACCAAAAATTTATAGCAATCTATATAAAAAAATACAACATTTTGTGTTGTGACTCCAATAATTGTGCAACCATTTAAAAATGACGCACATTTCTAGGGATTTTTTTTCTGAGTCATTGATACCATCTGGTTAAAAAGAAAATTATAAATTCTAGAAAAACATTGTGCTGTGAATTTCTATTTTTATTTTTTAGCTTGATATGAAAAATGGAGGATTTTTTAAATATTGATTGGTAAGATAATTAATTAATTTACACGATATTTTATGGAACATAATCAAAATGCTGATTTTTACAGGCATCCATCCTTGAATGACATAGTAGACAATGAATTCGTTAATGTCGAAAGGTTAGAACACTCAAGTGTTATGTACAAAATTCTTCGGAATAAATTTGTTGATCCTTTAAAAAATATTCACGAAGATTTTTTAGACTTAGTTAAACCAGAAAGTGTTGAATTTTTGAAAAAGGAAGCAAAAAAAAAAAAAGAAGAGTCAAAAGATCAATTAGTATCAACAGAACCCGATAAGACCGTTGAAAAAAAAACTTATGTACCTGGAATCGTACGATGTGAGATGAGATTTCCAAGACCTTCAAGTTTAAATTCTGAACAACATGCTATGTGTGTAAAAATTTTAAAACATTTTTCGTCTTCTGGTAGACCAGATATGTCGACTATAACTAAAAATGAGCTTACTGCTTATTTGGTATGCTAATATAGATTGTTTATATTATCAAGATAAGTTAAGTTTTTACTTTACAGAACAACTCTTCATTTTCAGAATTTACAAAATGATATAAGTAAAGAACAAGAAGAATTTTTAAAATTAGCCAAAGAAGAATGGGATTCATCAGACATAAAAATTGATAGAGAAGATTTGATCAATCTTAAATGGAAAAGTAAAGTAGAATATGCTTTAAATCTTCATAGGTATTATATGGAAGTGGGAACTATTCCATTTGTTTCTGACCAAAATATAAAATACAACTTTGATTCTACTGTTCTAGATCCAGTATGTCATATAAACTTTCTATAATATATTAATATATATTTATAATAAATCAAAGTTTCTTTCAGGATTCTTTGCCAATATTCGAATTGCCAGATATAACCCGTTTTAGATATAATTTTTTTTTGAAGTCAGAAAAGATAGAAAAAAAATATTTTACACCATCAGAATTGAGGGTCAAAAATCAAATAAGTGAAGACCCAATGTGTCTGAAATTTGCTGAATCGCATGATGTAGATATTGTAATATCATCATCTGGTCTCAAGTGTTTAGGGAGCAATATCGATCCGTCTTTTTCACAAATATGGATCTTACCTATTGAAGTGAAAGAAATCAATAATAGGAATGTTATATTCATTGATAAACCTCTACCACCTCAAGCTAAAAATGCACTCCAAAAAAATTTCTGGATTTACAATTATATTATAAAAACTTTTCTTATTAAGAATCAAAAGTCTTTTAAGCTTTCAAAAAATCTAGATAATTATGTAGATCTTGACAAAGCTAATGATCTTGAAACAAATGACGAAATAAATGACACCAATATAATTCGAGTTGAAAATAATTATCAGTATAATATTTTTACACTTGGCGCTTGCGGTTCAACACAAAATGAACTGATGAAAAATAAAATTCAAAAAGATTATAAAATGTTAGTGCGTTCAAAAATTGATGCAGTAGAGGTAAGATTCCTTTACTTTCAATCTGTACAAAAAATTAAAAAAGTGATGGTAACATTATTTTGTGTGATAGAAATTAGAAAATGGAGAAATGGCCTGGATTAAGCTAGTACCAAAGTTAGAAAACCAACTAAGTCTTGGAGCAGAAGCAGTAACTTTAGAAGAAGCAGCCAAACAATGGATCTCACTAGCATTTACACCAGATACCTCACTCGTTAGACGTAATTTATCTTATTATTTTATAAATTTATCATTTATTATCATCATTGTTATCACCTTCAATATTATTTTTAGTTCGTATTCATCAAAAAACGTCTGAATTAATTCAATATGAAAGACGTTCACCAATTTCAATCAACAATGAATTAGTAAGACTATATAATGTTCGAGGAGAAGATATTCTGCCATTGTTATATAATATTACTGAAACAATGATAAAAATGACTCCAGGAAAATACCTTTTAAGGCATACTATCAGAAGTGGAGCATTCGTAACAATTTATAAAGCTGTTGATACTAATGAGTATGAATTACATTTGATACAACTACTGTCCATAAAAATACATAAATATATAATGAATATAGTAAAAATTGTTATTGTTCCAGCAAAAATACAATGGACTTACAGACTATCTATTGTGATGAAGAGTTTAGAACAATTCCAAATTCTCCATGGCCATCAATAGACAAAACTCTTTTAACTCCAGCTTTAATATGTTTCAATCGGATGCCTGCAACGTTTTATCCTTCTAAACTGCCAGCAAAACGAACTAATAATAAAAAAACTACAAAGGCAGGGAAAAAAAAGGCCATGAAAAATAACTCCGAAACGAGTACCTAATTATTTATAATTAAAATATTTTGATGAATTATATAAATATCAAATAAAGTATTTTTTAATTTTTTAACAAAATAAACTTCTACATTAACTCAAAATTAATGTTTTAATGATAAGTGTTACATTATTGGTTCATGAATTGACAAAATTTTCAGGTCAGTGATCATTTAAAACTTCGCGGTATCAATAGAAATATCTAGGGATTTTTATTTTATGCATGTTGACTTCTACTGAGAGTTTGCGAGCATCTGATCATTGACACAATTGTCGTTTTTTATTGTTGCGTGGTTAACTCCAGTTGAGTGAAGCGCGAGAAGTCTTGTTATCATTTTTTTATCGTTGATCATTTGGTAGGTGGATTCGTTTAATTGAATATTAGAATAATATAATGGCAGATACAACAGTCGATGCTACGAGACGGCTAAATGTCAAGAAACAAACTCTCGACGATGCATACGCCGCTCCAGCCAATTTCCTAGAGATCGATGTGATCAACCCAGTCACTCACGGTGTCGGCAAAAAACGTTATACTGATTATGAGGTTCGCATGAAGGTAAGTGAAATGCTCCATCCTATTTTTTAAATAATCCATCAATAATATTGTCGCAATTTGATTTACTTTAGTATGCTTCTAATTTTTTTGTTATCACAATTGCAATAACAACATAGGTTATTCATCCTCAACAACCATACAACATTGCAAGTAAAATGATCAGTCATTAATGAACACATCTCTTAACACGTCATTATCGTTTATCACTTCTAAAATATATTTTAAAACCTTATATTATTCAAACTAAATGATTTATCATAGTTATTTATAAGATAACTGTATTCAACTCAGATTTGCATGACAATATTCAATTATTACTACTAATGATGATTATCTATCATTATTAACAGTTAGAAGATTTTTAATATTGTATTCATAAACATCACACTCCATTTTTAAAGGAGTCATTTGTCACTTATATAAATAAGTAAGGTCACAAATAATCCCTTAGGGCATTGTAAGATTTCATTTAAATCTATAAAGTGACCATCTTTTATTTACAGACAAACTTACCAGTCTTCAAAGTGAAAGAGTCAAGTGTCAGGAGAAGATATAGTGACTTTGAATGGTTAAGAAATGAACTAGAAAGAGATAGCAAGGTACATGTGTTTGCAATGTCATACATAATTTACATCTGTATTACAGTATTTTTGTTTGCCTTTTTTATGTTTTCATTTAAATACCTAATGTCAATAACATCAATTAATCGGTTAAATTTGCATATTCTAGATCGTAGTTCCCTCATTGCCGGGCAAAGCTTGGAAACGTCAAATGCCTTTTCGAGGAGATGATGGTATCTTTGAAGAAGACTTCATTGAAGATCGCAGGAAGGGTTTGGAAGTATTCGTTAATAAGTAAGTTCACTTTAAATAATTATTATTGCATTAAATGTTGATATAGATATAGAAAGAAACGGTTCAATAAGTAAAAATATTTTTTTCTCTTAGAATTGCAGGTCATCCTTTAGCACAAAATGAAAGATGTTTACATATGTTTTTGCAAGAGCCGGTGATAGATAAAAATTATGTTCCTGGAAAGATACGGAATACGTAGATATTTTTTACAACCATTTTTCAGATTGATTATTGCAAACACATTACAAAACCAGTATATCATTGTTGTCGGAGTATTTTGATTATTTCGTATATCATTTTTATTTGAAATTTTCAATCATTAATTTCTATAATAAGATTATTATTTTTTTTTTATAATAAATTATTCAAATCACATGATCTTCAACTTGAAAACGACTCAAGTCCTATAAAAGCCATTTCAAAATATTTTTTATCACATCTGATGTGTGAGGATATGCGTGTTTAGAAACAAATAAATGAAGATTGTTGCAAAAAATTTATTATTGATGAATGAATTAGGTATAAAAATACCTCATATAAAATTAAAATGAATGAATTTAATTCAGAATTTAAATAAGGTAAACAATATGACACATTCTTGAGAGGGTCAGTTAACCCATGACATAGATTTTTGTTCCATAAGCAAATTTTGAAATGGATATTTAGAATTTTTAAAATAAAATTATCACGATAATTTTTGATACTTGAAAATTAATCTTTCAAAAATCAGGAAATTTTAAAATTGGATAGAAAATATTCTTGTACTTGTCAAGTGAATGCAGGATATGATGAGCAACAGTCTTCATCCTAATAAATTATTGTATGAAAAAACGAGAAACGTTAAAGAAAGAATATGTACAAGGACCGAAGTTTTGCAATATAAATATATATTTATAATTAATTGTAATGCTCAGATATTTGTAGCATCATTTAATTTTTATTATTTTTCTGAAAGTGACAAAGAGAATATACGTAAAACATATTAATTAATTAATTTTATTTATTAAAATTATTAATTAATCAATTAAATAAAATGTTAAGGCATGAATAATTTAATTAAAAATAATTTAGACTTTTAAAATAAGTTTAAACAGCAATTGGCAATTTAGTAGCCTTAAAAATGTTTGAATGTGATTATGATGGAAGTATTTGAAGTACGTATGATATTTGATAGAATTCATGCGCTATGTCAACTAATTGAGTGATTTGTACATTAATTAATATGAAATTTGTCAAGCACTTTTTTGGAATTACATAGTATATCATAAAATACGAATAATACGATGTGCAATTTGATTTGCACTGTCGTGATCTATAAAATAAATTATAAAAAAATAAAATTAATTTTCACGATACTCTGAGTCTTCATCATTATTTTATTGCATTCTTTATTTTTTTTTTACCAACATTGTACTAAATTATTCATATTTTAACTATTATGTATGTATTAAGTTGACTTTAGTTCGATAATAAAAATGTTATTACATCAGAGTCAATCTTTATTTATTATTACATCGTGGTTAATGATAAAAAATTGAGATAAAAAACTGTACAAATAGGAGGAACAAAAAGAATGTATCGCCAATAAGTTAAAAATAAATTTTTAAAAAATAAAAAATACTTTACCGCATGAATGAAAATGTATTTTGTGATAAAATTCTATATATTGATAATCTTTTTATCGGATGGCGCATTCTCACAAAGATTGGATGCTGTTATTCCTAACAATCAGAAGGAAAAATTAAACTCTTGTCAACTAAAAATAAAAGAAGCTGTTTCAAAATGTTTATCCGATTCACTTGAAAAGATATGCGAAGAAAAGTATTCGGATGAATCAGTAAGTAAAGACAGTGAAAATTCGTATTCTTCAATATCATCAATCTCATCTTCGTCACCATTCGATGTTAAAAAATTTGATTGGAGTAATAATAGTCCTTTGGCCAAGCCATCAGATTTTTATCCAAAGGAAAAGAAAACATTTAATCCACCGAGAGCACAGAGTTCAATAAAAACCAAGGACGAAACACTTGAAAGATTTTCAAGTAAATTAAGTGATAATACAGAATCATTGAGACCTCGGGTAACTGACAAAATAGCAAGTACCTCATTAAAAATGGATAATTCGGATAGAAAAAACAATGGTGATGTTATAATTTCCACTACAATTCCAAAACTTGATGTGAAGAAGGAAATTAAGAAACTACCATCTGGAGAAAACCTTAAAATAAGATGGAAACGTGAAAATGGTCAATGGATAAATTATGTTTCTACAGATACTAATAAAAAATATTAATTGTATTTATTCTGTGTAATATAATTTAATAATAATAGAATCGCATTTAAAAGTATTAAAATTGAATTATTTTTTATATCTCAGAAATTTATTTTATCTTTTCTACTAAAAGCAGCAAGGAATTTTAACATAAAATATTTTTGTTGATACTGGCTATATGCATGATAAAATAATAGTTCTTAATATCTAAGTAATTAATTATCAAATTAATTCTTCGATATTCACGCTATCAAATTGATATTATATGGCATAAGATCATTTTTTGAAATAATGTATAAAAAATTTATTTGTTCGTATTTTTTTGGTATGTTAACATTTCTTTTTTAATTATTAAAACCTATGATAGCTAATATTTCATTTTTGTTAGAATACTTATAATCAATGATAATAATAACAATAACAATAAAATATACTAATAACGCAAACTTATTTTATTTTTTTACAATATACAACTTAAATATTCATAGAAAATTAATTATTGATAGCGTAAATGCCAAAAGATCAAACAAATAGTTTAAATTTATCAGTTTTTGGAGAATAAATTGAATTCATGACAAAATATCGGAGATGTAAAAATGATATATTACCAAGTCTCTGAGTAAATCTATCACAAAATGGAGCTATGAATACATATTATTAAAAATTACTATTTAATTTCTCAAGTTACTAATTAGTATGTATTTATATATAGATACATATATATTTATACTTCTAGTTATTTACAGGTGTTTAAACGACTTGAATAAAAATCATGGTACACTGACTTGTAAACGATATTGCAATTAACAAAATAATAATAGGCCATTTACAATATTTTAAATGTTCACATTGCAGATTTAATATTAAAATTATTTCATGCGATTATATATGTGAATTAATAAATTAATTAATCAAATTATAGAATTTTTTTTCTATTTTCAATGTGCTCCACGATCTATTTAAAAAATAATATTATGTGTAAAAATGTAAATACATAAATAATTCAATAATGGTTTGAAAGAAAGCTCGAAGGTGTATCAAGTTTTTCATTGATTATCTGTGCATACGGAAATCAATCTATTAATATAGAACGAGTTTTAAATACATTATTAATAATCAAGAAAAATTCACAAATTATCGTATACATACCAGTATACTGACTCATCGCATCTATCATTACTATTTATAATGCATGAAAATAGATAATGTTCGATAATAAACATATAGACTATCAGAAATACTTAATGACAAGTTTGTAAGTTATGTGATTCACTTGTTTGTCTTTTTTTCACTAAATTTTTTATGTGTAAATAAATCTTCTTTTTTTACTCTTTCTCTTATTTACTTTTGTATTTATGTCTTCACAAGAATTATTGAACAATTGAAAGTAATACTGTTATACTAACTTTCAATTCATTGCTTTGATGTAATGAGATTTCATTTGAATAGTTTAACAAGTCATAGGGTTACATGTCTCCGCCCTTTAATACGATTAACTAAATTGCAGATTTTCAAAGCTGGTCCGAGTTTTAAACCCATATATTTCATCATCATATCGGAGTTTAAAAGAAGCAATGCTTTGCCATCGATTTCCTAAAAAAAATAATAATGTACTCAATCATAAATAAATAGATTTATTAATATTCAGATGACAATAAATAACCTAAATTCTTACATGTTTGCGAAAAAGATCAGCATGTTGTCCGAGAACAGGATCAATAACTCCGATATAATGAATCACATCTTCAATTGTCCATTCTGCTGGTTCTGTAGAGGAAATACGGCTTGCAGGGCTTTCAGATTGTGTCGTTGATGTTGCTGCTTCTAACTCTGAATTGATAAAAGAAGAAAAATATTTATTTAAATCAATACTTTGTTGTCATTTTGATATCAAAAGTATCAAATGATTTTTTATAACATTAGAAATAATATTTATGTATTATAATTGATTACAAACCTAAAACTGATTTCTTCGCTTGTTTTGCCGGCGAAGGAGCTAATAAAGTTGAATCAACATTTGTAGGTGATGGTGTAGATTGATTTTTTTGCTGCTGAGTAGCAGAACCAACTGTAGAGGAAGTTGTTTGTGAATTTTCTGATGACCATCTTCGTTTTTCTGCAGTTGACTCATTATTTTCGTCTCTCTTGGCAGCAGTTGAAGGGGAAGGATTAGGACATTTATCACAAGTTTCCTGTCTCTTACATAATAATCGTTCACAAGCACACAAATCTTCCAACTGTCTTTTTATATACGTATAAAAATCCTCTTCTTCAAGGAATACAGGCAACCGAAATGTCATTGGTTTTCCATCAAAAGTTAATGTTATACTCTCGCCTTCGCCGTGTTTTAAGAGACTTAACATTTGTCGAGGACTCAAAGCAGCCATTAAAAATGTCTGAAAAACATCTCTGATAACATTCGAGATAGTTCCACTTCCAAATTGTGGAGGAGTTGCTTTAATTTTTTTAGGATCGAAATAAGGTCCACAAGAACAATTATGATTGACATAAAGAGTCACTTTATCAAGAACTCTTGGTTTATTATTAGCTGTACTGGTGTCTGGTTCAGTAGCAGGTTGTGGAGGAGCACTAGATCCTGCAGGACTTACAAGAGCAACAGCAGGCTCTCCACTTGCTCCATTTCCAGAAACAGCCATCACTGGAAGTACATTAGACGTTCGAGACTTAAACCTGTTTTGTCCTGCAGCTTTTTGGCGAGGTGGTTGGAGTGGATGATCACTTTCAGAACACCAACCTACTGGGAAAATATCTCGTGAATCATATTTACACCAATAATCGAAAGCTCCTCGCCATCCATCAAATGTTATATGAATTAAATCATCCTTCACAGCACCGACAGTTGCAGCACAAATTAATTGTGGATTTTTCTTGTCAATTGCTTCAAGTTTGTGACCAACTCTGAATAAATTACCTCTTGGAGTTTTTGGTTCACGTTTAAACATCTTTGCAGGAGCCATTTCAACTCCATTTAAAGTTTTCAATAAAAACATTGGCCAACTAGACGCATTCATACGAAAACCAAGAGGAGGTTGAAGCATTCCTCCAGATCTTTCACAGTGACCTATAGGATGAATTTCATTGCTATCCACTAATCGCCAAAAATCATTTTTATTGTCTGAACCATCAAGACGAAGTCTTAATCGAGATCCTAACACTCCAACCACTGTTGCAATACATGTTGATGTTAAATTTCTCGGATCTAAAGCTTCTAATTTCATTCCTATTTTAAAATCATTTGTTGGAGGAGTTGTATGTTGTTTGAAGCACTCTGCAGGAGCTGCGATACTGTTAGTCTCTTTTAGATATGAATTCCAGTCAAAAGTTTGATAAGTTTCATATTGAAAGGGGCCAGTAGATGTTGATGGTGCGTGAGATGTATTTGTTGAGGTATTATTAGCAGAATTAGTGGTTCCATTATTTGTTGGAAATGATTGAATAGTACCACTACTACTAGGAAGTTCAGAGGAAGCTGGTGGTGTTGTTGAAGATGATTGTTCACCTAAATCTGAATTGATAAAATTATAAAAAATTTATAAATTACGCTTATTAGAAACTATTGTATACCACAAATTTTCGTTACTTACTTTTCTTGATTTCAGCTGCAAGTTCCTGTTTTTGATACTTGTTTAAACAAAACGAAGAACAAAAATCTTTGTTTGGACCATCTTTTTGTTCTAATCTGAATGGTGGACCATTCCAATGAATCACATTGTCACAACGAAAACAGGTACCTCGAACGTAAGTTTTTCTGAACTCTGATAAACAAGTTTCAGAACAAAATTCTTTTTTCCCACGTTGAGTTGGTAAAACATATTTAAGAGGTTGTTTGGTTTCCCCACACCAAGTACAAGAGCTCTTAGACTTTGGTGGACGCCCCGGACCTAAAATATAAAATAATTAATAAGTTAATAAATTTTTTTAATACAAAAATGCGTATCATTTTATTTCGGCAAGTCCCGAGTTCATGATAGATCTAGTTTTTTAAATTGGAGGTTAAGTTATTAAATTGCCACAGAAATTACCTCTCATTTTATTTTGCATCGATGACATGATTTATTCAAACTTAAAGTTAACACTAAAAAGTATTTCACAAAGAACCACATAACATTAAAAATTTAATAGACAAAGCAGAAATCGAAACCATGTTTGCTGAATGAAAAAAGGTTTCGGCAATCACGATGCGCACAAAGTAAAATAATTAAATTTACTCTGTAAGATTTGATAATTATTAACAAAAAAATGTATCAAAAGATAGAATGTATATAATTAGTTATAAAATATTAATTCATATAACAACAGATATTTATTCAATTTAAAAATTTTACAAATCTTTAATAAATTTACTCGCAGAAGAACGAACAAAATAATACATCACTCCGCCATGTTACACTGGCGCTTCTCTCATCGCTCCCTCGTTTTCACCGCAACCGTACGAAATATTTTTGTTTGCTTTTTTTTCTTTTTAGAATTTAAAATTAAATTTTTGTACAAAAATTTCTTTAACTAAATTGTAAGAAAATGATATATTATGAAAAAATGATGCTAATTAAAAAATTAAAAGTCTTTCATAAAAAATAATAATCGCAGCTAGCGCATCCTATATACTCTTACGAACACTTACTGTATTCACTATTGATATGCAACAGCCATCTATTCGATTTATTCAACAAGTTAATTTTGTTTGTTATCATGTGATGCGTAAGAATGGTCTTTTAACCCCGCTTAACCTCAAATCTCATATGGTAGGGGAAAATGCTTAGCTTGTGATACATAAAAGCGTGTGAACGTTTTTCTTCATAAGTAATCACTAGCTAGTAGTCGTTAATTATTCCCATTTTCCGCATGAATAATTATCAATAATTCATAAATAATTGTAACATAAAGAACGAATTTATAAGTTCTCTTTCATCCATACAGCTAAAAAGAGGTTACAAGAAGTTGATTTAGCTTGTTGCTATTTCCCGCGAATTTCTATAACTAAGTCTAACATGTTTTGTCTTCAAAATGTATTAACAAAACATATTTAAGAAATTTATAATCTTTTCTTTCATATAAAGTGTATATTAGTTTTGATATTTGTACAATGGCTGGTACATACACACAAAGGGAATTTGAAGCAGGAGTTGAAGAACAAACTCTCCTAAAAAATGCCAATTCAACAAAAATTGTTGTACGAGGTATGATTTCAAATAATTTAAGTGTTATTTCAAATTTTTCTTAATCACTTATTTTGATTCTTTACATTTCTCTGTTTTTCAATTTTTCTAATACTATAGCCTTCTTGAACTACATTCAGTGCTCCAAACATTCTTGATATTTTATTCTTTTTATTTATCTTTTCAAACCACTCTTTTACTCCCTTTTTTTGATACACTGCCAAGTTGGCTTCTTTAGAAAATCATCAAATAATATTATACTCCAATACTATCAATTCAGCTGAATTTTTCGATCATAAGGTATGAAGTCTGTTTATTTTTAACTCATCATTGTAACTTTTATCTCAAACTTCTTGTCTCTGTGTGATAAATTTTAATGAATAATTTCATAATTACTCAATTAAATTATTGGCTTCATAAGTAAATTATGTTATCAATAACATTAATAGCCGAAAATGTAGAATTTTGTAATAATTGTTTGGTCAATTTTTAGGAATTGAAAAGAATTATTTAAAATCCTACAATACTTTCATTATGGAAAATATTATTGGTAAATGAATAACTGTTTTGATTATAGTTTTTATTTCTTTTGATTTAGTAATAACATTATTTAAGATATCTATATCGGCCTAAACACTCGGCTTTATTGCTAGAATTCAATTTATAAATTGATTTGAATTGGCCTATAATCTTGACTTTATAATATCTTTTATATTTAATTCAAAAGTTATTTATCTATTATCTCCATCAAATTGTTCAATTTAAAGATATTTAAAGAATATTTATGATTACATATATTACTCATAAAAATTTATTCAATACAATTTCACTTCGCTGACTGTAATGATAACTATGTTAATGTCAAAACACAGAAGAAAAATAACTAAGTAAAAGAAAAACTCAAATAATGTTAAAAACTAAATTTGCGTAATCAGCAGATAATATGCAATGTGTAACAAAAGCAACAAACACTAAACTGATAATTTAGTAGGATGTTGAATATTAATGAACATTAATGGTGTTTTAGAACCAGTTAGATTGTCACCGGGTTGGGAAGGAACAGATAAACCTGACGACGAATTAAATTTTAAAGAATTAACAATGGATCAAGTGAATCTTGAATTAAATCCTCCCAAAGATAGACTGAATTTGGTATTCTTTATCATGTTGCTTCATGGTATTGGAGCTTTAATGCCATGGAATATGTTCATTACAGCTAAGAATGTAAGTGACTCACGTTTGTGCCAGATGATAATGACCTTATACTGATGAAAGTTTTTATTTTCAGTACTTTGCTAACTATAAATTTTCAAGTAATTACACAGGAATTGAAACAAGTTATGGAGCAAATTATGTATCGAGCGTTAGTTTTGCCGCTCAGATACCTAATCTTATCTTTAATTGGTTAAATATTTTTATGACATTAGGGTAAATATCAAAATAATCTAATTCTGATCAATGAATTTGTTATAATTTGATTTTAATTGAATTAATTCATTATAATTGTTATTTGATTATTGCAGAGGTGAATTAACGACGCGAATAGTATGGGGAATTTTCATGCAAGTTTTAATATTTGTGGAGACTGTAATTTTAGCTATGATAGATACGTCAGCATGGCCAGGAATTTTTTTCTGGATTACAATGATCTCTGTTGTAATATTAAACAGTGAGTAGTATATGAGTACCACTTTCTTATGATGAAAATACTTAAATAGATGGATTTAATTATTGTAATAAATATTTGCAGCTTCGAATGGTATTTATCAAAATTCAGTTTTCGGTATGGCTGCAAAATTACCAGAAAAATATACCGGAGCTGTTATATTAGGATCAGTAAGAATAAAGTTTCATATGCTTATTTAATTTTTTTGACTTTTAATTATTTAATTGTACTTCAATTACCAAATAATATTATATACTGATGAATTGTTAACATTTTCCAGAATATTAGTGGAACGTTTACAGCTGTTATAAATCTTTTAGCTGATTTAATTACCCCAGAAGAACGCAGAGCAGCTATTTATTATTTTATAACCGCTCTCTTTGTACTACTAGCTTGTTTCGATACATATTTTGCACTACCAATAAATGTAAGTACAGTAATTATTTTTTTATAGTAATAGATCTAAGTTTAGATAGCATCAAGAGAAATTGAATAGTAATATTTTCTTCTCTGATAACAGACCATTCACCTTTTATATTCGATATATCATTACAGATAAAAATAAATTAATATTGTTTTAATATTTTACAGAGGTTTTATCGATATCACGAATATTTACACAATAAAGAAAAACGAAAAAATGATTCAGATGTAAAATCTAAAACACGAGGAACTCCGCCCTATTGGAAAATCTTTAAACAATGTTCTCCACAATTGTTCAATATATTTTTCATATTCTTCGTTACTCTAAGTCTCTTTCCATCTGTCCAGTCTGACATTAAATCATCAGATCCATCATTTATTGAAACGATTTATACTGGGAAAGAGACAGAAAAAATTTACACTGATATAATGTGTTTTGTGTTATTTAATGTGACTGCGATGATAGGTAGTTTTATTACATCATTCATTCAATGGGTAATTTTTTTTTTGATTTGTTGATTTTCAAGATATAATTAAAATATGATATATCGAAATTGACGGTAATTAATTTTTTTCAGCCGAAGAAACAATGGCTTGTTGTTCCAGTTGTTCTACGTGTTTTATATATTCCACTATTTTTGTTGTGTAATTATAAACCAAGGCTTGTGGCTCGTACATTACCAATTTATGTAAACAATGATTGGATTTATCTTGGAATAGCAGCAACAATGGGTTTGAGTAGTGGCTATCTGTCCTCTCTTGGAATGATGTATTGTCCTACGTAAGTAAACTAGTTTATTGCGTTATGCATTTATTATAAAAATTCTTTGAAATGAATATTATTGACATAATTAAAACGAAAAGTACTTAAGAATACAAGAGTTCATTTTTTTAGAATGGTAGATTCTCGACATGCATCTACTGCTGGAATGTTTGCTGCTGCATTTCTCATCACTGGAATTTTCGTTGGAATTCTTTTTGCAATGGTTATGCCCTCGATAGTTTCCGCAAGTATTTGGGAATGATATTTCATTTAATACAATAAATTACCATCGTGGAAGCGTTGATTAATTAAAAGAATGAATAATTTACCATAATAAAAATGTACGATCCACGTGAGATGTGTAACATACAAACAAGAAATAGTGTGAACATCACAAACTTGTTCTATTGAAGATTAATACTTCATGTCATATCAGTTACATAATGACATAAGTGCCGGTTATCTGATATTTCTCTGTTAATAACTCCGACGTTTATTACTTCACGTTAAATTATCATACTTTTAAAGAGATATTTCAATTTAAAAATTAAAAAATAAATTTCTAAAATACATCACAATTTGAAAGTCTCATAAAAATTATTAATGCATCTAATACTGTTAAAAATGGATAATAATTAGTGAGTTTTGAGAAATTTATTTTTATCTTTTAAATTGTAATTTTCTCTTGGAAAAATAAGATTGATAATGTAATTAGCTCAGTAGATCTTTAGTGCTCAATTATGAAGGGTTTGAAAAGGTTGAAAGCTGTCATTTTATGACATGCTTACAATCCATTACCAAAATGCCTTTTAAATTAAAATACCATATAAATAGTTGATGACAAATGTAAGTTAACAAAGTATTAGTCGCGTCGATTTACTATCTAATGTATGTATCGCGTATATACATGAACTCACCGTTCCAACAAACATAATGAATACATAAATTGGACCAACCCGCCTTAATTATTAAAATCTGACTACTCATATTTGTGTACATTATTTTAAAGCCGCTTAAATTGAAGCACACGCTGCAAGATAATTGTATGTATAATAAAAAAAAAAATTTAATTATTCAAATTTTCGACATATGTTCATAAATTAATAATGACTATAATATCTATTGATTAATGTATGAAATACAAAGTAAATAACTTTTCTCTACTACATTTTTGAACGTTAGTTTTTGCTAAAAATATTGAGACGATTTTCAAAATATTTAATATTCATTCTTAATCAAGTACAATTTTATAAAATAATTTTTTAATTTTTATACTCATTCATCTTTTAATTATGAAAGACTTTGCTCGTGTATCAAATGTTCAGTAAATTTTTAAAAAATTTTGTATGACTAGATCAATGAATTAAAAATTTATTGAAACTTCTAATTAAGCGTAACAAAATTGATATAAAAATTTATTTGTTTATTTAATATCATTTATCAACAAAAAAAAATGTCATACTTAAATTTATTTTGTAAAAATACTTTGACTTAACATGCGAGTATTGACATAGTTGACGATAAAATTTTATTGTGTGATTTAATATTTGTGTTGATTGATTTTTGTATATTTTTTTAATGTTTTCAATGATAAAATAGATTTATTTAAGAATATAGCTTTTAAATTAATCCATTTTACGTGACATAAAAAAAAATGGAATTATTGAAAATTTTTAATATTTACCATATCAGATAGTTGTTAATACGATGATATAAATTTTATCGTGCAACCACTTACATTCTTCACTCCATCGTTTACCTGACACCAATACTTCCATTAAATATGTAACATTTAATGTATAACTCTATCATCTTCGATATCAATTCAGCTAAAAGTTAAAATATTTCAACAAAAGTGAAAAGTATATTTGATCAACATTGCTTTATAATGGTTCATGCTTTTCATATTGTTCGTAATACAAACTTCTAATAATGAAAAAAAAATTCAACATTCAATATATTACTCAGTAAATAAAAAAGTCCGAATTTAAATAACTGGACAATCTTAGAATCAAGCAATGCCGACAATAATTAAGGAAATTTGGGCAATTCATTAATTAAAAAATATTGTTAACCCTGATATGAATAGATAGGATATTTTTGTATTGATCCAATTGTGAATATTTTCGGTTAATCATTAATCCATTGATAATTAATAATTATTCATCAGTTGTCATAATGAACAGTAAATGGATATCATTAGAAAATAAATTGCACAGATGTATATTTTTTATTAGTAAAATATCAAGAAATTGTAAGAAATTTTGTGATTTTGTTATTATCACATTTACTGTAATTTTCTTAGTGTAAGAGAAACTCTCATGACGCACCCACGTCAAAATTGTTATGAAAAAAGATTACCTATAAGCCTGTGCAATTGATATTCAACAAATTTAAATAATATGAAATTTTTGCTTTATCTCAACATAATAATTGTAACAACCCAATATCTTTCAATAGTCTACTTCTCAATACTCCTTTTAATTAATTTTAATCATAGCAATAAAGATGTTACTCATTGTTAATATTCTATTGTATTACACTAAATGCGTAAAAAATCATAAAAATATATACGTGTAATTTACGAGATTACCGAAAACATAGTTATAGAATTGTTAAAATATCCAATTTTATGGTAGAATTGAACAAATGCATTAAAAGTAAACAATTGAACGTAAAAATTATAACAGTACTGATTTCATGAATTTTTTTATTATTTTTAAACAATTAATTATAATTGTCACGTAAAAACGAAAATAAACTTCCTTAAAAAATATACTCACATTGTAGTATTTTTAATTTTTCATTAATAATTAATACTATATTACAGCTTATAACGTAACAGATAAAAAAAACATTTTAAAGTTTAATAATTATCCATGTTCAATTGTAATTAGTTAATGATATAATTAATTAATTAATATTAATACAAAATTATTTTTATAATTATTCTTATTATTGCAACTATATTTTATATTTATGCTAATTAAAAATTGTATATTACATGACATAAACTTTTTCGATTTTTTTGAATGGAAATACTTCTTTGGTTTTTGGACATATTACAGCGCCATTATTTTCTTGTGCCATTTTTTCTAAAGCCTAAAAAATAATTAACCATTTTTATATCCCAAAAAATGAATAATGTGAATTTAGAATACCCTATGATTTTAAAGTTAATAATAATAATAATACTAGTAAAAAGAATAAAATATACCTTTTCACCATAGACGTATCCATTCGGCATCATCATCGGTTGATTATATTCATTTAGAGGTTCCCCACTAATACTACACACTAGCCTCGATTGAGAGCAATGAGCAAAAGGTAATGGAGCAGCTAATTCATTAAGTGCTTCATTGCACACAGGACAACTAGCATTTTTACCTTCCTTATTAGCACTATAACACTGAAGTGTTTTTAGAGCTGAAAGACCAGCTTGGAGTGCAACAGTAAATATACTTTGACTGGCCAATTGAAACAGTCTATAATTTTCATGACGAAATTGTTCTATAAGTCGGTCCCAACGTTTTTCATCTAATAAATCTTTATAAGGACTCAGATAAGGATTTGCTGGAAATGCTAACTGTCCCATACAGCTTTGAATTTCTTGAAGTTGATAATCATCATAATTCGCAAAGCATTTTCGTGCATGTTTTACTGCATCCAAACGACGATCTTGACGAACTAATTCAATAAATTCTTGAACTCTTAAATTGAACTCCATTGTGCTACCTAATTTTCTTAATTTCGATCTATTATCATGGCACCATCCTAAGCAACGGGTTGTCTCATGATTTGCTAATGATATTTCAACTTCTCTAGATACCATAAACACATCTGTAAATGATTAACTTTATTATAAATTTTATAAATTTTTTAGCACTGCTTTAAAGGTAATTAAATTTACTATAAAACTTACCAATATTTGTTAAATCTCTCAATTCTGTAGTGTCAGCCAATTTCATAGCTGTCTTATAATATCCTTTCCTTAAAAAATATTCAACAAGCATCCTATCAAGTCGCTGTCTTCTCCATTGATTTACGACACTAGGAGATGAGTTCGCATGTTCTTTTAAATGATCTAATCTTCTTTTACAGACCATACCAGCTTGAAGTTCTTCTGCTATCGATTCTTCTGCCTTTCTTTTTAACACTTGTAATCTAGCTACTACACCACCTAATAAACGGGTGATTTCTCCTGTTGTTGCATGACCACTATTACTATTAAGTCCTTTTTCAAGTTCATTCGCAGCTGCTTGTACATGAGACACTTCTCTGTCTAAAACTTTTTGCGTTGAGCGAAATTTTTTGTTTAACAACTCATATGGCACCTAAAAAAATAAGTTTGATTATTATAAATAACTGAAACTCAAATTTATTAGATATTTTCAAATATTACATAATTACTTATTAATATATCGAAATCTAATTCTTTCATCTCAGACAAAGAGATATATTTTTATTTCTCAAGTCGAAATATATCGTTTTGAATTTATTGAACTATCAATTGACATTTTTATTTATTAAACAACAGTATGTTATTTAAAGATGTATATTTAAATATTTGTCATTTTAATAATCCCTATATATTTATCTTTAATTAACAACGTCATGATTTATGTCATACTTATTATAAATTCTAAAATTATTCTGTTCTGATGAGTAACATATTAAATCTCATCAAAATAAATTGTAACAAATCAAACGAAATATTTAAATGTTAGATGTTTCTATTTGTTTTGAATGAATAAAAAATTATTTATTTTTTACCTTTAGAGTAGGATGCTCCATACTCTTTATGTCCGACATTTTCGAAACTCGATGACAGAAACGAGAACAATAAAAAAATAAATTTCTCGTCTCGAACTAAATACGTAGTTGATTTGAGAAAAATATTACGTTGTTATCGACGTCATTGTTCATTCATCATGTGGGATAAATTTTCTGATTTTAACAAGAAAATAAAAATAAAATATGTTTTTTTACAGCAAACAAAGAAATACGTTAGACCTTGATACACAAAAATCTACATATTACGACTCAAGACACTGTTTATGATGAATTTATCAAAGAGAGCTCAAGAACTCAGCTGGTTGCAGATGATCATCTAACATTGGTAACACTTATCTTAGAACTAAATCTATTTTTTTTTCTATAAATGTTGGTATCCCTATATTTATTCGATTCGATAATCGATTGAACCAAAAGTTCTCGAACTAATAGAATCGACTTTAAGACTCCATTATTATTGCAATATACATTTATTATCTACGTGTTTACGTCAATTGCAAGTGGATAATAGTCAAGATTTAGTGCAAAATATAAGGTGAATGGAATAAAAATAATTGAAAAAATTTAAATAAGGTGGAATTAAAAGGAACTGGAATATTGTCGGTGAAATTCGGCAATAATCGAGTAAATTCGGTGGGCAACGGACAAGATCGGTGGCGCGCGCGAGTCACTCGGGCGTCCGGGGGCCGCCATTTTCCTCCAGTGAGGGAGAGAGTCGCGAGTCGTTGGACAGTCGCACACGTTTTTTTCGCAGATCGAGCGATTTTACGGAGTTTCGGGGTGTCGGGCGGGTGCGCGACAGCCCAAAACCCATTAATCGTTGTAAAAACGTAATATTAAAAACTAAAAGGTGTTTGGAAGTATCGAAAAACGTTGGGAGTAGTATCCAGAAGCAAAGCGGCGAGTTGCCCAGGAGGAAGAGAGAGAGAACGAGCGGCTTTATATGCCGGGAGGGAAGAACGCCGTGTGAGTGATATTGTGATTGCAAGTGACGCGGTGTTAGGAAATTATTTTTGATTCTGTGGATTTAAAGCGTAGGTGGATAATAAGTTCAGTCTCCGACAGGTTAGTTGATATTTTTTATTTTCCTTATGCATGAAGTTGAAAGTTTTCCCTTTTTTTTCCTGTGCATTTAGGTGTATCTTGAAATACACAAAAGAGTATCAATTCCGGTCTTAATGACTAACGTGCGTTTCACATTCATCTTTCAAACTTATCGCATAAATACTGTGCCACATAATAATCTCTATTTGAAAATTATTTTTTTATAAATAAATTTAAATATGAATGATGTTCGTGAGCACTGGCTACTGTGTAGAACTTTTGTTGTGCTGTTTTGGATAGTGATTATTACTGTACTCTCACCGGAATCATTCATGATTAGATTTATTTGTATGAAAATAATTTTTTTTTTTATTCAAGAGGTTATTGTGTAGCATAGTACTGAGTAAAAATCTTTCCTTTTCCCCGTGTCGTACACTCAACACTGCATCCTAACTCCTAACCGTACACCGACCGCGCAAAATTCCGCGCGCCTTTCTCCTTTACTCTTTACTTCTTAAGCATAAAACAGAGACAGAGTGCGTGTATGCGTGTGCACGCGTGCTCAATGCGCGTGCTCCTGTGTATATATTCTCCTTTCAACGTTTGAACGTTAGAGATCGTGACCACGTCAGGCAATACACCGTGCCTCCAAAGAACACCAAGCGCGAATCCTTAAAACAAGAAAGAGTGAGAAAGAAAACCTGTATGCTCCAAGGAACAGGAGGGAGTCGAGAGTCAGTCAGGAGACGCCAAGCGCGTCGAGAGACCTTTCTTTTTCTTTCGAATTGCATGCGGACAGTCACTGCGCCTCCATTATCCCGTCACTGTTTTTCACCTGTCCCTGAAAAATTCTTCCTTTCCTTTATATATTCTCCACTAAACTGGTATCAATAATCGATCATTTTAATGCTGCGTCATCAATGTTGTTTTTATTTTTTTTCCTTCACGTAAACAAACCTCAATTTCATTGTTTAACCTTTCATCATTTTTTTTCTACTATAATTATTCAATTGGTAAATATTTTTATTTATTACCAAATCGAATAAAATGTTATCTTCAAGTTAATTAAGAGAGTCCAAACATTTCATTGAAATTCAATTTCAAAACAACACTACACTTGAATCAAAAACAATATGTAATACAAAGTATTTGTTATGACAGTTAGATAAAACATTTTTTTTTTTTTATCAAACGAGAAGAATGTTCTTTTTCTTCTTTAATTCTAAACAATATTATAAAACAATATTCCAATTAACCTGAGAGGAAAATGATTCTTAAATGACGTATCAACTTGCATATAATTATCGTTAAAGAGCTGTATTCAAATGAGTATTTTCATGACAAAGTTATTATCATTGAACGAAAATTCTGAAGATGAATCGCATAAGGTAGATACAGTTGACGATGACATGTGACTGTCCATTGCGTTAATTACACACACCGGGAATGCTCTTGAATATGTCACGTCAAGCCTAAAGGCTCAGAGTAACGTGACTCACTGGCCTAGCAATTTATCTCTTTAAGTAAATGGTGACCAATGAACTCGCAGGGACGCTTCTAGAACGTGCGTCATTTCGATCAACATCCACTGAGTTCCCTTTCCCCAATCAATTTCTATTTTCACTAAACTCTTTAACATCAAAAAATAATTGTTATCATCTCTCCTTTGATGGCTGTGCGCTGCACTTTATTTTTTCTTCTCAAAAAACATATCTTATTTCTTCCCTCTCTCTCTCTCTCTTTCTCATTTTAAAACTCGTTAAATTAATTTTATAAAACGTTTTAAAGTGTATCACTAGTTGGAAACATCCAAAGGTTAGAGGTCAGAGTGAAGGATTGTAACGTAAATATATAAAAAGTTTTAGTTTTAGTAAAACGATTGATTTGAAAAGTTAGAGGAATGGATAACGATGACCTCGGATAAATCTTTACATAACTTTCGCCAAAGTGAAATAAAGGCAGCAGCAACAGCAGGAAAATAAACGCCACTTGAGTGGCACAATGTCGCACACTCGCTTTACTCTTCATTGAATCTTCTCCTACCATGAGATTCTGGTGGGTTGCGTGCGCCCGCGCATTTATAAATGTGTTTAGATCAGCATATATACTTGTAACCGGTACACGAGGAGAGACTTTAGTATTCAAACGAGCTCTCGTTCTACTAGTCTTACGTAATTTGCTCTACGCAGACGACGACACGACAACGGGCGGTGCTTATTCAGCGATGTACTGACCCGTATTTGTAACGCAATATCGTCTTTATTTTTTTCCTACATCATTTTCATTGTTATTATTATTGTTTTTACTTGTGTGTTTTATTTCTCCACAATTTGTTACTTACTTCCTGATTTTTAGCAATCAAAAAAAAAAAAAAAGCAATGACTATATGAATATTATAAAACTTGGTCAATCAATAACAATCAAAATTAATAAATTGCGATTGACCCAACATTAGTTAGCATGAAAGGACAAACGTGATGATGATGATGAAATTGTTGAGAAGATGTATATAAATATGATCATCAGAGCTTCCGAGAGATAATGCGAGAAGGAGAGAATTTGATGAAAAAAAGAAAGTAGTTTAGAAAAGCGCGAAGCTAGTTCAGGGAAACGAAGATAAAGATGAGGAAGAGAAATATTGGAAGGGGAAAGATAAAGCCTCTGCGACTTTCAAGTCGTTTGGTTCGAAGTTGTAACAGGTGCCCTCCCTCTTTCTTCTTTTTCTTTTCATGTTTTCTCCATCTTGGCCTTCTCAAGATACTTGGAGTCTTCGTAACTTTTCTTTCTCTTTTTTTTTACGTTTAAACTCAACCAGCCTTTCTTTTTTTACCTTATTTTTGAACTTAAAATCTTAAACATACGTTTGTTTCCACTTCACGTAACTACACTGACCTTAGGCAACGTTAAAATATTCTTGAAATAGTCAGGTTCAATATAAAGCTGTTAGGTATGTTAAGACTTGGTTAATTCAGAATGTTATTCAAGTGTCGAGGAGGAAATGCGGACGAGTTGGTTACATGGTACAAGAAGGGTAGCGCATCCATTGTAAACAGAATCGAGCGGTAAGCAGCTCCGGGATTTCGCGGATGAGCGACGGCAGGGGGGGTGGAGCCACCAACGGAACAAGCTAGGACGCGAGAAGGGCGAAGAGAAACGATGAGAAGAGTGTAGTGGTGAAGTAGAGTGAGAGAGACGATGAGCAGCTACACTCTGACTCCCACTGAGGGTGGGAAGTTGCCGGGACATCGATCGGGCCGGCCATTGCTTGCCACACTCAACTATACTATGAGTCAAGATGCCATTCCACCACGAGAAACCAAACTCCATCAAACTATCAGCCTGCCTTTACGCGTTTGTCCCGCACGACCGTTCGCTAGAGTCGTGCTTTTTTTCACACTCGGCTGTTTACTACACACTACCAGACCGATTTTTACACTTCACTTAATTCATGATTATGATAATAACTAAAACGATTTACGATAGATCAATAGATTTATGAATCTTTTATATCATTTAGGAAAGAAGAAACTTTTAAATGCTTGCCTTTTTTTTTTTTTTTTAAAAAACTCCATTAGATGTACAATTTGAATAATAAAGTTGAGTTTAAGTTATGAGTAAAATTGCTAGTCAGTAAGGACAGTAAAACTACTATTTTTTTATGTCTTATTACTAGTAATAATTTTGCCGAGTTGGAGCTTTTAAAATTTTATGCATTTAAAAGAAGAAGAAACTTTTGGACAAAATTATTTGACCGATTTATTCGTACTTTTTTATATACACCAAATACATCTACTTAAAGTAAGATTTATTCATTTACACTAATTCAATTAAATGATAAAAATGATATTTCAGAGTGATTAATTAATGTTAAAACTTTTTCCTCACTTTAATTAGACAATATGAATAAAAAAAAGTTTCACAGTAAAAAAGTTAACGAAAATTTATTAAATTATTTTTTATTATTCACTTGATAGTGCAATTAAATTTAATAATTAAAATTACATATAATATTTGGACATTTATTTTATGATAAAACAAATAAGAGAAATAGAAAGAAAAAAATGCCTAGTCATAGAGAAAACAAAAAAGGTAATCTTTTATTTGATATTTAGAGTTGGGGCAAAGTTAATCTGAGTAACTTATTGTCTTGATTATACACATGTACATCAAGTATAATAAAGAATAAAAGACATTAGAGTGTCTTATCGTTATGAGAATTACCCTTTAGAGAGAGAATTGGTTGAAAGAAAGTGAGAGAGATGGAGAGAAAAAAGAGGGAGGGAGAACGAGAAGAAAATGGAAGAGAAGTAAAGTTTCGCTTTAGCCGAGAGAACTTGAGTTAACTTTGCTGCCAAACGAAACTTTCCACAAACTTTAAGTAGTCGCTACCCTTCTTCGTGTTCTTCTTCTTCTTCTTCATCTTACTCTCTTACTCTTATTCTTCGTTACCCTCTTGGTATATCCAATTGTCCAGCTTGCGAGATTCATCTACAAGTATCGTATAAAGTTTACGTTAGAAACTTTGAGGAAAATATTATTGTTAATTTAATTGATAAAATATTGTTTATGTCACTAAAGGAACGAGACAAGTACCTCGACAAACTTTAGACTTTATTGGTGTACAAGGGATGAGGTAAAGAGATGTAGAGGTAGAGTTAGCATGGGCCATGATGGGAAGGAGAAAATCTCTCATACTCCAACTAGGAACGTACACCAGCTCTCGGCCGCGAAGCAAAGTTGCTCCCTGGTTAGACAATAATTGGATAACTTCGCCCTGGTACTGGCTAGCCACCTCCTTTCCACTCCTATTCAACCCCTTTGCAAACCCGGAAAAACTCTGTACACCTAGATTAAGTTGAAGGACAGAATCCAACTTGTCTTGAGTACCTGAACGTTTACAGTTCAAGTTTCGAGAGTATTTTATACCTACCGAATGTCGATAAATGCCCTCTTTACTTACAAACTATCATCTTTATAATTCATCTTACTTTTGTCTTCGTGTATAAATATGATTATTGATTCTTTTATTATCTTTCGTTGTATGACGTTCAAATATCTGTACAACTTTTATTATATTTTATAACTTATTGAACGATACACATTAAAGGGATTATCATCATAATAACTATATAATATGTGATAATTATCCTTTTTATTGGTGTCAGTGTCATTTTTAAAATTATTTACCTTGGAATAATTATTAAGTAAATAAATTACAAAAAATAAGTAATTATTTAACTGAATAATGATAATATTAATTGTAATACATTAAATTTAATTTAAAAAATTTATTATAAAAAAAGTTTTTTAGATTATTTAATTGTAATTATGATGACATTAATTGAATACACAGGTAATGAAATGTATATATAACTGCTATCCTGATGGATTAAATTGAAATGAATGAGTGAAAATTGGCCTTGAAAAAGAAACTTTTTAACACAAGTTTATTAGACAAAAAAAAAATTAGCTTATTTAATACAAGTATAAAATATTTAACTGACTTTTTACTTTTAATAGAAGCAAAAAAAAAAAATTAATTTGTCAATGTACTTTTTTTTTTACTGGGGGAAAAAAAATACCAGTAATTATTAGAATTCTTGATATAATACCACATCAATCATTATACTATGTAACTAATTGAATTTCGACGACCTAAACTTGAATTGATCTGAATAAAAACTATCAAGTATCTATACAATGTATGAAAAAAAGCGTAAATAACATGTTTAAATTTTTTTTTTAAAAAGTGTTTGCAAAAAATAGGAAGTATCACTTTAAGTAAATACACACTTAAATTACTTGTTGCAAGTAGTTATATTAAATAAAAAAATTTCAGTTGAAATTTTACGGAAATTACCTTCTACAGGATTATACTGCTTACCTTTGATGTTAAAAGTCTCTTTGTATCGCTTCAGTAATATACCATATAAAAAGTTAACTCTTGTATATGTGAAAATATGTGTCAAGGGCGTGACAATAATACTTTTTAACAAGATTTATTTAATAACAATAACAATGAATGATATTTGAAATAATTAACACTGCGGTATTGAAATATCAATCAAATGATATCAATCAATATGTATCAATTTCAGTCAATCATTCTCTCAATCATCTAATAAATAAATACAATATATTGGTATTTGATTGATTTGGTTATACAAAAATATATTTATCGAATAATAATATTTTGCTGAATTGCAGTCAATGAGATAAATATGCTGAATAAAAAGAAATTTATTTGCATATAATTAAATGTTTAGATATGAAAATATTACTTCGAAAGAGAAACTTTTAACGATTAATGATACTTCTTGTTTTTAAATTAACAAACAAAATTTTTCTTCATCTCTAAGAAAGATAAACAATGATAGATATATATTGGAGCAATTGAAAAATATTAGTAGATTGACATACTTCCGGACGTTTGACTGACGTTTATTCCAATTCCACCAACACTGATCGCATGGCAAGAACTTAATCTTTAGTCTTGACTTGTCCTTTACTTCTCTTTGATGATACGTAGACTTACGTTTTCCCTGAGTTGGCACAACATGTGCCCGAGTCAAAGTGCTTGGGTTTGCACACTCTACGTTAGTATCGAGTTCTCTAGAACTCGCTGAGTCAAGCACCAATCACATTTTATAGTTCCTGCAGGTTATGTATGTTTCTATTACATTCATATGTACGAAATGATCCACCTACTCTTTTCCTTATCAATCACATAATAATTCATTTTGCTACAAATAGATCTATACATATGTATATTTATTTATTTATTTTTTTGTTTATTTTATTTCCATTTTTATATTATCATTAATCATTTTATCAATTTTTTACTTTAACATAAATCTGATAAATAATTAAAAATACTGATTCAAACAATAACTTTCATCTGACATCTTTCGAAATAATTTCTATTATCTTTGTTTATAGTGATGAATAAAATTAATTTTAGTCAAAGAACAAACTATTTAATGAGCATAAGTTAATTACTGTATAAATACATTGAAGTAAGGACAAAGAGAAATTTTTTTATAGTTCAGAATTATTAATTTGTAGATACATAAGTTAAGTAATTCACTTATACGATTAGCTTAATAGCTGGCTAATGGCATCGTGTTTATTTTTGGAATATTAACACAAGTGTATATTTAATTTCATTAATATGAAATGTTTATCATTCTAATCGTTTTCTAGGCATATTTTTTTGGAGTAGACATCCTATTAACGTCATATACTAATTCTTTTAATCTTTATCATTATTTTCATCATATTCTTATCATAGAAAAATTTCACAACTTAATTAAATACATATTTAAGGCAGAATAAATGATTTACTACTTTTTAAAGGATTTTTGAACAATAATTTTAATGTATTATGGTTTATAATCATAATATTTATATTTCTAATAATAGAAGTTATGACAGTTATGGAAAAGAGATAGAAAGAGAGAGAGAGAGAGAGAGAGAGAGAGAGAGAGAGAGAGAAAGAGTATGTGAATGGAGTAGAAAACTTTAATTGTTGCGCTTCATTTTTATGCAATAAGTAGTGAAAGAAGTCATAAATGAATAAATGATGTATATAAACGTGTTAACACACTGATAAAATGCGTATAGGATGGCGCCACGTGTCAAACATCCGGCATTTTCCGATGAGCACATAAAAGCGCGCACGGCTTGACGGGTACCACAAAATCTCATCCATAAAGTGTACACCCATCCCTATATTTTATATAAATACATGCCATTAATTATATTCAGCTATTAACAACATTTCTATTTGCCGTATTATAAATTAGTAAATCAATCATAAGTTTTTTTATTTTTATCACAACACAACGGGATACTGAACACGAGTTTATAATCGCTGTTGTCTGTAGCATGACCTAAAAACATTGATCTTTACGTTGACCAACGCCAGGAATTGTACGATTATTTTCAAAAACATCAGCCCCAGCCAGAAGGCAGACTCTAGAAACTTTATCCTGACATCTTACCGGTTATTTAAATGTATTTTTTTCAATTATACATATTTTTAGTTAGTTTTATTGTTATCTAATGTATTGTTTATGACTTAAGTGATATTTAGCAAGTGTTTTTAACCTCAAAAACTTGAAATTGTTGGCTTAGAAGCCGGCGCGTTTTGAGGTAACCTCAAATCTAATTTACTTGAACATTTCTCACTTTCACCACTCGTTAAATCGAGCATCTTTGAATACTGATGATTGTATTGTATGGTATTATTGAATGTTATTGTTCAATTAGTAATCTTTCTTTTTTACTTAGTATATGTTGTTATTTTTTATTTTGTATTTAGTAACTATGTAAATAAAATTTGATTTTTTAAATTGTTGCAGGAGTCGGTAAACAACTTCGTGATGTATTGGAGATTCGACGGTTCACCTTCGCATACATATGAAACGTCCGTGTTGAAGAAACAATCTGTGTGACGAAACATAATAATATCAGTGCGGCATTATTTTTTAAACAATTAAACGTTGAGTGTTTTATAAACAAATAAATTGTAAGGGTGGATTTGTTTATCGGGTATATTGTTTGATTGTTATTAAAAGTAAGAGTGAGAAATTTAAAAATAGGGGGGGTTGTCTGACCGATGGACAAACGGAAGATGTTGACGAAACGCCCTCGAATGGATACTATGAGGGGCCCAATTGCTAATGGGCCCATCCAAACTCGTCCGTTGGTTGCTTTGCTTGATGGCCGTGATTGTTCTATTGAAATGCCCATCTTAAAAGATGTTGCTACTGTAGCATTTTGTGATGCACAATCCACATCTGAAATACATGAAAAGGTACATATATTAGAAAATTCAAACCCAATCAAGGATAAAATCAAATGAATACTTCACTAATGTTTTTGAAAGTTATAAATTTAATCTACAAATACCAATCAGAGCAAAAAAAAGAAAGTTTTATCGATTAAAACAATTATCTAGATTAATAGATATAATTATTTAATCATATTTCATATCATTCTTCAATTTTATCCTTGATTGTTTACTAACTGAAATAAAATAATTGGCAATTTTTATAATTTTCTTATTTCTATTATCTTTTTATCAGGTACTAAATGAAGCAGTTGGGGCTTTGATGTGGCACACTATTATTCTCACTAAAGAAGACCTTGAAAAGTTCAAAACATTAAGAATAATTGTACGAATTGGTTCTGGAGTTGATAATATTGATGTAAAAGCAGCTGGAGAATTAGGAATTGCAGTTTGCAATGTTCCTGGTTATGGAGTTGAAGAAGTTGCTGACACTACCCTCTGTCTTATTTTGAACCTCTATCGACGTACATATTGGTTAGCAAATATGGTCCGAGAAGGAAAAAAATTTACTGGTCCTGAACAGGTAAATAAATATTTTTTAATTTTTGCAAATATCTACAAATAGTTCAATAAAAAATATTTTTATCAAATAAAGGTACGAGAAGCTGCACAAGGATGTGCTAGGATACGAGGAGATACTCTTGGAATTGTTGGATTAGGCAGGATTGGATCAGCAGTCGCCTTACGCGCGAAAGCTTTTGGATTTCTTGTCATGTTTTACGATCCATATCTTCCAGATGGTATCGAAAAGTCTTTGGGATTAACCAGAGTTTATACGCTACAGGATTTGCTTTATCAATCGGATTGTGTGTCACTACACTGTACCTTGAATGAACACAATCATCATTTAATTAATGAATTTACCATCAAACAGGTATGTTTCTATATGAGAATGATATTAATTGAAATTAATTATGATGTGACATTAGTATATTTATTGTTTATGGTTAATTTTTTATTTATTTCAGATGAGACCTGGAGCATTTTTAGTAAACACAGCACGAGGTGGTCTAGTAGATGACGATGCGCTAGCAGCTGCACTAAAACAAGGCAGAATTCGTGCTGCAGCACTTGACGTCCATGAAAACGAACCTTACAATGTCTTTCAGGGTCAGTTAAATATTTCATGTAACTTTCGTCATATTTATTATTTTTATCTTTGACTTAAATTTTGATAAAGCTAAAGTAATTTACTGTTTGCAATTATGATTAACATAAAATTGAGATAATTAATTTTGATAATTTTAAATTCATCCAGGTCCACTGAAGGATGCTCCTAACCTTCTCTGTACACCCCATGCAGCATTTTACAGTGATGCAAGCTGCTCAGAATTACGTGAAATGGCAGCAAGTGAAATACGACGAGCTATTATTGGTCGCATACCAGATTGTTTGAGAAACTGTGTGAATAAGGAGTATTTCCACTCTTCCACCGGGTAAGACCTTTAGTCGACTCAAAAATTGAATTAAAAATTGATATAAAAATGTTAAACATAATGACATAATTAGATAAGTCAAAATGAAGCATTCTATATGCTAAAGACAGATTTTTAGCATGGTTATAATTTTAAAATCTTAAAACAAAATTTTGTGATACTTTTTTGATGAAAATCATATGTAAAGAAAATGAAAATAGACATAAAAGTTGCCTGCAATGGTTGATTTTGATTCAAAAAGTCATCTGGATACTTTGTTTTATTGTATAAGTGATTTACCAAAGTGGCCAACTTTGTTTTGCCTTTCTCCAGCAGCTACCCTGAGGCAATCAACGGTGGATACTATACAGGAACATTACCAATCCAGCAGGCGCATTCGACGACACCTCATGATTCAGCGCCTCCACCACCGGGAGGTCATTCCGGCGTTGGTGTTGCTAGTAGTGCTGGTCCAAACTCTTCGGCGGGAGGAAATCCAGGTCCCACGGGCCCCACTGGCCCAACGGTAGGTGGTGCCGGGGCTGGAGGTCCTGCTACGGCTCCACCTACTGCTGGATTACCTGGTCTACCACACAGCATAGTGAGCGAGCCTGATCCTCGGCCAAGCCCACCTGCTCCAAGTCCTCGTTGACCTTGAACTCCCTACGACTTCAACAACTTTCAGCACCACCACCCTCTGACCTAATCTCCCCCCTTAGCCATTCATATATATATGAGTTACGCGTATCACAGTGCACACAAATCAGGACAAAACCGTGACCAAACTTGACAAGACAGACAGACTAGAATTTAAATAAATTTTAAACTAAATAATAATGATGATCGTAATGATAATAATATTAATTAATGATGATGATGATGATAATGATGATGACGATTAAAAATAATGATGATAAAAATAATGAAATGATGTCACGCCAACTAAAGCTGGATCATTATATGATGAACAGTGCATTATTGTGAAGAAATGTATTCCAAAATCTGTCTACTGCTTCCGAGAAAAAGTTTGCAAAGAGATCGAACGTGAGGGGGAGGAAGCGTGAAAGAGCGGGAGAGAAAGAGAGTATGAATTAGTGCGTAAGAGTATGAAGAGAAAAATTTTAAGCAAAAGAAAAAAAAACAAGGAAAGATGTTAAAGTAGTGATTGAAAGAATGAATTAAAAAAGAGAGCATGTGTCTACATATTTTATGTTCGTGAATCTCTGTGTAATATTTAGATTACTATAGAGATTCAAATATTGTAGAGATTAACGAATTCTTTCTAATCTGCGGCATCGCCTCTCAACATTTGTGTAATCGGCAAAATACACATTGTCCTTTCATATCTATTGCTATTATAATTACTCTTAAATTTTTTTTTTTAAATAATTAAAATACGTTTTCTTTTTTTTTACTTCATTTATTTATCACGTTGGTTTACCCGTACACTATTTAACCATTTTATTCTTTTTTATAGTATTAAAATAGAAGAAGACCCAAGTTCAATGAGAAGAAGAACGAATTGATAATAGTGATAAAAAAATTATCATAATTATGAAAATGCCTAAAAAATTTTTCAAATTAATTAACTATTGTCATATAAATTAAGCAAAATTGTTTTAAAAGTCTTGATCTTATTATTAAACTCTTATATGAATGTTAATTCTATAAAAATATATAATTCATTGTCTATTTGGAACGACAAAATATGAGTGAACGATTTTTCTTGCGTAAATAGTAAAATATGAATTAGTGATATTGAATTGTTTTATAAAATATTTATCACACAATATAATAATTGACACAATTTTTGTCATATAATTATTAATATCTGTGGATATAAAATATTTTATAAATAACATTTCTTTTTTAATTATTTTCATCTTGTGAAATTTAAAATTTCTTTGCATTGACATATTCTTTGCTATTGAATAATTCTTTAATAACAATTGACTGAAATATAGTAAAAATTTTGCTTAATGAAGAAAAATTAGTTAAATATATAAATCGGGAAACCGCGATGGTAGAGACGTCATGTATACAGTAAAAAAAATTTATGCTTTATTTTCGAAATGACTTTAATTAATGTTAGAAATTATTAAATTGAAAAATTAGATTCAAAAATATTGACAATTAAGAAAGATGAAAATAATAGACACAAGGACAGAAGAAAATAAGACATGAGAGTGATAGAGAACGAAGAGTGCATATGAATATGGAAGAATGGGAATAAAATGCAAGTTTTATTAATTACTAGTTATGAATAATTATTATTATTAAGTGAATTAATGCGATATTACAACTTAAATATATTATGAAAATAGAAATACCAATAGCATTCAGTTATGAATTATGGACGACTTTTCAAATAAATGATAAAAATTTTGCTAATTGATGATAGAAATAATTGATAATCAATAATTCATTATTAATAACCCATACTATTAATAGCAGAAATTAATAAAAATATATATTTTAAGAACAAAACATATCGTTTCAGTCTGTTTTTAAGTCTGAATTCAATTTTTTTTTTTTTAATTTTAATCACGCAATTATTTTTCGTTAATTTTTATAAACTATTTGTAACTACCATCGCGGCTGAGTGCCAATTGTATCCAGAAATATTTTTTACAATTGTACAAGAAAATCTAAACATTAAAAAAATCTTCACATCAAAAACTTCATTGAATGCGATGCCAGCAGCGAAAAATTGTGGTAGGCAAAGAGAGAACTATCGTTTTTAGTTACTATGAAAATAGTATATAACCATTTAGTGTAACATCAGATTATAAATGATCATCAATTGATGAAATTAATCTGAGTTGAATGAAACATTTTTTAATAATTAATTATGAAATTTGTAAATTATTTCATAAAATACTTATAAATTGGAAAAAATGTTGAAATTTAATCGTTAAATTGATGAAAAAAAATTCCAAATGAATTGGGTAAAATTACAAAATGCAATAGGAATAAAATCTGATTAAATATAAACAAATGATGATACATTACATATTACACGTACATGTACACAGAGAGTTATACATTTCTATATAGCTGCATACATTTTAATTAAAGAAAAGGAAAAAATTTACGATTGCTGCTGAATTCGATGGTCTGTAATTTATTATTAAATAGAAAAAATTCGAGATCGGGTAATTTTATTTACCGTCGATGAAATTAGTCATCTGAAAGATTATTTATTGAGCATTGTATATCAATCGTTATTTATAAAAAATTAATTCAAAAATTTCCATTAAATTTGTTAAAATTAACAACAGGCCAACCTTTCTCAGCACTCTCGTATCAGATACGTAACCTTAGAGAACCTTATACATAATTTTTCTTTTTTTTTGTCAAGAATATTATTACTTACGGATACATCATTATGCGTATGCATATATATATATTAGAGACAGAGTGGTATATATATATGAATATATATATATAAATATTAAAGTAAAGAATGAGTGGATAAGAATGCATGTGTGAAAATATGGATGATTAAAAAAAAGTTCTAAGCTGTGAGAGTAAATGATGATAATGTTCTCATAGATTTAATTTTTTGAAGAGAAGCAAATTAATGTGGAGACGATGACGATGATATTGAAGTAATTGTAAAACCTCTCCTATAATTTACTACTAAACATCCAATATATCACAAGAGGCCTCCTTCCTCCTCTTCTTTAAAAAAATGAAACTCTAGTGTTTTCCAAACTTCAGAATGAGTACGAAAGGTTACGAATGAAAACAAAAATCCTAAAATATATTCAGTTTCATTTTATCCCATTTTTTTTTTAAGTTTGATATCAACACTTTATTCGATATGCATGTATATAATGTATGTGAAAAGTTAAGCATGTTTTATATACATGTACACCTATTCTTCTCGATGAATGTGGCGTGAAAAAATTTCTTCAGTGAAAGGGAAAATTTGAGTAAAGAACAAAGAAAAATAAAAAAACTAAGAAATTGAAGAACTCAACAAAATAAAATAAAAAGCAGAACAATTAGAAAAATTATGGTGATCTGAAGATAAAAAAAGATATGATAAAAAAAAAAACAAACTGAGGAAAATATTTAAAAAAATTAACGAGACGATAAAATATGATGAAATCGTGGTGCAAACCGCAACATTAATATTAATTATAATTAATAATAATATCTATTATAATAAATACAATATTTGTACAATAATCAACGGTGCTGTGGTGATCAATGTTGCGGGCTTCTGGAACCATTCTTTTCATTTTCATAATAATTCATTCTCCTTTTTCACCTTTTATACAAAACAATTCGTATGATTTTTTTTGTTATTAATTAAATTCGGTAAATGAATAACTCTTATATTTTCTTTGAATTACTCTCATTTGAGATGACAATTGTATACATAATTAAACTTCAATAATTTTAATTTCGAAAAAATTATTTTTATCAAGAATTACTCTATAACAATGTTTTCAATCAAAATGAATATTTTTATTTTTCTTATCAATTGTTCATTTACCGATATTTTTATCCTGTCATTATCATAACAATTTTTTTCATTAGGCATTAATTAATTTACTCTTTTTTTAATTTTTCATTAATTAAAACATTCCTCAATCAATTAAATATCTGCATAATAATATTCATAATATAAATAATTATAAATTAATATTTTAAATACTACAACAATATTATTTTTTTTTTTTTTTCAGATAAAAAAAAATTATTTTATTTAACTAAATTATGATTATGTCAATTTTGTATTTTTGGCACCGACTGATCGATGAAGAAAAAGGCTCAACAAGCGATGTTTTATTTTCATTTGTTATTCATTTATAATTAATTTTACTTTAAGAATTAATTTAATTTCATTCTCTTCGTTGAAAGGTAAATAGTTTAATAATTAAACCTAGAATTTTCGTTGTAAACTCGATCCAAGTCGGATAAATGGAACCCGACTACAGAAATGTAGTGGAAGTGGTGGTGATAAAGATGTAGTTATGCTATTAATTGACCAATCCTTAGAATGTCACGTCAAAGAACCACCATGAACCCTCATGTGCCTGTTGAGATTACCACTCTGACTAAAACGGAGTAAGCATAACTTGCACTGGTATGGTTTCTCTCCAGAGTGAATTCGTAAATGTTTTGTCAAAGTTGAACTATCGGAAAAGGCTTTCTTACAGAATCGACATCTAAAAATAGATTAATTATTCATTCAATTTTCGTTGCTAATTTTTCAATAACCCAATTTTGTAATGAACAATTTTTTATTCACTTTTGTATTGAATAAAGTAACAAGAATTGAAATTTTTAATTCATAATTTAGTTAATAAATAATTAATAGATACCGATAAGGACGTTCTCCAGAGTGAGTTCTCATGTGCGTCGTAACTGAACTACTCTGAGAAAATCTTCTGTCACAAACTGGACATCTAAATGGCTTTTCTCCGGAGTGTGTTCTTGCATGAGCAGTTAAATTTGCTGCTTGACTAAATGCTTTCGAGCAAGCATGACATCTGTAATTTTATTCAAAATAAGTATTATAAATATAATAAATAAAATGAAAGTTTCTTATTAAACAGTGTTTTTAATCATTTAAAGTCATCAAATTCCAAAATCCTTTTACTCCATTTCTTCCAGTCAAATTAGTGATATTAATAATTGAAGTAATAGTCAACTGAAATATATCTTTAATAATGTGCAGATAGATTAAAATAAAATTATAAAACATTTAATTTTTTAGTACCTAAAAGGCTTCTCGCCTGAATGAGTCCTTAAATGCGTCTTTAAAGTGCTCGGTCTTGCATAAGTTTTACCACAGATTCTGCACAGGTTTGGTCTGCCATTGTCTTCTTGAATAACATTAGATGGAGTGGATTCAGTGGAAATGCAGAGCGCATGATCACTCGAGGATTGTAGTCGTGCTTGGGGGTGAGAATGAGGGGTGTGTGTTCCAATAATGCTATTGGCTGGAGCTTGATTTACCCTTGTTTGTGGTTCTGGTACAGGGTTGTATTGAGGGGCGGGACTGAGAAGAGGTTCCACGCCCCACGCGGATGCATAGCTCTGCTCATATCTGGTAATCAATCAAGGAATATTAAATACTTTCAATAATTCAATTACCATTAACATAAATAAATCTATCATTGAAGGCTAAAAAACCTGCGTAATTTATAATCATAAATATTTCATTTTTTACTTTTACTTACCCTGGATGCATATTCATATTCATCGTCATGTTCATGGATACATTGACAGACATGGCAGGTCCACTGGTGTAGTGGCTTGGTGTAACCGGCGTTGGAGCTAAATTTTGTCCATAGTCTTGAGCATAATGATGGTTTGTTGTTGGAGAATTGTAGTATCCTCCAGTAGGGCTTCCTGGATGTACTACTGCATGTTTTAGAGACAAAAGGACATCGGCTACACCTTCTCCATTTGGATTTGTTGTTCTTGGAACACATTCTGATCTGGTGCAGCCCCAGCTTATTTGAAATGTAGATAAAACAAATTAATACTTGTCGTTAATGACTGAAAATAATAAATGGTAAGAATACTGATCAATTGATCCAATAAAATATTATAAATTCATGAGGTAACGTATAGGAACAACATTGGGTCATCAAATTATTTTTACTCCAAAATTAAATATTCTATTTATTACTCAAAACAGTAAACGAAGTATTCAAATAGTAAAATTTTTATTTCAATAACAAACAAATACACATGGTAATTCATTAAATCTTCAATTGTTCCTATATTTATAAGATAAAAATTGTACTGTATTGAATGATAAATTTCTTCGATTTAATATTTGCTTAGCAGAATGCAGAAAAATAATGAAAACTTACTTATATGTTGCTGAACATGGACTAAACAGTCCTGGAGGCAATGGATCCAGGTCAAGAGGTGGAAGAGGAAAGCCAGCCATGTCGTCAACCCAAAAGCTTGCTCCGAATTCTCCTACAACTTGAGCTTGGCCAGAATTCTGAATATGATGAGTCTGATCGTTGATATCGTCACCAGGAGTTTGAAGCTCTTGCAAGCTACCTAGCGCGATTGCAGCCACAGTCGCGTCTTCATTTTGGTGGTGATTTTCAGCTAAAGCTTCTTCACCACCAAGGACACTTAAGGTATTGGTAGAGCAAAGACTAGGAATGCTAGCTTCGATGCTACCAACTGATCCTACTCCAAAGAACAAAATTTAATAAAATTTTTTAGACTTTGAGTCATTTTAAAATCTTCAAGTAATTTTTAGTGATTTAAGAAATGGAATCTTTATCTGTTTACCTGCACTAAGGGTATAACTAGGCTCTGTAGAGCTGTTGGCTGAATGATGGCTCTGCAGAAACTCCATCTCGATAAATTTCTGGGCCGTTTATTACCCCGGAAACACCTCTTGACCCCTCGACCACCTTCTCTTGTACCAAGCTTTTCTGAGTCTCCCTTCCGCTGATGCGGATGCTGCGTGGTCCAACCCCTCGGCGTCGTCCTGGCAACGCCGCGTCAAATCTCGCTGTTCCAAGGGTTGTGTAATTTTAACTTTTAAATAAATTTCATTCTTACATATCTCCATCCCCTCTTAACAAAAAAATATTGTATAAATATTCCAATCAACAAATATTCATAATTATGTGATCAAAAGCAATGATGATTTCGTTTGGAGTAACTGATAGGAATTTTTTTTTTCATCAAAGGTTTCTCTTATAACCGCGAGATCTTTTCGGTTTAAAACCCATGCGTTTTCCACGTGTCCTTGGATATAATTGAAAATAGCAAAAATTACCTGGACTTTTTCAGAGATCATAATTATCCTAAGAGTCACATCTTGAATTGGAGCACTCACTGATAATATTAAATTACACTCAAGTAACAAACTAATGAATTTATTCACTTTATCCTAGATTGATTCTTCCAATGTCCACTTCACTTTTTGATTTCTCACCAAACATCTTCAACAACATCACCAATTAATTCCAAATTAATCAACATTATCTATTATTAGGCTGATGAATTTAATTAAGTACCACCACTTGGAGTCTCTTTCGCACCCCTTGACGAACTGACAAGTTTAACTTGACTACCTATCGTCCAGTCATTACCCCACTACTACTCTCCATCGTCTCCCGCTTCTCCAATGACGCTTCTTCTTTCTTTGTCTTTCACACAAACACATCAGTGACAAATTTTTTTATTTTTTATTTTCTATAGTCTCTCTTCTTCCGCAGGGTCATGCCGAGGATATAACACGCGTCGCAGCTCGCCCTCGAGGACATGGGATATTAATCGTTCATTCAATGATCAACGATCCCAGGGAGATCCATAGGGATAACATTACGACACCCAGCTATCTTGGTGGTCCTGCCTCATCGAGGTCCTGTCAACCATCAGGATCATTCGCTTGTAATGCCTTCCCTTTACCATTAAACTTTCTCCAATTATTACCAACAAATAGTCAACATCATCAACAAATTTGGTTCAAATCAAGAATAAGACTTGCCGTCACTTTATCATTCTTTAAACGACTTTTTTCTAGAGCAATTACTACGTTAATGAGAAGTCACTTTGAATTAGAGTATTTTAGTTGACTAAGTGTAATATAAAGAGACTCTATACAGGTCTTGGATGAAATAAAACAAAAAGAAAAGATGAAAAGCTAAAAAAAAATGATGCTGAAATAAAAAAATAAAAACATTTAATAATGATGATATAAATAGCTAAATGTTAGATAGCATTTTCATCCATCTAAGTTGACAAGGATGGTGTTGAAAAGGACATGTGGATATAAGATTATTATGAGCCGGACACCTGACTGTAGTTCCGATATGAAACAGCTAGGAGACAGGAAGAGGAAGTCGACCACATCAGGCATGAATTTCAGGATCAAGTTGACTAAATGAGATATTGGCCAATAGAACCATTGACGCGACATCATTGAACTCATTTCGTGCCTTACCTGTATATAAATACATGTATACACATCATACATTTACATTATATACATATTATGGTCATATAGATCTTACAGCCCAACGGATAGCTCCCACGATCAAGTATTGGCTTACACTTTCAGTCGATTGGATCTACGGTATTTACGCGAAGCTCCAGACATATAACATTCACCATTTTCTCTTCAACATCATTTTTCTCTTTACTTTAGAAGCTGATTCCACTGCATTTCAAGGTAACATTCTTCATTTAATATAAAATCAACGCCTTTATTATTCAAAATAATTTATATCATCAATTAGATTACCTTAGTCTTTGATAGTTTTGATGATCTTATTTTAGTCATGATTGAATATTTCTTGATTATACTTCAAAGTTATTCTTAAAACAAACTTTAATAGAAACAATTTAATCCTCTGTTGAAGGGTAATACCACCAAGTAACTATATTACAATGTTTGATTACCGGGGTGATTATTTGACCGAGATGCTGAGGGTTGATGAGATGTGTTTCATTTTATAGTTTAGCAACACCTGTGTTTGCTTACACCTGAAATCAAAAGGGATGGTGATTGATATTGATCTGAACATAAAAGGCTACTGGTGGGTGGACTAGGCCAGATAATTGTTCATAGCAGACTTAGGTAAATGAAAAAATGATTCAATGAATGATTGGTTGGGAAAATTGGATGACAGTGGTGGTATTGTATTTGCCACTGAAGATCCCACTAAGTGATTGCGTTCCGGATAATCCAGCCACGTGATAAACGTTGCCGAATCGCGAATAAAAGGAAAGTAATTATATTTGCGGGAGCATCTGATCATCCCTCGTAGAAAAAGAGACATCCTTCATTTCTGTTTGACTCGATTACTGATGTTTGATAGATAATGTTTAAGCGTTAAACGACTGACACGATGATGAAGATCAATCCCCAATGAATTTACACTAGTAATTGTAATGAAAAGATTGGTTAAGATTAGTTTGCTATGGATAAAGTATAGTTTTTGATGGGTAGATTCGTTGATCCGTAACCAGACAGAATGGTCGAACGATGGTTGAGCCGGCTTGGCACGCGCCCCATGTAATTCAATCGGCTATTTTTACTAAGAACATCAAGACACATTGCAACTTAGACTAAATAATCCTATAGAGAGATATATTTTATTTATTTAGTCCTCTGAATTCTTGAGCAGATGTTTTATTAAGCTTCAAGAAATAAAATTTCTTCCACCCTTTCTTTCTCCACTTTAAGATGAAATCCGATCTCCTTGAACTAATTATCTTTGTTTTTTTGTTAATGTTTAAAATGAGTGTTTATTTTATTTTTAAAAACTTCTTCTCACTCTTTAGAGTTGTGAGGAATTCAATAAAATGGGAGGATAAAAGTGCGTATGAAGATAAGTAAAAAAAGTAGAAGGGTAAAATAAATTGAGAATTGCATGAGTTTCAAAGTTCGACGAAGAGCGATACACAACCCCCAAGATGGCTGCTTTCTGCTGCTGCTAGTATCGACGTTTGGTATTTAGAGGGTTTCCCGGAGGTAAGCTCATCGGAAATTGCGGGTCTTCCTTCCCCTAGAGTAGCCCCTCTCGGCCCTCTTGGCCTTTGAAAACAAAGAAATTCATGTAATTAAATTTTTTTTTGAAACTCAAACCAATATTCCAAATAAATCTACCACTTATATACCTACTAAACTCCATTCGTCATTTCTATTTGTCTATTGTAACTATTTTTAATTTTTTCTTTCGAGTTTTCGGTGTCAAACTTTAAAATTTAAAAGAAATAAAACTTTCAAATTCATTTATAAGTTTGGGATAATTATTCAATATTTAATCAATATAAAATTTTAATTAAACTGATTATTATTAAATTATTTGTCATGGAATTATAAATTTTTATTTATTGTTTTTTTTTTTGATTCATTAATTATAATTTAACAGTTGGAATGATAAAAAATTAATTTATCCAGAAAAAACATTACGTAAATAAGTAAATGAGATATGATTTAAATATTTTTCCATTATATATTTGTAACAATTTATAAATTTACATTTTTCTACAATAATAAATTCGTTAACTTGACACAATTTTCGATTCTACAATACTGTCCAGATTCAAGTATCCACATTCAATTTGTTTTCTTTAAACAAATTGAATATCAATTCATCAATATCGATATAGTTTCAATAATATAAAAATATATAATATAACATTTTCCCCTATAAACATAATGTAAAATTAAAATTTTTCGTAAGAATAATAGTTAACAATAAATATTCACGATATATATGTTATTTTTTCGATTATTAAATCACTTTCTAATCACATTTTCTGTTTAATTCAACTGATTCCGTTGTACTGCTGAGTATCTTCACCAACTAGTTCTCGAATTTCCTAAAGTTTTTGAAAGAAATCATTTTTTTAAGGTTCTAAATTAGTTACAACACTTAATACAGGTATTAGCTTACCTGTAACTTATGATTATGAGCTTCTTGTTCTTTCCTAACATTGCCATTCATTGGTTTCAGAAGAGAGTTATCGTTGTGATCAAGTAAACCAAAGGTCCATCCTCCCTCTCCATCAAAACGAAGTACATATCGGTGGTATTTGGATAATGACGAGATCCGGTGAGTTATTGTCAATAATGTAATTCCTTTTTGTTTCGCCGTTTCATACATAGATCCTTCTACTTCTAAACTTACAGCACTTGTACATTCATCTAATAGAGCGTAATGAGGTGCATGATAAAATAATCGAGACATTGCAAGTCTTTGTTTTTCTCCACCAGATAAAGTTGAATCCCAATCTCCCATTGCGTCTAAACCTCCTGTCTCTCGTTCTGCTAAAGAACGCAAGTCTACAAGGTCTAGAAGAGCTAAAAGTTGCTCATCAGTACAGTCAGCACTTTGGCTATCAGCTGGATATGTTATTTGTTCCCTCAAACATCCCACAGTCATGTAAGGTTTTTGGGGAATATAAAACATAGCTGGTCTGCCTGTTTTCTTAGACCAAGCATCTGAAGGTCTTGTAAGAATACCTCCATAAACTGGCCAGAGACCGGAAATTACTCTAAATAAAGAACTTTTTCCACAGCCATTAGGTCCAGTTATTAATAAATGATCTCCTGGTTTTATCTGTTAAAAAATATAAGAGTAATTAACGTTAAAAACTTTTTTAAAATTATATTTCTGGTGATTAGTTACTTACTTGAAGAGTTAAACTGGTAACAATTACTTCACAATTAGGAGTAACAATAGGAACATCATTAAGAGCAATGCTTCCATCAAGACTTTCGCGTACGATACCTTTGATGACTGGTACACCATCTTCGAATTCAAGTATTCTTTCAGGAGACGGTGTGATACTACCGTTAGCTCCACGAGTTTGTTGACTTGTTACTACTGTTCTTTGATATTTACAAAGTGCAGCGTCCTTGAACACATCAAACATTTCACTTACTCTATTGACATATCCTGCAAGTGCGACTAATTCCTGTTAAAAAATAAAACAATAGAATTATTAAAATATTATTTGCATCTGTAGTCAAATTTATATAATAGAATTTGAATATATTTAACCTTGTATGATGACATAAGTCGTTCAACAGCATCAGCACCAGAAACTAGAAGATTCTTTGATGTAGTTATATATCGTGTTCGTTCACTTACAGCACCTATGAATAGAATTATAATGTATGATTAAATGAACTAATAGTGCTTAATTTGAATTGACTGATTAATTTTTCATTGTTCGTATTTTCCGATCTTAACAACTTTTTAATTAGTTTGTACTATTAAAAATCAACGGAAATAATCGATAATTTAATTATTTAGTTATTCATTGAAAAATTATATTCATATTTATTTATGATGAAAATAATAGAGACCAATCATTGACATTGTGAATAAATATTCTAACTACCTTTTTTGCAAAAATTTATTTTCTTCTTGTTATATAATTAGTCAATAAAATTTATTATGCTAATTTTTAGAATTAAAAAACTAGAAACATTTCATGAAATAAATATTACCCCTATGTGATAACATTTGTTGAATGATAGAAAAGATTTACTGGATTTGAAGGTCATAAATGATGTGACAACTATTAGATAATATTAAATATATGAATGAATAATTAGTCATGAATAGTAATTAATTATAATATTTAAAAAATTTAATAAATATATGATAAACATTTCTCAAATGAGTAAATTATTCTTGAATAATTTTAATTAAATCGTTAAAATCTTTGTTACTAAATAAAAAAAAGTGATAATAATTCCTCAATATTTATTCACAAATTAATTATTAATATGCACTAAAACGATATTAGCAATTTTTTGTGGGAATGATGACTTCAAGTCCAATTAATGATACTTTTCCACAATACTTTTCAAGTGATTTTAATATAATAATTATTATAATTATAATAATGAATGAATTTTTAATATTTTGACGTTCTGATTGACATACCATCACTATCTCCGCTTATACTACTTGAGGATGCCTTGGAATTGGAGTAGAGTAAAGGCATTGCAATCATCAGTAATCCGGTTCCAGACCACACATACTTCATTAGAAATTGTTCCAGCATAATGTACCAAAGTTTAAGAGCGAGAACTTTACGTAAATGGACAACCAATGATCTGTATGCTGTATTCAAGTATCGGTGCTCAGTATTGTGACCACCATAAAATGCTATTTCTTCGGCGTGCGCACTAATTCGAGCGTGCGCTTCACGTAGTCTTCCTCGGCGTGAGGCTTCCTCTGTTACAAGTTGGCCAAATCTTGGAGATGCTAAACGAAGTACCTGACCAGTAATAGCAACGACTGCAGCCGCTAACATTGGACCTACATAAATAAACCAGTTATTATTTAGTGAAGTAAATTTTCTATTTTTTATGAAAATAATTAAATTTATATTTTTATTATTGTAACGATTTTTATTTAAAACGATCAGATAAACAAGTTGTCAATCAAGAAAAACCTAATCAATTATTGCATGTATAAGATTGGAAAAAAAACACGTTGAAAGTTATGATAAAAAATTCTCAATGATGAATTTGCGAATTTCATAGATTAACAAAAAATACTTTAATTATTCATTATCAGTTAATTATGAATGAATTGATTATTTTACCTGGAATTGTTTTTGAACCCATTTTCGATGAAAAAGATATAAGTGTAATACCAACTAAGGAACAATCTAAAAGAGGTTTCGTCAGATGTGAATAAAGATGAGCAACAGAGCTTGCTAATTCTGATAAATCATCCGTCAGTCTTTGTTCTGCTCCTCCTAACCGATTGTCTAAAGCTGATACTCTATAGTAAGTTTGTTGACTCAAGTACATTTTATAAGCATACCGAACAAGTCTTTCTCTGTAACAAAGAAATGGATATTTTATTTCAAAGTTAAATATTATATTATACTTAAGTTTATCTTACCTGAAGGCAAGTGCCAATCTTCCTTCCAAGTATCTGATAGCAGAATTAACAAAGGTAGCGGGAAATGCAATAGCAAACCATCTGGCTAGATATAGTAGAAATTGTTTAACATCTTTAAGAACAATTCTCTTGACAATTTGGCCTTCAAGTGTAGCAACGTAAACAGATAAAAATGTTCTTGCAAGTAACGTTATTGTAGCACAATATAATAATCCTGCTTCTTTAGATCTCCATCCAGGTATCATAATTCTCAATAATTGAATAAGTTGTTTTGCAAATTTCTGATCTAATCCAACTTGATTGGGTTTGTTTTGTTTGAACGAATTTGAGTTCCATTGTTTATTATTATTTACTATTTCTACACTTGTGTCATTTTTCAAATTTTTTTCTATCCGCTGTTTAACTTTAATAATACGTGGGTATGTGAGTTTGATTATATATAAAGTTGTGACAACACCGACAACTCCACGGGCTAGAGTTTCGCGATGTATACCACATGTAGCTGACGTTTTGTCTAAAAGTCTTGAGAACACCGACATACTTGCAATTATTCCTAATAATCATCTGGAGAAACAATTGATTATTGTTGATAAGTACTCAGAAAATGATTAAAACGATGAAAATAATAAATAAAATTTTTTTGTAATGGCTTGTAGTACTTCATGCTGTAAAAGTCAGACGCGTGATTATTTCACGTCCGGTGTATGAACGACACGCACGAATTGACGACCAGCTGGCAACTGTACTGGTATCGCTTCTCTGCTTCCCTCTTCTCTCTTTCTACAAGTAAGTCATTCTCCTCTTACTCCGCTTACCTCTCACTCAATCTACTATACTATTCCTACGCGATTCAACGATACGATCCAACACTTACATCCTCCCGATTTGCGCTCCATTCTCTTTACTTGACAAATAAAATGTGATGGCTTGCTTCTGACTGATGCCAACTGGACTTGGACCCAAGTATCATCTTTATTTGCCCTCGTCCTCGCCCTCTCTGCTTTTTTCAAATATTTATATCGATCTTATTAACAGATCATGATCCGTCATGATAACATACACTCACTCTATAATACACAAGTAAGTGTTTATATCAAAATTCAATATAACCCCTCAATGCAACGGTTTATCAAGCATTACACTATTGATGAAAATTATCAGCTCACAAATTTTTAAAATATTTCCAGAGAAAGTTTACTAGCTTTGTTGCAAAATTTTTTTATTTATCAATAAGTAATTACGATTTTTAACTTAATTATTATACTCTAAATTAAATTGTAATTATAATCAAAAAAGGTAAAGTAATTTGATATTTCAAAATATACTTAAAGACAATATTATGTGATTTTCAGAGATTTGTTGAAGATAATTTGAATATGTATTTTCTTTCAAAATGCATTCATGATGAGAAAAACTTTTTTGATTAATATTTAATATATTCCATAATTTTTCTTCAATGTTAATGTCGATTAATTTATTATTTTCCTGTTGTAGATTTTTTATCAGCTTAAATTAAAAAACTGATAATATGAGGAATTTCTACATTATTATTTTTAATATTTTATACAAATTTATAGTATGAATTATTTACACTGACTAAAGCAAATTTTTTCTTTCCCTTTTAATTATTATTATTTTTTATTTTAGACAAAAACTAGAACTAGTTACGTTTAATTCTAGGTTCAAACTAGTACATCTTGTAAAAACGAAAGTAACAATAAAAGGTCCAAGTTTTTTTTATTATAATAGTTCTCTTAACTTTCGATTTAAAGGCAATAATGAATGTAGGGAAAGTAGTGGTCTCCTTTCGGCAATGCACTTCTCTCAAACGTTTCGCATTTTGTACCAAGTCACAAGTGAGAAAGTAAAAGTCGTTTTAGTAAAAAGACCAAATACTTATACCTAATATATAAAAAACATTTAGTTACAAGTAAAATTTATCTTTCTATTGATTAATAATTAAAATACTTTTTTTCTGATATACAATTTACTAAAAATATTTTATTATTAGTATTTTTTATAAAATTTAATATAAATTAAAATCATTCAATTATATAATTTAATCAAAGTTGAGTAGTAAATCAATCTGTCTTTAAATAATATGAGAAATTTGATTAATTAAGTTACACTGATCGCTATAAAATACGATAGAATTGAAAGTAAATACTTTTATAATAATATATATATATATACATATATATTAACTGTAATAATTTATAAATAGGTGTCTTATTGTCAGTGATCCAATGTCAATGTCAAAACAATAAAAGTAAGGTTTACTGATTAATGGTATACTGTGATGGGTTCTCAGAATGCCACAATCTATGTTCATATGCGAATACAAGAAAACTTGTATTTATACTTTTATATGTGTAATGCGGTTTATCGTTTTCTCGAATAATCATGCAGCCATGAACGAGCATAAGACATCAGGAAGTCAGTCGTCATAGAAGCACGCAACTTCTTTCAATCGCGGAATTAAGAAACAAATTATTGCACTTTTTATGCATTTTTTCTTACGAACTTATTAAAAACATTTTTTCCACATTTCTCATTTTATTTAGGATTTTTATTCGCATAATTACAATTATTATAATATTATTTACACGCTTTCTTTAACATTATTATCTTTGTTGCTTCAATTAATTCACTCTGTACAATTATTAAAAAATCAATACTCAATAATGATTTTCAACTGATCTCATTCTCTTAAATTTAACAAACAAAATATATATTTTTATTATATTCTATAATATATTGTTTAATATAGTTTTGACAATTTCTCTTTCAGAAGTTATTTACAAGAAACACGACTGAATAACAATTAGAAGATGGCCATTAGCACTTTTTATGTTAATTATTCTACAACAGACGATAGTAAATTTGATAGTTTTTTACGTAAAAAAAGTGAAGAGCATAAAGGTTTTGCACTTGGTGGCCTTTTGCTTACATCAACAGAGTTGTTAACTGTTAATTAATAAGTATTAAATAATCATAAATTCTTTTATGCGTATAATAATAACAATTGACTCTGCAATACACTCTCTGTTTTATTATCAAATTGTTATGCCAAATCAATATTGCAAAGATCATTAAGAGAGAGAAGAATTAAGATCCAATAAATTTTTCTCCTTGTCAAGAAGGCGTACGAGATTCAGGAGAACCAAGTGGATATGAGGGCAATGCTTCTAAAATTCGTGGAGGAGGGATTTTTTTAACAGAACTCAGAGAAGTAGAATTAAGAGGAGAATGAAGTGGTTTTGTGGCGTCCGGCGTCGTCCAAGCATTGAAAGCTCCAACTGGTCTGCCAGAATTTAACGATTTTAGAGGTATTTTTGTTGAGAGCTCACTAATTGTTGGAGCACTTCCTTGCAAATTAAGTGAGTTTAATTGCTGATATCCACTTGAAGAGTCATCAGAGCCTCCAGATTTACTCAATCGGCCATTTGTTTCTAAATCAAAAAAATATATTTTTATTAATATAATTAATGGTTATTAATAATGAGCAACTGTAAAGATTTTTTAAATTGTTTCAGAACAAAGCCTTGTCATGTTCGTAATATAAAATTAGAATAATTTAAAAAATAAATTAATAAAAAATGATGTAAGTACATGAGTAAATTTAAATTATATACTTAGATTTGCAACGTAATAATTTCAAGAAATGGTATAAAAAAATGTATCTTATGACTGCATTAATAAGATCGTAAAACTTGAACCATCACTTCTATACTTGGATACAGAATATTTATTTGCAGTAAAAATTATCAAAATATCATCCATTTCCTTTATGAAAATTCTCCGTCATAATTAATGACAATCTATTTATGTAATATGCTCGACAAAAAACCTTTTATTCTATTATTAAAAAGTCGAATTATGAATTAGGAAACAACTTAAATGCCATAGATCGACACTCACTCGAATATATTATGGTAATCTTGAACTGAATATTTAAAAAAATTTGAATGAATCAAAAAAATTAGCACATCATAAAAAAAAATAAAAATAAGTTCATTAGTAAAGAAGAAATAATCTAAAACTTTTAATAGTTATTTCATTAATCAGTAATGTGCATAAATGTCGTATTCCCAAAAAAAGCGAATGTACACTCTTCATTATTTTATGACTCATTCAAATTATTGCGATAGTCTACTGCTGCAAAAAATATTACTTAACCGCGATTACGGGGTTAAATAGCTACGGTCGATGAAACAATCATTAATATAAATTTCATTGAGAAATAAATATTATTTAATTAATAACCATCACTGATACTGAAATACGATTAAATGTTAATTATTTCGTACTCATAACACATTGGAAAAAATGATAATTAACTCTAATAATGAACTTACCAAAAGTTTTAGCTTCACGAGCACGAGCAAGTAATTGATCAATTCTATTTCTGCGAAAGTAAGTACCAGCAATATCATATAACTGGGAGCTCTTGGCCTCATTTGCACGAGAATCATCATCACTGCTCCGATCATCATTGTTATTATTATGATCAGGTTTAAGCCTTAAATTATCTCGATTTATTGGCGGAGCTGGTGGAAGGGGTATACGAGATGAAAAATCAGGTAATCTCCATCGATTTAATTCATCACACCAAGTGGCTGCAGATCGAATGGATGTAAGGTCACGGAATGGGCATCCAGGACGTAGATAGGGAACCATTGCTTCACATATCTGCGTCGCCAAGAGCTCACGGCGAAGAAGTTCTCGACGTTCCGCATCCCAGGATGCCTACGAATCAAGGATAACGGTAAAACTTTTAATGCTTTTGTATTGTACATGCTAGTTTAATTCACGTAACGGTTTACTTTCTTAAGTAGAGAATCTTTACCTGAAGATCTAGGGCCTCTGCTTCCAGTTGCTTTGTGCGCTTTGCCATTCTTTTAAGAGCATCTTCAGTTGTTTTTAATTGTCCATAAACTTCAAAAGCACTTTCACTACCATCCTGTGCACTAGCTTCAAGGGCAGCCGCTAAAATTTGCAATCTTCTTCTTCTTCTTTCTCTTCTTCTTTTCAATTCTGTATTCCCTTGAGCTTCACCACCAATAGTCAGTCTTTCTAATCGTCGCATAACTTCTCTTTGTGCCGCTTCGCGTTTTTTCCTTCTTCTTTCGTCAACTTCTCGCGTCATTGACGTCCAAACTAAATTTTTATCCGAAGGCTCATTAATTTCTCGGTTATTTTCATAACGATTTCTTAAGCATTCCAGTTCTTCTCGTAATTTTTGCGAAGACAAATTAGTCTCCTCACACTCTCTCTTTAATTTTTCTACTTGAGAAGACCTTTCTCCATCCTCTCGCTCTTCATCCTCCTCTATGTCGTCATCAGTCTTCGGCGAACTCTCCAAAAGCTTACGTAAACGTTGCAATTCAAGCTGATATTGTCGTAAAAGTGCATCTTTCGGATCTTCATTTACGATAGGTTTATTCTTTATACATCGTGCACGAGCTGCATATCGTAAAGTACTCAAAGTTTCTTCAGCATCCACATCACAAGGACTTATGCAAGCAATCATCAAAGTCCTTGCGTTACCACCTAAACTATCACGTAATAATCGAGTAAGTTTACTATCTCTGTAAGGCACATGTCTTCCATTACCAGCAGCTAAGGCACTGATAACATTTCCTAATGCTGATAAACTTAAATTAATACTAGCTGCTTCCTTCAGTCTTTCACCAGTGGCTCCAGTTCGAGCTTGTCTTTCTGAGCCCGCTAAATCTACTAAATGTAAACGCCCTCTTCTTACAGCACCTCCTTGTTGAGAAGTCCCTTCATTCATAGCTAAAGCTTCAAGGGATATTGTAAGAACCGCATGACTTCTTGAACTTGATGCATTCATTTTGGTAAAAGCTGCTACTCTTCTTTTATCTCCTTGTTTTACTAATGATGAACACTCAACAGCATCTTTTACGGTAACTTCTCTTAACCCTGCTACGTAAGTACCTCGAACTGGATCTTCTTTAAGCTGAAGAGATCCATCATCATCTTGTAAAAGGTCTCTTATACGTTCATTGTAGATTTCTAGATAACTTAAAAGAGCCAAATAACGTGTATCTGAGCTAGCTGTTGATGTAGCTTCAAAAATATGCTCCAATGTTCTTTCAATGAATCCATGCATCGTATGGGATTTTCCACACCCTGTTTGACCATAAGCAAATACTGTTCCATTATATCCTTCAAGAACTGCTTCAACCACCACGGATCCAACATCATCGTAGACTTTTTCTGTGGAACATGTTGATCCAAAAGCTGCATCAAATTGATAGACTTTACCGGTATTTCCATCTCCTTCTAACGTACAGCTTTTTGAATGTGGATCGATGGTGACAACACTCTAAAAATAATAGTGAATAAGGTAAATATAATATTTACTATGTTATTACTATCTTAGAATAATAGATGTGGATTTTATATGACGATTAATATCATAGTTTTTTCAATCGTAATTATTTCTCAGAATTCAACAATCTACATATAAAAACTCTTTACTCGTGATTGATAAAAATATTACTACTATTATTATGTGCCATTCTGAAATTAATTGTATACATTATTTTATTACTATGTGTGCGGTAAAACATTAGTATGTAACATTTTATTTAAATTTTATGCAGTTTCTTCTAGTCCATACTAATCTTGTTTTATCAATGTTTTTTAATTACCTTTCGATAGATTAAATATACATAGATAATTTTATAGCCAATAAATATTTATTCATTACTTTATGAAAATATTTTTTAGAAATTTCTAGAAAATATTATTGCATACTAGTTAAAATATAATAAACATATATAACTACTACAACTATAAACTATAAATATAGTCAGCATTTGGAAAATTACATTTTTGATCTTATCAAAATAAAAGTGACCAAATGGGTAGTCAATTTATTTATTGATTTTCTATACATTTTCTATGTTATTTATTCATAAGACAGATAGTTATGATAATTATCTTTGTGACAATCGATTGAGTTTATTTGTGTGTATGACTGCGGATTCTTCTTTACGTCATATAAAAAATTACTTTAATTAATATTTCCTCTATTTAATACTGGATGCATATGAATTTGAACTTTCTCTAGAGTATGTTTGCAATCAATTGTCATACATGCGTGACCCTGAATAAATTCGCAAACAATAATAATAAATCATCAATAGATGCTAAAATTATGATGGTTTTTTTTTTTGATAGTCATCAAATCTGATCAAACTAGTGAATTGCAAAGTTTAGTAAATAAATTGTGCGCTACTGTAAACAGAGGAACAGAAACGTTAATGTTCATAGATAAAAGTGCAACGTTGCTCATACATAAGCGTGTTTTGATTGTTAGGTCGCTAGGTTACACTCGCTCGATAAAATAATGACGATTTTCTATATAATTGCTTAATAAATTAAATTATGTTGGACTAGACAATTTAACTAAATTAATGTAATTAAACTTATTTATGAAAGCCTAGTTTTCGACAATTAGATCTGTTTCTTTGATTACTTAATCATCAATTTTGTTTTCTCATCAGAATGATTTATTAATTAAATATGGTCTAAACTCTTGAATTTCTCATAATTAATTTAATAAATCATATTTAGTATTATATATAGTGTTTATTTTATTTCAATGCTCTCACCTGACATCCTTCTGCTAATTCTTTCTGAGATATTGGCCTGCATCTTACAGCAACTTTTACCGATTCACTCATCTAAAACATGAAGGAAAATATTTATTTTATCTATTTCAACAATGTAAATAATTTCATCTGACACTTGTCTTTTTTTTTAGCATGTTTATGGATAAATAAATTATTCATTTAATAATTGATTTATGAAAAAATATTTACATTCACAATACTTGTTATTAATGAATGTAATGATTGCCTGTTGGACTATCAACAAAATAATGTTTAATAAATTGAATAAAAGAGAATAACGCTTAGGCAAATGAATTGTTTATTACAATTTAATCATAGACATGGAATAATAGGGGAAAAAGCTACTCTTCACAATGTCATTTTGACCTTGAGGTAGCTGGAGACATTGAAATGTTTATAGTTATGACTATAATGTCTATAAGTATTTATATACTATATACCAAAGCGTCAAAAAGAGCTAAAGGAGTATAAATTTATAAAACTATTATAAGGCAAATCCTAATGTCGCACTCACGCTATTTTATCGCTGTGAAGATAACGAGGGTAGATAGAACGCCGACCGCGTGACCGAGTGTCCCTCTGGAGTTTGACCTAGTACAGCTAGCCATACATCACCATTTCGTCTTTTTTGAGGTAAACTACTTGAAACTTTCTATCAGTCTGTAAGTATTTTTTGAAGTCAGTAAACTATTATCCTGAAAAAATAATGAATAAATTATTCGAGCATGTTAAAGTTAATTGAAATTTACTTGTTGATCATCAATCATGATATCAAAATACATGATTAAAAAAATTGTTTATAACTAGCATTCACATTCTTACCTTTAACCGTGATGCTTCTCTAGTTTCTCGTTGCATTGTATGGAAAAATGTGTCCCACTTGCAGGTTATTGCGAAAAAATTCCCAGGATCAATTATCGTCGTTTACATCAGCGTTCCCACACGAAAGTAGAACACAAACATTATGTTGACTATGCTTCCTTTGAACTACCCTTGTTGAACAATTCCTACCCCTTGTTGAATACCTGCGCGCGGTTTTATTAGCTTCTAACGCATGCGTTCATCAGAATCTCATAGCTCCAAAACATGTAGTGGACTTACAGCTGGTAAAGTAAATGTGATGCAATCAAAATGTGGTTGAATCATGTGTGAGCATACGCGTGATCCAAAAAAGTAGAAAAATATATTTATTGTAAATTAATTTGGAAAGTAAATTGTGACAGTTATGGCATATAATTTCAAAAATCCTGAAGATGTTGAAGCGTATCTTAAAAATATTTACCTCGAGTACAGATTCAGTTGTGAAGGCGAAAAAGATCCAAAAGGTAGGTTATGTTTATCCATTATTTTTGGAAACGATTCTTAGTGAATAATGATTTATATAATCAATGTATTTTTAGCCTGTCATCTATTAGGTGAATATGAAGATGCTATAAAAACAGACCGTGAAAAATCAGTAAATATTTTCAAAGAAAATTGTGACGAAAGAAATTGGGCGCCAAGTTGCTTGAAGTATGCCGGAATGCGAGCTCATGGTAAGTAAACACTTTGCTTTTCCTACAGCTAATCAATCATTATCGACAGAGTTGAATTGTTTTTTAATCGTTAGATAACACAAAAATATAAAAATTTATGCTAATATAAAAGAGATTTAACTTTCTCTTATTTTTTAATTTTCTAATGATTCACCATTTTCATTAACATAAAATTTCTGTAACAATCAACGAGATGTTTTTTTTTGTGCAATTCATTTATAACTCAATTATTTATAATTACATTATTATATTTTTAATTAATAGGAGCAGGTTCAGAGAAAGATTTAACTACTGCATATAATTACATGAAGAAAACTTGCGACTTGGGAAATGGTACAGGTTGTGTACGAGGAGGAATAATACTGTTGATGAAAGAATTTAAATTAATGACTGATAGAGCAGAACAAATTAAACTTGGGATGGAAATGATATCTAAAGCATGCTATAAGCATGATGTAGAAGAAGGATGTTTTCAATTGGCAAGCATTTATCTAGGAGGATTAAAGCAAAATGTACAACCAAACTTTGAAGAAGCTCATAAATTATTTTTAAAAAGTTGCGAGCAAAAGAATCCCTATGCATGTGCTAATTTATCACGTATGTATTTATTGGGTGATGGTATTCCAAAAAATGAAGTCCTAAGTGAGGCATTTAAACGCAAAGCAGAAGTTCTTATGCGTGAAATGAAAGAATATAGCAAACAAGTAGAATTTGGAGTAACCAATTAGCTGTTGATATTGATAGTGAATAGGTAATTTAATTCTTCTTTATAATAAAAACATGTTTTCGGCTGACTAAAATATTGAAATAATTTATAATTTTTTAGTGATGTTTTTTTATTAATCTTGTATATAAATATATATGTTATTAAATATGACCAAAAAGGTGGCATTATTTATCTAGCTTTTTTTACTCATCTAAGTCTATTTTTGTAAAAAACTTCTTCTCTAAAAATAGCATCACAACACTCGATTGGGCATATATCTAATTTGATGCTTTGATAAATTCTATCGAACACATTGATTCTTCAAATCTGATAATAATATTTATTTTTCTAAAGTGTAGTTATTATCTAAATCGATTGACTACCGTAAAAATTTGGTAAAGTGCTTATTATTTAGTAAATATTTAAAAACAAGTCCAAAGTGTACATTTAAACGAAAACCGGTCTCATGGGATTAATTATCAGTATAATAGATTTGTATACTGACAATGTTAGCAAACCTTGGTAAACCAATGCCCAAAGCAACTTGTTTTGCCCCACTCTTTCTGAATCCCACCACATTTTTATATTACCTCTCTCCTCCTGCAATCAACAACTCAGGAGAGATCTGCCCAGGTATTTAATACAGGAGAGAGTGTTGAAGTCAACTTTTGTACACCGTACACTGCTTTGAAAGCACTAGTTTCCAATCAGCTAGACAAGTCATCTACAATAACATAATTATGGGTTCATCAACAGTCCTTGGCACATTTGTGGGTTTTATATTTATTTTTTCTTATAATGCTGTAAGTATAAAATTAAATATTATCAAATTTCATTATTTATTAATAATATGGAAATTAAATAAATCATATAGTATATTTATTAACACAAATTGTTTATGTTTCTTTAGGTGAATGCTTGTAAGGCTTCATCATGCATTGGCGTTACTCTGTATTATGAATCTTTATGCGGAGACAGCATGAATTTTGTAAAGAGACAATTATTACCAAATTATGATAGTCTGAAGGATCACTTAGACATCACTTTCATTCCTTATGGCAAAGCCTCGGTAATATTAATATTAAATAGATATTCTAATATTATAAATAATCCAATTTTAATTAAATCTATTGTATAAATCAGCACCAAGTTGATGAAACTGGTAAATGGAGTTTCGCATGCCAACACGGACCTGATGAATGTGAAGGAAACAAAGCCCAAGCCTGTGGACTTTATGCCATTGACAAGGTAGAAAGTTCAGAAGACCGAGCACATCTTTCTGTTAAGTTCGTTGGTTGCGCCATGGCTCATGAGAATCTAGGAGAGCCCATAGAACAGGTATATAAATATTTATATTTGTTTCTTTCTCGTACCTTTTATCAATAGATAATTTTTTTTTTTTTATTTTTAACGGATAATTATTTAAATTTAACATTTTTTCTCGTCATCGTAAATAATCATATCTAATGCTATAATGCTTCTATGAATAATTTGAAGTTAAATGATGCTAATGATGATGATAGTGACGTAATTATTATTTATAACTGAAAATGATTGTATTTACAGTGTGCTACGACTGCAGGATTGAGCAGCAAAGCAAAGGAGATGCTTAAAGAATGCGCAACATCACAGTTTGGTGATGATCTCTTCGCTGCTCACGGCGACAGAACACATAATTTAACCCCATCATTGTCATTTGTTCCTACAATAGTGATTAATGAACAATATTCTTCTAAAAATCAACAAGCTGCATTGAGTAATTTTAAAGGCCTTATTTGCGGTCTTTTACCTCAGGAAAATAAACCTTCATCTTGCGGTAATTAATTAGTAAATAAGATTTTATATTTCTTTTTCATTTGTTAAATTTATGATATATACACTTTTATGTACAAAAATAAAGGTTTTTATGATTAAAGTAAGTTGTTAAAAATAGCTTACTAGTACAATTTATAAATGTTAGGCTTCGTTGCTTATTTAATTGATAATTTTTTTTATAAATTTTATTTGAGATCATATAATATCGAAAAATTATTTTAGATTATAGATAAATTCTTTCAATCTCAGTTACAATTTATCAATTGTTTCTTGAGCTTTTTATTGTAATATGAATTTAATATTCTCAATTGCTTATCAATTAATTCTTAAAGATAATGTATACCTAAATTTCTTATATTCGGAATATTGTGGATAGTTATTTACAATAAAAAATATTTAAAAACAGATTCATTTAAAACTAATCACATGAATATGTAAAAAAGAATGGATTAAAAATTGATTCCAACACTTAAAGTGTTGTGAAATTTTGGAAATAAAAAGTTTCAACTAATTCTTATCACGTTCATTACCTCATTATTGATAATTGTTATCACTGATCATATGTTTTTTTTTTTGATCGCTTAAAGTATAATAAAAAAAATTTAGACTAAAGAATAAAAAATTTTGTATAACCATTTTATGATAAAAAATTAAAAATGTAAAAAAATTCTCCTTAATAAGAATAAAATTATCCTACGATGAATTCAGATTGATCCAAGTTGCTTAGATCTAGGAATTGATGTTCCATTTCAGTACTAAATTCTTGAAACTCAGCAATACCACTGTCATAAGCTGTAACAAATTGAATAATTACAATGATTAATAAAATAAAATATTATGTTTATATAATTGATAATAATGGAACAAATGACAAAATAAAATGAAAATAAAAAAGTAATTGAATGGAAAGATTAATCAAATGAGCGCGTGCGACACACGTGGTTACAGTCATCATCATTCTACATAATACTGGCGCGTGCTTTTATAACACAAGAGTATGCTAGTACATCAACTCCAAAAAAGTAACGAATATTATTTTAAGACTCGGTGTGTGGTAGAAGCGTAAAGCCGCGGGCAACCTCCTCTGAGATTGAGTAAATGAACGGTCGAATGCCAGAGTAATACATTACTATGAGTATATTAAATGAAGGGAAACGAAACAAAAATAAGTACTAATCGTGTTAACTATTCAAGTTAAAAAAATTATATATAGCTTATGTTTATTTTTAATTCATTCCAAAAAATATGTACTCCAACTAGAAAACCAACTTATTAAAAATCTAGTGTTAAATGAGTACAAATTTGTGGATTTAAAGTACAAAAATTAATAAGGTGAATTTGAATTTTACCTATACTTTCAAGATTTCCACAGCTTTCTTCTTCTCCAAAAAATCGGCCAACTGTTTCAAAGGGTACGAACTCTGGTTGATTCTCATCAAGAATATCAAGTCCAGACCAATTGTTGACATTCATCAATTTTTCTTCTTCATAAATTTCTTCACTTTTGGATTGTTTACAATCTAATGAGTTAGAGTGACTTGGTGGAGTAGTAATGTTTGTTGATATTTTGGCAACCGGTGTTTGTTTTAACAATGATGAGTTGTTGAACGTCGATACTGATGTTGGTGTTTCAACATGATTTTTCACATGTTTACGAAGACTTGATGGATCAGTGTATCGTTTTCCACAACCAGCCACTTGGCAAGCATAAGGCTTCTGTAAAGTGAAAAAAATAATTGAGTTTTGTACTTATGTAGATTCTAAATAAAATTATAAATAGCGAGAGAAAATATTACAGGTAAAAATAGTGTTATTTAATAAAGGTTTAATGAATTAAAACTTACTGTGTCATAATGAGTTCTCTGATGCTTGGCACGATCACTGCTATTGCTGAAAGCTTTGGTACATCCTCGATGTTGACAAGCATAAGGTCTTTCACCTGTATGAGATCGTTGATGAATCTTCAGATTTTCTAAGCGTGAAAATGCTTTTTTACATCCTGCAAACTACATAAAAATGCACACTTTAATAATCATGTTAATTTACCCTATTTTCAGGTGTTATAAATACTTTGTAAACATTCAATGATTTATAAAATTGACCAGTTTTTAGATGAATATGTTGATAACTTACTGGGCATTTGTTTGGCTTTTCTCCACTGTGAACCCGCATATGAATGAGTAATTTATATCTCGCATTAAAGGGCCGAGCTCTCGGACACCCTTGCCAGTGACATGAGAACTCGTCTTGACTTGAATTATTCGAACCAACTGTGTCTTTATCTTTATCCCTGTGGGATCTTTTGCTTCCGCCATGAGTATTATTGGCAGAAGATTCGATGTGGTGTTTTTCTATATGTTTGACTAAACCTTCTTGTTCAGTAAACGCACATCCACAATTAATCCAACGACATTGATAATTTGTACCTGTAAATTGGCCAATAAATATTATTAGAGAGATGTTTAAAAAAATTATACAATCATTACAGAATTATTTATTTGAATTGAAAAACAAGAATAGTTACCATTTGAATTATTACGTTTATCCATATGTAATCCCTCTTTTTGTGATAAAACCACTTGGTTCAATTCATCCTGAGGTTCCGGAATTGTTTTATAATTTGAATTATTATTTGTAGGCTGTTCATACAAAAGATGACCCACAGGGTATTTTTGATAGTCACAATTGTCTTGTCTATTGTTAATAAAAGTTGGAAGAACTTCATTGTTCAGAAGTGTTGTAGGATCTCCACGAATTAAACTAAGATCAAATTCATCAACTGCCTGAAGAGAATTCAAATCAAGTGAATCATCACCTTGAGATTCAAGATTCGAATTCACTGGAAAAGTAAATCGAATTTCTTCTCCATAAGAACAGTCCTGATAGTCATGATAATCATTGGTTAAATCTTGATATCGTAATGGATCCACTTCTGGTTCTTCAGCAAAGCCACTGCAAAAATTGCGTGAAAAAGAAAATGCAGTGCTCATTGATGGTAATCTTCCACTAGTCCAAGTGCTATCAGTTTCATCATTAGATTGTTCACCATAATCATTGCCATGGAAGCTACCAGTCCAAGAAGTTGGAGTCAAAACTTCACTTCCAGTGCTACCTGGTGAATTAATGCCCATAGAAAAGGGTGTTACTCTTGTAGGTGGATATTCAAATACATTTCTTGGTAAATGATCCCAAGTTTCTCCAGTATTTCCTTCTAGTCTTGATGACATATCCCAAAAGCTAGCATCATTTGATACAGTTGGAGTACTTGGATCCATGTCAAAGCTTTGACTGAAGTCTTCAGTATCGTCCATCGGTGGTAATGTCAATAAATCTTTAATCTCTGAAGTCTTTTGATAAAGTTCTTCTAATTGCATATTACAATGTGAACTTTGAAAAAATTTAAATGTACGCTTGAGTTTAAAAAATATTATAAGGTCACATGAAACACTTTGAGTTCACAATCGATGACTGAGAGATGATGATCGACCCGATGTTGCGAGTCTACTGACCCGAGATAAGTCAGTGACTTTGAAAGAAACTAAGAAGACAAATTCTAAGTTGATTTTCGCCCCCTCTATCTTTTCAGGAGCAAGAAGAAGGCCCAAAGGGAAAGCAGGGCTGAAAGAAGCACCGCCCACTCGCGTGGCTGACGCTATGGCACTCAAGCTTTAGATTTTAAGTTTGCTTCTGAACGTTTGAAGTACTTTGGAGTGGAAAGATGGAAGTTATCAGAACCTTGATGCATTTGGCACAACTAGGGGTCCAATGGGGACCAAGGGTAACTCTCGCTACCGCACATCTGTGAGATGCTCAGTCATTCTCTATCTCTTGTCTTCTAGACCCTTCACAATTTATTTGATTTTTTATCATCATTTTCTTGCAATTCATATTTGCTTTCAAGTTAATGACTCAAGTGCGATGTCCTCTTATAAGTAAGTGTACACTTGAGTTAATAATTTTATTAATTCATTAATTATCTTATTTTTCATTCATCTAAATAAATGTTATTGATTTTTGCTTTTTTATCAATATTAATAAAAATTATTTCTTATATTATAAAAATAACACAACATGTTTATGTTTTATCCTGTCAAAAAAAAAAAAACAATAATTATAAGACATTTATTATAAAATAGATTGGTAAGATATCTGATGTTAAGTAGAGATGTGAAAATTATATAATGTAAATGAGTCAACTATCACAGATGATATCTTTTTTATAATATTTTTTAATCGAATTTCTCCTTTAATTTCCTGTTTAATTTTTTGTTTATCATTTTTTAGTAATATCTAATTTTAATTTCTAATTTAGTGATGTAGGATTGTATTATTTTGGTTGACAAAAGTGACAAAGTTATTAACTTTTTCCCACATTCTTTTTAAGGTAGCGGAAAAAATTCATTTTCCATCAGTAATATTACCCTAAAAATTTCGGGATTTTTCAGTTGTCAATCATTTTCACAATTTCTGCCTTCCATTAGGAGCTTTTGAAAAGCATAAATCATATTTAATGAATATAATATGCCTGGGAAAATTTTTAATATTCAAAAAGAGTCCTTTTCTTTCTCTCAAAATATGTTTTGAACCGAAAAATTGCAATTTCAGTAATCAATTTACTGTTAATTCAAGTTTACATTAGTTGAAAAAAGTTTTATTATGAGATTAATGTTACAATTGCTTATGTTATCGTTGAGATTAATGAACCTGTTGAAGATGAAGGCAAGTCTTTTTTTAATCTCACTATAATTATCAATGACCATAAATGGGGTTTATCCTTCATTTTTTGTGACAGTTTGTGGATAAAAAAAATTTTGAAAGTCAACACGAAGCCATAGGGGGCTAGTAAGGCCCTCGACCTGTCGGCCTTTCGTCACTCGAGACCCAGAGAAATTTTTCGATGCACTTGAGACGTGTAAAAAAATGTCAAAGCAGCTGTCGCACACGCGTCACTTATTAACAACAGTTTCTTCTTACATACTTGCATCTAAAATGTTTTTCTTCATTTTATGCATATATTATTTCTTTTTTTCATTTTTATAAGACATTCAATTCTTTAAGTTTTTTTTTTCATCCGCCGTACTTTTTTTTTCATTGACTCATAGCACAATTTAAAATTCATCTGAATAAAATTACAGTTTTTTTTTTTTAAACTTGAAGAATTTTTTATATCTAAAGCCTGCCAGTTTTACAAAAATATTGAAGAGCAACATTTCAATTCAAATTCTGTTCTATAAAACACTTGAAGAAGAAAAAACTCAAAAGAAGATTTCATTTAAATGAGGATTAATTATAAAATATTAAAATAATTTTAAAAGAGTTGAAAATAAAATGTATGTATAATGAAAAAGAAATAAAATATTAAATCTTTTTGGAGTAATGTTATCAGAAAAGATATCAATGTGTATTGATATAGGTAGCAATTATCAATGATACGTCAAGTAGATGAGCCATAAAATTAATTATAGATGTCAATAAGCATAAACATAATGTGTGAAACAATATATCAAGTTGTTCTCCTGACCCTTTAGCAAAAGTTTTATTATGCACTCGTGTTTCTCCCACTCAATCTCTTTGAATATATGCATATGCTCGCACATTAAATAAAATTTCTTTGCACCATCACATACATATTGTGGACCAATGTGAGATATACATATACTGTTCGTAGTTAAGTGATAGAGTAACACATGTGGTCTGCCAGCCCTCTCTGCTTACATTATGCTTACTATGCTCGGGATCGTCCCAACTTTTTGTCAAGGCACCTGTCAACCTCGTTCATACCATAGTCTCCGCATGTGTATCTTCGTCGTTGAAATAATATACTGATTCCGATCGTTTTACACATGCGGGTGAGAATGCAATATAAAAAACGAGGTTTATGGTAAAAAAAATTCATCGCGCATATTACGGTGTTTGGCGAGTTATTAAGCTAAAAAAGTCAATGTTTCTTCGTAGTAGTTTTGTTTCAGACAGTGTAAAAAAATGTGAAAAAAATATATCTAAAAAAATGTGATATACATTAATGTTTGAAAGGGTACAACACGCGCGTCAACGTTTAGCTTACGGTCAAGTGGCGTAAAAATAGAAAGTCCTACGCTCTGCATGTGACTTCGTATAATTAGATACGTAGTCGTCAAGACATATCGTTCCTCATGTATATTATGATAAACTTTTCGAGAGTCAGAACGTCTCATAAATTCAACAAATCTTAAATAAATTCTTCAAAACCATCATCAGGTGTATTTAAATCGATTTCAACTGTGATATGTAATTTAAACATTTTTTATGTTTCGTTATATATACATTCATAATTAATATTATTAATATTTTGATAAATAATAAGTTCATTTAAGCAGTGCTTATTTAAAAATCTATCTTTCAAGTGTTTTCTACAATATTGTAAGAATTTTTTAAAAGTTTATCTATTTTTTGACTTGTATCAAAATTTATTATACAAATTTTTACAAAACTAGAAGTCTTTTATAAAATTATATACTTTTTCAAAGAATAATTTAACACTATAATATAATACAGATATATGTATAGTAGTGATAATAGCTACTTAACGACAAGTTATTGAAGGTGAAACTTTTTCAATAATAGGAAATTGTTGAACACGCCCACTACTCCAAGCAATAGTTAGGCATGCTTTTTGTTGACCTGTTTCTAAATATTGATGAAACTGTAAACAGTTTGGAATTTCACCAGGAACGCCGTTGATTAGACAAGCGGGTACAACTTCTGTCAAACGAGACATAGTGCCAACTTTCGTTTTAAATACAGCCACTGATGGACTGTCTTGAAATAATATTGCAAGATATTTCCCAGAAAGATCCCAGTCCATAGCTATAACTCTTCCACCTAGAGTTATGCCTTCATTATCTCCGAGAGGAAAATAAGCTTTTGAAAGATCAACCAAAGGAATTGCAACTCTAGTATCATTAGTGGAAGATGCTCTTAAATCAAAGATATTGTCTTGAAGAGGCAGAGAGAATAGTGTTGCCGGGTCTTCTGTTGATACAAATAAAAGCGTTTGATGCGGTCCAAAACAAGCAGCAGCAATACGACCATTAGGGACAGTCCATCTTTCAGTTGTCCATGGTTTTCCGGTACCAGTATTCCACACCCTATTTTTGTAAATAAGAGAAAGTAATTCATTTTTTTTTCTTTCAAAATAAATAAAAAAAATTCCCATACCTGAAGACAGTCCGACATGTGGCCGCAAGAAGTTTAGCGCCGCATGGAGACCATCGAAGAATACATTGACCTCCACCCCCAAGTCTTCGGAGGGATACTCCCGTCTCTTTTTCGACATCCCATACGATAATATTCAGATCGTTGGGCGAACATGATACTAATAAATCACCCTGTGGATGCCAAGCTACCCCCGTAACAGGAGCATGATTTCTTTGACGTAGAAGAGTAGCGTGACTAAGAGAATTGCTGGCAGCTCCCAACTCTACAGTCCATACCAAAACTCCTCCACAGCAGGCAGCGGCTAATTGTCTTCCTGCATTCGGTCGCCAGCTCATTGCACACACAGACTTTTGACTTCCATGTCGAAGAACTGCAACACCTTGAATTCCACTTGAAAATATTCTAATCCTATCATCACGAGTAGCTAAAGCTAATCTTATGCAATGAGGATGCCACGCTAGACATCGAATTAAAGCTGTGGGCCAGTCTCTCGTAGCTGCAATGTCTGCTACTGAACCTGACCCTACAGAAGATAATCCCTCAGATGGTGATGATGTTTTTTTTTCAATAAAGTTCAGGACCAACGTAATCCTAAGAAAATAAAAATTATAACTTAATTTATTATTGTTTATTGAAGTATTGAACAGGCGGATGACGGCGTGAGATTGTAAGAGAAATTTGATCATTTTCTGTTTTCACAGACAAACTTGTCACATTTGATAAATGGCTGGATATATTATTAACAGGTGTTAAAAATAAATATAAAACAATTTAAATTCTTATTTGCGTGAGTCATGCCATTTTAACGATGTTAAACTTTCATTACAGTAAAATAAAAATTTAATGAGAGCATTATTAAAGTAATAAAAAAATAAATATACCTTGTAGCTATCCAATGGACAATTTTTGTAATTTTTCTTGGATCTTCAGCAGCAGCACATCTGATAGCTTCTGCAATTCCTTTTTCGCGCCAAACACTAGCAATTTTTTTTAATGCACTATCTTCAACTGGTAAAAATAAATCACCAGCGCAAATAGTGCGAGAAGATTCCCGAGTTGCCAGCATCTCGGGAGTGATATTTACTTCAGGATAATGCCTGATGTATAAAGCAAAAGGTTGAGTTTCTTCATGGAGATGTTTTTTATCACAGTAAATTGGTCGATTGTCAATGAGACCAGCAGTAACTTCATTGACATCATGAATAGAAATTTCAAAATCACTCAACGATGTTAATTTTAACATTGTTATGATATTTTATCAAAATGACAACGCTATTTTACAAGTATTTTTAGGTTAGAAGTGGTTGGATGAATTTCAAGTGGTTTATATTAAATAATAAAATTATTTCAAACACCACAAACTAATGTAACAAGTTATTTTTACACTTTCGTCGTAGGCAATGTTAATAAAAATAGAAAAAGATAAAAAAATAAATACGTAACAGTTGGATTCAACAATAAACTTCCACAGTAGATGCCGCGAGGAATGTAGATAGTACCGGCCGGCACAATTTGCGCGGGTCATCAGTGATTTAAATGAATTCTGTTGTCATGGAAACGGCGCTAGCGTCGATTAGTCATGCGCAAAATGTGAGCAAAATAAATTCAAAATTGAGATATATTAATTAGACCATAAAAATTAACAACAAAATGACAGTTATTTATTTTTGACTCATCGGAATGAATAGACCAAGATTTTGAAATTGAAATATAAAAAAAAAAGAGACTAGAAATAAATTGCAAGAGAAATGAACATGATTACGTCATATCAAGTCTACTCGCGCATTGAAGGTGGGGAAGAGATATCTAGTAAAGGGTGGGGATCGCAGTATGTGATCGCAATTCGCTAGACACGGGTGCATAGCTCTTATCGTCGTCGTGTACTTCGTCAGGGTTTAGAGAAAGAGAGCCACAGAAGAATCTGGAATTTTATAAGAATAAATTAAAAAAGTATCATATAGAAAGAAAAAATATGAAACAAAGTAGGTAGTGAGTGGTTTATCAATGATGATGTACGACATGGGGTTACCGCCCTGGTAAAATTCTGTCCTTGATTACTTGGTCATCGTGCAGGTCCAAGTGACAACGGAGAAAGAGACCATTCCGGTCTTAGGCTCCACGAGATATGGGCAAAGGTTACAAACGTAAAACAAGATGGAGAACTTTGAACATCGCCGGTGAGTTAAATATTCACCCAAAAAAGTTTTGTATGATTTGAAATACAAATGCCCCACTCTCCTGTATATTTAATCTCCCAAGCAATTTACAATTCCATGTTGCGCTCGTTAATATTACGTCAGAGTGGAACAATTATTTAGTGTCCGCTTAATTCATATCAAATCTATATATTCCAATGATTTTATGCTTTTCAAAGCATGCTCAATCATAAAGTTTAGTCGTCTAGGCTTCTAATTCTTTACGGTTGCTATGTCCGCGTGAAATATGGACATTGAAAAAACCAGGAGCGTACGTTGTCCTCACTAGACTAGTGAATATTGTCCTAGTGGCTTCATAATAAAACATACTTCGTCATTTTTTATTCTTCTTTACAATTATATCTTTCTCCTCGTGTTTTCCGCCTCTTTTCTAGAGGCCAAGTCATCGATCCACACAAACACACACATACTTGCGGCCTCCGACTTTTTCACCTGCTTCAGTTGCTGTTTCTCTGTCTTTATCATTTTATAGAAGTGTCAAATAAATTCTTCATTATGTTGTTGACAGAAATCTTGTATGAGATAGTAACAATCTCATTTCATATCATCACGCAATTGTTCAAATAAACATTCAACAAATACACTTGATCAATTAATATTTACTTCTTTTGTCATCCATACTGGATATTAAATCTCCCTACAACTGTAATTAACCATCAACTACGTTGGCATATTTACTCGTCGATTGTATAATAGTAATTTTGTTAAAATATCACCGACCGAAGTAAACTGGAGTCATGGGGCGAATCGATACGCGACTTAGACTCGATAATGTGTACTGGGAAAGTCTTATAAAGGGGTTAATCAAATAGAAAATTATAAGAACCTGAATTCTACTAGATTGCACTTTTCCATAGATTAATAAATATCATATACGTATGGAGATGGATAATGATAGGTAATAAACATTTCTATCACTACGTCTTGAATGTTCACAGCAGCCGTAAAGCAAGAGCGATTGCGTAACCATCGCTAATTTTTCTTGCCTGTTCATGTTCGAGTTCCAGATACAGTTTTTTTTTTCTAACCATTATGTTTTTTTTACAGAAATGTTACTTCTATAATTGCGTTAGAAAAGTCAATAGTGTACGCAATCATTGAAAAATAGCAGAATACTTGGAAGATATGGATTGTAAGTAGGGTGTGCCTTAGTGCGTGTCTGAAGAGTCTCGTGACGCATCCAAATAGTCCGAAAGTTGGATGAAGAGCATGTGACGAGCCTCGTGGTAACGTTCACGTGCTATTCATAACTAGCATAGGTTATGCGTGCGAGCAATAATTTTGTACTCGTTATTTGGCCAATGTACATAGATTACAGCATATGACGAGTATGTATCATGAAGACTAGAGAAGAACGTAATTCATGTCAAGACTTGCACAATCCTATTGTCTTGATAGTTGACGTAGATAATGTCACAGTAATAAAAATAATATCGTAAAGACTCGGTTGGGTCAAGAACCTGAGCTTTAGAAAACTAAAAAAAAGTAGAATCAAGTGTAGGACTCTTCAAGGGCATCAGTGTGTCTATTGAGAGATATTTTATGACCGCATGTTTTCGACAATGTATCTAGAGACTGTTCTAAAATGGTCGAGAGATGTTCCAAATTGGTTTCTGGCTTTAGACATCACCTTTACTTCGCAAGTGGATGATGAAGACGAAGTTGATATTCCTCATGCCTATAAGATACTCTACTTGCGCCTTGATTTATCGGATTATCTCTTTGTCTAATCTGTTCAATTATACAGAATGCAGGTGGATTCAATGATTGATTTGTGACTTTACTTTCTGTTATTGTAGTTTCCAAGCTAAAGAGTTTTGATGATGCGCAGTCGCATGTTCTCCCACTGCTGCTCGATATTCGTATAATAATGTTGCTGGTGAAAAGGAACGAGAAGTAAAGGGTGTGCAAACCCGGTAGTCTAGTCATCCCTAGTTGAAAATCGAAGTGGTTCTCTTAGTTGACGTCGATGTAATATTTGAATTAGTGATGATTAGTGTATAGGTGCTAAATGCCGATGCAGGTTCGGTCTTTAACCTTATTCTTGTAGATTTTTTCAGTATGTAGCTTAAAAATCATATACATAATCGTGTTACATTTTTATTTTTAATTCTGATGTACCACGTTGCCATGAAATTCCAGTTGATACCATCTAGATGGAGACTGAACGTGTATTGATATTCCATGACGGAAAGCTACACCAGAAAATTCATAACTTCAAGACGAAACTAAATTTCTTCTTCTACCGGGAGTGCTATTCTGATTCTAGGACTATTCTAGTCCCGGCACGTCGTGCGCTCCTGCATGAGCAGTCTTATTTCGCGCATTGCCCACAGCAGATTACATTGCTCTCACTTCTAAACTGTTGTCTGTCTCTCTTTTCCCCCTTACGGCTTCCTGTCATTCCACTTAGGACGTTTCATGCTCGACCGTTCAACTCGCTATCCAGTATTTTCTGAGTAGACTTTGCTGGGGAGAAAGAGAAGACACAAAAGAGGTCTGCGACACAGTGAAAATATGCAGTGGCGTCGCCAGAAGAAAGTCAACCACGTGATAGGCTCAGCCCATCATGTTCTTCTAATAGCGAGGTACCAATACGGTACGGCTCAACAACAATATTCAATGTCTATCAATCTGCAACTATTAGCTATGATTTATTTTAGTCGAGCAGCTTCTTCACATTTATCTTAGCATTTAATTACATAATAAACATTCAACTTATATACTACTCAATGAATTTTCATTTTCTCCTTTCTTTTTTATCTTTAGATTGCCCATCAGCTCCACCAGCCGATGAAGATGATGAAGATGGGATACGAAGAACTCGCGAAAATATCACAAAAAATTCATCAACTACTCATAAGTCTCATCGTTCAAGATCAGAACAAAAAAATGAAAATGGCATTAGTGACTCTTCAGGATCGTTACCATCACGATCACAACCAAAAATCCTATTTGATGAAAATGAATATACACGAATTACGGCGCCAAGACAGGATATGCTATTTAAAAAAGGTTACTTAGCAAAAAAAAAAGTTTGGTCTGGTAATAATGCTAGTACTAGTGCAACACCATCTACTACTGAAAGCCAGTCTGCTTCTCACTCGACAGCAGGTACATTAGTAGATAGTAAATTGATTTCTAATAAGTTCAATATGTAATTCAATTTATTAATGTTCTTACCACTAATAGACGGCAGTGAGACAGCTGAAGACCAGCAATTGCTTGATTATCGCGAAAATGGTGTAGAAGAGTATCCTCCAGTTGAATTAGCACCTCATATGAATTATGGAACATACTATGACCATGCTAGTGGATATTATTATGAATACCCGGTAATGGTTGTGGGGCCACCGGTACCGGGACCACCAATGCACAATCTTTTAGCAGCAATGCCATGTGAGGCTGTTCCCTTGAGACCAATTGAATGGGTGAATCCTGCTTTTATGCCAAAATATGAACAACCCTACTGTCTCGTCAATTACCAGGTTTTATAATGATTTACTGTATTAAATTATTTATTGATTACTTTAAGATTGATTTATTAACTAAGTGACTGTTTAATTTTAGAATCCGCCATTAGACCAACAGTTGCCAGTAGGCCTAGATGAAAATGAAATCACTGTGACAGCTACGGAGCATACAAATGGAACTGAGGAACCGTTAGAAAATGGAAATAATAGTAATTGGACTGAAACTAATGATGTAGAAAAACAAAATTATGAAGAACAGTCGAGTCAAGAACCTCAAGAACCAATAAACCTTGTGGATTATGAAGAAGAAGTAGTGGACAATAGCTTTTCAAATGAACCGTGTCTTGAGACCGTCCTGGCACAACAATTGCACGTGTCTCCTCACGTGATACCTCCCGTGCCACAGCCGTACATGTATCCCGGTCACTACATGTTTGGTCCTGCGCTGGTTAATGTAAACGGTTTGTTATTAATTTCATAACGCGATGTATTTTTTTTTTATTTTTAATTTAATTTTTTGATTTCGAGACCTTATTATGATGCACCATTTCGTTTTTAAGAAATTATTTTCCAAGAAAAAAAAAAGAATGAATGAAAACTCACGATGTTAATTGGAAAATAGACATTGAACGAGAGAAGTGTAATATTGTTGGCCAAGCTTTCGCAACATGATTATTGTATCATAATAATTTGTCTGTTGGGTTAGTGAATAGTAATGTAGAATAAAATATACGGGCGACAATCACGACCCCGTTTAAAATGTTTGCATGTTGCTTAAGCAATGGGCAAATGCGTCCAACGGTTACTCCTTCTCTCATTGCAATGTCGAACCGGTCCAATCCGCTTGATTGTACCTCTTTCTAATGTTAAACGAGAGCAGCAACGTGTGGACGCGCTGTAAAGGGGAAAGGGTTTGTCCAGATACACAACTGCTGTCCCGTTCATCGTCGTCCTTGCCGTATTATAGACATCTCACCTCTTCTCCGGTCAAGGTAAAAAAAATAATCGACAAGTCGCTCGTGAGACGTGTCGTTTTTGATACAATTTTGTATCTATGCCTCCACGTGCATTCATGTTTGCACATGTGTAGGTTCATCGAAAACACATCATCACTTTTATTGCAAGAAGACATTGACTGATAAGATAAATGAGAAATTAATCTAAATTAAGGATTCAATTAAGATTTATTTATACGTTTTTGTTTTTAAAATAAATTTTTCCGACTGTTTTCTTTATTTTGAGAATTTATTTTTGGAATAATTGAAGATTTTAGTGGCACCACATTATCATTCACTCACTTTTCGGACTCATTGATTTAGACTATCTGTAAAACATAATGACTCTTGTTGCTCCGACATTTGAATGTTGAAAATATTCCATTGGCCGTTCGAGGCCGAGAACTATGCTTGGCAAGCGACGCGAATTGCTGGGGTCATAAATAGAAATCAGTAAAAATAACTAAAGAGAGTGAGATAGTAACAAAGAAGAAGAGATACTCTTCAGAGGTACACATATAAGTCGCTATCATGATTAGTTTCTTTTTGTTGTCTTCATGTTTTTTCGATTATTTTTCATTCTCATGTATCTAATCAACTCTTCTCTGTCTCTTTCTTAAAGGTATGACAATACAGTGCGGACCGATGATGAGGACAAGCGAAATACCTATCTTAACATCAACGTTTGCTCGACGAAAAAAGAAGAAGAAATTGAGCAAAAGAAAAATGAGACGACCTCTTGGTCAGGTAAAGCTCATTAAAAATAAAAAAAATCAATTAAACACAGTATTTCGAAATGCTAATTATATACGGTTGATAGTTTAAATAAATATTATTATAAAATACAAAAAACAATCATGATTTTTGATAAAATCTTCAGATATATTCAATAAGCTAAAATATTAGATAAGAATAGATTAAAATAATCAGATTCTTTCTTTAGATTTCAATCTATTTTAATTAAAATCTAAAATTAAATCTTCTTTGAAAGGTCAATTTTTTAAAATAATATTAGAATCGCATGATAAAAAAATAGAATTTAGATTTATCAATAACGTATCATGGGAATATTATTATAGAGTAAATAAGCTATAAAAGTGTATAAATATTAAATAATTTATATTACATTTTTTTTTTGTAGGAGAATATTGAAAATGGTGCTCCTGAAGAGGAAGAAGAAGAAGAAGAGGAAGACTATAATTCCGAAACAGAGAATACTATTGCTCAATCTTCTGTAACCTCGAATAATTTGGTTTCCAACAGTCGTCCATTAAATCCTAACTGTAAAGAATTCGAGTTTAGACCTAATAGTCTCACAAGCCAGAGTACCGGAAGCGTCACGTCACTCAACAAATCAGCCTCAATGTCTGCAGTCATTTCTGAAAATCACGTGGTTAAAGATACACATTCTTCCAATTTGAAATTAAGAAATTCCATAGATATATCATGTACAGTAACTCCTAATACTCATGAATCACCAATAGAGTCTTCAGATGTGGTCACAAATGTTGAGTTTGCAATGGAAGCGATTGCAAATGAATCTAACCAAACTAATGGCCATAAGGAAATTTTAGTAACTGAAGTGGGAGTGGACGTCACATGCGAAGAATTTAACAACATTATAGAGAAAATTGAGGACAAGTTTACAGAAATACCTATTCAAAATCCATTAGAGATGACTGTGCCAAATGGGAACGAAGACTGTGATCGATTGTCTAATGGTACTGCAACATCTGGAGGAACAAATGAGTCTCGTGACTCATCTGTGATTCAGAGAATACCAAACCAAGAAATTTTATCAAAGAATTTGCCTAGAAAAAAGTACAAAAATACAAAAGTGATTCGGGAGTCAACGCCAAGACCGGAAAGTGATGAACAATCATTAGATATGTTGGAAACGGAGCTGAAAACACATGTTCAAGGTGTTGTAATGGGTGTTGATGCAATAGAAGCTCAATTAAATGCTGATGCATCCAATGAAGATTCAGGCTTCGAAAGTCAAACACGATATTCTGATCATCCAATTACCAATGCCGTAACCGAATGGCTACGACGCGCTAATTCGCCGGAAATGTTTGTCACATCGACGTTAAATGATGAAGAAGGTGAAACTGAAGATGATGAACTGGACGATAGCGAGCCGCCAAAAAACTTGCAAGGCAACCCCATGCCTGCACTATCTGCTAATAGCTGCGTGAATGACACGACGTCATTACGTCCGGCTAGCTACGACGAATTCGCAAGAGCCAACTGCTTAAAGAACGAAGCAAATCCATCAAAGAAAAAGACGCGCTCAAAAAATAAGAAAAGATCTCAAAAAAATAAAAATACTGCAACGGCTTTAAAAACAGATAAATCGAATCATCAGCGTAAGAAAAATCGTAAGCCTCGTAAAGCAAAAGAGCTTATTCAAAGCACTTGCGAATTCACGGAAAAGGATAGCGATGTGGGTATGAGGGTTGCCGAAAACTCTCGGATAATCTCGAAAACAAATGAGTCAATAACGTGTGTGCTGAAAGGGTCTGATTCTAGTCGAAGGGTGAATACAAATGTTGATGTTAATCAAGTTAAGACTTTTGAAAAAGGCGAAATTGTTGTTTCAATTGATGGTAAATTATTGTCTACAACTATTTATGGGACATTATGTGCTGAAGATGATGGAGAAGATATAAAAGAAGAGAAGTCAGTAAATACAAGTGCAAGAAATTCTTTGGGAAGTATTGAAGAACCAGACATGCTTGAATGTTGGGATGTAGAAACTGTTGAACCATTAGAACGAGGTGTTATAAAGTTAGAAGAAATTAACGACAAGTCTGCTAATAAAACTGATAATGCCAGCTTGGAGATAGTTCGGAAGTATTATACATTAGCACGAGGAAGTGTTCAAAGTATTTCAAGCATTGAAGATGGATTTAGTGAGTCAACAAAACAATCTGATAAACAATATCAATCAAGACTCATCAGCCCAGAACAGTTAAGAACATTTGCAAATGATTGCTCAATAATTTTAAACAATCAAAAAGATGAAGAATTTCTTATAGATGAAGGAATCGAAATATACGAGAGTTGTTATAATGGGAAACCTCCGATCATCTTCAATCCAAATTTATATAAATCCCATTCTCTCTATGGTCATGACGAAGATAGACCTATACCATGTCGAGTAACTTGTTGTATTGTTCAATGATATTTCTGACCGTCCACAACAATATGGGACAATGTTCTAACAAAAAGCACTACCATCATCGTTAATATCATCAACAACGTTATCATTATCATCATCATCATCATCATTGTTATCCTCATTAATTCCTCATCATTGTTCACCCCACCGACACATCATGTAACAAATAAAGTAAGAATTAGCTATAACGAAGAAAAATATCACATATGCGAGCAACAAAAAATAAACGCGAGCTTTCACGTTCCATAAATGTTTTTCCTTGTAAATAGTTATTAAGTTCTTGTTTTAAAAACGTACAAACAATGTACGGCATCAGGCATTGCGTTTGTCAATGGTGAAAATGAGGAAAAAATAATCATTGAATGAATTAATGTAATGTAACGATTAAGTATGAAACAAAGAGTTGATAAGCAAGATAATAGTCATGTATTCATAATGGTTGTTGATATACCATTGATATTATTATTTTTATTATTAACTAATTGATAATAATTATTACTGTTACTATGACATTTATTATTATTTTTTTTTTTTTTTTGAATATTTAATTTACTTGAAAGACATAAAGAGGGCTACGATAAATCGCCCTTGCATTGCATTGTTATTATCATTCTTTTCACCGTCATTATTTGTTACAATTAATTATTAATTATTATACTTATTAATATTGTTATAATAATTGTTATTATTCTTATTATTACTAAAGATATTTTTATCACATTATTATGTAAGATCTACTACGATCAGAGAGAAGATGATGTCATTACATCGATTATTATTGAGGCATATTTTTAAATGGAAAATGGCCGTCGCTCAGGAATAATCTGATGACTGCTCTTACAAATCTTACAAGTAAAAAAAAAAAGCTGTCAACAGCTTATGGATTTATGACTTATTTAGATTATTCTTGCTACTATGGATTCAATAATAGGCATAATGAAAATTGGATGTTGGCGACTAAATTTACCTTTAGCTGTTATATAATTCATTTGGGTTATAGAAATTTGTGTTGGTTGATAGTTTTTTTAATTAATTATGCAAGTAGGGATACGGTAGATCATTTAATTATATCATAATTGAATGAACAAGTTAATTAATAATAATGAAACAAGAAAGATTGTAGAGGAAAAAATAATAACAAATGAGAAGCATAATTCCGCAAGCTAAGTAGATTAAGGGTAGTTATTATATTATAATTATATGAGTATGACAATGTACGATGTTACAATAGACGAAGCCGAAAAGCTTAATAATGATCAGTGAGAAAATTATTATCGAAACAATAATATGTTATAGAAACAAGTTGATAATATTATTGAAAAATATTTAAAAGATTATATTAACGTCATTAGATTCATTAATACTTGGTCTTTTAGGGTCTATATAAACATCACTTGTGTTAATAATGCAAAGATATACACTATGCTATTAGCCAAAAATTGAGTTAATTATAATCGTAGTAATTAACCCATATCTTTTAATTAATTACGCTGGGCAACAAAAAAAAAATATTTCTCACACGGATGTGAAAATATTTTTTATAAAAATAAAATGAATAATTCATTTAAAATGTTGCATTGAATTAATATTTCAACATAAATACATTGTTTTAATTAATTTTTATAATTTCAGTACAATATTGCTCAGAAATAATCAGCTATTATTTCTTTTTCACTATAAATAATTTATTTTTATCACTATTACTCGTAAATTAAGAATTCCTTAACTGCATAATAAATATCTAGCGTTGCCTAGTGTTACAGGTTTTTAACCCATATCGACAGAATAAAAAATTGCAAGACATACCTCATAAGACGATGTAAATAATCCGCCATAAAATTATTCCTAACATTGGGAAAAAAGAATAAGGATTAAAATGTTCAAAGCTGTTTGTTATTTCTACTCAAAGTGCTTCGTATTTATTATTTTCGTATATGAAGATAATTCCAATAAATAATTTGCAATTGTGCCATTACAAATGTTCGATCCGTACTTTAATTAATACAAAAAAAAATGATAATAAAATATATTGGCACAGCGAATTATTGGCTATAAATTATTGATTATATGTTATAAAATATATTGTAAATTATATCGCTATTACGACGTGCGCATTGCATCAATTGTGTGCCTTATTCTGTGGCGGCCATTTTCGTGAAATAGAAAATCCTATCTGGAAAAGAAAATAATAGATCAATGTGACAAAATGATACAAAAAGGACAAAAGAGAAACCAAGGACAGTTTTTGAAGTATTTCATTTTTAATAATGATTCAATTACACAACATTTATAATACTTAAACTTATTTTATTATTTATCTCTGAATACCAAAAATTGTGTATATGAAATACATAAATGATTATTAATAATTTTGTGTATACAAAAAAAAAAACACCTATTATGAAAAGTTACGTTAAATCTAAGATTACACTTTAGATGTATGGGTACAAATATGCATATGTAAAATGTACTTCGATTTAATGGTGTTATTGCTTTTAAAATAAGAATAAATGATAGGTTCAATTACAATTTTAATGAATTAAATTATTTAATCAGAAATAAAAATTAATTTTCATTTATACTGTTGTACATTTGAATTAATCTATTTTCACAAGAAATATATTACAACGCCATCTTTAAAATAATTTGAACTGTTAAGCGGCAAAGTTGATTTCACTTATTGATGATAACGCGCAAAAGAAAGAAAGAAGAAAGTAACAAGTATACCTAGAGCAGATAAAGATAGCACGATTTAGCGAAAGTATGTCGGTTTAGTGTGATTGGCTGGATCATGGATGTAGAATTTGCGGATATGTGAATGTTGCATGACTGGGGGACGTGGGGGAAAATTGGCGAAGGGCGAAGCGCTCACGAGCAATGAGAAGATCGGTGCGGCGAGGAGCAAGACGAAAAGTGGAGTGCTAGCAAACGAGTCGAGCAAGCAAGGAATCGAGAGTCGGAGCAGAACGAGCGTGCGGTAAGAGAGAGCGAGGTAGGAGCGCGGTGGTGAGGGTGACGACTGGTGCCGTGGACGGTCGGCGGGTCGGACGACCGTGGAGTGAAGCGAAAAAAAACGCGAGTCGGTGGTTTGGTTTGGATTTGGGTCTGTCAATCTTGAGAAGGAAAAAACACATCAATTGTGAATAGTCAATGAAAAGACGGTAGCTGTTTTCGAAGAACAAAGACAGAAAGATTGACAGAAGAGCGAGTGAGAGAGTGATACATAGACGAAGAGGGAGAAAAGAGGGAGAGAGAACTGGGTGTCGAGGTTGGTGAGCGCGGAGGACAAGTGCCGGGAGCTCTTTCGGAGCTCCTCTTGTGTTGTGACGTCGGTAACAGACGTGAAAAGCAAAGGTGAACCATAGAAAAGCCGTGGAATCATGTCCGACAGGGAGAGCTTGGACGACCAACCGCAAAGTAAGCGAGACACATAGTGCAATAGATAGCCGTGTCACCAAAATATATACCATGTACAACCGACATCTTTTTCCAAAGTGCTAACTATCCTCCTGGTAGTACAACAGAAGGATTCATTCTATTTGTTTTATTCTTAATCCTAAAAAAATGTTAATTTTTTCAAAATTTAATGTCATTGAATTCGAGTGCTATTTACTTTTATTTAAATCCTCGTGGCGTTCTGTCAGATGCCGAAAAAATTTCTATTTTTCAACGGCTTCAAGATCCAAGATGGCCGTCAACATATCGGCCAAGAGAGCCCTCTCTATCTTTGGCCCATTGTCCATCTCTTTCCTTACTCCTTTATACACATTTTGCCTTTTCATTCTCCATTCCGTTCGTTTACTTACTCCAAAAATTGCAACTCGCCTGAGGTCCATTTATCAAACGTACTTCTACATATTGTTTCTATCCCGTATACATACAAATAAAAACCACCACTCGATATCATTTTATTTTTCCAGGCTTTATTCATATCCTCAAGGTCGAACGCGCGTTTTGCTTCCTTACATTTACGAGTTGTCGTTAGCAATGCGTTTAATGACGTAATCGATTTGATTGTGCTACTATAGACTAAGCATAATAAGTATGATTGAACATAACCTTCATTAATATCTTTACCAGCTTTTCATTAAATACATTATCAAATTCACATTATTTTTATCACTACTTATCGTCGTTTGCAACATAAGAGTTCAATATTCCTGTCTTATCCTATTTTCCGATTATGCTCTTCTGATATTATTAACAGACTTATTCATTAAATTTATTTGTTCAGTCATCTTATTTAATTATTTAAACACCATAATATTTGCTCATTTTAAATAGCTGTTAGAATTGTGTCAACATCAATTTGATCTAAAAGAATTTCAACTAATTTAAATATGTTACTTTACAGAATATGGGAACCCTGGAGGTATGGATGCTGGAGGAGCTGATTTTGATGCTGGTAAATAAAATTATTTCAAACCACTGATTTATTTTAAATATAATTTATAACTGGCTTGAAAATAATCTATCAAATGACTGAAATAATCAGGAATGAAGATAAAGGTAGAATGTCAAAAATGGAGTAAAGTTATAATTTTTAATATCTCAACAATAGTAAGTAAATAGTCATGTGTTTTTTAGTATTTTTACGAAAATTTTTATTAATATAACAGTCTAATGTGTAAATTTTCTATAAATTTATTGTGCCCATGAAATTGGAGCTTGTGAGTTGTAATTGGATCAAAATCATATGTTATTTATTTTTAAATTACTTTATTGATGAATAATGATCAATTACAGAAAAACATAAAATTAATAGATTTATGATGTCCAAATGTAATCTAGTAATTTCACTCTCTTAACATATTGGGTTTAAATACCCCGCCAGACAGACTAGACCACCACCATACAATCAAATGAGCCTACGCTGGAATTGATCTCTCTTTTTTTATTTTTACACGAGAGTTCTAAAAATAAAAATACCAACGGATTGTACAAGTGCCATTTATAATAATTAACTAAGTATTAATAGTTGAAGAATTTTTTAATGTTCTTTTTAAAAATAAATATTATTAAAATAGAATCACAGGATGACACTTTGATTACTCCAATTCAATTGTTTTATCAACTCTTATCATAGAGCACAACAGATTAATTTCAACGAGAAGTTAGAATGAATGTAATACAGAATTAATGATGATAGAAATGAAAGTCATATTGGACGAATGGAGTTTTTGGAGAAAATTTTCTCGATAGTCAGCTGTCTCAGTGACGTCATGAGTTTGCAGAGAAATAAAGTGGGAGACGGTCACATGGCTTGAACGGTTGCGGCGTCACGTGGCGTTCCCGAGAGCAAAACCAAAGAGGAGCTAAAGGCGCATGACGGTTCGCGCGCTTGGTATCGGTGATTCGCACGATGTACGCATTCCACAGGCATGACGATGGACTCCATGAATGACCAGCACGTCACCGGTGCGATTTTGTATTTGACGGCATAGCATTCGAGCAGCTACGGTTACTCGAGTACACGAGAATCGACACACAAGGAAAAGAAGCAGAATATATGTATCACAAACGCGATGTGTCATCGCTGACTACGCGGCCATGCTTCACCACGATATGATTCTGAGTCTCAAGAGTTTAGTATTCTTGTTAACGTCTTTGTGACTGTGTCATTTTACAATGAAGTTACTAAGATACCAACCACTAGGATAGTACATTTATCAAACACCCTTTGATGATTCACATTCAAACCATATGGAATCATCAGAAAATTCTACTTTGTCAAAAATTGAAGGGGTTAATGGATTGATTAGTACTATGGAAAAGATTCAACACTGGGAACCTGAAGGTGATTTTTTTTACAGCTGTTACATTTTTCTTGTTTTATAATAATAAATGATAAAAGTATAAAGATGAAATTTAAATATCCATTTATCAACTTTCTAAAAGACTAAAATTCAAAATTTCATTATTCTAGACTAGATTAGTTTCACTATTTCACATTGGTTGTTACTTAAACTTGGTGAATTTAAATTTCAATCAATCAATTATTCAAACTAATTTGAGTTGTCGATCAAAGTCTGTATTGTAATATGGTTACAAATAAATTGGAAAGAAGGTAAAATGATAAAACCAAGAAGTCTCGTGGTTTTCTAGCCGCGTGGTGGCGTCGGCGCAGCAATGCAATCGAGTGCGGTGGCTCCTCTTAGGAGAATTTTCTTGGGGATGCAGTTATCATTGAGGCAGGTCACGGTGCAGCCAAGTCGCGCAGCACGTAATCAATGCACTCGTACGTCAGTCTGTACGGGTGTCTTTTGTTCATTATTGCGCGTTAAATATTAAAATTAATTATCGTGAAAATTTACAACAATATATTAAATATTAGTGGATGTGAAGTAAGATGAGAAGATGACTGAACTTGGCTGACGCGTTGAGTTAATCTCCTCATGTTGAGGAGAATTAAATTATGTCTTTTCTAGCCCAAATTATTTTAAGATGGTGACCTAAGGAATCCTGTGGAGAGGATGTCTGTAGAACGGTCATGTAAGGATGAGTTTTGGGAGAAATCGTATGAGAGTTGACACACATGATGAACGACTTGGGAAGAGAGATCAACTGTATGAAAAATGAGACTTTTCAAAGCGTAAAGCGATTTATATCGCTAAGAAGTAAACTGATACTATGATATTTGGAAAACTTGAGAAAAGACGAAGAGAAAAGTCTTAAAGAAAATACATGGATTATCACAACATTGAGAAGATGTTTAAGAGCAGGATTTTTCAGGGCGATTTAAGCCCTGTACCCATTCCTGGTAGTCTACACCAGTCAAGTACGTATAGGATGCAATATATTATAAGGTTTATAGATTTGTGGAATTAGCAAGATGGTGGTCTAAGTGTGAAGAAAATGATGAAAAAGGAATATTGGGCTAAGAGGGTGGCGTAGAGATCCCGGAGAGTCATTGACCCCAGGTCGCAGCTGTTATTGATCGCACAACTAGTAACATGACTACGTCCTATTATTGAGATGCCTGTCCTACCTCAAGCAATCATTCGACTCTATTTATTTTCTAGGCCAATTTGAGTCTCGATAAAATTGAATATTTATTACATCAGTTTTTCATCTTTATTGAAATCTTATTTCCTTTCTAGGTCAGCATGGTCAACAGGGTGAACAGGAATTGGCAACTAAAATGCTTCAAATTCAAAGTAAGCGATTCTACCTTGATGTCAAACAAAATCGACGCGGGAGGTTTATTAAAGTTGCAGAGGTTTGTTTATAAAAAATTATCAAAATTTCACTAATGGATAATTTCTTTTGTTGTTTGATTAACACTTTTCTTTGTACATTTTAAAGATTGGAGCGGATGGCAGACGTAGTCAAATATTTCTAGCCTTAAGTACAGCATCAGAATTTCGTGATCATCTTTCAACGTTTAGTGATTTTTATGCATCACTAGGTAAGATGTCGTAAACCATAAAAAACGTATGTTGTTTTTAGAAATGGTTACTAAATTTTATTTAATGAGATAGGTCCACCAAATCCAGAAAATGTCCCGGAAGATGGAAAACTCAAATCTGAAATGATGGTGAAAGACAATAGACGATACTATTTGGATCTCAAAGAAAATACCCGTGGCCGTTTCCTGCGGGTGAGTCACCCTGTATGTACCAACACTTATATGTTTTTTTTTTCATGAAAAATCAGGGGAGACAATTTAAATCTGGTGTGAAATTGTTTACACATAATGTTTTTTTTGTAATATGACTTAATTATAATTTTATAAATTGTAAATTTCCAGGTATCTCAAACAATAACACGAGGTGGTCCAAGAACACAGATTGCAATACCAGCACAGGGAATGATTGAATTTCGCGATGCATTAACGGACTTATTAGAAGAATTTGGTGTTGTTGATGGTGGTTTTAAAGGTGATTTACCTGAAGGTCGTTATATGCGTGTGGATAATAAAAAGTTTTATTTCGATATTGGACAAAACAATCGTGGTATTTACATGAGAATTTCAGAGGTTTGTATATTTTTTATTTTTATTGAATATATAAAAAACAAATTAAGAAACTTTATTTAAAAGCAGTGATAATTTTTTATAATGATTTTAAATAAAAATTATAGGTAAAGACAAACTTTAGAACGGCCATAACTGTGCCAGAAACATCCTGGTCGCGGTTTCGTGATATATTTGCGAATTACTGTGAAAAGATGAAGGAAGGCGCAGGCGCCAACGTTGCTAGTATTGGTGCCGAAGGTTTATCAGAAGTAACTAAGGGTACCGTAGGATCAGGTCCGCAGGTATCATCGCCATCTTCCACTTCTCAACAGCCTAACCCGAATCCGAATTTAGATTCTAACTTGATCAAGTGAAAAAGGCTTTAACTGAAACTCGAACATTGGGATTACAACTCTAACTCGTTTTCACGTCGTTGAACGTACTAATGCAACTTGTCAGTACATATATCATCATCGTCGCGCCGTCGCCGTCATCATCGTCATCATCATTACCATTTGTTATAGGTGCCGTCGTATTATCATAGTCATCAACTATCTCTATAATCAGTCACACTCGTATTTTTAAAAACTCATTGCATAATTAATTCAATTTTTTCGTTAACTATTTTTGTTTTTATTGAATAATAGCATAATATTGACATTTAGATTTATATAAAATTTGAAAGTAATCTTTTTTATTTAATAATCAATTACTTATGAGTCGTTTGACTTAATTTATATTTTCAATGAAATTTTTTCTCCTATTTAGACGCTTATAGACGTCGAAATGTTAATTATTATTCATGTAGAATTAATTCTATCTTAAAATATGTTATGTTATAATTGAATTTGATCGTTCAGATTTTATGGATACATAATTAATTGTTATGTAAGTATATGAAAAAAATTTAGGATTGTTTTTTTATATATATATAACACGCAGCTTAGAACAAAGCATAGAAATTAGAATAATAACAGATGAACATACAACGAGGAAACAATTGATGTCCTCGAAAGTGGTCTTCTACCTCGACATTGCATTCAGTAGAAATAATTATTTTAATTTCTACTTAAAAATAATTATTTCAATTTATTTTTGTCATACTTTCGTTATTTTTATGTCAATGACTATCGTTTTTTCATGTTAAAAATATCAACAAAATAATAATAATAATAGTAATGGTTGTCTTTGCAAACCGCACTTACGTCAAACATTTTTCTTGTTATACACAAAAATGATATATATAAATATATAATCATAATTGTGAAAAAAAAAATTAATAAAGTAATCAAATACATCAAAAAGTAGTCAAAGACATTGATGTAATTGTAAATTATATGATGTTGATTAATGAAAAATTAATTTCTTAACATAATAAATCTATAAATGAAGACATTCAATGATATTTAATCGGAAAATTTAAATGGAACCAAGAGAATTTTAAACTAATTTCAACAATTTATAAAATTGTAGAAATGATAAGTGAAATGGATTAATGCAGTATATCATTATATTTCATCTTAATAATTGACTAATGATAAATCATGTGAAAAGTAATCTTCAAATTATTAAAAAAAAAATTATGCGGTTCGTATTTTTTGTGTAATACTATGATTGCGCGACGGCCGATTTAAAATATATTTGCATCTTAGATATGTAAAGTACATAAAAATGCATATTAGGTATTTATATAGATTCTATATATAATTATAACTGTGTAATTATAATAAAATGCCAGTCTCGGGACCTGATTAATAGCAAAGATTTGACTGTGAGCTAATAAAAAAGACCGAAGTTATTAAGATTGAATGGAAAAATAGATGAAAAGTAAATTTGCTGTCAATTAGGTCCTCAGTCGGCGTAGGAAGCGACGTAGGGAAATATTAAATTAATGGCAAGATTACAAAATACGAGTTATACGTAAAAGAAATGAGTTATTAGGTCAAGAGATTATAAAAGTTCGAGTTGATTGCCCCTACCCCTCAAGCCAGAGAATCTTGATACGCTTTCATTCTGCAACGCTGTGCTAATATCAACAATTCAATCAAGAAAAAATAACTAACTAATAAATATGTATTTACGTTTATCTTATCTATTAAAAATGAAATAGATAACGCGTCATTTCGCACTGGTGCGGAATAAAATCTATTATATTAATTAAACGAGGTGTATTATACATACATGCATAATTAAAAAGTGCTATTTAATTTCATTAAATGACCTAGAGTCATTTTATACCTCGTAGCACGTTGAAACAACGGAGTTATAATGCAAAAAAAAATTATTATTATTATTATCATCACTATTAACTATTAATAATGATAATGAAATATTAATTGAAAAACAGACGATGATAATATGATGGTAAAAAAGATAAAATTATTTATGATTTAGCAATGTTCAATTATTATCTATACCAATTAGATATTCAATTTTTTCAATTCACTTGTTTTAAATTAACAATTTCGGCTGGTCTGAATTTATCTAGAATTATATATAGGAATCCAATAATATTAAATCTCACAATAGAAATTTTTGATGTTTAATGAATACTGATCATGGCTTTAATAGTGAGATTCGATTTTTTGTTCACTTTTTGAAAAAAGAAAATTTACTATTAATTTTTGCTCATTGATTAAATGAGTTGAATTTAAATGAACAACGTGATTCTAAAAATCTAACTATATTTAGAAAATTCTCAATGTTAAAAATTTATACATACTTTAAAAAAAAAGAACATCATCTATCATAATTTTTTTATACATCATAATCAATTTTAAATAACTATTGAAAAATATATATTTTTTTCGTGAAATTACGTTGTTAACTCGAAATCAAACCCATTTTTTTAATCTAACGAATTAGCATAATAATAATATATAAAAAAAAAAAACAAATTAATTTCCAGCCAATAGTTAAGTTAAATTAATACAATCAATGATTTATTTTTCAAACTCGGTATATCGTATTATTAATAAAATGAATAAATGAGAATATTCTTGAATAAATACAAATATGAAATTGGATCAAAAATTATATGACTTATAATAACGTAAAGCCAAGAGACGCTCGAAAGATAACAGAAAGGAAAATTGTCAGGATATCTAATAGGAGATAGAAAAAAAGGTATAGAGATAAAAAAAGAAAAAATTGTTCACTGGCGCAGATGGTATGACACATTGTGATCTATATAAATTACAAAGCATCAACAAGTAGTAAATATTTAAGGTATATGTATATGTTACTAATTTAATTAATTGAAAATAAAAAAAAATTAAAAACACTGAATGGTACACAAGTACGTTACATATACACATGCGGTCTAGGGATCTCGCTGATAACACTATTAATTATAATTAATTCAATAATACACTATAAAATACACTTGATTGCGAGTAGAATAAACGTACACATGCCCTTTAAAAATAATTAAGTACGAGAGTATGCCTGTGGATAGTAAGAAAAAAAATTTTATTTCAAAAAATAAAAATTAAATGAGTTTAAGAAAAAAAAAAAATTGTTTATCAAAAATATATATTATAACAACACTTCAAGGTATTGTTATTTTCATAAAAATCGTTATTCAAAATTATCATTTTGTTACTTATAAAAAATGTCTTAAAATTAAATAAAAATCTTGTTTTAAATGAATATTCGATTATCAATTATTCATGTTTATTTTATATCATTAAAAGAACTCTTATTATGTTATTATGTTACATTAAAATTTAAAGTTAACGAGAATCATTGATGCCAATTAAAACCTTGTTCATTAATATTAAAACGATATCCTATATTAATTGATTATTAAATTAATTTGTTATGAAGAAGATAGATAAAATTTTAAAAACTATCAATAAGGTAGTAATTTTGTTGAGTCAAATTATATTACTTTTTTTTTAAGGAAAAATTATCTCTAACTTAAAAAAAACTTAAAGTTCAATAAATTTTAAACGGGTGAACAACCACACACGTACCTTTGATGAAATTAATAAAGGGCAAAAAGTTAAATTATTGCGTACATTCGACACGTAATTATAAATTCAAAGTAAAAATGATATAAAAAAATGAACTCGTTAAATATACATACTAATGTCAAAAGAAAAAACAAAATTAATATTTAAAAATGAAAATTAAGCAAAAAAATGCGATGCTCCTGCCACGCAGCGAGTTCTTAGACAGCTTTAAGATAATATTAATAAATTATAAATAATAATTATATTAAATAAATTAATAAATAATAACAATAAACTTTCTATATGTTGAATCGTGTCTAGTAAGAAAATCATAAACAAGAAAAAGATGAAATATAATTAATTATAAAAATTAAAATAAAAAAAAAAATAAATTTATGTCGATTTATATAGATGTGTATATTTATATGTATATATTATAAATTATATAAATATATACATATATAATTACATAAATAAATATTAATTAATAATTCTTTCAATGAAAATATTATTTTTATTATTATCGTTTGAATTTTTCTTTTCAAATATATTGTTTTTTCTATTTACTTTAATTATCACCATTAATCAATTAATTTAGTTATTAGTTTTTAAAAATAAGATGCAAAAATATCGAGTTAAATTGTAAGAAAGTCGAGATCAAAATTAGTTGAGCAATTATTAATTTGTATAGGCTGTTTTCCATATCGTTGTATGATTAATAATTCAAGTAATACCATCAATGATTGCAACAAATGTTACATCATACAAATTAAATAACAACAAATTATTGTGTTTATTAATATGTTTCAGTCTTTTATACACGCGTGAAATTCAATTAAGTGATAAAAACAATCGAATATTACAAGTCAAAAAAAAAACAAAACATTCTTTATTCTCTTTACCCAATTATTGTTACTGTTGCCACACTAATAATACTTTTATCTATTTTACATATATGATGTCATAATAAATTAGCTATAAAATTATCCAATTAATAAGTAATAAATGATTTGTGTGATATTTCATTGGAATGAATTGAGTGAACAATATATTTTCAAAAATAAAATTCAAAACCATATTCTTCACATGGAAATGAATTATTGTATTACCACGCGTATTTCAACTGTATAAAAACGAAATTTCATTGTATAAATAGTTAGTTGATTAACGCTAATAAATTAATTATATATTCGTTAGCATCGCATATTCTTTTTGCTCTATGAATTTTACGAATATTACTCCAATTTCTATTGTATCAATTATTATATATCATCATGATTTATGTTTCTTACAAATAATAATACAATTTGTCTAAGATTCAATTCATTTATTACTATTACAGCTATTATTATTAATTCATTTAATTATATTTTTTCGAAAATTAACTCTCTTTGTGCTTGAATTATCATGAATAGCATATTATTTATTTCCTAATTTATATAATTATCTAGTCCTGAATGAATTGACACTTTTTTTGTTATTATTATTTCAATTGAGAATTTTTTATTTGTTTTATTATTTTTGAAAAACAACATTATTTGTATAATTATGATAAAATGATTAAAATTGTAATATAGTTAATAATTTAAATACAGATTTATTAAGATGACTAATATATGAATGAATATGTGTACATGTAAATAAAAGCATTTAAGCTATTATATACATGTACATATACACAATTAATAATATAATAATATAGATATAAATATTTTCTTTTTACAGTTATGCAATGAATTGTACGCAATAGCTGGCATACAAAATGAAAAATTAAAAACATATTGAACACGTTGTCTTAATACTTTAAATCATTATTAGAGTGTTTAAAAAATAGTTGTTAATTAAAGTAAACAAAAAAATAAAAAATAAAAAATAGTTTAATTCATTATTTGAGTATCAGAGTAAAAACATTTTTAGACGTATTGAAGTATTTCTACGTTGTATATTTTGCTTCTTATCTTTGATAAATATCTTGTAGTTCATGTAAGAAAAATTTTTAATAGAACAAAATTTATGAAAATTAAAAAAGATCATTTTTGATTGATTGTCTATTTTTACTATTTACAAAAATCTGAAAAATAATTATTGTAATTGAAAAGATACAAAAAAAATGTATAATGAATTAATTGATAGATAATTGTTAAGACAGAATATTTTCTTCTATTTATGCATTGCCCATGCAACCTTTAATTATATAAAAATTAAAATTTGCTCACAATACTTGTATTATCTCAATGTTATCAAAGAAAACGTGCCCCTTAAAAAATTTGTTCTACATTCGTTTGAGAATTTGATTGTTAAGTAGTGTAGAAGAATAATTTAAGAGTATCCTAAGTTGCTTTGACTCTTTTTGATTAGTTATATACACGGCGGTGCATGATTACAATAATTCAGTATGAATTTTTAGGAAAGAAGATAATTATTAATAAATGAAGTCTCTAATTAACAGACTAGATTCAATATGAAAATAACATGGATGAAGAAATAAGTAAAAAACACATCACTGCCATGTTATTAAAAAAAACTCATTGATAGACATTATTGCCCCATTTTTTCATGCTGAATAAATGGGTCTACGTAGGTACATATGTATATTCATTTATTCATACATACAATGTATTTGAAATTGGGTGGAAATAAAAAAATAAGTTAATGATTCCATGATCTCCAAACATTTTATCCCACACCATTTTACTTTCATTTTGTTTAATTTATTATTATTTACATAAATATCTCAATATAAAATATCTATTCTACTATTTAAATAGACAGATAATTCGTTTACCCATTTTGGAAAGTGTAGCATAAGCATTAACACTTTTTCCTTGTTATTAGTGTATATATCTTCTAAAAAATGTAAAATAAAGTCTTTCGTTTTCGGAGTATGATTGTTGGGATCAATTTTCAATAAAAATATACAAAATTGAAATTTTATAGGATATAAATCAACTAAATATTTTTTTCTGTCTGATTGATTGCACGAAATCGCATTAAGGATAAATTGTACATAACTCGAAACTAAAAATGAATATTTACAATGCTTAAAAATTGCTATCAATATACCACAAGCTCTTTGAAATAATATTGAAGATTGGGATATTTTTGTTATTAAACTATCGAATGTCGAAGTTTTACAAAAAAATTCATTGACTAATTGTTCGTTATGTACATTCTTCAACTTTTCGTCATGATTTAAACTATGATATTTTTTTAAATTTTCACAAAAACAGTCGATCAAAGGTTCTTCTATTAATTTTTCACTTTGAGCAAGATATAATTTTTCTATAGCAGTGAATTCTAATTTCAGTTCTTGTTCATGATGTAATATTAATTCTACAAGATCATAACTATCATGAATAATATCTGATTCAATAATATGTTTAATCATTTTTTTTAAGTGATAATTATATGAAGAGTTGGAAGTTGATAAATTGATTAAACTCCTAAATAATGTAATCAAGTGACTAGGCGAAATATTATTATTTAAAAACTGATGAGGATAGCGTGAATATTTTTTGAGAATATTATTGCATAATTTAGAAACTCTGTTACTTTGGCAGAATGTTGGATAAATAGCTAAGCCCATAGGCGGTCTTACCCATTCTCGAAGCGTATCCTTAAAAAAAACACTTGATCAGAAAGAATATTCAAACCATATATATCATTATTACAAGGACTCACAATTACTCGGATGCGAGCAGCATATTTTTGATGAGCTTCTGAAGATACTTTGAATGCAATTAAATCAGTAAATGATATTGCTAATCCTTCAGTAATAACAGAATCAATTGCTGGTACTCGGTTGACTAACTCTTCGATTTTTCCACCATCTAATAATGATTCCGTGAATTTTTCACTACTACATAAAATAGCTCGAACAATATCTCGATCCATTTTTTATAATAAAATAACAATTAATGACTCTCATCATTTCTGAAAGATCAAATAATTTTTTTAATAAGTGATTTAATAGAAATATATTATATTTAAACGTACATGTTAACGTTAAAAAAGATAATTTGTATTTTCTTTTACCATGTTTCTGTCATGTTTTAAAAATTTTTAAAAAACTTCATTGTTGTTTATTGCCATGTGATATAATAACCTAATTGTCATTCGCAATAATAATGCGTATGTATAAAAGGAATTATTCAATTCAATTGTATATTTATATAAATCAATTTAAATATAAATTAAATATTTTTCGCAATTAAATAATAACTTTTAGCTCTCTGTTTTATTTTTTGTAAAAAATATAAAATATAAAAAAGTAGACATCTTCATTATCGATGCAGATATACTAAAGTTTGAATTTATTTTACGCCCTCGCATTTTGCGGCGAAATAAGAAAGCTCGATGTCATTAAGTAGAATATTGCAAAAATCTCCTAAAACACGTGGAATTATTTTCTATTCAAGTTTTATGTTCACAGACTTTGCTTTTTAATTTTTTAATTTGAGTTTTGAGTGGAGTAAATACAAATAATAAGTTGCAAATATTTTGAGATGTTTCAAATTTATAATAAAGAGACTCTCTCCTCTGTTTAATTTAGACCAATTTTAGTGTGAAGGTTAATCACAGTACATATTTTCAAGTATGGATACTGAACCTCCAATGGTTCATGTTAGTGAACTACAACACAATAGTTTATATGAAGAAAATGTTAACTTAGAAAATAAAAAGAAATTAAAATCTAATATAGAGTATAAATGTTCATATGATGGCTGCAATAAAAGTTTTAACAAAAAATCACTATTAATTCGGCATACTCGAGCACACACTGGAGAAGTATGTATTTTGATTGCTAACTCAAATAATAAATTTTATTAATTTTCAAAAAAATACTATCCTTTTTAATTTTTACAGAAGCCGTATAAATGTACTTTCGAAAATTGTAAGGGAGCTTTTGGAACATCTTTTCTCTTAAAAAGACATCTTCGTTCTCATGATGTAATTGTCTCATATATCCAGGAAATATTAAATATATTATTCTATATAATTATAATTAAAATACATATTTTTATTCGTAGCTTTCAAGTATGGATATCGAACTGTTAATGATTTATATGGATGAAGAAGACAATAAATCAGATGAAGAAAAAGTCAAATTAGAATATAAATGTCCATATGATGGCTGTAATAAAAGTTTTAATAAGCCATCACGATTAACTTGGCATATTCGGACACATACAGGAGAAGTATGTATTTAAACATGTTAGTTAACTCATACAATAAATTTTTACTTTGAAGAGCATACTATAAGTTTTAATTTTTACAGAAGCCATATAAATGTACTTTCCAAAATTGTGATCGAGCTTATGCAACATCATCTCACCTAAAAAGACATCTTCGTTCTCACGATGTGATCGACTCATATGTTCAGTAAATATGAAACATATTACATTATTTGATAAAATTATAAATAATATTATTTGTTATTTAATATTATGATTTGAAAATATTTTTTGCAGATGTAATGATTGTAAATTAATGTTCAAAAGTAGAATGAATTTATTAAGACATCATCGACGAGTTCATGAAAATAAAGACAGATTAAATTGTCAAATATGTGGGATTACGTTTCGTAAAAAAATATTATTTGAAGATCATAAACGATCACATAATAAAGAAATTTTTAATTGCGATAAATGTGACAAGTCATATGAATCTTTGAGAAAGTATAGAAGACATAAAGAAGTTCATAGGATAAAATTTTATTGTAAAATACCCGATTGTGGTGAAAGATTTGCAAACATTACACTTTATAAAAAACACTGTGAGACACATAAAGGTAAGTAGCATGTGAAAAAAATTAGAAACGTATTCAATTGTCAGTACATTATTTTAATATTATTTTTATTGATACAGATCTTAATGAAGAACGTGAAAAAAAATTACGATTAAGACTTTCTGCACACAACCGTGATAATAATACAATATTAATACCTTGCCCTTATGATCAATGTCACAGGGTTTATTATTATCAATCAAATTTAACACATCATATAAAAACTAAACATGAAGGTGAAAAAAAATACGAATGTGACTTGTGTAAAAAGAAGTTTGGAATAAAACGGTCATTAATTTTTCACTTAAAAACTTGTCATCGTGACAACTTTCAAGAGCAAAATGAAGACCCAAAAAATGCAACAGATAATTCGATTAAGTGTAAAAGGAAGAAACAAAAAACTAGATGTGATGCTGGTTTACCAAAAAAAAGTATGGTTTCTAAACTAATAGGTATTTCATTACCTACGAATATGGAAAAAGCATTGTTAAAGCGAGATACAGATAAGACATTGTTTGATAAAAATTTTGTAGATTTATAAAATAAAATACAATATAAAAAAATTTGTTATTGATTAAGACATTGATATTATTAATTATTAATTTACTAAATAGTTGATTAACTTGATATTTACTATATTAACTGATTATTTACAAATCTTAATAACTAGATTCTTTATTGTTTTATTTTTCTGGAATATTTTTATGTTTATAAAAAAATTACTAGTAAATTATTTATGCAAAAACTACACTTATAGACTAAGTAGATTGATTTTGGACTTGAATTTTTATATTTTATGATTATTATCATGACGATGATTATTAGTTTTGTTATTATTATTATCATTACTAATGAGTACTAATGATTTTTTAAATTTTTGATTTTATTTTTTTCTGTTGATGTCTTCAATATAGTAGATTGGCAATGCTCTGAATTCAATCGTCTGATTGCTTTAATTTTTATTTATATTCAGTTGTTTTAACTTCTCTTTAAGAGTATTTATTAAAGGCTATGGATTATTCAATTGTCGTATATATTCAGGAGCATGGTAATGCTGTTGAGTATGAGCAATGGATGGATGAATTGGTGGTGGAAAGCAGCGAACATGTTCTACACTTGTTGAATCAGTATCACCACTTTTTAAATACTTATTTAAAATAGCAAAAATTTGTGAGTTTAAGACTTGAAAACGTCTAATACGATCGACCATTCTTTTCAAATGCTGCAAATAAAATTTTTGTAATGAGTATAAAAAAATCCAACTTATAATAGATAATTTATGTTGACTTACAATGCCTTTAACATTTTCATCTTTTCCATCAACCCTTTGTACTCGTAGAATATGATAACAAAAATCTAAAGCTTCGAATCTTCTTTGCTGTCCTAATAAAACGATCATAGCACATCCAGCCCAATGCAAGCCTTCACCGAACAACTCTCTGAAATAAATTCAAATGTTTATTATAATTAATTTCTTTCTTTTTTTAATTCGATTTATTTTAGTATTTGTTAAATATTTACTCGACTGTAAACTCCGTTTCTCCAACGGGTATGCAATACACAAACTGTAAAGCACTCCATAATCTATGGAATTCTGTACATTCATCAATATTCATTACTCCATTTGCTGGAGGTGGTCCAATCCATATTGGATCATCTAAAAAGCTCTTCAACCGATTCAAAACTACTTCAAATATTGATAAACCGCAGCATAAACGTTCTCTTGTTAATAAATCTCCTTCTCTTGCTATCATCGCTTGCTGATATATGAAAAGTAGATAATGAAATTATTACTTTTAATAAAATTTGTTTTATTTCAAAACATTATGTAGTCAATTAAATTTATTTATACCTTCGCAGTGCCAAGTTTGTCAACATTTGGAACAATTTGCAATGCAGAATATTTAGCTTCTAATCTTTTTTGCTTGGTCTCTGGTTTTTCTCCCTCTGAAATCGAACGCACTTTAATGTGATATAATTTATCCTTACTTATTATTGAACACATTTTTCTTTCAATAATTTTACGTACCTTTACAATGTGGTCTAGGTAAGATATTTTGGAAAGGCGCTGCATGAAGCAAATCACAAACTTCTTCTTGTGATAATGCTTGTTCCATTAATAAACAAAATAGTATGGTATTGCCGAATTCTCGAAAATTATGAAATAATTCTGTTTTAGCATCTGGATATTGTACAATATCGTTTAATTGTGCATGATAATATCCTAAGACTCCAGGAGAGCCGTAATCATATCTTGGTAATTTACAAACTTTTGGCATGGCTTCCATCAAAGTTTTTGTAAATTGCAGCAAACTTCCTTGAATTAGAGATTTCACAATTTTTAGTAATTCTTCCATCACCACTGCAATCCCTTGATATCCGAGTAGTTTACACATTGTTCGAAAATGACAAGGCCCAACGAATCCTGTGTACTGTCCATATTGAGTGCTATATGCTAAATTCAATTGTTTACTTCCCCATAAATAGTGATGAGACATTTGTGGTGGTTTGTCTCGATGTACTGGCTGTACAAATTGCAGTCTACGACATTTTACAAATCGATTCGTTGCTGCATTATAGCAATAATTTGGCAAAAAGTCATAATTTAATTCCCAAAAAACGTGAAGTGTAATTCGACCATATGGTGCTAATACATTGTGATTAGCTTCACGAAACATTGCATCATATTCATCTAAAGCTAACCATTTACTTAATAGTTTATGAGTTAGACGATTTACTTGTAACAATCCTTCTAGCTCTACTATTCCTGTAATATCGCCAGATTCAAATTTACTTATTGCTAATTCTAATGATTTTTGCATATCTGCATTAATTCGTTGTGTTATCAATTTATTTAAATCAATACTGCGGCCTAAAAGCTGTACATGACGTTGCTTCAATAAAGTTTCATAACGATTAGCACGTGGATAAGGCAATAAGTAAGCACCTAATGCCACACATTCAACACGAAATCGTTTATCTAATAAAATGCTGGCTGCTAATTGTTTATAATGAGCGAATATTTGTTCACTCAGTTTATAAACAAATTGATCAAAGCACAAATTAACTTCTGCTTCCACTTCATCATATAAAAATTGTTTTCTAAAAATTGTTAGAGCATAAAGAGCACTATCATTGTACAAGTCCAAAGGATAAAGAACGTATTCCATCATAGAAGGTTCTTTACTTTTCAAAATATGATCAGTTAAAATCCAAGGCATAGACATTTCAATTGGAAATTGGATTCTTTTCTCCATTGTAATTAAATCACTGCATTCTTCATTATGTTGATGTCTAACTTGACATTTTTGTATTTTTCGTCCCATTGTCATTTCTAGATAAAATTCACGATACCATAGTTGAGAAAGATCACAACAATTTTGTAGTGATTCACTAAAATTTAATAAATAGCTCCAATAAAAGCTTGTTTTATGAAATTGATCAATTTGGATTAAATACTGGCCATCGATATCTTTTCTTAAAGTTCTTTTTCCACCACTTTTATCGGCAATCAAAGATTCTAACATTGTACGAACCTGTAATATTATTATATAATTTTTAGATATTGAATTAAAAAAAAAAAAAAAAACATTTTTAAATAATTTTATAAATATTTAAGTAAAAAAATATAATACAAACCATATAAAGTTGTGTTGAAGAAGGTCCTACATTTCTTCGGGGAACTTTAATTCCAAATCCATTATCAGGATCTTTCTTGCCTTTTAGTGCAGGATCACTCGATGGTTCAACACCGAAATGCCAATCTGCACAAGTTTCTCTTACAGATATAATAATACTACGAATTAAATCCTTTTTATTTTTAATAGCTTTTCTTAAAGGTTCTCTAAGAATTAATTGAACAAAATCTTGAAGTTCAGCATAAATATTCCTTCGAATTGCATCAATAAATACAGTTTCCATTCGCGCCATCAATACTTGTAAACCTTTAATCATTGCTATTACTTCAATTAATGCAAACTTCTCTTCTTCTGTATAATTGTAACGTGTTGCTCTTTCATATTCTTCAGCTTCTAGAGGACACTCTTTATTCATATGATGATCAGTTGGATGTAAAAGCTTCCAGCTGTATAACTCTGTAACAACACTTGTCCACTGTGATAATAATTGTAGTCCTCGCAGTGCTAGTTCAGCAGTGTCATGATTTTCAGTATCAGATCCACATTCTTTGTAAGTTGTAGTAACTTCGTTACTATATTTAGCTAATTCACTGATGTATTTTACATGGTCTTCTCTGATTTGCGGCAAATGAACCATTAAATCTGCTTGAGGACTCATAGAGTTTATTGATGATGATAAAGGCCATTTTGAGGCTTCAAAATGCTTGGATCGTTTTATATAATTAAATGGTGCAATTTGCATATCACCAAATAATGGTACAACTTCCAAATTTTTAAATATTCGGTCTATTCTATCTAATTTTAATTTCTTCTTTTGATCTAATTTATTTATATTGCATAATTCACTATCCATTAGAAATAAACCAAATCCCATCACTTTTACTAGCATGTGCTTTTCATTTGGAGTTAAATACATTTTCGTTTCATACATGTGAACACAAATATTAACTACATCTGCTAGTAATTCTTCATAGCCTGGAATTTTTTCTAAATTTTCTTTTACTGTGTCTCTTATTTTATTTTGTGTTGCTAAAAACATTGATAGATTTTGTGATTCTTGAAGAGTCTGAGAATCTGACATGACTTTTAGGAATTGTGCTGCTCTTCTATAAGTTGAATAGTCATTTTTAACACTTGACTTCATATTTTTTAATTCATCTAATACAGCAAACATATTAATGAATTTACCAAGAGTCAATAAATAAGCCTCTGATACAAAGTCTTTTCGTTTTTCATGATGACAAAGTCTTTTAACTTCACCAGAAAATCTTTCAATAGCCTTTCGTTGAAAATACATAAAATTTAACAGTTTATTCACTTCTGGTGCCAAAACTTCGACAGTTTTTTCATAAATTTCGACACGATTTGGTTGTTCATTTGATTTAGGCTGAGGAATTGCTCGAGAACAGCAACGCCATGTATAAAGCATCACTGCATGCTCCAAACCTTCTTCTAACAATTCATTTAAACTTGCATGAACGGTTGCTTCTTCAATATATTTAGCAATTCCGGTTACAAAACCATTACGATCTTCAAAATTAGTATCAAAATTCGCTTGATATACAACAGAACAAGGTTGTGCTTCAATACAAGGTTGCTCATCAGGCAGTGTAAATTCATCTAGAACGTCGACATTGGATAATGCATCACTTAACGTTACCTTGTCGGTCGTCATTTTGAATTTGTTTATAAATTAACACTGTTTAACGAAGCAAAAAAATAAATAAATATCCAATATATAATATTGATATTCGTTTGAATTAAATTATTAAAGTTATATGTGCAAAGTAAAAATTGAAAAGTTATAAAAACATGTACTGAAGCTTATAACTTTGGATTATTATTTAACCTTACGATGTAATCTGATATGGTGAATAACTAACTCAATAATCTCGGATGATAAACTTCAATTAATAAATTATTTCATTTTGACAATTCACACGTCAAAGACGCTAATAAAGTGCCATTAAACTCCACCCCATAAAAGATCTATATTTTTTTTTAATCTATAGTTTGTGAAGTTTGTAGAGCTATATATATTTCAACACATTATATATCTTGAATTTTTGCCGGGAATTTTCAATTTATTTGCATAGATAATATTATAATTAATTATTTTCAATTTATAATTATTACAAAATAATGCTATAATGAGTAATATTTAAAAAATATTAATAAAATAATCAAATTTAGGTCAAAAATATTTAAAACTCTGGATGACGTAATTATGGCGCTTTGTGTACAGTCAATTGAGTACTAAGAATTGTGCGCGTGATAAAATCGTGGAATTGAGACTTCTGTGTTAGGCGGTTATTCTTTGTTAGTGCAATATAACTCAAATGTTAGATATATTTAGGAAAGATTTTTATTTTTGATTATTTATAAGAGCATATCTCTCTTTTATTCAGATTACTTTATTGACATTCATTCAAACAATCATTATGTCGGTGTTTTGGACAATTCGTTTATATTTATAATATGTGTGTTTATTCCATGTATGAAGATAGTTTTTTACAAGACTTATTTGAACTCATAAAAATATGATAATATTTTTGACATCGTTGACAGAAAGATAAAGTAATAGTTTGAAAATCAGAAAAGTTGACGATGTTAAAATGTTCAAATTAGAATCATACATTACACCAGTGTTACTCAATTATGTTGGAAAGTACGTTAAAAATTTCAAACCGGAGCAGTCCCAGGTATATCAATTATTTAACCTGTTTATTAATTATATTTATTATATTATTATTAAAAAAAATTCTATTTTGTATATAACTGATAATTTAATTGTTTGGTTACTATCAATTAATAATTATATTTATTTGTAAAGGTATCATTATGGGACGGAGATGCTACATTTCAAAATTTGGATTTAGAGCTAAATGTTCTAAATGAACAAATTAATTTCCCTTTTACATTCATCAGTGGGCATATTCATGAATTATTAATTCATGTACCATGGGTAAAAATAACATCAGAACCAATAGTAATAACAATTAATACTATTGAATGTATACTAAAAATGAAAGATAATTCTGATGTTGACAATGAAAAATCTTTACAACAAAAACCAAGCTTCGATTCATTACAGTAAATATATTTTATTCATCCACAATATAATTAAAAAGATTTAGTAATATATGTTTGAATAATTTTTGATTATTCTTGTAGAGAAGAAGCACCATCTGGTTATATCAAGAGTATTGTGACAAAAGTCGTTAATAATATAGAAATAAATTGTAACAATTTAATTCTAAAATTTGTTGAAGAAGATATTGTTCTTAGTGTGAATATAAGATTTCTGGGTTTTCAAAATGTTAATAATCTGTGGCAGCCAGCATTTACGGATATAAATATCCGAGACATGATTCTACGCAAATTAATAACAATGAAAGATTTGACATTATGTCTTGATCGTATGGATGCTTCAGGAAAAATTGAAATATATCAAGATCCAGTTGTTTATCGCTGTTCGATGGTGATCCGATGGTTAACAAATTATTTAAAATATGAAAGCAGTCAGAATCAACGAGAATCTGTAAGTAGATTTGACATTCACTTCAATAAAATTGAATTCAGCGTTACAGAACAGCAAATACCAATGATTTTGCGGCTTATAACGTTGTTTATGAACTCTCAATCAAAATTATATTCTGGAGGTGGTAGTTCATCTACACATTCAGAAAAAAATGATGCGATTGCTAAAATTACTGATGATAATTTAATTGGAACTTCGAGTATATCGAAAACAAATATTCCAAATAACAATAGTAATAATAATAACAATAATAATAATTTAAATTGGAGTTCATGGGCTTGGAATACTTTATCATCATTTGTCCCTGATTGGGGTGGTGATTGGTCACCAGAAAAATCTTTAGATGATGTTATTCAAGTAATGGATTTTGGCATATATATTGATGATGCTATTATAACATTTAAGATCACAGAATTTAATCGAGAATTATTAACCCACAAAAATGTAAAGGCTAAATATCGTCCTTTTGTCACTTTACAATTATCTGGAATGACAGGAACAATTATGATTCATGGATCAAATTTCACGGGAATACAAATTGGTTTAGGGTATATTAAAGTTTATCCACAAGGTAATTGTACCTGTGGATTTTACGAAGTTAATTCAAGTACCATGCAGGGATTGGATTTTTATTTATCTGCAGGAGTTTTCAACTCCGAATATTACAAAGGTTCATTATTTGACTTAGAAGCAGTAGAAAATCGTGGATTAACCAAAGATTATCGAAAAATAATGAAGAGTCGAGTGTATTCAGCGGAGATTTTTGATGAACTCGTAAACCGACTTTCAGCATTTGTTTTAGATTATAATCATCTAATAGAAATGCCTGAAGAATTAATAGAAAGTGAATTAGAATCTACAGCATATGAAAATTTAGAATTCAATAATTTAATTGAAAATAAAATTACCAAATATTATATTGGTGATTTAGAAATTAAAATAACATCTGGTTTATTACATAGAGTATCTACAATAATTTCACTAATTGAAAATGACTTTTTGGCATTTTTTAATAATGATACTGACGAAACAGTTTCTGAAAATTTACGTGCAGTTACTATAGAAGAATATGATGCATTGAGTAATTACATTCCAATTAAAAATCTTGATTATAAAATCAAAAAATTAACGATACAATTTATTCTAGCAGATCATTATCAAGACTCACAAAAAATGTTTATAGATAATACTAAAAACATAATGAAAAAAGCTCACAGTCATCCACGATTAAGTATTGAAATCGATAGTATCGAATTACAAATTAAGATGCCAATTTATCCATTTAAATTAGTTTCTTGTGCATCTCAACAAACAGAAATACCCATTACAATGTTAAATAACTGTTACAAGCAGTATAATTTGAAAATGTTGAATGTGACAAGTCGATTAAACATAATGGATAATTGTCAGATGTTATTCATTACACCTTTTGATTGTCAGTTATCTAGTAGGCAATTACTTCATCCACAATATTGGACGAAGTTCAACTTAATCTATAATTCTTATGATTTTCAAATAGATAACATAGTTATCACTACAACTAAAGTTAAATTATTGATTATAAATTACATTTTAAATTCAATATTTTCACCAACAAATCTAAATGCTTCAATAATTTCTACAATCATTAGCGATGCTTGTAATGAAATTAATCCTATTATTTTAGAATTAAATATTGAAAACATTAAATATTTGAGTAATAAATATATAAAGTATACATTAATAAAAGGCAGCATAAGTTCTATAAGAATTTTTGCTTTAGATAATAATAACCAAGCATTTATAATGTCAGGATCGAATAATCAATCAAACAATGATGATCGTCCATTATTAAATTTGATCGCACAGTATCCTAATGATTTTAATGATGAAACTGATAATTTGATTTTCCTCTTACAATTCTCAAAAATAAAAATTATTTTAGATCCGTTATTATTTAATTGGCTACAATATAATTGTAATCCAAATAACATTCAATTATTTAATTCATCAAGATTACGTTCGGAAAATCAAACAATTGATGAAACATCATCTGATAATAGCACAAGGAAAAAATTTCCCAGTTTACATGAAAATGTTCATAGTCCCTCTGATGGAGATAAAAAAGTTCATTTATTTAATTGGAACAGTTCTAGTAAAAATCAAAATTTTATTAAAAAATCAACATGTGAAAAAAGTAATATGACATCATTAAAAATCACGAATTTTATATTAAATCATTATTCGAAATGGAAAAAATCAATTTTTAATTTAACTTTTGATGAATGTGTTATTTATCAGCCAACGATTTCGATAAATAGCGTTGGAGTTGATAGTATTAATGAAGCTATAGAGCATGCATTGAATATACAAAGCTTACTAAAAATTTTCGTCACACAAAATTCAAAATTTCATGTTAAATCAGCTAGTTGGGATAATAAATATTTTTCATTATTAGATTCAGTTGATTTAATTAATATTGATAATTTGAATATTAAAAATTTTCCATGGACATTAGATTTTGATAAATTTTATTGTTATTCTGTGATAAATAGGAATAGAGATAGTTATTTAGATATAAAGTGCTCTAATATTACCGTTGATGTGACATTAAAACCTAATATTTCATCAAACAACGATAATAGTTGTAGTACTTTAGGCTTTTGTATTTATATACATACAGAACCAATTAAAATTTCAGTAACAACAGACCAGCTAGAATTGATAGATTATTTATTAATTAATAATAGGACAATCTTTCATTTGTTTAGTACTAAAGAAAATAATAACCAATCATCATGTACCAAATTATTCCATAATGATAATTTAAAATTTCCTTTTCAACATCCGTTAAGTCCAACTCAATTATTTTTTACTGAAACTCAGACAACATCAACGTCCGCTTCAATATCACGAAAAGAGTCAGAAGTAGAGACTGATAATACTGGAGGAATAACTGCCTGGATACAGTGGACAATAACTAAAATAATCATTGAATTTTCAACGGAAAGTAATTTAGATTGTGATAATAGGAATAAAAATGACATTTTTCAAGATATAGATTACAAAATAGTTGTTGAATTGGAAGATATTATAACATCAATAGATTGGCAGTTAATTTACATGAAGTTTAAAAATAAAATTACAGCAGCTAAAATTACACATTATGAGAAATTAAAATCATACGATAGTTATAATAATGATTGGAAATTAGGAAGTTATACTGGATTGATCATGTCAAGTAAGAATGAGGATTTAAATAGCAAAAATGAAGTAGATTTTTTGAATTTAACCGTAACTAAAGCTAAATCAAATAATGTCTATAATAAATGGATGAAATTTAATAATAATAAATTTTCAAAAACTTATATATTTAATGATAATAATGATTTATCAATGTCAAATTATATAATGGAAATTGTCGTTGAGATGCAAATGATTGAAATAATTTTACCGGTAAATTTAATTAATAAATTTGAAAAGCTTTTAAAATGTTTTTCTAGATATTCAGAAAGTGATGATTCACAAAGAACAGCTCATAAACAGTGTCCTTTAATGTATGTAGATTTTAAAGGATTGAATTTAAAAATTCCAATTGATTCCTCGACAATAAAACGATATGATATGTTAGTTTTAAAAACAGATGGTATTTCAATAGTACCACATGCTGAAAATCCAATATGCCGTACAATTTTACGCTCAGATATTTATGAACTTGCTGCACAATCGAATATTTTATATACTCCTGGTTCGATTTTAGAGGATCGTCAATATCAAATAAAAATAAATAATATTTATATTTCAAGCGCAAACTGGGAAACTTATGATATTAAATTAAGTAAGAGGAAAAGTCAACAACTGCATACGATGAATGAGAATCCTGCTTTAGAATGGAATAAAATTGAAAATGATTCAAGTAATGAGAAACTATTAATATCTTGTTTAATTAATAAATTAAATATTTCTTGTATTTTTGCACCTCCAATGATGTTAACATCTGATGTTATAGTCTGTGGAAGTGCAATTGAAATAACTTTTCTTACTGATATTGAAGTGTATTTAAGTCTAGAACAAATTCAATTATTGACTGAATTTTTTTATCGATTAAAAATATTGAGTTCAACAATTTTTGATGAAAAACAAACTGATAATTTAACTACAGTAATCGGTCCAACTAATATTTCATCAATAAGAAAATCTAGAATTGAATCTATTCAAGAATTTCGTGAAGAAATACCAAAAGATTCAGGAATTGATGTTGATACATCAAGTATTGATGGTGGTATTTGTTTAGATTCAAATATGCCAAATTATAGTACAAAAATGCCCTATGAATATGTTATTAATTGTGGAAAAATTTCTGTTTTTATATATGAATTTAAAAATGAATCTAATGATAAAAATATTTATATATCTAATTCAAAATGTCCTTTATTTTATGTTGAAATAAATCAACCGAATGGTTATATTTCTCAAAAGCATCTCGTTTATACAGTTCGAATAAACTGTTTTGACGTACTTATTAGAATTAATAAGGAAAATAATATAACTACAGATATACCTAATGTTCATGATTATTTAGATGTACTATTAGAAACCAAAAATGGTGATCCTGATTCAAACACAGGCATTCCACCATCTTTTTTTATTATTAAATTAGAAAAAAATCTAGGAAATTATAAACTTTGTTTGGAAATGGGTCGTCCAACAAAAATTAATCTATCAGACTCCATGTTTTACCGCATAAATGTAATTAAAAACAAATTAGTTGAAATTGTAGAAATAATGATGGAAAAAACTGAGGATAAAAATGAATGTTCAGATACCACATCATCTTCACAAAGTATATTTGTTCAGAATAATAAAATTGATACAATGAATATAAATCTTAAAACCAAACAAATTGTCTTAGCCTACAAATTTAATGATCTTACTGAGATTATCAATAGTCTGTCTGAATCATTCATTACTGTTGTTAGTAAACCTAGAAAAATACACGGTGTAGTAGATTTAGTTTCATTCATGATAACTTCAATCATCAATTACAATACAAAAATATTTTTAAATCCATTTACTTGCAAATTTATATCAAGTATTTCTTGGGAATCATGGCAAAATATTAATGCTAATCCTCTGATTCAAATTCAAAGTTATCTTGATTCAATGAATTTTGAACTTGGTCCAGATCAGTTAAAAATTCTTGAGAATATTTTTATTTATGTGCAAAATTATTACAATCAATTTAATGTTGAAGATATTCCAGAGATTGATGTACAAAAATTATTATCTACTGAACAGCATTATCAAGATGATTTAAAAGCAGGTGCATTTCAGTTTGCTGATGGAACCAATGATCAATTTCCATTACCTTATCAAGTTCTTTTTTCCAATTTTCCCAATATAATAATGGCTTGGAAATATCCTCAACCGCGAGTTTTAACACGTTTAAATTTAACTGATGTTTTGTGGGAGATAACAAATCCAGAAATTATTAATCTAGATAAAATAACTTGTGTAATTGAATATTGGAATGATAGTTTAATGTCTTATCAACATTTTATTGACTTTAAAATATCAGAATTTGATAATTTTTTATTGCTACCAAATAAATTACCTACTAGAGCTGTTTCTTGCACATGGCGAGCTATTATTTATTCAATTGATGGAGAACCAACCACATTAACAGCTCGAGATCTTGCTGAATGTTTGAGAATTGATTCTTACTTCAATTCTCTATTAATACCATCCATTGAAATTACATTGAATATTAATTATATAAAATTATCAATATTTAATTATTTTTGTCATGATAACTATAGAAATTTACCTTATCCATTAAATAATTATAAATTAAATAATCTTATCCCATCTAATCAATGTTTCGCGACAATTACTCTCAGTAATAATCTTTTATTTTACAATAAATGGACTAATGGTGCTATTATGACTGATTATAGCAGTACTCTAAGTATTCAAATTTTAGATTATGAATCAATAACGATGCAAAATTTATTAGAGCCATTTACATTTAATTTTCAAATATGTCAATTAAATAGAACAAGAATGCTATTAATGACAAAAGAGTTAACATTTAAGTTCAATGCTGGAATAGTTCATTCACTTACATTATCTTTAAATTCATGGTATGCTATTTTACAAAATAATCACAGTCGTACTATTTACAATGGAATAATAATTGCTAATGATTGTAATATACCAATTCGATTTACTCAAGATAAAACAACAGACGATTTTATTTTACAAAGTCGAGAATGTTATTTTTATTCATGGCGACAAAAATCTCATTCTAAATTACGAATTGCTATTAAAATGGACAATCATTGGATTTGGAGTGATTTATTTACACCTGGTAGTAAGAATAATGTTATTGATATAAATAATAATGGTTGTATTCAAAAAATTTTTTACAAAATCAAATCAATAACATCAACACAAAAAATTATTTTTTTCAGTGGTCAATTAATTATACGTAATGAATTAAATGATAATCTTGAATTAAAATTGATAAAATATGATTCTATATCAAATAATAAAACTATCTTGTCTGAACAAATATTTTTTATATCAAAAAATTCAACTCTTCCATCTTTAGTTATCAATAATACTGATAATATGGCTATTAAACTGAAATATTCACATTCTAAAAGTTCAATTTCATGGACAGGAGATATTCCATTATTATTCAATTCCGGTTTTCATCAACCATGGCTCGTTAAACTTCCTACTGATAAAAATAATCAATTTGTTAGCATTTGGGTACGAATTATAACTGAAAATTTATCATTTGGATGTAAAATTTTAGTCTTATTAACTCCATTATTTTTAATACAGTCTTGGTTACCATCATCATTAACAATTCATATTAATACTTTATCCTTAAATGTCTCGAATATTTTAACAATTAGTGAATATGGTAAAAAATATCAAGTTTATTGTGCTGGAACTACTGAACATAGTCATGAACTAAATATAGAATTTAATAATGGTAAAATGTTAGATTATAGCATTCCTATGTCTTACAATTTCGTTGATCAACACAATTACTTTAAACGTCCTAAGAATGAAAATATTGATGTTATTTTAGATGAATTAGATAACAATAATTATCAAAATAAATCAAATTCAATATGGCCATTTGAATATGATCAGAGTAATTATATATTCGTTGAATCACAGACTGATATAAATGTTAAATATAAGGATAGTGGATTAATATCAAGTACTTTATTAGTTGAACTACGTCCATGGTGTTATATTTTTAATCATTATGGAAAAACGATTAAGTTAATTTCATCAAATACAAATTTTAGTCATTCAATACCAAGTAATGGAGTGATATCACCACCAAAAATAATGGAAATTTTTTATATTGAAATTGAATTATTTAATAATACTTTTATATCATCACCACTACAATTTGTTAATTCAGATTTGAAAAGAGAATTTTCAATGCCACAAATAAGTGGAATGATTCCTCTTGATGGATCTATTAAAATTCCAATCAATTGTCAATCAGTAACGGCCATCTTAATCATTAGTTCACAAATAGTGGATGATATACGAGTTATAAAAATTTCAAGTAGCCATGTTGTATGTAATTTAACAAAATATAATTTAAAAGTATCATCAATTTATCTTAATAATAATTTTTCTGATCATGATTGGTCATTGAAATGTGAAAAATTTCATTTTAATTCAACTTCAAATGAAAATAATAATTCAGGAACTTCTATTGATTATTGGATAAATTTAGATTCTGAAAATAATGATCAAAATTATTCAAATTTATACTTTACTTTACGTTTAAATAACCTTAGTAATAATTTCAATGATTGGTCATGTCCAATTAACGTTAATCAATCATCGGAACGTTATTGTATTACTGTTCAAGATGATAATAATTCAACGCTTCCAATCGTAATTACAGTCCAGAGGGATACTTATATTTTTTACATCACAATTCATTATGATAATCATCCTCAATTTACAATTAAAAATTCTTGCCCATTTCCTTTTGTAATTGGACAGCCAAATTTATCATTTGATTCAATTGAACCAGATTCACCACTATTTGCTTGGATATGCAAAATAAAACCCCATCATACATGTAATTATACTTTAAAAAATTTTGGTAGTCGATTGCCTGATAATATTATCAATAAAGAAATTATTCCACGTTTAATGTTCTGTGTTCCATTGTGCCTAAAACAAACAAACGATGAATTAAATACTATTGATAAATTTAATTTAAAATCATTTGAAAGTAAAAGTAACACCATTTGGAAAACAGTCATTGAATTTCCAACTGTTTTTCCTATCAAGTTCGATCAATATATTAAGATAGATTTTTATGGTGATATTAAAGTGATGGTTGAGAGTTTTGGGCACACTATTTATATTTATTTAGAACCAAAATCTGAAATTGAAGTGTCAATAAGAGATGTTAGAAATCGATTGATGAATGAAAATATTAAATTATATGATCAAAAATCAGCTAATGACAATGTCAAAAGTATGATAACAATAAAATCGAATCAATTATCCATGGAAAATAGCCAAGAAAATAATTTATCTAATTCTTATCAAGATGATAATAACATAATACCTAAAAACTATAGCAATGTTATTTCAAATAATTCAGATAGTATCAATTTCACAATTTACTTTCAGGGAATAAATATAATAATTACTCAGGATGACGAGTATGGTATTAAAAACGAAGTCTCTGCTCTTTATTTAATGAATTCTTTTATAGAAATAACTTGCAGTGCTAAGTATTTTAATATAAAAACTTTCATAGCTGATTTACAATTAGATAACCAGTTATATGAAAAAGGAGGGTATGATTTTTCAGTTGTTTTTAAAAGTCAAAATCCTTTGGTGATTAATAATAACACTATAGCTAATTCATTATTAACATTAAAATCCATCACGACTGAAGTAAGAAGGAATTCTTTATTAATTATTGAATGTTCAGTAGACAAAGTAAATAATATAACTGCATTTAAAAATATATATATTCGAATACTTCCAATAAATATTTATATCGAAGATAAATTTATTACTCAATTATTAGATTATGCCACAACATTAGTTAGACCATTTTCAACTATATGTTTTGATAGCTTTAATTCATTAGAGCTGACAAAAAAATCAATTGATAGAGAAGTGACTAATATTTATGTTCCTGAAAATATATTAATAAATGCAAGAGTTATAAGTTCACCATTGAGGTTGCAAAATTTAAAAATTGATCCAATTTCAATATTGTTAAGTATTCATACATCAGCTAGGCTGTACGTTGCTTTAGACCATTCACCATTACAATTTGGTGCTTTTGAAAGACTAAATGTATTTACAACGCCTTATAAATTAGGTAATGATATTACAATGCATTATTTGTCAGGTGCAATTTTTGGTGCAGGTTGGGTAGTAGGATCTTTAGAAATTCTTGGTTCACCAGGAAGCTTTGCTCAAGCATTGAGTTCAGGTCTTAAAGATTTTATATCATTACCATTTCGAGGCTTACTTCAAGGCCCTTGGGGTTTTATCATTGGAATTACTCACGGATCTGCTAGTTTAATGAAACATATTACTGCGGGTACAGTAAATTCAGTTACGAAATTAGCTTCTAGTGTGGCACGTAATCTTGATCGATTAACTCTAGATGATGAGCATCTCCAACGACAAGAAGAGGCAAGGAGATTAAGACCTCAAAGTATGACCCAAGGTCTTTATAGAGGACTTACAGGTTTTGGTATTAGTCTTTTAGCTGCTGTAGCTGGTCTTGCTCATCATCCTCTTCAAAATTTTTGGTCTCAAGAACCTTCCACTCGTGGTATCGTTACTGGAGTTGGATTGGGTCTTGTAGGAGTTGTCACAAAACCATTAAGTGGTGCAGCTGAATTAGTTGCACTTACTGGACAAGGTTTACTTCAACATACTGGTTGGAATTCAATGCCATTAATTCGACGCAAACCAAATATATCTTTGAATTATATTGATAATTCAAAGTATCGGTATTCATGGAAATTAATGGATTATCTTGATAAAAATTATGACAGAATTGTTTATTCAGTTGATGCTGAAATGATTGTTGGTAATCAAAATTTAAATGAAAAACTTTCTGTTGTTTTAGTTTTAACAAAAAAAAAATTAATTATTATTGATACTTATCGTGATAATGTTGAAAAAATAATGTCACTAAGTGAATTCTCTTGTGTAGATGAGAATACTAATGATCCAAAATTATTGAGATTAGTATTTTTAATGAATAATACTAATAAGCCAAAAAATCATTTTGATACTAGTGAAATACAAGAAATGGATACTGAAATGAGATCAAGAGTTGAGCAATATGTTTTAAACACAGGATTTAATATTCACCCAAATGAATCATCGAGTAATGATGTACTAGCTAAATTGGTATCAAGTAATTACGATGAAAATTCTTTATTATTTTTATTTGAATGTTATACGAAGGTATGCTTTATAAATATTATTAAAATTATCAAAAGACAAATGTTGGGTATAGATTTTACAGTTTTATAAATTTATATTTATGTGTGTGTATGTGAAATATTTGTAAAAATGAAGTAATAAATGATTTAAAAATTTCATGCTCAAGTATTGTATATTATTAAATAATTATTTATATTTATTCAAGAATAAAGAATATTTATATGAACTTTGATGAATATTTTAATTCAATGTCATTAGGGATATATTAATTTTAATATTTTTTGACAGTAAGAAAAATTTATAAAGCCAATGTAATTGTTATGAATAATAACCAAATTATATAATATTTTGATGTATTCAATAGTTTATTATTATTATTATTTTTATTATTATTATCAACTATCAATAACAAAAAAACTTATTTTATCATTATTTTTCATCAGTTATCACTTGTTTTGTTCACAATTTTTTTTATTCACTTATTACAATTTTAAAATGAATGCATAATTTTATTGCTATAGTTAACTTAATAAATAAATTAAGTATTTCTTCCTGTGATTTATTTGTTTATTTTTCATTATTATCAACAACATAATATTAATACATCGGTTTGACCATTTAATGTTACAATTACAATCTATTCGAATTTTAATCGTTGATTTGCATGAAATTTTGATAATACACTATTTAAACTAAAGTGGTTTTTTTCTTCTATCAATTATAGAAATAATTAACTAAGATTTATTAACGGAGACTTTTTAATATTTTATTTATATTCACAAGCTCCGTTGTAAAGGATTTATAATTTATATTTTATAAATTAAATCAATCGATTTTTTTCTATTATTTTTACATTTCTATCTACATCCAGTTTCTTTATATTTATATTTTTCATAAAATATTCCCTAATTATAATAAAGGTTTTGTTTTTGATATGATTTCCTTATACTTTATCTCACTTATGACAATAGAGATACAATTATTATAGATTATTTTGTTTATAACATCCTTAGCCATTCATGCTAGAAAAATCAAGCATTCTGAAATACCACTTATCTCAATATTAATCTTATATTTCCTTTGAATTCATTATTATTACAAATCACTCTGTCATTTTTTTAAAATTATTTTATTTAAAGCTACATTACATAGTGAATATTTTTCCTTTATATTTATATTTACAGAAGTCTTGAAATGTAAATTTTTTAATTTTTGAAATAATAGAAAAACTATCATTCATCACATTTTTCTAAATCACATAATTTTAAATCATTTTTTTTTCTTCATTCAATCAATGATGACATTAAATAATGATAACAACTTAAAAAAAATGGATATTATTCACAAATTGAATTAATTATTCACTAAGTATTAGTGCAAAATCATTATTAGAATTATATAATGAATCTTTTTACTCAAATATTTACGATTTCTTTATTTTTTATTTTTGATCATTTACAAGCTATAGTTTGTAACCGTAAGTCTTTCGATGATTTAATATTGTAAAATTTATATTAATCCCAATTTTATTGAATTATTAATTCTATATACTGTACATTGTTTTGAATTATTTAAGCAATTTATTATTTTACTGGATGACATATTTACATGATTTTTTTTATTACATTAATTCATAAGTATTATCAAATTTGATAAGAAATTTATTTATTTAGTTGATATATTGTTCATTTCTGAACTCACTTTGAAGTTTCTTTGAAAGAAAAAATTTTATTTATAGAAATAACGATAAGTTAATGATTTTTAAAATCATATCACTTGATTTTTAATTTATTTTTGAATCAATTGATCAAAAATTTTAATGAAACAAAAATTATTTTTTATAATAATTATAAAAAGTTATCTTTTTGAATAATTTTGTATATAAAAAAAATATCATTTAGCTTTTTATTTATTAAAAACAAAATTATAAAATATTTTTTAATTATCAGAATGATGTAATCAAATAATTTTTTTTAAATACATTTTTTTAATTAATATAATTTCGGTAGGAACATTAATAACTAATTCATTTATTATCGGAATAATTAAGTTAATTATTAATAAATATATTATATATACAGTTCATAATTGAATTTTTAGTTATAAATAAACTGAAAACTAAAATATTTGAAAATTAGAAAAATTCTTATTATTTTCATTCTTGATGGGTGATTTAAATCTAAAGTTTACTTAAACATTATACATTTATTTACAAAATTAAAAATACGAGTGTCAAGTTTTTTAATAACAACCAATGCAGATTAGAAAGCAAACTATCACAAGTCTGGTTCTAAATCTGCATAGTATATTACTCAATACGGTTACAGGACTGATGGTAATGTACATACCTGACACTCTGTATTTTGACATTAAAAAAATTTATTTCAAGTGTTTGTCACATGTGATTTTTTTTATTATTCTCATATCACTCATCTCATTCTTTTCGAAATATCTATCACATTTGCTTTCAAAAACTGTTTGGAAATTTTTATTTTCAAGATTGTTTATTATTACTTGAATTTTAAATTAAATTTTTCAAGGATATCTATATGTATATATATATAAACATACATATATATATGCATATAAACTTTTGTTGTCTGAACATAATTATTTTTTTAATGAATTTAAAAAATCATTTGTAATAATAAAAATTTTTTTCAACTACCTATATCAATCAATAATAATTAATAATTAAAAAGAGAAGCAATAAAATAACTGTATTATAGTTACAATAATATCAATAAGATAGATTATAATAACAATAATTATTTAATAAAAGTCATAATCAATAATTAATATAGATTAAAAGAAAATAGAATGAAAACAATACTAATAATGTCGATTAAAATCGGTGGAGTAGGGTATATAAATAACATCAACAGGCTTAAATGTAAAATTTATCATAAAGCGATACAAACAATAACATTAAAATCACCATCATCATGTAATTTTCTTACAACACTCATTTGCGCACATTTTCATCTCTATTTTGTCTATTTGGTTTCTATTCATTTACTTTTTTCTTTTTATTTCTACAAATACTTTTTGATACCATAAAAATAAAAATAATAATAATAATAATTAATAAGTCTAACAGATATATTCGTTAAAGGAAAGATTGCACTTAAAATGAGCCCTTAAATTCTTTCAATTTACAAATAAAAAAATTGAGTGTTAAAAAAATGAGTTCATTAATAAAGATTTAAATATTTTAATCATTTTGTTCTCATTCATATTTTATCAATAATTTTAATCATTACCTAAAGTGAACTTATAGTTCTGATTAGGCGGATGATTTTATAATACTATTAATTTTTTTAATTCAATTAATTAATTTATTTATACTTAAATTTAAAATTTTTATTTATGTGGGAAGGGAGTGGGCATTATTTATATTGTTTCAATTTATATACAGTATGGACTATGGTACGTAATATCATTTACTTTGAATTTTTTTAAATTTCATTAACAAAGTAAATGGTTACATTTTTATATATATATATATATATATAATATATATTTATGCAATATATATTTCATTTATGTTTCTAGATTATTCGATTTTTTATTCTTTCATTCTTTTTCTCTTTTGTTTTCTTTTCTTACTACGTATTTTTAAGTCTTTTGATTTAACACTGCATTTCTCTAAATTGATTTTCATCAAATCAAAATACAGAAACGAAAAACATGAAAAAGTTAAATACACTACTCTATCATCAGTCGATAGTTTAATTTTTTATTTTATTTGTTAGTTTTATTTTTATAATGCCCTAGTCGTTAGGCAGGACTCGTTGCGATTATAATTAAATCTTATCCGGCTTCGTGAAAAAATTTTTAACTTATGAATAATGTTCACCATTCTAATTTATCACCTTTTCATTTATTTATTTCACTTTTAAGAGAACAATCTCCTTAAATGTCTTGGAAATTGAATGTTTTATATTTTATAAAAAAAATAGCTGACAGTCACAATTTTTTAAAGATTTACTGTAGCATGATAAATGTTGAAGATCACTAAATTGAGAATTTAAAAAATTTTTTTTAACTCTAATACAGTTGGCTCTCTATAAAAGCGCATGAATTTGGCAAGATAACATTCGAAATTGCATTGATACTTAATTATTACCAGCTTTTTAAATTAAATTATTTAATAGTCCCATGCTTCATCAGGTTCATGTTTAACTTCTTTAGGACTTTCATCAGAATTTCGTAGATTGGTTTGTGAAGATGAAGGACGGGGAGAAACTATTGGACTATTTTGTTCGGATTTAGGACTAGGACTGGGACTATCTCTATCCGGTCCATTGTTTCCAGAAACTGAAGACACATCACTTTGAGCATCTTCATCATATCTGTCTTGAACAGGTGTTGGTTCCACTCTAATAGTTTCTTCAGGTTCTCTTTTAACACCGTAATCATCCGTTTTCATTACACAAACTCCATTAATAATAACTTCATCACCCGTTCTCGCAGGTTCTTGCCATTCTGGATTGACCCATTGTGGTGCTGCGGGTTTCCTTCGATTAGATCTCGCAGCTGTTGGTACAGTAGGTGGTTGATTAAGATCAGACGGTTCACGTTTTAAACTGCTGTTGGATCCATCGGAATCTTCACTACCGAGATTACTCATAGCATCGTCGGCATCTTCATCTTCATACTCTTGATTGGGTTCTCTCTTGAGAGCACCCATCGAAAGGTCTAAACCTGAACACTGTTCTTTCAAGGCATTGCTCATTAAAGTTGCAAGATTCGGATTGAAATAAGGCGAATAAGGTATTGGCATATTCCCAAGACCTAATCGTTCTTTTTGAATCTCTAATAATCTTTGGTTCAAAAGTAATCGGAATTGGACTGGATCAAATGGTTGTCCTGGCTCTCTAGGTGATTGTGGCTCAGGTTGTCCATGTGGAGTTTGTTGTTTTAAGCGCATTCGATGGTTATGGAACCAATTGGTAATTGTGCGCGATGATAACGCCAATTCTCCAGCCAAAAATTCAATTGTAGCAACATTTGGATAAGGATCCAGTGCAAAAGCTAATCTTAAAGCTTCTTTTTGCTCTTCAGAAAATAGAACTCTTTGTTTTTTAGCTGAAGGAGGTCCGGGACCTGGCGATGCTGCGTGATAAAACTCTGCAGTATCATTACTAGAAGTATCTGAGCTATTGTCATGACCTGGGCCACTACTGCGTCGTCTTTTATTAGCTTCACGTCTTTCATTTTTTAATGCTTGTAATCTATCAACGTTATGAGCATCAGAAAGCCACAATTGCATTCTAATAAATGGTTCTCGACCCTTAATACTTAACATATGCCATGGCTTAGGTTTACTCAATAATTCACTCACGGATCCTTGAGATAATCCTAGCACTGCTTCACCAAATATTTTCTGACCAATATTATTAGCTAGGAGAGCTTCTTTGATTTTTGTTGTAATTGTTTGAGTGTCTAAATCTTGAGTTAATGCTGCCATTTCATAAACACTGGGAGAAATGTGAGGATGAAGACTTCGTAAAGGCGATGGAGTCATTTGATGAGGTGAATGAAGACTTATTTGTTGTTGTTGTTGCTGTTGTTGTTTCTTTTGTAACTCTTGTATGTTTAATTGAGTGTGAGGATGATGAGGCGTTGTTGATGCTAAGATCATTGGCGGAGGTGGTTGAGGATGTTGATGTTGTGAACTTGGTTGTGGCGGTCCAAGTTGTAATTGACTTTCTTGTTGATGCGCTGCTGCTTGTGCTGCTGCCTGGGCTTTAGCTGCATTTTGCAATTGTTCTTGCACTAATTTTGTTGGTGGCATTGGTTTCATTGGTGTTCCACAAGCTGTAAAATAAAATAAAATAAGTCTTTTTTCTTTCTTTATGCAATGGAAAAAAAAAAAAAATTAATAGTTGCAATTTATTTAAAGATTGAAAAGTAAAATCTTTTAAATCATCTCAGATTAAATTAATGAAAAATAATAAAATATTTGTATTGACCTGAGTTAAACTTACGAGGCAGGCCGCCGTAGCCTCCAGTCCTCATCAGCTTTTCTGGTGCGATTTTATACTGACTTGCAACCAATTTATGTACCGCTTGTTCATCTTCCAAAAACATTTTCATACGTATAAATGGTTCTCGTCCTTTTTGTGTCAACATGTGCCAAGGTTTAGGTCTTGCTAATAAATCAGAAACTGATCCTTGTGAAAGACCTAATACTGATTCACCGAAAAGCCGTTGAGAAATAGAATATTGAGACAGTTGTTCTTTCACCTGGAATGAAAAACAGATAATTTAAGATAAATCTTTTCTAGTAAAATCATTTTGTTTTAATTATGATTCATGGAATTTTGACTATTCTTTTTTAAAATACTGACATTGGAATTTAATTAACATAAATTTTTTTTCTTAAATATATTGAAGATTTTTAATTAATAAACAATTTTTTGATCATTCATTGGACACAAACATGGAATTATACGTATTACTAGTATTTTATTTTGAAAATAAAATTTTTAAATTGGTCAGTATTTTTTGCAATACAATGTAATAATTGCAATGGACTTACAACTTTTCTTACCCTTTTAACAATATCCTCAGTATTGAGATTATTGTATAGGTCAAATTGTTGTTGTGTTATCGGTGGTAGAACAGCTTTAAGTGGTCGTTGATTAGCTGCATGATGTGTTGGAGTGGACGGTTGGCTAATTAGACTATTAGTGATAGACGCCATTCTTTGTAAAGGACTTGCAGCTGCAGCTCCGGAAAATTCTTCGCTAGGTGTCATAGCAGGTGGAAGTATAGAATTTCCTAAAGGTGAGCTTGCACTTGAACCTCCGGGAGTTGATTGTGTTCCAGTAGGTTCTTGTTTAGGTCTCACAAGAGAGAATGCACTACCTGCATGCCTCATAGCTTCTTCCATTTTTTCTTTATCTTCTTCGGAAACACCATTCATCAGCTTACTTCGAGAATCAGTTTTACCAAGACTGAGATCTTGAACTCCAGCTCCATTAGCAGATAGGTGATTTTGATGTACTGCTTGTTGATGGAGTGCAAGTAAACTTGGTAAATTTGGCAGACCAGGAAGCCCTGTTAGTGCTGATGTTTGACCCGGTACGACATTTAATTTTTGAAGCTCTCTATGATAAGCATCCAGTGCTAATCTTATTTCTTCTTGAGTACGTTCTAGACCTTGGATCCCTTGAGTACTGCTGAAAAAGGGCGAAAAAATCATACTATCGTTAGTTGAGAATACGTGCTGTCCTCAATAAGAATCATTTGGAATTGAGTTATTCATTGTATAATTATTTAATTGATAAAATGATTGATGAATAAATGATTACAAATGCATTCAATAGCTTACCTTGGAGGAAATTCACGCCCACGTAAATCTTCAACTCTTCTTCCCATAAGTTTAGCTAATTCTTCTTGATAAATCCTTACAACTTTTTCTTGAGGAATGTCATCATTCTCGTATTTTTTTAGTCTTTTATTCTGACTATCAAATCTCTCTTTACTAAATGGACTCGGGCATCCCAATCGACTTGGACTTTTACTATCTGCATCATTGGATGTATCGTGCTCGCGACTCATCTGAAGTTGGCTTGATTCCGAAAGCATGTGAACTATTCTCTCATCATTAATGTCTGGTGGACCACCTTCCTGAGAGCCACGTGCGAATGCTGGTATACCTTGCTCCTTGCCTGAAACATATTCTATAGGTAAGGCACAACTTGCGGTGTGTTCTTATTTGATTTTCCTTTCGTTTGTAAATAAATAGTAAAATTAAAACTAATTTATTACTAACAAATTTTCTATTTTATACTCTCAAACATCGCACCACCATTTTGATATAATTCTTAATTTAATTTAAACTGTATTATGTTTTAAAATTATTTAGAAACCATCAAACATAGATGAAGAAGATAAAAGTATAAAGAAATAAAGACAGATCAATAGTTCAGCTATTATATGTAAATATAGAGGAAAAAGTGGAAAAATAATTGTTGAAATTATTCAAGTTGTTTTCTTTTAATTTAATTATTATAATATATCAATTTTTAAAATTACTTCTGATTTTATGTCAAGTAGAATAATAATATCATTACAAATGATATTCTGTTAACTGTTTTTTATCTTTAGTATTGGAATCTTTTAAGAAATTTGTCGGGTCGTTCCCTATATTTAATAAAATATTGAATGTAGGAGAGAATCGTCCTACATGTCTCGCGTTTAATAGATCAATTAATCTTCAGATCTCGATGAATCAGCTATTGATTCTATTTTTAATTATTCCTGGTAGTCATTATCAAATAATTCTCAACTATTCTTCACATGTTGAATTAAAAATTTAATTTTTTTATTTTTGTTTAGTAATTAATTAAAAGGACTTTTTAGGGTAACGATAAAAAGCATAATATTTTATTTGTTTTGTATTTAAAAATACTATCATATCAACTATAGTTAATTCTGGTTTTTTATTTCACCAGTTTGTAGTTCGTTTGCGTGCTAACGAGCCTCTTTATCGTGATTGAACGACTTTCTATTTTTCCAACTTATATAGAATACTCTTTTTCTTCTGTAATATGGTAAAAACTTTTAACTTTCCCATATAATTATTTTATTGGATATTTTTCTATTTAATATTATGCAACACACTTGGATTAATTTTTAGACAAACTTACATTTGAAAAACTAATCTACATTTAAAAATTTTATCTCAATAAAATGAAATAAATTAATTCTACTAACAATGAGAGAATGACTTATGAATAAGATTGAAGAAAAAAAGTAATAAATAATTTATATAATTATTTTATTATAAATATTGTTTGTTATGTGTAAAATTTTCACCAATATTATTTTATTAACCTATAAGTCATCGTATTACTACAATAGATGCATTACAAAACTTGGCAAATCGTTTGAGTGTGAAAAATTCATGAATGTGTGAATTATTTATTACAAAATCACGATTGTTATTAAGTTCAGAAGAGATCATGTAACATGTTCGTGCAAGTCACTTGGCTATGCATTGTTGCACTCATCAGAACATTAAAGCATCAACCAAATTAATTTAAATCTGATAATTTTAGAATAAGGACTAATTTGATGGATAAGTAGTTGCATTAAAGTGAAACTCTCCTTTTTTTTCAATTTAGTAATACAATATAAAGTATAAAAGAAAATATTATTTTTCCATAAGATATGTGAGCAATGTTTTTCCCACGGAAACAATAAACAAGGTCTTCATCTTCGTCTATTGTTTCGAGACTCTTTTGTTACTGATTGGCCAACGCGGTTAATTTCATTGTGGCTATTACGTGGTAGTTATATACGCTTTGAGTATTTTTCATTATTCCTTCTTGCAATTCGAGAGTAATTAATGTGAATCAGACCTCGTCGAATGGACATCTTCTTCCTTTTTAACGACTCTGATGTTTGTTTAATTCGATCCCGACGATCAAGGCCAATCGCTGCGGACCGAAACGACGCATTTATTCTTCATTTCATTTTAGTCCCCTTTTCTCTCTTGCCTCTTAGCTAGATAATTCTCCGAAAGAGAGGTTGACTGATGATAAATGCCTAACAACTTGCTGGACTCTTGGAACACAATGAAGTCTTTAATGACAAGCCATTACTTTAGGGACTTTGTCTATATCGTGGGTAAGTCATTAAGCATTATAAATACCTATTTAGTTAATTCACTTATTATAAAAATCATCTGTTACTAATATTTTACCAATCTTTTATTCTAAATTCAATCATCTTTCTTTCGGATTTTATTTATTCATCCATTTGAAAAAAAATGTTATCATTAGTAACATCATGGAATTACACGTTAGCTGTGAAATAGTTTGGTTTTTTTTTCTTTTTCTTTTATAAACCACGAATAATTAATTGAAGGAAACGGTAAATAATTATTACCGGTCAGTAATCATTAAGATCTGACAGAAATTGACAATTAATGTTTAACAATAAATTAAAAAAAAAAAAATAAATACTTCTTCATTTTATTTGTCATTGTGTAAAATTTCAACCGGATAAATAACAAAGTTAATTGTTATGTGATTTTAATTCTTGGTAAAATAAAAATAATTATAATAATAAAAAGCATGGATTAAAAAGCATGTTTGAAGATGCATTTTCAAATATAATGATTATTTATAAATTAACATTAATGTTTGTAAATGTAATATCAATTTAAAAGCTCAAAAAGATATTGTTGATATTTTAAATAACAAAAAAAAAATGGATGTTGAAAAATATTTTTTTTTTTTTTTTTAATTATTTTAATTTAAAAATGTTTTTCTTTCTATATTAATATATACTGGTAATCAATAATGAATTTAATTTGAAAAATAACTTTATTAATTGAATAAAGTAGAATAAAATGGATATTTATCCCACGTGTTACCCTACAAGTGTCTTAAGTTAAGTAAAAGTTAGTGTATGAATGAAATCATATTAATATGGCAGTGCGAGGCAGAAGTTGTTTTTAGCATAAAAAGTTTAAGTTAAAAAACAGTATGATAAAAAAGTCATTGGCAAAGGTCGGAGAATCAAATTAGAAATGAGTATGTGGAAGCTAGCACCCGAAACCGGATCAATCAGATAAATAAAAAATAATAAAGATAATAATAAGAATAATAAAATAGTCAAGATGTGAATATAATAGAGGAAATAGAATAAATGAAAGGAGAAAATAAATAAAATTCCGACCGCTGCCAAGGACATTGTGAAGGGGTCGGTTAAAAGAGACAACACTCACCTTTCTTGGGTATCAGGGACTTGAGTAGTAACACGGCGTTTTCGTCGCATGCCCAACCGTGCATTTTTCTGTAGCTGTCGCGTCCTTTCTCAGTGAGTTTATCCCAGGGTTTAGGTTTACTTAACAATTCACTGACAGTGCCTTGACTCAAGCCGAGGACGTACTTGGCAAAGAGTCTCTGACCAATGTTATGAATCGACAATAATTCTCGGACCCTTCGCGCGATATGTAACGTGTCGAGATTTTGCGATGCATATTTGTCCATGTTATATCGCAGCATTTCCTGTAGTCGTGCTTCCATAGGGTCACCTTTAGGAATTAACGATTCGCCAAGCCTACTAGTCATGCTTGCGCCAAATTCATCGCCAAATCTAAACGGATGAGTCCTCTCGTCGAATCGAAATGGGTTCTTGAGGCTATCGAGGACGTTGAGACCAATGTTATTGTTGGTTAAATGATGGCTATTATTGTTATTGTTGTGACACGACTCCTCTTGAGGGCTTTTGGACGGATGAACACCGGTAGGCATTCCAGGTACTGATGAGCCATTAACATTACCAGATTCAATGATGGTCGAGGGTGGCTGGAAGCTAGCAGGTGGCGAGGTCAAAGCAACTGTTGAGGATGGCGTCGGCGGCGCAGGTGTTTCGTGTCCTGGAATAGGCGTTGGTGCTTTTTCAGATGGGTCGAATGATCCACTGAGTGGCGTGCTCGATTTGGCTGGTGCATTGGTCGACGAGGCTGGATCTGTTGACGATGGAAGGTGATTTAGGTTCGGTGTCAATGGTGGATGTAAGGCATGGACTGATGATGGCTGTTGTAACAGCCCTTGTTGTACGGGTGATTGGGTTCCCTGTTGGAGTTGGGATAGTTGGGGTAATTGTACAACTGATGATTGCTGTTGTTGACTCATTATCGAACGTTCCAGTGATCGCCTCCAATTGGCGACTATTTCTTCGCCGAGAAACGATCCAAACGTCTCGACATTTTGAAGAGGAGGTGGAAAGAGGAGATTCGAAGCGGCCGTTGAGGTTACTGATGAAGGTGTTGGGGTAGAGCGCGTGGGTGCTGCCGCTTGGGAGGACACGAGGGATGTAAGGGAATTTCCGCCGCCGACACCCGTGTTCCCGTAGGGCGAGGCCGTTGCGGCGCGCTGCAGGGGTGAGACTAATCCACCTGCAACTACGAAAAACAAACAGGGGACCCCGTCATACAAACGACTTTTCTCATATTTTTCATTATTTATTTGGACAAATATACGCATCACGATACCACCTCGAGCTTTTATTTTTTACTTAATTATACATTAAATCACGACATTCCAGACTCTCTTTTCACGCTCCATTCTCAATTCTTTCTTTCTTTCTAATCCACGACTACATTTCATCTTGACTATTATCATTTTATTTCTCTACTTTATCCACGATTCATATACATATATTATTTTTTTTTTCTTTTAGAAATCAATATTATCAATCATAATAACGTTACGTTTTATAAATTAATTTCAACAATACTATTAATTAATTTATTATTATTGAGAGAAAAGAGATTGAAATAATTATATAGATCTAGATATTTAGCACGTGTAAAGTAAAGACTTGTTTTGGATTGGGCTTTTTTGAGAGTCGGTGGCATGCGCGTCTATTTAATGAGTAAGGGTAAGGTATTCAGTATAGAAAAGAGACAAAAGGGTGAGGGGGCTGTTGTGCATAAGGGGTGAGGACTTTTATATTTGAAACGGGTGACGTTGCAGTATCTGAGCCTCTATCTCTTACTCATGTTGACCGAGTACTTGGATCGATTTATAATAAACTCCGTGTACGAGACAATGGCTCAGACAAATATTGCGAATATCGTCCACAAATTTCGCGCTTATAGAATAACGAGGGGGCTCGTGTCCTCGTCGAATCAAGAGGGCTATGGAAAACTGTGGAAAAGGAGAGATGGGTTTTTTTGTTTTTTTTTTTTTTTTGGAACTTATTACAGATATGTACTTGGATTGCGTTAGTGTCTCTCTGAGTAAAAATGCAGAATGCAAATATGTCAACCCAATGGGTATGAGTCGGTATTTTAAGATTAAAAATGCAGCCTAAGCAGAGATATGAGAAAAAAATAGTTTATAGAATGTTAAAAGAGATTGTAATGTATTAAATAAAATGGAGTTGTTTAAAGTTATATAAGCATTTGAAGAAGTGAAAATAAAAACAGAAAAAAATTATAAAAGTAATAGTATCATGAAAATGGGTTATCAATTATTTTAGATTAGTTTTCTTCTATCCTATTGAATTGACGGATTTTTTTTAAAATTAACTACTTGTTTGTTGTTTTAGTGAATAATATTTAATTTGAAATAATGGAGCAGAGCTTTTGAGAAAAAGTCAAAAGATACGATATTTAAAATAATATAATTTTGTGTCTAGAGTATTCAATTTTACATGTAAAAATATAGTGTTGTCAATATGTCTGTCAGTTTTTAATCAATTACATAATACTTTTCTAATACATTGATTTACATGGAGAAAAAAAAAAGAAGAATAATATCCAACGAGAATTAAAAATTCCTTAATTAAAAATAAAAATATGTTCCTAATTATATTTTACTCGATACTTTTAAACAAATAAAAACAAAACAAAAAAGTATCAATTAATTAAACGATAGTTTAATTGATGATAATATTCAAAATATAAAATAAAATATTTAATAACAAAAAAAAATTTCAATATATAATAATGTTTTTTTTTGTTTAATATAATGAATCAAGTTCAATTAAAATCAATCAAATGATTTTTTAATTGAAAAAATTATTTTCTTAGTAACAATTTTTTATAATACAGATTAAAATGAAAATAAAAAAAAAACCTAATCGAGACATTAAATTAATTTTGATTAAAATCAACGGAATTAATCGGTGATACGAGTGTCAACAAGGAACCGTATTCCTGTGTCATTGATTCAATTTTATTCGAATTCACGTGAAAAAATAATTACTATATATTTATTCCTAACTTCTATATTGTGTATATGAGAATTTATATATCACATTTAAAATAAATTAAGGTAGTATGGGTTGTCAAACAGACTATCTATTTTTTTCTAAATTTCAAATACTACACAGAAAATTACAATAATTAAATAAAGCTTTTTTTTTGGATGCATTATTATATTAACTAAAATTTTCTGGAAGAATAACAAACAGTTTCCTAATGGATCAATGTAAAAACTAAGATATTCGATAATTAATTTTTAAAGTCGTTGAAACATTTTTAAATTTTTAAAAAAATTTATTTAGATGTTTATCTTTAACATAATAATAAACTTACTAGTCTGGATTTATTTTAATATTTTCGCCATACTACCTTAACGATGATGATGAAAACTAATTTTGATTTTTTGGTAATAATAGAAAGAAAAATTGTATCCTCAGAGTGTTATATTATTTACTAGCTCTAAATTCAATTATAAAAGTGTGTATGTATAGAGAATTAAACACAAGAACATAATATTAGCTACACGTGCGTGCATGTCACGCAAATCGTAAGTAAAAGAAGATGATGATTGAATAAAGTTCTAATTATCGTGAGTTCAATGAACTGTTGTAGTGTTTAAAGAAAGTTTTTCAACGGAAATAATTTTGATTATTTAAACAAAAAAAAAAAAATAATAATTCTCATCTTGTATTAATTTTTATTTGATCTTCTTGAAATTATTGACACAACGGTATCCAAGGACACTTTAATTATTCGTTACAGTGACTTGGATGAATTTGTTAGCTCGATAGTGAATCGTTTGAGGCGAGTATTAGGATGAGATAATTTTATTTGAAACTTACCAATGGTATCTGGTGTACTTGGTGGTTTTAGACTTTCTGCTTGTTGTAAGGCTTTTGTCCTCTCCATCAAAAGATGTTCGAGACTCTTTCCTGGTTCACTTGTTGGTATTTGTGATAAATCTACAGATCGCAAAACACTTATTTCGCGTTTTAAGTCATCATAGTCCCGTTGTCTTTCTAATTTACTTTCCAATCTACTGATATGTTGTCTTCGGGATTCAAGCTCCTCTTCCAGCCTCGCTGTTGTTGCAGCACTAGTCTCTTGTAATCGTTGTAAATTGCCTTGCAATCTTGACACTTCCTCCAACAAATGGCTGATCTGAAATCATTTTATTACATCTATTTAACTCCTTACTAATTATCAATAATAACTATAAATAATAATTTTAAAAATCGCATTTTATTGCTTTAATTATTGGGGCATAATAAATAAAATATTTATTGTCAATAGACATCAAGTTGTGATAAATAAATACAATTAATTGTGTCAAATAATTGTTTTACTTAATAAAGTTGTCGGTGTGGGAAGTTTCAAGTTTAAATCTATGATGATAAATACATAAAATAAATCGATTTTTCACATAAACAGCTTGATGGCTGATCGAACGTCCTAAGACCCATCGCTACATAAACTAAACGTTGTTATAGATATAGCGTGTTCTTTGATCGACGCGCCACGTTGTATGCGAAGAGTTTATTAATAACTACAACAAATCAATGTTGATGACTCGCCAATAAAATGTAGCCGAACGTTCATCAATAAATCTAGATTTACACTTTTTAGTGAACAATTATTTTTTTAAGCATCTTAACGACTATTATTATTAATCATGTCTATTTATAGTTTGTTATTTTTAATCAACTAAACTATAAATGATACAGTAATTTTAAATATGAAACAAAAATAATTATTTATCATTTTAAAAATAACTTTGATGTTTGTATAATTTTAGCACAAACCAAACAAACAATCAATTAAGTTAGTTGAATTAATTAAGAGATCAATTGCGTTTAAATTCTATCGATAGTTACACATTTGTACAAGTAACCACGAATGCGTTTATCGTCTCGCGCGAGAGGAAAAGGGTTCGAGGTTGCTCGTGGTTGGGCGCAGGGGTAAACAATTGTGCCAATTGTTTTCTCCCATTATTCGCGATTCTCGTTGTGTTCGATGGGTTAATCGTCGATAGACTCCGATTTTCCACTAATGAACATTCATTTTTTTTTTTCATTAAATCCATGTAATAGACTGCATGCCCAACAACTACTTTAACATTTTTTTTTCTTTCTTTTTTTGATGCACTTAAATAAATATTCAACACATTCAATGTGTTATAAATCAATAAACCTTGACGCAAAAGCTGCCTTTAACTATTAGTTTATTTACTAGATCGAATGGATGGTAAAAAAAAAAAAACTTGTAAGAAAGAAGGTTACCTGTCGATTGACTTCTGTTTATTTAGAATCGATATGTCGACATGATAATAGCAATGTGACTTGCATTTAACAACCCTTTCCATTTGACTTTATTTTTGGGTTATTTGATCGTTATAAATTACTTATAGAATTAATTTCAATTTAATTTATTTGTTGCTCAGTGATTGAAATATTTATATTTATCTGAATATAAAAATAAATATTCTCGACGTGAGTCAATTGATTTTGTTATTAATTATTAACAATATTTTTATACGTATTTTTATCAATTTATATTAAAAATTAAATAAATTCTTTTCAATATACTTGTTATTATTATCAATATAAATAAATATTTTATACATTATCGTTATCAAATGTACTAAATCTATGAATAGAATTGCATGCATGTTGAGATGAATATTTTTGGTATTTTATTGAGCTTTTTATAACACAATCATTATCAGTAGTTAGATAATAAATATAATGTAAAGTGGAGAGTAAAAAAGAATAAAGATTCGAAAAGGATTAATCAAGTTTGGGGAACCGTTGATTTTCAACTCTCGAGTGTTCTAGTTTCTGGTGTTAAACCACTTGAAAATGCGGACAAGGGTAGTTCACTGTAAAGAAGAGAAAGAGAGTAAAGGAGAGTGAGTGAGAGAGAGAGAGGTTGAAATAAGTCGGAATAGTTGAAGGGATGAAATGAGTTTGTATTGGATGTATTAAATGCTTTTGGATTGGATTGACTATTGATGATATTAATAAGCCTAAGCTCAAGGTATTTTAGTCTGAGGTCAACAATTTCTAAAATTAATGTTTAGATGCTTCACAAAATTAGATCAATTCAGTGTTCAATAAATCTTTAAGACAATTTGTAAAAAAGAAAAAAAAAATTTTTGATTTATTCCAATTGAAATATTTTTTATTTAAATAACGTTACTTTCAAGAGATTTAAGGATTAATCAGATTCACAGGACAGTCAAAAAATCAAAGATAACATAAAGAGGAATGGAAATAGACAACCGAAGTCGATATGGAAGCGAGTAGAAATGGAATAATGAAATGAGATGTGGAATCTTGCGCTCTCTCTTTCTTTCTCTCTCGCTCTTTCTCTTGGTCCATAATCTCCAAGCGCAAATTTTTCATATCTGCATCGTGACCGGGCTTTTGTTTGCCCGTCCCTATTGATCACATTTTCTCTCCCGTAGTATAATCAATCTCCGTTGCGCGCACACGCGTAACCCGAGAACGGCACCCCCTTACGAGAGTCGTGCACGAACCTACGCAAGTCGATGTTTTATTCATACATGTGTATGTATAGCTCATACATGTATATATCATATACATATGATACTTTTAGTTAGTCGTAAGTGCTTCGCGGAAGGCACAGAGGGATACGAATCACGTTAGATCTTGTTTTTGTATATCCATTAGTTCTTTGCTTGTGGTCGTTTGAATTAATTTCTTTTTCTTATTTAGCTCCTCTTTTTTAAAGTTTTTTTTCATTATCTGATATAGAAAATTTTCAACATCAACTTTGCCATCAATTAAAACAAAATTTTTTTTTTTGATTTAAAAATTAATAATTAATCAAGTTGTTGCATTTAATTATTTATTAAATGTTAACAATGAGTTGATCAATTTTATTAATAATTAATCAATCGATTGGTTAATTAATCAAAAATATTGGAAAAAATTTTATTTAATTATTATTTGAATGGAGAAAAATTATTTATTGTAAAAAAAGAATTTTTATCTTGATGAACATTGATGAAGAATGATTAAAACCAGTAGGTTAATGTCGTAATCGATTTCTTAGATCCCGGATAAAAGGAACTAAGAATATGAATCTTAATGAATTAGTCTCACAGAGTAAATCAGTTTAAGTATTAACATTGTCAACATCATTTGAATTACTCGAATCATTTAATTATAATTAAAATGATGAAATTTGTAAAAAGTATGATGACATTATATTTTAATACTGATAATAAATTCAGATGACATCAGTGATCGGCAAACTTTATAACAACAAATTTTAATAATGAAATAATGCAATATTTAGAGTAATAAATTAGGAATAAATTTATGATGATATATAAAAGTAATGTCCTACAGATTACAGAAAGGAAAAGTTTGAAAGGAGAATAATGAGTGTAAAAGGGAAAAAAAATAGATTGAGGTTGTAAATGAATGTTAGTATCTAAGCAGTTTTTTCGTATCTGTCTTCTCTTGTTACAGGAATATGCCAATTAAAATCCGAGGCTGGAAAGAAAGTCCAATCAATAGGAGGGTAGGTTCTCCGAACTTGCTTGCTCTCACATATACACGCTGCTGTCTTTCTCATTCTCGATTTCCTTCTCGATTCTCCCTCTTCAAGCGTGAGTCGAAGGGTTGCCCAAACTGGAAGTGGGAATTATGGGTAGGATTAATATGCAAGGAATGGATACGTGCAGCGGCAGTTGGAGTAGGAAGAAGGAGGTAGTAAAAGGGTGGGTCGAAGGAGGTGGGGTTGAAGAGAAGCATCAGTGTGGCGACCACGTTGAGAGAAAGAGCACAGTGGAGACGTGGGGACGAAGCAACAAAAGGGGTCGAAGGGGAAATATATGGTTAAGAGGGAAGGAAAAGAGAAAGAGAGAGAGAGAACGAGCGACGGTTTCAGTAGTGGGTAAAGAGAGACTTGGAGATCTCACCCCATTTGCATCTCTCCTCAGAGGATACGGCTATACAGGACACCCCTATCGATTTTACAACTCGATATATGTGAATACCCACTTGTCTAATGACTGATCGGACTTCCGCTAACCCTTTATCTATCCCTTCGGTTTTGAGCTTGACTTCCACCTACTCCTATCCTGTCCGGCTTTCAATATCAAAATGTTGTTTGGCTGTGATAATATTTTTTGATATTACATTTTTGTTCATGCTCTAACTTGGACCAATAATTGAATTTCTTATTCAACATTTCCCTATTTTTATCACTTAAAAATTCTTATTGATACTAAACAAACAAATCAACAATAATATTTTTATATATTTATCTCTCTCTCTCTTGGAAGATAAATATTGACTGAAAATATTTTTTATTCGCTTTATTAGTATTAATTATTTTTATTGTAATGAAAAAAATTTATTCATATTAATGAAATAATTATTTGAAAAATGATTACACATTCTTATTTATAAGTTGAATGTAAAAAAAAGTAGTAAAGAAGGTATTTGAATAGATACAATGTAATTGTTAGTAGAAAAGTATGAAATAGTCAGACAGGACGAAGAAGCCCTGAAAGTCAAGCATTTATTTCACAATCAGCAGCTTTCAAATCGTTGCTGTTATACTCGTCGTTTATTGACAGAAATACTCGATACGAACGCTTAGCCGTTAATCTCTGACATTTATGCGCGCTTCTTGCGCTTACTGTGTGTGAGGGTATGTGGTAACTGTGATGCAAAGGGTGGAGAGAATTTGAGTTGGTGCGGGCGACACCCGTCTGATTGTCTCTAAAGTATACGTTATTATTATTTTATTTTCAATGATATATATATATATATATATACATATATATCTGTATTTATAATACTATATTGATGGTATGAGCATTGTTATTCTGGCTAATGAGAAAGTTGTGGGATTTGTGAGGAATAAATTTTATACTGGAAGATGTATATTCATATTTATAACTTTGGATGCTTTAAAACTCTCCGCAGTTCAATCTATTTATTAATTCAAAAATTTTATTATATTAATATTCATTAATTAGAATGATAATAATTATGGAATAATTAATGGAATTAAATATTTTATAAATCGATACTGATCAATTGAATGACATTTAAAGATCGATATTGTTGTAATATATATAAAAAAAAAAAAATTTTTTTTAGGTATTATCGGCTTTAAAA